CAAAGCCTGTTGGTGGATGAGAGCAGAGAGGGCCGCGCGCGCCGTTGCAAGTTTAATGTGTGTGTGCACGCCGCGTACCTCTCTCTCATCCTGCCGCTTGTTTGCATGACTTGTGACAAACGAAATCAAATTTACTTCTCTCCCTGTAGGCAAATCCGCGGACTTCTGCTTAATTGGCGAGCAGGAAAGCTGTGTAAAATTTTTACGCTTTCGCTCTTGAAAGTTTGTTAGTTTTAAATATTGCAATATAACTTAATGTTTTCATTTTTATTCAATCTTTTTTTTATATGTTAATTATTAATTTTCTTTTTTATTCAAACTAAGTACAAATAGCAGATTAGATATTTTCAAAATTATCCAAAATGATCGAAAAGAAACGGCATTAAAAATAAAAATAACAAACTTGTAATCCGTGTAAAGATTCTGCCTAAATTTTACATCTTAAAATTTGAATTTGAGATATATTCATTGTTTTTAAATTTTAAAGGTCAAAGGCACATGAACTGAGCAAAAACAATTTATGTTCCTAAGGGAAGAAATCAGACTTGATAATATTAAATTTGTCCCTTATAGTAGTGCCTTGCATTTAAAAAGCATTAGAGCATTTAATAATTATGCTTATATAATAATAATTTTATTTATTTTTTTAATTTTGTTTAAAAAAACCTAGTAATTTATTTAAAATAAAAAGAGCTTAAAAGAAGTTTTTTTATAAATTTCCTTCCATCTAAAGATTTGCTAGTTTCTTTTTAAAAGTTCAATGAATTATTCCACAATAAACAGGCCACGCGTCTGTTCAGCTATAAAAAAGTTTCCATGAATATGCGTCGCACGCCACTTTTCCGTGAATTTCGTGTGCCTTAACCGACCACACAAGCATGGCTTTGTACTTTCCTTTGCTTTTTGCTGTGATAATTTCACGCTAATGTTCTGCGACATTTTACGCATGTCCAGCAGCAAATTTTGCCACGCTCGGCCCACGCGCTACAAAATTCGTCTCGTCTTAGTCAATTCCACACGACGATCGTTTTGTTCAATTTTTTTCTTCCTTTTTATACAAATTCCTTCGACTCCTTTCATTTGGCACTTTTTGCCCGGCAGTTGCAGTCGTAAAAACATTCACCAACTATATGCTATGTGATTGAATAATGTTCCTCACTTAGCATTATTTGACGGGGCTGTTAAACCTACAGAACAAAACCGACCGTCGCTCCTCTGCTAGAATAGCAAAGGCCTATGCTCTTGTTTGAAAGGGTTATTCTTGATGCTCACAATAGCTTCATCCTTCGTCTTGACCTTTTAATAAACCCATTTGGGCGCAACCTTCAACCCTGTTGGCGACGCTCTGAGGGCGACAAACCCTAAAAAAAAGCTTCGCGTGCAGTGTGTCGCAAGTGTCAAAGCAACACAAATCGCGCTCACAACAACCCTTGGAATGTTCTACTGCGGGCGAAATTTTCGTCCTTTTTTACTAAGGGGCTTGCATTACTCATCACACTCCAGGCAAAATACCTGCCTTTATTGTTCTCAACAGAAAATAACGAAAAAAAAACTCGCAGCTTCAGATTCTAAATAATCTGAAATAAATTGCCTTAAATTAAATATTTTGTGTTGAAAAGGTGATTTTTTATGCCGTGCAAACTGTCTAGTTTTAAAGGCGATTATTCACAAGTTACTAAATTGTAATGTCAATATATAGTTTTTGATGATTTTATTTTAAAGAATCTCACTTTAAGGGGCTTAAGAAAAATGACTATGCCGAATTGAATTTTTAGTTCATTTCCTTTAGTATATCAAAATCCACTCACGTCAGTGCTACACAGAAAAAAATCTCAAAAGCTGTACTTTCTAAAGAACTGTCTTTAGCAGGCAGGTTTTCTTTTTATTATTCTTTTGCTTTTTATTAAGCCATCTCTTGCACAAACAGCTGCTACTCCTGCAACCTTTTCAGCAGCATACTTTTGCTTTTGTACAATTCACATTTATAGGCCTCGTCGTGACTTATGAAAAGAGACAGCAGCCAGAAGAGAATCCTTTTGGTACAGAGATCTGCTTATCGCGCACAAAACGCGCATTGATATAAGCTCACCCTCTCAGGGCTGTTGAAATTGCAATTGATGGCCATTATAAGATTAATTCCTCAAGCACAAACTCAACCTTTGACAAGCTATATACAATCTACCTTCGCACTGTTTGCAAAGCAACTTTAAGAGATCGGGAATTTCATGAATAAAAAAAAAGGATTTTCTGTGAACATTTTCAAAGAATAAAAATAAAATCATGGGTTAACCATGTATTTTTATGGGACGTTGAAGAAATCGAAACCATAGCATAAATGAAAGTAAATTAGATTGAGCAATAAAAGAAAATTGAAATGTATTACCGTGCCCTGTTATAAATTTTCCCGTGAAAGAGCCGATGACAGATTTCGAAAGGTGTGCTCTCCTCGCGTGTTTGTTATTGAATTCAATCGCTCCACATAAATGTGCACGCCGGTCATTGTAAATCATAAGGTACACCGCGACACATTCATCTGTTTTGGTTTGATGAAAAGCTCTCCCTAAATGGCTCTAGATGCGGATCTGGGGTGTCTATTGTGCGCTACGTTGGTCTGTCGCAGCGCATGGCTCAAAAAACTACTTTCATACAACTTCAATCCTATAATGTATAATGTGAAAAATGAGGGGAAGGATACAGAGCCCGCGCGTCGCATCTGAATGGGAACTGGTCTGAAAAGTAACTGCCGTCAACAAACCAACGTAATTTATGCTAAAGAGACAGGCAATTTACAATTTATATTTTACTTGTTAAATTAATCAACATCTACAAGCATCCCCAAAAAGTAAAAATATCGAAAAATATCAATACAATATTAAAATTATTCAATTTTTTTCATTTTATTTTCAAGTTTTGTAATTATTTTTCTTTTAATCGGCGCTTCTTGAGAGTTTTCCTGAAGGAACTTTAACTGTTGAATTTCCCAGCAATTCATCGCGGTTACGAAGAAATACAACGAGCGATAGTGAAAGTTAACAGAAAAGCCACACAATGGGGCAAAGCAACGGGCAAAGGATCGGGGAAATCAAATCTCCGGTGAGTGCTTCCCCCTGTTAGAGCAACGGAGCAACTGTGCGGTCTGACCGTATTGGGTCCCCTCTTACGTCTGACGGGGGAACTAGCTAAAATATTATCAGTGGCACAAATTTTCTTCTTTCATGCTTGTTAATAAATTTAGATGTCATTTAAAAATAGATCTGGCTGAATGGTCACCACCAGAGCCAAAACCTATATCAACAACAACAACAATTAAGTTGTTAAGCTTGTTAAATTAAAAGTCGTAAATATTGTGTGGAAAGAAAAGTCATTTGTGTGGTTTTTACTTTCAAGTGCTTTCAAGTACACGAATTATTTTATTTTTGCTCTCTCTAATCATCGGTAATTAATTATAAAATTAGTTTGTTCATTTAATCGTTACTATCGGTTACTATCATTTATAAAGGACTAAATTTAAAATAAAAATATCCTTGGTGGTAAGTGGTAATATTATTGAAAATGCAATTTAAAAAAAAAACTGTTTTGTGAGATGAAGCCCAATTTTATTTTAAGCGTTTTTAGTAAACTAACCCAGCCTTATCAGCAAAAAAGTGTAAGTGTAACATTTTTGTAGAAAATAATAATGCAATACCCTTTTTCTTCCTGTACTTCCCAATAAACAATAAAAAAAAATATTTAGTTTATCCCTCTTCTATAGATAAAAAGTATTTAATGTTTCCTAAAAAGTAGATTGCTGCGTGTGAGAAGCACTCTTTCACATTTCAATCTGCCAGTTTTGCAGTGAACTGATGCGTGGAAGAATATAGAGATCCTTTCCCATTGAATGATGAACGAGACCAAAGCACGTTCATTGCGGATTTTGCCTCCTCTCATATTCAGAGTAAGCATGTTTGTGCTAAATTTGCGATCGTTCGATTTATAAATAGATTTTGACGTTCTATTAAACCGGATCTTTTTATCTCATATTGCGGTTGATGAAATCGGCAGTCCAGAAATTGATCCAAGATTTAATACTAAAAAATTAGAAAATTAGTTTTTTAATGTGTTGAACGAAATTTTCAATTATTATCCGCTCTATGATTGAATCGATTGAATTAACTTTTACACGTGACTCAACGTGATTTATATATTGCCAAAACTATCTTTTATTGATGGAGATCAAATTTGATTAATAATTCTTTTGTAGTATAATAATAATAGGTCGAGGGTTAACACAAGATGATTGAAATCCAAGTCAGCTTTTCCTCAATGGGTTTTTGTCGTTTATTTTTTCACGCAGGTAAAATCAGGTAAAACAAATAGGGTTAAAATTATTTTAGTTGTTATTTTTGCTAAAAAAGTAAACATATTTAAAAAGCATTTGTAGAGAATTAATATATTAGTATACATATATACTCTGATATTTATCATTATAATAATTGTGAAATACGCATTATCCAAACCGTGTATAAAATATTAATTAAGAAATGACTTCAAAATTCATTATTTGAAAAATTTGATTTTGAATTTAAACATTTCATTTTTTTCTTTTCATTATTGGGAACCACAAAAAAAATCTTTTTGATTCAAGGCCATTGAAAAATATTCAATTGTTGAAAACAATTTATTTAAAAAAAGGAATTGTTGGAGAAAATGGCACCACCACTAGTAAGGATTTTACTAAATATTCCGAGATCAAAGACCCCATCCGCCGCAGTGACATTAAATGCAATCCAAAACAGTTAACTTAAGAGTTTTTTTTTTCCGAAACCAAGTTTCGAATTTCTATTGATGATTTTACTTCCGTCTATGGCTGCCGCCAAACTTTCCAATTAAAAAAAAAATCAAGTTATTTCTTTTACTCTTGGCAGTAAAACCATTGCGTGGTAAACATTTTTGTTATTAGAGGAGCATTTAGACGAGTTCAGACCATTATTATAACAATCCTTCAACGAAACCGGCTCATCATTGAATTTGAAAAATTCCTCCGCGGGCAGAAAAATATTAAAATTTCAAAATGGAAAATGTCATTTTACTACATGTTGCGATTGCAAAAAAAAAATTATTGAAAATAAAGTGGGGTGCTTTCAAGATAAATGATGGTGCTTTAATGCGAAATCCACGGCAAGCCAAATATCCCAATCAAACAGCCTTGCTAACAGACCCTGGCCATCTCTTGATGGCGAACTCGAGTAGCTTGTTGGGCAGCGCGGTCTAGCTGCAGCGTCCGCATTGCACGTTCTCTGCGCTCCCTGTTCTTTACCTTGAGTTGAGCTCTAACCTTGGCCACATCGTCGGGGCCTGCATTGAAAATTAAATAAAAAATGATATGTCAAATCCGGAAAAGTCAAAGAATAGCGATATTTTTACTACTCACAAACACATCCACAGAGGCTGATGTTGTTTTGTCTGCAAAATGCCACTGACGTAGGTAACCGTGCTTTTCTTGGGTCAGCCTGCAGTAGCAGGCGTTCGGCAGGGGCAGCACTGTCAAGTCCGAGGCCCAGGCCCTCCTGCCGTTCGAGTCGGATCAGCACAGCATCAGCCTCAAGCAGAACTTCATGAAGTTTTGACGGGAGGGTGTCGACGCCTGAGAAAAATTAAATCCACAAGAAGGAACTGAAAACACGAAACGTTTCTTTTGCTTACGAGTATGGGCATCGATGGGCACAAGGTTGGCCAGGGCAGCAGAGATCTGAGAGCCATACGGCATCATTTCCCGAATCACCGCGGCACCTTCAAGGGGGCCCATCGTCAGCGATTGGTGGAAGATGTCCTCATCTCCATGAGGAAAATCGGCGGGCAGGTTCATAGCACTAAAAGTAATTGCAGATATTTGGAAAAAAGAATAAAATTGAAAAACAAGAGCGCGACGGTTAATTTGAATTCTGAATGAGTTGAAAAAGAAATGCAATAATAAGAATTTTGCAACAATTAACAAATGAACAAATAATACACACGTCACCATAGAAACGATCAAATCTAGCTTTTAGTCTACAGTTTTTTTACTCCTTATTGACGTAGTCAAATCAAGTCTTTACAACAATGATTGTTAAATTTTCCAATTATTGATAAAATATTTCCTATTTGTTGAAAAGACTTGATTTGACTATGTCAGTAAGGAGGCCTTAAGCGCCATACAAACGTGAGAACTTTAGACGAGGAATTTACAAATTTTGAACACAGTTCAGGTCAACGGCGCTTTGGGCCGTAGAGGTGGTAAAATAGCGCCCCTTATTAAAATATAGCTATTCTACTACTATTTTAATATAATCGTTTACAGTTCTGGACTACGGCTCAGAACTGGTAAGATAGCGCCCCTTTATTAAAAATTTTTTTTTTCTTTCCTCAATTCTTTTATTTTATTTTAATCTAGATTCTCTAACTGAGAGTCCATTAGTCTCATAGAATTTTTTCGCTTTTCCCATTGATGGACAGGAGATTCTGTATCAGCTTTTTTTTATATAAAAAAAAAGCATTTCTTTGAATAAAATTTTTTGCAGGCCAACCATTAGCAGCAAAATACTTTTTCCTATTTTGGCATATTTGTGATTCATTCTTGCATATTTAAGATCAAAGGCGTCCACTTATTATCATCCTTATTTATTTTATTGAAATTATTGGTATAAGAAAGCTTTACATTTTACAATTCTCTCTGGTGCGAGTTTTATTATCTTGTTAGTGTTTTCTCTTTTGCCGAATGTGATATCGACGAGCCAATAAAATAAAGCTAAGCAAAAGTATGAAAAAGATATTAAAAGTTTTGTTTGATTATATCCTTGCTCACAATTTCAAATAGCAATTTGTGTGTGATCCTTTCTGCTGCATTATATAATTTATAATTTCATACACAACTGGTTCGTCTCTGACAAAACATCTTTAATATAAAAAAAAAATTATAAAATTCCATCCAGACTTTATTTTTATTTGTCCACATTGTTAACATTGTATATTCAATTGTTGAATACAATTTATTTAAAAAAAGGAATTGTTGGAGAAAATGGCACCACCACTAGCAAGGATTTTGCTAAATATTCCGAGATCAAAAAGACCCCATCCGCCGCAGTGACTTTAAATTCAATCCAAATCAATTAACTTAAGAGTTTTTTTTTTTCCGAAACCAAGTTTCGAATTTCTATTGATGATTTTACTTCCGTCTATGGCTGCCACCAAACTTTCCAATTAAAAAAAAATCAGGTTATTTCTTTTACTCTTGGCAGTAAAACCATTGCGTGATAAACATTTTTGTAATTAGAGGAGCATTTAGACGAGTTCAGACCATCATAACAATCCTTCTACGAAACCGGCTCATCAATGAATTTGAAAAATTCATCCGCGGGCAGAAAAAATATTAAACAATTTTAAAATTGAAAATGTCAATTAACTACATATAAAGTTGCGATTGCGAAAAAAAATGATTGAAACTAAAGTGGGGTGCTTTCAAGATAAAAATGATGGTGCTTTAATGGTAAATCCACGGCAAGCCAAATATCCCAATCAAACGCCTGGCCTAATTCGTCAAAATTTTTGAGTCCGACTAACTCGCAGCCATTATCGCCTCCGCTCGGACGACCAAGCGGACTCATTATTTATCCATAAATTTGTGAAATCCTGCAATGGTGAATCAAAGGCTGCTTTTACATGACGATCAGCAACTAAATCTCCCCTAACAAACAGGGAGAGAGAATATATATATAGAGAGAGAGGCAACCAATCTCCATCGGCGCTCTCTCTGCACTCACACACACCATTATGTCCCATCGGAGCCATACACTCTAATTATAGCTTAATTATACCATTGAATATATAGTATTGTGGTTTATCGTCTCTACTGTGTAATCTGAAAAGTTTATCCCCAACTCGAGTCCTGGCCGGCGTTCGTTTGAAATCTCTCTGCTCAGCGCTTCATCCTCTCTGCTCTCTCGCTTTGATTCACTCGCTCTGATTTCCAACGCGAAGCAGGTAGCCTTTAATTAAATAAGGAAGCGTATGGAGAAAATTATTTTTTGCCCCTGCTCCCTCTCCGCTCTCCAAGGAGGGTCGTTACTTATCAGCAAGCTTGCACATTATTTGCTCTCTGTTGTTTTACACCCCAGCGAGAGAGGATGTGTGTGTAATCTGGAAAAAGTTTGACGGCATTGAAATAATGGTGACCGCATTCGCGAGCATTGAATAGCACAAAAGCAAATAAGTTGCTTTACGCTACTGGCCTTTCGTACCCCTCGAGGAATGGTACTCGAGCGCTGTATTTTTCTCCGCCCTTGTGCCCTTCTGCTCTTGTAATTTGAGATCACTTGTGCAGTGCACTGCTGATTACTTCTTTGTTTCCCTTCACTTCCCTGCAACACCTCTGATGTTTTCCTTTACGACTTAACGTGCAATACACTTTCATAAAATTAGCGTAAGAATCAGATTTTTAAATTATTGGAACTTCAGAAACAAATAAATTGTAGCACAAAATGAGGTAGTTTTATTAATTTTATTTGTGTTGAAGAAAAACTTTATTTCATATTATATATGAGAAAATTAGCTTGGAGTCAATAAATAAACAGAATATTTACCCATGAACCATGAATACATTCATAAATGTATTTTAATAAAAAAAAAATCTTATTTTACATAATTTTGTCTTCATTCTTCATCCAAAATTTCTTCCTCTAATTGTATTTTTATTATGCTCTCGAGCTGCTCACAAGAGAAAATTTTAATGCAACAGCATTTCTGCTATAGGCCTTAAAAACCAAACCCAAATTGCAAAGAGCTTATCTCGATATCTGATTGCTCCACGCTCATCTTATAAAAGTTTCAGAAAATAAACTTCGATGGACATGCGTGTCCGATAAGTTGCATATATGGAGATTGAGATTCTAAGAAAACATCCTGTGGACACGCATGCACAAGTTTTATTTTTAGAATGTAAAACCTTGGCCGCTTACTGCGGAAAAACCGTCGGAGCTAGATGCAAATTAAATCCTCTTGCATACTTGTAATTTTATTTCAATTATGTCTATCAAAATATTGCGTACAGAAAATACAATTACATTGATGTCGTCCTTTAATGTTAAATTGTGTAAGAGAATCAAATTATTTTACCATCTTGATTTTTAGAAATAATGTATCCCCATTTATTGAACACTAATTAAATGTCATTTGCTTCAGTTGGGACAGTTCTATCAATTCGTCGGAGGAAGTGTCACCACAGGGGCGGAAAACCATATATAATATTTTTTCATCAAGTAAACAGGATTTTGATTGTGGTGTGAAGATACATACTTGTTCGGACTAATTGAGGTTTGAAGATAACTTCAGACCATATATATTCCTATCCATATTATCTGTTTTCCTTTCGGGTAATTAAGAAGTTCAAGCTTATCGCAAAACCCACTGACCACCAAAAAAATCTGGTTCGAGACAGTTAACGATGGAAGGTTTTGAAGATATCTCGCAAAAGCAAAACGAAAATTGACTTTTTCCTCATATAATGAATTAATATGTGGTTCATTATGATATCGGCATAATCGTCCAAGCAACAACATCCTGTCGCATAGAGTGAAAGAAGTAATTTTCAATGAAAGAGATTTAAAAATTTTATCTCCAAATATTCTCCTTGAAGGATCGAAGTGTTTTCCTTATTCTAATCATTTAATCTGCTGTTTATCTTATTTACTGCGAAGTTTTCCTGGACGATTTTCCTTGTGGACTTTCATTGTTGTCTATTTAACATAAGATTTAAGTTAAGCAATGCTAACATTGACCTTTGCAAAGTCAAAATTCATAATCCTTTCCTTTCTATGTCCTTTCTATAAATAGCCTTCTTTAAATCAGATGAATTTTAACTGTTTGAACCATGCAATAAAACTATTTTATGATACCTGAGTAAAATAAATGAAAAATTTAAATCAGTTTTATTATCATGAATTTAGAATCATTATAATAACATAATCAGAAATTGACATTTTTCTTCCCAATGCATCCAATTATATAAAATTTTAATTAATTTCTAAATGTGAAGCAAATTGATTTAAAAAAAAAAAAATCTTAAAAGTAAACTGAAATTTTTAATGGGACTAATTAATAAATTATCTCTAACCTATACTATAACATGCCTTAATTATGCAATATATGTAAAGTAATAAAAAAAATTTCATATAAATGCATTAAAATGATTGATTTTGGAGTTCATAATTTAATCGAATTGGCATATCAGTAAGCATCATTAATAAAATTGAAAAATTTAAAAAAAATAAATAAAACATTGCGTTGTCTCATTCTAGGTGGGAAAGTCTTTCTCCATGAATCGACGCACAGACGCACATGGATCAAAGAAGAAAAGTGCTGCGGATCAAATGCCAAAGCTCCACAACACATATTTGAGGTGACTGCTGCGGGTCACAAAATTCCTGCTTTTTACGTTTTCGACCAGCATTAATTGTGGTCTGAGCCCATCACCACAGAATTCAGCAACCATTCATAATGCAGGGGCGCTGAATGATGCGCGATGATGGTGGTGATGCGCGCCCGCTGATATAAGTCAGCCATAGTGGTTAACCTTTTTATGTGTTTTTTACACGTGGAGAGCCCAAAGACACATTCTCTCTCTGCCCTCAGTCTGTCGTGCACCATGACCACACTCACTGAATCTATATAGTGGTAAACCAGCCAACTGCACCCACTTTGGAATGAATGAACACACCACTAAATACACACACCCACATAAAAGGTTTTTTAACTACCGCGCTCGTATCCTTTCAAATGTGTGTAGCCTCAAATATGCGCGTGTTGGCTTCCAGCAGCAATTCCGCATTCACGGTATTGGCCACACGAGGAGACCATCGCGCATCACCGCATCTCTTTATCTCTCGCACTTGGAAATAAACGCAAAGGTTTCGAGTTGTGGTGATGGTTATAATTAATTCACTGTGCCCACAAATTAATTAAACGTCTAGACATAACAACTTTTTATACTTTTAGAAATTGTAAGTTTTTAAAAATTAGGAATTATAAATAATACTTCAGATAATAATTTGTTTAAAGTTTACTTAAAGTAAAGTAATTTAGTATTTTTAAATTTTTTGCATAGAGCTTAAATTAAATTTAGGACAAGAGTCTCTAAATTAATTGTTTTCGACAAATCTTTTTTAAAACTGATTAGAAAAGTAGGATGAAATCGGCAGTAAAAAATTATCTAAGGAACGTGTCTACAGAAAAAAATATAAAAATACAGTTTTAAATTATTATTTTATCTTCTTAGTATTTAGATTATTTTTCAGTAAAAATCGCATTACAGTAGGTGACTAGGATTTAACAGAAAATTGGTGACTATTTCAAAAGTAAAAAATATTTCATTTAAATCTGACATATATTATATTTTAGAAGTTTGAAAGTTTATTATTTATACATTGCATTTATTTAATATTTCATAATTTTTAAAACAAAAATTAACAGTAAAAAAGTACGATTGCAGCTGGCAATTTTCATGATTGTAAATTTTTGATTTGCGATTAAAAATCGGGGAAAGTTTTTTCGTGAAAATTTTATTAATATACTTTTATACTTATCAACTTAAAACTTAAAAGTCATATTTTGCTCAAGTTTTAAAAAGCTTGTGGATGTTTTCTGCTCGTTGTTATCTGTTGTGGTTTATATTTTATAATATCCTGTCACTTGATTCACGACGGGAAAAAATACAGAAGTTTCCAAAAAGAGGCATTAAGTCATTTGATGATGCACTCTTCCCGATGACAAAACTCGCGCGCCGGCGAAGTGCCGGCTGGTGTCTCTTTTTTTCCCTTGCGCTTCCTGCATGCATACGGAATCGCAAATGCCTCTATTTCGAGAAGGGCCGCACACATGTGAACCAGTTTTTTTATCATCTACATTAATCATAGAAAATAAATTCCATTCCAAAATATGTATGAAGAAAAATAAACGAAAAAAAATCTGTGCGAGAGCCAATTAATCGGTTCGAGTAGCACCAAGAGAAAGAAAGATAAAAGGCTGCTGACAGGTGCACACGTGGTTCCTGCTGGAGGAAGACAGGTTGGTGTGCATCAGACCGCCCATGGAGCGGCCGAGACCCGCCTCTGTTGTGCGAAAGAGGCGGCGCTTTGTTTCTTGGAAGGCAGCGCTCATCTGGGCAAGACCTTGGGCGCCTTCTGAAGGTGGCCGGACAGGGCGCGGACGCGCGTCGGACGCATGCGTCGCACCGGGCCTTCCGACCGAGGAGAGAGAGAGAGAGAACATCATTAAAGGCTGAATTTAATACACACTGATTGTTGGGGGCGAGGAGGGGGAGCGCGCGGCGAGTTGGCCGACGCAGAGGAGGTGGTAGAATCATATGCTGAAACCACAACACAGGAATGAACAGCTAGGGAGCCAGGCCACTCATTCGCCGTCCAGAGTGCCAAGAGCAAGCACACATACGTACCACACCTCAACACATACACTCACAAAATTTAACCTCTCGCGGCGGTTGATGCTGATCAGCGCCAATTCTATGCATTTACCAGCTTCGAGGACCTCCAACGTTACCCTGTCCGAGGAGGCGCCTGTGCTCAGCACCCTGCAGGACACCACCAACAAGATGTCAACGTCGGACGCCGGCGGTGGCACGGCCGTGCAGAGCTCCTCCGGCGCCTCCGGAGGCGCCGCCAGCAACAACGGCGGCGAGTTTTGGTGGACGGAGCGGATGCTGTGCGAGGTCCAGTCCGAACACCCGGGCGAACTCATCCGCACGGGCAGCCCGTATTTCCTGTGCTCGGCCCTGCCACCCCACTGGCGCTCCAACAAGACGCTGCCGGTGGCCTTTAAAGTGGTGGCCCTCGGAGAGGTCATGGATGGCACCGTGGTCACCGTCCGCGCCGGCAACGACGAAAACTACTGCGCCGAACTGCGGAACTGCTCAGCCATCATGAAGAACCAGGTGGCCAAATTCAACGACCTCAGATTCGTCGGCAGAAGCGGCAGAGGTAAATTTACAATTTTATATATTTTTATCGGGATTTGTTAATATTTTGCCGTTGTCTCCATCCGCGTTTTACTCGCCATTGTTTTGTATGCGCGCGTGATTTGGCCGGCGCCGACGGGGGTGACTGCAGGGTCACGCGCGCCGCACGTTGATAATGGCCTCTCGGTGCTGCTGATGTGTCATTTATTTCGCTCACGGTCCCCTATTGCAAAATTAGCGGCCAGCGTGACACGACTTCAATCGTAAATCGTGTGTTAAATACATGCAAAATGCATGGAAATTTTACTCAGGCAGCTTGTTAATTATATAAAGTTACAATAAACTTCAAATAGAATTATATAAAATCTGTAATTACTATATTTTAATTTATGATTTGGAATTTGAAAAATTTTTGATCTGCTGGCAAGATTATTATTGAGCTGTATTAAAATCAATACTGTTGTGAGGATCAAGAGAGCTTCCAATGTTATATTGCCAAGTTTTTTGTATTATAATTTTTATCACAAATATCGGAAGTAATTCAAATAAAAATCAGGAAAAATTATAGCACGCTTGCACCCTAAAGATTAAGGTACGCTTTTGGAAATCTTATCCAAGCCGTTATCCAGAGATATGTAAACATGAAGTACAAAGAGCGATAAGCTGCGCGAAATAAGTAGTTTTATCGAAACACATGTTTCAAATTTTCCTATCCAATTTCCTTGTTCCCAAACAGGGTTTTTACATTGTTAAGGCTTTTTTAATTTCTGAAAGTAATTCCTCGTTTCCTTAGCAAGCCGCAAACCATAAAGATTCATCGAGGTTAACCAATACAATTGACTATACTGCTGGTGCATCAAAGAAAGTCGGAACTTAAAAATAAAAGCCTCCGATAAACCTTTTATTCACATCACTTTTCATTTTTACACTTAATTCGTCTGCGGCAATTTCGCCCAGAGCACCAACCAACCAACAGGTAGCCTGCTGATTTGAATCAACCACAAATCAGGAGCAAAATGAGCAGCACATTTTCGAAATTCTGCCCGATTTTTATACAGTCTCAAAAACGAACCCCACGCATTTCAACAAAACCAAATTCGAATTGGCTTGAATTCCAGCAACAATATATCCCTCGCTTTTCGTGTCGGCTCGCGGAATGAATTAAAGCGATCAAAATTTGGGCCTATCATAGCCAGACCGGCGGCGATGCATCACTCTCTCGCTTGGTCTCAATGTACATACATATGTGCGCCATTACAAGCAAATAAATATATTCGGCGGTGGCGGCAATAATATGTATTGGCCAAATGGACGGGGCGAAATTTGTTTGGCAAGCCGCTCGCTTCTCGCTCGCCCGCGCTCATTCATTCGGCGCGTATGAGATGGATGATGTTATAGACACTGCAGCGGCGCTAGCTGGCCGTGTTTGTTGTGTATATGGACGCGGCGGGTCTAACCCGATGATGGACACATTATCTGCCGGCGTACATGTTAACTGATTTGCGTCGCTCCCATCACTATCCCATCGATCAACAACAATCCTAAAAACAAAACGCTCCCGCCGCTCCTCTGTAATGGTCACTTGTATTGCGCGCCGCTTGTTATATATAGACGATAAAATACATACATATACGTACACACAGATGTCCCTGGCCTTTTGCTGCGTACACATTATGGCACATCACAGCAGAGCATCCCCCCGTAGCTATTATGCTGTTTGTGTGTGTGCCAAACTATGTGCGCTCGCCATGCGGAAATAGTAGTGCGATTGGAAAATCTCGGCGCCGCACAAACACACACACACACATACACACATCCATCTATAATGTGCCGGCCCATGATAATGAACATCCCTTTCATTACTCCGTGTGTGCTGCCGGCTCGCTTGCCGTGCACTGAATTATTGATGCACCCGAGTGCAGCTCTCAATCGGAAATAGGCCTAAACAGCCCTAGCAGCGCACGCCACTCGCACTGATTGGCCTCCGATATTTCATACGACTCGGGTATCGCATGGACACATTTATGACTGAGTGTGTGGCCGGCAGACGTGCAGCACCGTAATTGTCGTAATTGATAATTCATATTTTAATTGCTCCATTTCTCGTCATATTGCTTCAGGAAAATATTTCACGAGCTGTTTGAGCTGCTGATTATCGCATTTCTTTTTGTTGGTCTAGATTAGTATGCACGTGTCACTCTTTCAATATGTGAAAGGTTGCGTATAAATTTATGTTTTTAGAATTTAATGCAGCTTCCTCTTGACGCTATATTTTTCTAATCTCTCATCCCCAGATTTGCTTGCGGTCTAATAAAAATATGTTTTCAAATGATAAAACTAACTCATAAATATGAAAAAAAAAAAAACTCAAATTAATTCAGCACCAAAAGATCTAAATTAGATCTGTAAAAAATTTTAACATACTTCAATACTCGAGTTAATTTAAGTAATAATTTTTATTAATTAACAAACTGCATAGATTATATTAAAATTACTTAATATTGTTATTATTTTTTTCTCTGAAGTTAAGTATGGAGAACATGTAAGTTAAAGGAATTTTTTACTATAAAACAAACCGCTAATTTCTAAAAAATTTATTCTTTATTCCCCCTTCTGAAATTTCTTTTCTCATTTTTTCTTGAGAAGTGAATTATGTTTGAAAAGTTGGTGCCTTACTTTTGTTCAAAGACTGGAGCTGCTCACTGTGTGATGAAAATCCCCAATTCAAAATTTGAGCTATCCAAGCATAAAGATTTCTGGCGCTGCAACAATAAGAGGCAGTTTGTTGTAGGAGTTTGTATATTATGTCTCCATTGAGACGGCAGGGGTTAATTGTGTGTCGGATATGCAGCGGGAATAAAAATTCGGCGTTATAGAAGCGAGAAGAGCAGCGCATTTACCACGCCACTCTTCTCATTCAGGTGTACATCTCCATTATCGCCGTGAGATGGAAACATTTCTAGACGGATAGAGTTTAAAGGCAGCGCTAAAAAACAAACCTTGTGGAGCAAAAAAGATTGAATTGGTCGCTATCCAGACGAGAAAAAAATCATCATTGTGCTTTATTAGATACATTTCTTTGCATTGCAAATTAAGTAAAAAAAGAATTCATGCGACAAAAGTACAACAAAGTGGACACACTCATATCTCTGAGCTCTCAAAATTTTATTGCCAATTTTACTGCTTACTAATTTAGCGTTCCGCAGAAGTGCCGGCAATAAAAGAAGCTTTTACAGCTGGTAGCGTTCAGTGCACTTATGTATTTCAAAGTGATACAATATGATATATCGGCCAAATGTTTCTCACTTTATTCCAATCAGCGCTAAAAATCCCATAAATGTCATGATTTATCAATCATTTGAAAAGGAAGGAAAATTTTTATCTACAGCTGCAGAAATAATGTAATGAAAAAAATTTAAAATTACATTTTAAATTATTTTTTACGTATCAGCAAAATTTAATTAAAAATTCTTTTTCCTGTCTAGTGCAGACTTTATATTGCATACCTTATCTTGTAGTGCTTTCCTCAACTTCTTTTCCTCTATTCACGACAAAAAAGTCGCAGCTCATTATTCAACCGCCCTTCGAAAATTATCTCCTGGGTAAAATCTGTGTTGTGCCTGGGAAATCGCATTTGCATACACATTATTATCGCGTATATTAAAAGAAGCGACAAAGCCAGAGGAGAGCAGGAGGACAAAATGCGAGAGCGCCGGGCAGCAGCTTTATTAAACTCCCTGCCTGCAACTCATTAAATTTCCTTTCTCCTTTATGATGTGGTTCATAATATTTATCAAATGTCCAATTCTCTCTATAAAATATCACATAAAGGGTTATGGCTTTGTTTGACAAAACTATATATATCGTGGCCTGTGTGCCTGCGAACAAGGGACCGACAGAGAGAGGGCATATTATTAGCGTAGTTCAGTTTGTTTCCTGCTCGCCGCTCTAAAGCACCTCACCACATAAATCGATTTTTCTCTCAACAAACACTTTGTAAGCTCTTTGTGCACATAAAAGATATAATGACACAGAGTGTACCGATGCTAGCTCCGGAGAGTGACGGTCGCTTGGGCTGCCTGCGATAATTAGACGCACATAAAAACACAATTTGATGCAAAAGAAAGAATGAGAGGAGACAAGCGGCAATTTTTGAGTTATATAAAAAAGACGGACACCGCTCGGAGGCGTGCGTGAGAGACGAATATGACATATTATTTTAGTCTCATGTGTCTTTCCATTATTTCCCGCCAGTGAAAATAAAGGGGAATGAAATAAAAACACACGAACTGTTTAATTCTCTGCTCTCAAATAGAGAAGAGCGGACGAAAGATCTTTTTTCTCGAGCTCTTGAAACTCCATTCCACCCTGCGGTTTCGATTTTATAATCTTGATTCAGGGTAAAAATGAGCGCCTGACCGGCTGCTTTTCATACTATAAATATAATTATCGGTGGCATAGCAGGAGCAGTGGCGGCGGCGGCATTTTTATCTGTCAGAGATGCTGCTGCTCCTTTCCGTATTAGAGATTCAGTAATTCTAGATCGTCTCTCTCATTCTCTGTCGTCGTCTTCGACTACCACAAAAATATTCCTCGTTTTTGTGTGGGTTTTGCTCGGCGAGCAATACAAGCAGGCGCAATTTTATTTCAACACATTTTTCCCTCCAATATATATATATTCTCATTACACACACGCGCGCCTCTCTGCAGTCAGAACTTGCCAGGGCACTTTTTGAGAAATATCTTTTCCATCAAGGGTGTAACTGGCTATTGAATTTCGCACGTCATGATACATCAGGCACACTCACCAAGGGGTAACTCAATACGTGGCACGCAAACGAAAACTTCAACGCATATTTTCAGCATAATCTCGAATGACACACTATGTAAGCAATGAATCAGCCTAGTGGACGGAAAATTATTATTACCAGCAGAGTGGGTAGCTTTTTTGCAACAGACACGACATGCCTGCATGCAGCAGGCGCGCGGGTTAAACTCCCCTGCTGAAAATTTTTAGTTCCCGAGTAACCGAAATCCCAGTTCCTATTTTGCAGTTCCTAGGAAGTGGGGAACTGGTGGTAACTGGCCCAGTTACCAGGAACTGGGTCGGTTGCCAGGAACTGGACCCAGTTACTCGCTGGTAACTGGTCCTAGTTACCAGCATTCCAAGGAGGATAAAAAACAGAAAATACATTTTTCCAATCTGTTTTATTTTGTTACAAATAAGTGACGCGAAACATTATTAATTTTTATACCGCGGGTATTATAAAAATTGAAATTTTTTAATGAATAATCAGTTCTCTTTACTTACGTGAAATCGTTGTCATCGATACTTCGCTAATCACACAAAGACACAAAGCGCTTGATTCTTCCTTAAATTTCAATTAAAATTTCACAAATCACTTTTTAAATATTTCGTTAAATTTTCTTTGAACGAGGGGATGAGATAAAATCGTCGCGCCGTCCGCCGCGTCGCCCGGCCGTCCAGCTAGTCGGCTTGGCTGACTGGCCACATGGAACTCGAATAGGGTTGTATTGAGCGGCAGATAAAAAGTACCTGAAAAAAAGAGGAGAAACAAATTAACCACCAAGTATAACGTGTCCTTGTATTATATTAAACTTCCCTGATAGTTTAGAGTGCTTTTTAGCTGTCCAGCGACGATTTTTCCTGTTCAAATTTGTAAAAAACAACCACCTCATGGAAGGGTTGTATGAGCTCGAAAAACACAAACATGGCCCGGAAGCTGTCAGAGCGCATGCTCTCAGGGTTTCTCACAGGTACTCGCGCTCAGCACACCAAGCGACACATCCCCCAACCACCAACTTAGGACTTAGAAATTTTCTCTGATCAAGTCAGACTGGGCTCGTCGTTTCTTAATTTTGTAGAACCTTAGCTTTGGGTGTTTAATATAAAGATTTAAAAAAATATATCTAGCATAAAATGATTTTTTTGTTGGAATTTGGAATAGTTTTTTTATAATCATTATAAAAAAATTTCTGATTAAATTAAACCAAAATTAAACTCAATAATTTGGGAAAGCACCACGCGCGGCCAATCAATTTTTAAATTAAATATTTACATGCCTAATCTGGAAATGAAAAAGCAAATATTAAAAATGTATTTAAAGAAATATGTTTTTAACTGGTTCTTATTAGTAAAAAAACATTTAAAATCTTTTAAATGATTTATGGTGTCCTTTTTAACCAAATAAAAGAATTCAATAACGACACAATAACCCACAGAAACCAAGAGCCAGTGTCTCATTCCAGTGTCCAGCACGGCTGGGAACCGTTTTCCAGTGTCTCCCGCTTACTAAACCAGTTCCTCACTTCCTGCCCAGTTCTTTCTGCTTACCGCCACTTACTTTCAGTTACCGCCAGTTACTAGGAACTGTTTTGGTTACTCAGGAACTAAAAATTTCCAGCAGGGTCCTTAATATAAAAACCAATCAACGTGTCAAAGGGAGCAACAAATATTTTATTCCGACGAAAATCAAAATTTTTTGGATAAATTGGGCAAAAAGCAGGGTTCGGAGGCGCCTGCTAATAAATTTTTAATTTGGAAAACGCTGGTTTATGCTCAACCACCGTGAATTGGTATTACACAACCACAAGAATGAGCTTACAAACACACACCACTACTTTGTATCGCCATATTGCGCGCGTGCAAACCCACAGCAGCAGGAATCCATTAATTTTGCCAAAAATTTTCTGACTAAATAACTTTCGCACTCTCCATTTCGCGGTGGAATGTGAATTACGGAGATTTTTACACAATTTCTATAATCAGAATAATTTTGCTTGTTTGCAGGAAAGAGCTTCTCGTTAACGATCTCAATCAACACTTCGCCACCGCAGATCGCGACATACAGCAAAGCCATCAAAGTCACCGTCGACGGACCCCGCGAACCGCGCAGTAAGACTCGTAAGCATCCTATTTGGGTGATTAGTCTATCTAACAAAAGTGCATGTACGGGACTGCCAACCGTTTTACATAATTTTAGTTGCATGTTATTGCATGATCTAACTCATCTATGTTTCTAACTCTTCCTTTTTCTTCAGCTTCAAATTAAAAAAAAAAATAATAATAATAAATATTTTTTGAAGCAAAGATAAAATTAAATTTGAGAGTTTACATAATGCAAGAAATAATTATGAATAATAATTTTAAAAAATTAGCAAACCAATATTAAACGGACGTATCTAAAATCAATATAAATATGAAAGCTTTTATTATAGTTGTAAAATAATTCAAAACAAGACATTTTTATGAAAAAATTGCATATTTATTTTTTATTATTATTCAGTCTTTTTGTGGTCCTGTAAACTGTATTTGAAAAATAATCGATGGCAATTTGTTATAATATACCAATTCAAACAAAAGAAATGCGAATTACTTCATCAAACACAGATGTCACGTACGTATCTAACTTCGAAATACAATATCTTTTTTTGTCCGGACCTTTCAAAAGTACGTGAGTTTCGATTGCTCACCTTGTGAGCATTTCAAAAAATTTCACGGTCGGTGACTATGGCGGCAGCTCCTCCGTTCCTAAAATCTCTGCTTGATCACATTTCAGTGGTTCTTGCCATATAAAGAATAGGACTGTGCCGTTTATAAAAAGTAGTTTCCGAAACAGACGAGAAGTTCATTGTCACGCCGAATCACTCACGCATGCAAAATTGTATGATGATCAATTTCCCATCCGTCCCCGCGCGCCAATCTCGTCGTCGCCGTTGATTTGCTTCGTGGTTTTTCTCGGGTATTATGCGCTACTTTGACGATGCCTGCGAGATTAATTTGGCCCTGCCATACACTAGAAGCAAATTAAAACCGTGCATGTGTGCGCTGCAAACTGCTTTTATGAAATTCCATCTGATTAAGCTGCCTGAATACACAGTTAATGCAATATTATTACTTCGCGATTATTACTTGATGCTTCCTTAGCATTGCAAATTAAGCAAATCGAGTTTAGATGAAGCACGTGGTTTTAGTTGATGTGATGGTTAAAAACTTTTTGTCGTCAAACAAATCTCATTCAAAGCTAAAAAGATATTCTATATTGAATTTTTACCGGTCAAAATATTTAATCATCAGTGAACATAAAAACTGCAAAAGCTTTTCTAGCTATCCTTTTGCCAACAGTTTTGTGAGTTTTTTTTTCTTCAAAATTTTGTAAATTTAATTCTAAATTCAAGAGGATATCTCTCGGAATGCATCCGTCCCTTATTCCGTTGCATCAGAAATAATTAGACTCGATTAGAATGATAAAGTGATGTGCACCCTCCTCTCATTAATTTAATCTCTTCTCGCGCGCGTACAAAAGCAGTGCCAGCAGCTCCGATATTATGATCAACAATGGAATGCGCATTTTAATTTGTGGAACATCAATAGAGAACAAGACAGCACATCATTAATGAGCCACACGCATGTTTGAATAAAATGCTGTCTCATCCTCATCAAATAACTATTAGTGATGCGCACTTTCCAATTAATTATCTTTAATAAATTTCAATCATTATAAGAAATTATGCAAAATTAGAATTTTTTACCTTAAACTCAGAGAACTTCTTAGAACATCAACATAACTTGTATACTTAAATAATTTTGCTTTCCACGTGAGACATTTTTGGATGCTTAAGGCAGATTAAAACTAAGTTTTTTTTTACTAAATTCGCCCCTTGATATCATTATCGTGCCAGATTTATAAACCAAACAAATTAATGTAGAAGGTTGAATCTATTTTTAGATTTCCTGCGACGCTCTATTTATCAAAATTTGAGGTCACGCAATTTTCATATCATCTCGTTGACACTTCCGTGCGTCAGTGCATGAGACTGCCGTACTTTCTAATACTGAAGTGTAGCGCTAAAAGCAGAAATTAAAATAATGATTTTAGGGTGAAAATACCGTTTGTTTGGCTCTTGAATTGCGCAATTCTGGTTGCATTCTGATGCGATGGAAGTACAGCAGAGGTGGCACAAGTAATAACCCGGCGTGCAGCAGCGTGCAATTATTGCATGTTCTGTGTGTGTGTGCAGCTCTGTAATTGCCGCAGCAGATGACATCCAGCACATACACACACGGGCAGATTATAATAAGTAAACACATACATGGGAATAAATAATAAATTATTGAGAGCACCCGCTATCATGTCCAAGTACACCTGGCTCTGATTAATTGCGCATTACAAACCGACCACGCATTGATTTGTACTAATTGTATATCAAACCAGAATAGGTTTTCTTCGTAGTGCCTCTATTTCTTTTTTCTTTTTTTTATAATAATTTTCTGCAAAGAGAAGGCAAGATCAGTTGCCGGCTGAAACCCTCAGGGGCACACTTCGGAAGCCTGCTGCTGATAAAACACACGCGCACACCAAATGAATCGGCAAACATATGTATATATACCTTTTTTTCCATTACAGTGGAACACCTGTTTTACAACCGAATCCACTTGAGGCTAAAAATTCGCTTTGTGATATTTTTTAATTCAATGGATTTAGTTGTTGTTTAAAAGCAGGAAAATTCGTCTCAATATTTGTTATCAGCATTTAAATATTCGCACAAAATTAAAGAGCCGCAAATCGCTTCACCCACAATCTCTTCCGCCCAGAGCTCCAATTTTTAAACTGGATTGACTGGTATCATGGAAAGCCACTTTTGCAAAATCGTGAGAGAATTGTTGATAAAGACATGAGGAGAATGCCTATATAATATTTCCTGTCCCGCGATAATTCACAATGCGCCTATTGAAAGCAAAGACCGCCCCCGTTTATCGCCTATTTTCCTTTGGGAACGTCGCCTTCACAAATTAGCCTTTCTAATGATAAGCGAGAACGGCAGGAATTTCACACGAGATTGCCTATCAAGCATATCCAGCACATTTGATTTTAGATGTTCTTTCCTTGGATTGATAAAAACTAAAAATAAAAATTGAGTTTCTATATGATATTGAGTATATATTTTTACAGTAAAATTTAATTTTTTCCACTTTTCCTTCACATTTTACGATTTTGTTTGAACTTGCACTTCTTTTATCGCGTGTGCTGCAAGGCTCCGGACGTGAAACGCGAGGCGCGATCTTGAAGGTGATTAACGCAAAGTGTCTCCTTTTTCTGCCTTCGGACATCAATGCGTTGCATCACCACGCAACCAGGGATATCGTAAATAAATGTATATAGAATACAATATGTAAAATATGCATAAGACTTCCTTATTTCAATCAGCCTCCAAGATTATACTGGAAATTTCCATCCATGTTTGATTTTGTGCTCAAGTATTGTCATGATAAATGTTTTATTATTACTTTTAAATACTTGCTTAGGCAACCTGCGCGACGTCTGTGTAATCAGGCCATTAATTACATGATTTATAATATCTTCAACTCTTTAGAATTTTTATATTTCCATAAAGATATTTGAAAAATTGGAAAAAAATTAGTGATAGTAAATAAATAATTCTATAACGGTTTAAAAATAAACATGATTATTTTTTTTTTTAAATAATATTGTTAATTAAAATATTTTTAAGCTGAAGGACTTCTGAAATTGTTCTAATTTTCCTCTTTGCTTTATGTTTGCACGCTGCGAGGCTTGATTTTTGAATTTTATACAAAAAAGCTTGGGCAAATTGAAAAATTATACAAGCGCCTGCTGTTGATTTTAGGTCAGCAACAGCAATTCCGAGCGATCGCGTTAGGGCAGCGTCCTTACTTAGATTCACACCCGTTCGGCAACCACCACCTGCGGGACATTGAGAATTACCGTCGAAAGTCGGCCGACACCTCTTCCTCGTCGTCCTCCCTCGGAAACGCGAACGCGTCGTCGGTTACTCCGCTGGCCACTTTCAAGACGCCGCACACGCCACCTTCGACAGGTGAGTAGCTCTTGAGAGCGCAATAATTATCGCAATGCATTTTTCACAACAATTATGCCGCGAGGTGCATAACCTCTTTTTTTCACTCCGGAGAAAAACGAATTCGAGTATTTGTGCTTTATTCCTCTTACTCGCCTGTTCGCCGCCGCGTGAGTTTGTTGTATTTTACTGTAAAACTCTGGGCCGTCTTTCTGCATCGCTGGAGCATGACTCTGTCGATTCGATTGCCTTGAATTTTGTTAGAAATTGAATTGTCAATATCCCAAAACAATTATGCTCCTTTGCACATCTTCCTTAACAAATGATGTAGAATTTTCATTATCATCTCGCGTGGCTCCATCGCGCTTAAAGATACTTAGGCGTATCTCTCCAACACGTCTCTATTAGGAGTTAAAGGCAGGTTCAAAATAAAATTTCCCATTTAAATTTTTTTAAATTTTAGGCCTATAACAATAATTTATACAAATTAGACATATATGGATTTGGAATTGACTCATGAGTTAAAAAAAGTCATCTGATATATGAATCTTCTTTTGAATTTGCCATTTCGGAGAGCCTTAAACAATTAAAAAAATAATTTAAATCTTGCTTGTGCTTTGAAAAAGCTATTGTTCATAGGTTATAAATTTTATTAAAGTATTGTATTTTACAACTTTTTATATAAAATTTAATAAATTGCTTATAAGTATTTAGTTGACACTATAAATAATAATGGTAATAATGTAAGACAACTTATTTTTAAATTAAACTTTATTTATTTATTTATTGAAGCTAATTTTATTTTTATTTTTTTGTTTAAATCATTTGTATTTAATTTTTAAAATAAAAATACATAGCTTTGAAACTGAGTTTATAAACTCTTCTTTTAAAGTTCATCATTAATATTATATTAATGTATTATTATGAAAGAATAATTATAACTTATTGCATTTGAGATAGAGATTAAACCAAATTTTTGGCATCAACTTACAATTAAACAATGGCAAGGCAATTATTTATCAATTTCTCATCTGAAAAGCTCTCAAAATATCAGTGAAAAATTTTAAAACATGCATTCTGCTTATCCATTTTGTGCAATAAAACAAAACCAAGCATAATTATGCACCCCAATATTCGCGAATGTGAAAATAGGAATAAAGAAATAATACACTAGAATAACAAACATTGAGAAATAAATTGTGAGCTAGAGACGGACGGTTGCTTGGCAGCTTTAGCGCTGCAAGGCGCCACTAAGTTCGCGAGCTCCCTGCACTTGACATCTACATTATTAATATATTAAAACATTCAGCGAATTATTAATCGCTTCGCATGCCGCGCTGCATGATACCTTTTGCTATACGCCTGGCCGACGTGTCAATGCAACGTCTCCGACACAATATTACACATACACGTAAAGGAAAACTTTGTAGGAGACCATTAAGTCGGCTTAATTAACATGTCGACACCATGTTTGGGTATGATGAATGTTATCAATTCATTATCGCGGACCGTGCAGATGACGGCGGCTGAGCAATTGTTGCCTCGTGACAATGAATATGATAAGCAACAAATCATACAGCACACGAGCCGCCGCCTGCTTGGCACTATTAAGCACGTCTACACACCCTCTCTGTAAGAACCCTAATTTATTAGTCGCCTCTCTCGTGGATGAGAGGAAGAAAGAAACACACCTGTGCGCCTGCTTATAACTTCTTCAAGTTAAATTGGTAATATTAACAATCAAAAGTGAAGTTGAGCTTTTTAAATTGAGATAAAGGAATAATTATCGTGCCATGCATGAGATGTCTTATCCGATGAGTTCTTGTAATTTATTTCTTATAAATAATGTCCTTATTCATTCAAAAATTATATACGGCCTGGCCTGAAAACGGTATAATTAATTAAAAAAATAAATGGCCTTTAAATGTAAGCTTGTAGCATAATTATTTAAAAAAATCCAACTATGCTAATTGAAACTTTATTTCGAATAAATATCAATATTTCAAGCAATAAATTGCCAACATGATCAACTCACAATATGAAAGTTTACATTTTCAAAAATCTTTAACTACTTAGTCTCTGCTTCATATTAAAAAAATTATTTGTCTAAAATGTAACAAAAAAATAATTCGTTCTGATATTTTCCAAAAAATTAAATATTAAGTTTCTGTGTATTGAAAAATGGAGCGCAACATTTTTCAAACTCTTCTACTAGAATTTTCATAGTTTGCCTCTTGCACTATGGCCATCATTGACATAATTACACACTTAACACGTTAAACCCATTCCATTTTGTGCTGTCAATCAACTCGTTTGCTAATGTGGACGGTACGTGAATTGCAGTGCGCCATCGTTATTTGTCACCTTGATGGCCGGAGTCAAAGACCTCGCGAGCATTTCGTCGAGTTTTTCCTTCCTCTGAAATCCAATCAAAAAAGTATATATAATCCAATTCCTATCATGAGAAACAAAGCACCACTTCTCACGTAGCAGTGCTGCGTTTGCCGTCGGGTTTCATCATCGGCAACGACTTGAGAAAAAACGCGCCGGCTGCAATAATTTTATTTCTCAAAATTATTGTTTTGATCGTTCCATAGAAAATCCATTAATTTTTTATATTATTGAAATCAGTGTGCCGGTAAAAAAACACACTCGCGCGCAGTTAGAAGTGGCCCAGTGGATCTCGCCGCTCATCTATATGTTGTTTGGAATATAGAGACACACACTGTATATGCATGTGTATAATAATATCAGAAGCAGAAGCAATATAATAATTTAATGGTGACCACAAAAAGAAGGGGAGACTTTGTGTACCGGGAGGTGGGAGGTGATGGTCGAGTTGGAATCATCTTTTTCTCTCTGTCAGGTGTCCCAAAATTGTGCACACAGCGCGAACAAAAACGCTCTCACTCTATATAATCCGTTTAGATTATCTGTCAGAGGAGCAGATCTTCAAACCCAAAAGCAAAATGAGTTTTAATCAAAATTAATTCGCAAAGTTATTATTCTTTTTTTATGTAGTATTAAAAAATGTAATTTATTTTCCTTTTTTTATTTTTGAATTTTGTTAATTTATTTTTGTTTTTAATTTATATTTAAAGAAAAAAATTAGTTTATTCCTTTTCTTAAAAACATACATACAACTAGATAAAATAGACAAAATTACGTTTAATTAAATGCGAACTAATAGGTGCTGTTTTTCCAATACAGCCAATGGCACAATAAAGATTAAAAATAACTAATTATGATAAGCGCCGCGGAGAACAGACTGAGTTCACAGAAAAGTTTGAATTCTAGCGTTCAACAATCTCCGAATGGAAGTAGCGCTGTTTAAGTTTTTATATGGCTGTGTGTCGGTGCCTCTCCTAAATTATCACGATGCTGCCCAGCATCGTCACGTATCTCATGTCATTTTCTCTATAAAACAAAAACGATTAGCTGCTCCTCCTTCTTTTCTCCGCTCTATAATCCCGAGATTCTCCGTGTAATTTTTATACGCTTCTGTTATAAAACTCCATCAAGAAATTCAATCTCCTGTATGAAATGAGAACCGTGAAAACGATATTACATGGACCTAGCTATACGAAATTTTCGGCTCGGATTTTTTATTTGCTCCACATTATATTTTAAATATTTTTTTATTTGCTCCACACGGAGATTTATGGCAGGTTTGGGGATTAAAAAAAATACTCACCCGTTTTCCGATGAGGGAAACAGGAAAGGAGTTGTAGGAGTAGGAAATTCCGAAATATGAATGAATGTGTGTCGGCTTTGAAACTGAAAATGCGCGATAAAGGTCCACGGGGCGCGTTTGTTTCCTCATTGATTTGGAGCCAGACTGCTGAGAGATGCTACTTTTTGTGCAATTATCTGCCGCGTCTCGGATGCAGGGAGGCAATTTAGCTTTGTATCTCTCTGACGGATAATCGCCCGATATGCCGCTTTTGCCTCTTACCTGCTCCGATCTCCTCGTCGCGCCGTGATTTTCTACTTCTTTCGCTGCCGATTGTTATTTTTCTTATTTGAAGTAATAATGATTCTGTTACGCCTTGATAGCAACGCGCATCATGTCAGAATGTAAATTACACGGTGGAGCGTAACAACAACCAAAAGGAGCCTCCAATTTGGTCTGTCATTTCGAAAACAATACTGCACGCTCTCTCGGCTCTTTTTTACCTACCAAATAAGTCCTCCGGCGGCGGCAATCTAAATAATCACCCGATCGCTCGCTCCTTTTCTCTTGATTTTTGGACGATTCTCCTCAGTTTATGTGCGTAATAACACTGATCGGCATAGAGAGAACATAAATTTTCTTCTATTCCTCAAAAACGAAAAAAATTGCATCAAATAAATTTTTAAGAAGCAGGAAAGTGGAAATAATCTGATAACATCATTGTAAACGTTGTTCGCTTTGAAATTTAAAAATCACCGATGAAAGTGATTAAATATAGAGAATTATCAGCATTGTATAGCGGGAAAATTTACAAAATAATACATAATGAAAATTACTGTGCACTCAGCATTCATAATATTGAAATTTTTTTATTTCCATTTTTTCATTTTGAGTGGGCCAGTTCAAATCAAAGTTGTATTTGAAATGCAATATAAACCAGTCGCTTAAATAATAAAATATTTTAATAAATTCTTATGAGCTATTCGTGTGTGTGAGGTAAAAGATTACTTAGATTACTGAGTTGGCTCATTTAGGTTTAGAGTTGCCCAAAACCCCACTATTGCAAACTACCACAATTCATTAAAATTTTTGGAGGAACCGCAACGCACGACAGAAGTGTGAAAAATTGACCTTATCTGCGTGCAATCATCTCGGTTTTGTCGGTGGCACCGCTCATTCAATTCACCGCATGTAATCAGCCCCCAGTAAAACCAAGAGATTTTCATCAAGAATGGTTTACTGGGTGAATCCTGCGGTTAAATCGGTTACAAGTACTACGAACGCCCACTCATTGAATCGCTCGCTGGCTGGTTGCCTGTTGACTGATTATGATGGATCAACCAGCCAGCAGCAGAATAAAAAGCCGCAACAACCTTGTGAAGGTTGAGGCTGCAACAGCGAAAGAGGCACTTCCGGAGATGTGATGTAATTATATTATTGCTCTTGGGGTTGTCCCTTTTTCGTCCGCGCTTCTCAGAGCTGCCCACGCGAGGCCCGCAATCACGCCAAGCTTTATCAATGTGTGAGGCCAATTTACTCCACCACTCGTCTTTGAATCGGCCGGCGGCCGCCGCCGCGGCGGCACTCTTGTTTACAAAGAAGAAAAAGGAAACTGGCGGCTGGAATCGCTTTGAGGCACCCGCTCTCGCTCTTGGGTGATGATTGACCTGCAAAGTGCGAGCAGGCTACTTTTTACCTCAACAACCTCAACATGTGCGTTTAGCTTTTGAATTTTTTTTTGCAATATATTTATTTACCTCTTCAAAGGCCATTCTGGCAATTCAGCCTAAGGAATACCCAATTTTAATTTCTCCAAGTACTTATCCTATTATATTTTATATTTCTTCAACAAATCACTAGAATTTTATAAAATATGAGCTGATGTGAGTTAAAACAATTACAATTGGTAGAACGTTTAAAATGACTACAAAATAATAAATTTACTTATAATTACAACGATTTTTATTATATTTTTTTGATGTGGTTAAATTTCAGCACTCTATTATTCACAGATTTCTGTTCTATTTAATTAAGAGGGTAAGAGGAAATTTCTTATATAGAATTTTTGAAAAATTTCAGAGAGTGATTGAATTTTTATAGAAATTAATAAAATAGAGAAGATTATATATTTTCTTTACCATTAATGCGTTAAATATAATTCATGTAAAAATAAAATAAAAACGAAGTAAAACAGTAAAATGTGTTACATAAAAATTTTAAAACAAGATTATTTACTGAAAAAATAACTTTAATAAAATGTCAATTGATATAATTAAATTAATTATTAATAAATTAAGAATATCATGGAATAATGAATAGACCTTGGATTATAATTATAATTTATAATTGAGTATTACTGAACCGGTAAAACAATCCAATAACGTTTTAACTGCACCACAAAACAATACACACACGGGCAGCTGAGACTGGTTTGCTGATCAATTACACGCATGCACAGGAACCTTTTTGTGAAATGAAAACTCACAAAACCGATTAAGGGCACACACACGCGCTCGCTCGCCGCGTAGGTCGCGCAACGAAAAGTATTAAAAAGAGAGCAAGCAACAGAGACGAATTATGTCAATAATGGTGGTGCAGGTGCTGCGAGCGAAACAGAGTGCGAGCACGGAAAAGGAAGAGAAGCTGCTGCTGCTGCTGCTGTTTCACCGTCGAGCTCTTTTGTTACAAAAATTTATAAAATAATAACAGGAAAAGAGTTGAAAAAGGAAACACTTCCTATCGAGGTGATGCTTGAATAACTTTTTCTCCTCGCATGTTTGCGCAGTCAGCAGATCATATGGACTCAATAATTGCATCTGTCCTCTCCGTTAACTAGCCGGCGTGTTCTCATAATTTGAGAGGAAACAACGCCGCGCCGCTTTCGATCGCGGCCAATTATTTTGGGAAATGATTCTTCACATTTTGAGGAAAAGACCCCAGTGAAATCCCGTTTTGATACACACAAAACTTTTCCGGCTGCGCGTCATAAAATTCTGATAATGAAAAATTGGTGTGTAAATCCTCACTTTGCCATCAATCACTGCTCGAAACAACCCAAACTGGCCATGGCCTGATTTTAATTTAATGCCCATTATGTCGCACTTGTCTTGTACTATTAACGCCGCGTGTAATCAAAAACTGTTTCCTTTTCACGATCTCTCTCCATAACTTCTGTGAGTGATCATTCTGAGAATTTTTCATGTTTGGGGAATTCCCGATTATGAGCTTTGTTCTTATTATAACCTATAAATAATCATAATTCTATGCTCAGATTGTCCATTTTTTAAACTTGTTATTTTACCATAACAAGGAAAGTGATAATTTATATTTATAGTATTGATTAATGGTAGTAGCTTTATGATAATTATCGTTAAAATTTATATATTTATAGACTAATTTTGTGTGGAAAAAAATTAGTTTTGTATAGAGTTGAATCATGTAAAATAATACATAGATAATAATATAATTGTGTAAAAACACTATTTTTAAATTTAATTTTTATGGGCTAATGAAACTGTTCATAATATAAAATTTTTTGATAATTAATATTATTTTTTAATTTCGTTGCAGTTACTAAAACTAAGTTTTTAATAATAAGATCTTCAAATTTTTATTTTATTATAACATTTAATTTATGTTATATAAATTTACTTAAAATATTTTATGTGTTCTTAATTTTTTTTAAATAGTTGAAAGTAAGCCCGGTACATATGGTCAACTTCAAGCAGAAAATTTAATCGCGTGGGGCATGATCGTTTAATATTTTTAACTGCAGCTCCCAACAAGCGAAGGGCAATCTTCATTGTGCTCACTAAATAATACGCGACCGCGCCGGCACGCCACCCAGATGAATGAAAAACGTAAAAGCCGACAAAAGGCGCATCATCTGCAGCCCGCCGTCTCGTAATAACAACACAAAAGGAAGAAAGAAAGAGCTAGGTGTAATTATTTTGCGGGCCCTCGAGGGTAATCAGGTGGGAGGCCTCGCGATGCTAGTTAGTTCCATTTCAGGCTCTCCGAGGAGCGATTCTTCGAATCGGAGGCCAGCGAGCAGCTTTTCGCCCGAAGAAATTAGTCTCTCTAGTTAATCGCTGCGCGCGCGATTCCAAAAGTGCACTATAAACTTGTACTTTCTTTCTCTCCGTGTTTAGTAGAGTTAACAGCAACCTGCCGCCGGAATGGCGCTCTCGCGTCTCCAATTAAGCGGGCAAAAGTTCAGCGCGCGCGGTCCTCGGTAGCAGATGCACCTAACAGTAATCAAAGCCGCAAATTAATGATGGCACACTCGTGGAATCTGCTGATTTTCTCTTTTATTGTAGTTCAAAGGTCGTGCTCGCGAACGGGAGAAACTAAGCCAACAAAGAAGAGGCACACGTTAGTCTGAAAACCTCAAACGCCAATAATTCACATGAGTGCATAATCACGTATGAGTTGGATTTTTAATGATGGTTTATAGTTAATTTTTGGTACAAAAACAATTTAAAATGTGTATTAATTTTGGCTTAACATGTTAAGAAAAAAAATACAAACATTTTTTTCAATCAGAAAGCTTATTTTATTGTGTTTTATCTCAAAATACGACTATAAAGCCTGAATTGTTTTGATATACCTAGCGAGCGCTATTAAGTGCCGGAGGCAAAATAATGTTTTTGGATTTTGACCTTGAGCGTTATAATAGCTTTGAAAAAGTTTATGGACCTCTTTAGAATGGCTGAAAATTAAAGTCGCGATTTTGAAATAAATTAAATAAATTGCAACACGGTGCACGGTGCCCTTAATCTTCTGCCAGGGAGCACGTGGAAGCGACTTTAGAAAATCTAATTTAAAATCTCCCTTTCCCACGACTGCAGAGTGATACACACACAGGCATGAAAATATGATTCTCCGCTGCAAGAAGAATAAAAAAGCGGCGAGTGATGTTATTTATTTTCCTCACGTCACTCAACCTTATCGTATTCCATTTGTAATACTCGGCTCCAAGGCGTATTATATGCATACGGGCGCAATGAAGTACACAGGAGTAATGAATACGCCTGTTCCCATGCCTGTAATCTCGCGCTAGTTGATTTCCAACCGCTTTTTAATACGCTGCGAGTATTATATCGACACCGCGACTCCGTTTGTAACTTGATTAGTCGCCAATCAACAGAAATCAAATCCCAGTGAGCACATACCGGGTGACATTAAAAGAGAAGAAGTCCGGCAGCTTTTCCACGGTTGCTTGGGCACCATTTTAATTTCTTGCTCATGAATTAATTGATGGTATTTGATTTCATAAACTCCATGAATGGAGCGAGACGTCTCAATATTCTTTTTTATCAATGAAGTTCAATCGTTTAAGTTTAATTGGTCTATTTTGTTCTCGTTTCAGACCCACTTGCGACAAACGTAGCAAATGCTGATTTGGACATGCCGTCGAGTGAGAGTTCTTGGAATGGATTCTGTTCCAGCACCTACCCTTCATACCACTTGACCTCATCACCTTTGCAGTCTTCGGGTTATACGCCGTTTGCTACAGACATTTCCACGCTGGCCGAAAACAACCCTACTCCCATTTCACATCATCTCCCCTCAGGTATGATTAAAATATTTGAAAAAAAAAAATCAAAATATTTCTGAAATAGTAATTCTAATTATGGGTAAATACATTAAAGTTTAATATTGCGTTTTTTAATCCTTCACATATCTTTGAGATTTCTGCAAATAATAAAAACTTGGAATTATCAATAAATCAGATGATAATCTTCAGCATAAGAACTCCTCATTGTCTTTGTCATAAATTTAATTTTCTTAAAAAGAAAATTTATTTTGATGCGGTAATAAATTAATTAATATTTTAACTTACAAAATGTTTTATATCATGTATTTTTTTAAACAATACTGCAAAGTTTTAACAGAGTATTAGAATAGTAAATTTAAATTATATTCCAGGTTTGTCCGACCACACGGCAATGTCTGCCGAGTACTCGTACAGTGAATCGCGTCCGAAAACTGAAATGGAGGTGTTAGGGAGCAGCCGGCAGAATGCCGAAGCGTACTCGCCGCTGCTGATGCGCTACCCCACAGACCAAACAACCGCCCCGTCAGGGTATCTGCACACCGGGACGTCGCCCACGTCATCACCAACGCCCTTGTCCCTGATGTCATCGAACCCCTCCAACAGCTCCTACATCATCATGCACAACAACTACTCCACAAATTCGTCCTTTTACGGTAGCGCCTCGTGTCCAGGCGGCAGCTCCAGTCCAGCCGCCTCGTCCACCTACCTGCCACCCACCATTCTCTACCCCCATTTGTACAATCAAAACCACCAAATCCACTTGCACCTGCAGCACGACGCTGAGAACAAACCCGAAGTCCAGTACAGCACAACCACCGCACAGGACGAACTGGCAATCGTCACGAGCACCAGCAACGTCACAATTTCAGGGTCAAGAGCCATCGAGCAGGGTACGATGATTGCAGAGACGCAGCCCGTGACTGACGACTCGAGGTACTCCAACGATCGACACGCCGACCCTTCAGTCTGGAGACCATACTAGTTCGCAGATTTGTGCCAGACGTGTATTGTTATCGTGATCTCTTTCTGTTTTACTAACTTGAAAGTGGCATTAATTGTTTCCTAGAATGCATCAAGAAGCGCGGAGAGAAATATCAAAGGTGCGCTCAATTTTAATTTGTCAAGGACTTGGCGCCTTGCTTGTGTTGCGTAATTTTTAAGAAACTGTCAAAAATGGTCAAAGTTTGATATGTATATCATTTTCAGTTTGTTAGTTATGATTAAATGTTAAATATGCCAAAAACATTTCCATTGTTATAAATCGTTTTTGAATTGAAGGCACTGTAAAGTTTGGATTTTGTTTGTAATTATAAAAAATATTTAATTTAAGGGGACTGCTTCAATACAACCTCTTCATTTTATATTGAAATCTACCTTTTTGTAATGTGCAATTAATTAATTGTAACAAAAATAAATGGAAAATATTATGCTAAAAACTTGTTTTGAGTTGCAACACAATATAAATACTTTAAGGAAATCCTATATTATAAAAAATCGCGAAAAATAAATAAAATAATATAAATACTGCTTTATATAAAATTTATAAAAGTTTGCTAATTATGCAGACATCTAGAAGGAGCTCTCATGGTAGAAGTAAAAATATCAACCATGCGGAAGCTGATTGGTAGCGTCCAAATCCAAACTGGGTGACATTGTATACAGAAACAACCTCATAGTGAGATCAAGTTCTATTGAAACTGAATCTGTTGGGGCAGAATTTTCATCGCCCTCCACCTTCATGGCAAGAATTTGATTGATTGAAAAAAAAGAAGCAAGAAAAATAATATAGTGGAAAATGATACATTGGAGAGGAGTTGCGCTGTCATCGTGGGTGGCTGAAGGGAGCCCTCTCAGCCACAGGTAGGACGACATGACATTGAGTAGACACACTCGGTGTCACTTTCAACCTGCTACAAGTAAAAATATCTCCGTGCAAAGAAATCGCCTTGCTCAGGTTATCCTTCACAGTTAAATTTTGCCTCTATACTCATTTTGCAATCAATGAAGCAGGAAATTGTGACTCGCAACAGAAAAATAATTATTTATTTATTGTGCCTTTTTTTTATTCTTTATAACCTTACATTTTCTAGACATACACACACTCACAATATAATACATAATTGTTTGCTTTAGCATACAGCATAAATATCAATAAATATATATAATTTTAATTCAAGAAAGTTTGCATTAACCAACAAAAAAATCGTCAAAGCTATGGCTTTTAAAATGTAACTAAAAATCACTTCATTTTTCACAATTTAGTAAGTAATAGGCTTTCAATATTTATGGATATAGGCAGTATTTTCAAATACACGCTTAAACAATCAAAAATATATTTTCTTACATATTGTGATCGATTGTGATTATATCATACTGGACTTCCGTCACTATTTATATATTTAGTCTTTGTGCTCTTTTGAATACACAAAATATAAGCTTTTTTTGTTTTTTTATTACTATTGATGTTATATATAAGATATACAACTAATTTTTCCTAATGAGAGACGCAGTACAGCTTTAGACGCTTTGCTGCAGGCGCAGCAACCAAATTTTAACTTCAACCCAATTACACGCATTTGTTGAAAGCACTACAAGCCACATAAATACACAGCACTTTTAGAAGATCGATTAGCAAAGTTAGAAACTAGAGAAAATTTGCAGTTTCAAAAATAAAAGATCTCACAAAGATAATTTTTTTAAGAAAAGTAAAACTGTTTGGATTCCTAGACAATTTCTGATTTGAAGGCATTATTTGACTTACTAATTTAAGTAAGAGCACAAGACACTTAGAGAGTATATAATATATTATTTATATTTTTATTGATAATTTTAATCCCTTTGCATGATTAACCATTGAAGCGACTGTCAAGATCTCGTTTAATTTGTAAATTGTGACTTTTAAGATCTTATTAACTTAAAAATAAGTCAAAATGAGAACAAAAAATTTATGATCATAAAAATGAGAATATAACAAATCGAAATTATACTCACAAATAAAGGAGGAAGAATTCCAATTATGCATCAGGACTGAATCCATAGGCCATGGCCACCCGGTGGAAAAACTCAGCCAAAGCTTGCTTTAGATTTAAGTCGGTAGCATGGGCGGTTAATCGCCTTACTCCATTAAAAAGTACTGGCAGCAGTACTTTAAATTTGGAGTTGTCTAACTGTGCGACTAGATCAAAAACTGACCCCAGCATCTCTGCCCAAACTCGACGATGAGCTTCACTGTCCTGAAGAACGCAAGAATGATATAACAACAATTGAAACTTAAGTCATTTTTTTACTTTAAAAATGCTGCTCTTTCTTTGCATCTCTATTTCAGGAGAGATGGTTGGGTCTGGACTCAACGACTGCTGTGTGTTGAAGGGATTTTTCCTCCAGTTGGCCCCAGAAGATGATCCTGGCATTGCATGATTTTGCTTCCGCTTCTTATACTCTCCAAAAAGTTGTGCTATCTCATTTTCGGTGGCCACGGAATAGACTGACATCCTGTCCTCACGAGATGGTGAATTTTGCACCTCATCATCAGTGACGGTCTCGTTTTTAGGAGAGTTTGGAATGAGATCCTTTGTTTCTAGCGGACTAGACTTTTTAGGGCTTTCCTCCTTAGACTGTATTTCAGGAAAGTCGTCTGGCATCGCAATTAGGAAAAATATTGGCTAGCACGAGAAAAATCCAGTATTAGCAGTAAATAATTTAATTTTCTTAAAAACATTATTTACCTGATCAGTAATTTGGTCAACTACTGAATGCTGGCCATCTCTGTCAAGGACAATTTCAATGTAGATGTCACAGAGATTGTTGAAATTCTGCTGCAGCATGCACACAAATGAATAGGTGTTGATTTGAACACCAGTGTTAGAGGCCATCAAATCCTTGATTTTCAACTTTTGTCCCTGTTCTTCTAATAGGCACAGCGTGTGGATGCTCAGTTCAAATAGAGTGACCATCTTAAATTACATTTATTTTTAAAGATATCTTTGAGAAAAAAAAATTACTTTTATGGTCCATGCAGCTCCAGCTTGACGATACAGGTTGGCCGCACGCTGCAGCTGTGCCACTTTTTGCATCAAAAATTTTAGACCAGGCCGGCCATCAAAAGCAAGGGCCATGTTGTAGGACTGCTGTAGACAGGAAAGCAGAATCTGGATGTGCTCGGGAGCGAGCAAACTCAACATGCCAGACAAATGAGAGCCACCAAAGTCCTTTTTATCTTGTGTTGGCGTTGGTGCTGGTGAATGTAGCAAGACATTTGCCAAACTGAAATTTAATTCATTTTTAAATGTTACAAAATCATTACAAGCATGTTTTTTAATTCACCTCGGAACAACATGGGATGTCCCTTGCAGAAGCACGTTACCAATGGTTTGTAGTAATATTTGGTGGGCTAGCAAACCGACAACCATATTCCTGAATGGCACTCTAATGATGTACGAGTCGGGATTAAGGGTGAAATCCATATCATGGGGGTAGAGCAAAAAGATGAAGCTCCTCTCATCATCCCCGTCTAAAGGCATGGGAGCTGCAGAGAGATTCCGCTGACTTTCAAGAAGAAAGACTTGCTGTGCTAAGTCCAGCAGTCTCTGATTTTCAGCTGCAGTGCAGTCCCTCCGAGCTGCAACTTTCACTTGGGCCAGGTCACCATAGAAGCTTTGCGAGCCTACATTAAATGCCGCCACAAGTTGCTGAAGAGATGTGACAGATATCGCACAAGATCGGTGTAGCGCCAGACAAGCAATTTTCCATTGGGTTGGAGATAAAACTGGCCCAGCAGATAAAATCAGGTGCCTATAGATACAATTAATATAAAAATGCAATATCAAATTAAATAAATACCTCATACAAGCAGAGCCAAGTCTGGCAATGCTTTCTGTGGGTTGCACAATGCATTCAATCATCAGCAGCAATATTTGCTTCAACATAAGTGTGGCATGAGGTTCATATTCATGAAGATTGTTGTCTGCAAAATATATAATAAATATATTTATGTAAATTTTTTGATTAAATGAGTATACCATGAACATAGACAAGGTGGTCTACAACCAAGTCAGTAGCAAGACCACAGCACTGTTTGAAATTGGGAGCAAAATTGTCCCAACCTCTGAAAATTCTGCCTGTTTTGCGTAGCCAGTTTTGAACGGTTGGAAGGAGGATGTGATTTACACAATAAAATCCAAACTCTGGCCCTATTAAAAAGTTAAAAATATAAAGAAAATGTTACATAAAAACTATTGTTACCAGGGGTTTCCATCAACGACCTCAACATGCTGAATAGTGTGTCCAAGCAATGCGGCTGATACTTCCGAGAGCTGTAAGTGCAGCAACCAGCCAGTCCGTCAATCAGCAAATGCCACACATGGAGCACTCCGCTTCCACAGTCCATTGTTTCAAGAGATCTAGTGGGCAAATTCTCTGTCGGGTCCAGTAGCTTGTAAGATATTTCGGTGTCCTCCTTGTGGTCATCAAAGTATGTGACTTCGATGTTGGGTATGACCCCATCCACAAGCTGAAGTGTGCTGTTAAGCTGAATTCTGTTAAAGAAAAAAGAGGTTATAAAAAAATTAAATTTCCTTTGAAAATTAACAAACCTATGTGCAGCATGGAAAATTGGACACGCAGGCATTCTATACATTGAAGACAGAATTTCGAAGCAACGTTGCAAATATTTTAGAGCCGCAATGCAAAGTTCAACGCATGGGCAGTCATTCTCATACTTTTCCTGAGAGGCAACTGTTACCTCTTCATCATTAGTAACTGAAAATTTTATTTTAAATTAATAGATAATTGCACGAGTATTTAATTTTTACATGGTCCTCTGACGTATTTCAAGAGGCAAAGAATGCAATCAATCGCTGCATTTGAGAAGACCAGGGGATTATCCGTGTTAATAAAGACTTCAAAAACGTCAAGCAAAATGTTCATCTGACTGGACTGCTCCTCCTCTCCTTTTGGTACCAGCGATGAGGAAGATGTGTGAACTACTCGAAGAGCACCAAAAAGCGGACGCCAGCCAGACCGAATTTCTGTGTTGTTACATTCAACAAACTCACAGATTGATGAAACGATCTAAAAGCAAATTCATTATCAAATATTTTATAAGGTAATTTTCGGAAAACATACTTGATCTTGTACATCCGAGTCGCAAAGCTCCAAGCATAAGAGATTTTCAAATGGCTTGAACAAGGCTTCGTTGAAGTGGAAATGAGATAATTCAGACTGGTCACTCAGAAATGTTGTGACAATGTCATGAATGCTTGTTATGGCCCTTTTGGAAATGCTCCTTTCTTTGTGGCATGCTGCCTAAAATCATAAATTTTAGGCACCAAGAATTATTGCAAATTTATAATTTTACCTCCATATAATGAGGACCCACAATAGCCCAGGCTTTCATAATGTGGATCAGTGGACGGCCACTCCTGACGCACTTCAGCATCACCTGTGTTATTCGGTTCAGGAGCAGAGCATCACTGAATTTATTTGACTTAAGCCCAGACGTAATCAACTGCTGCCACCAATGTGCATTAGACTTGGAAGTTTCCTTTCCGGAAGACGCAGAAACAGCAGATTGAGAAAACAGCTGTAACTGGCTCTCTGAACAGAGTGCAGATAAAAACCCAATCAATGCCTTCAGGTTCAGTTGCATCGCAGCCTCGTCAAATATTCTACAATGTGTAATTTTTTTTATAATTTATGTACAAATTAAGCCATGATTATAGTGACCTGTCAACATGCTGTGACAATGTGCTGACAACTAAGCCAGTATATTTTTGATTCAAAACTCCATGCGAGTTCGCATCTGCTTTGCTCTCCTGAAGCAAATCTGGTATAGACGAATTGTTGGTAGCGACTCCAGAGCTCGACGTCAAAAATCCGTACACATCCTCACTTTATAAGGAAAAAATTTATAAATTTCAACTGTAAAAAATATTGCTCATTTACCATATTTGTTCATCATCCAAAACATCAAGGTCTAATTTGTCAACTGAGGTTGTTTCCACTTTGCTCGACTTTGAAAGGATGGCTGTGGTTTTCTTCTCCAACTTTTCATTTTGGCTGAAAATGTAGTACTCCAAAGTTGAAACGTAAGTGCAGCACCTATGGCAAAAATGAATGATTTTGAAAAAACCCTATTGTTCTTTCTCAAACCTGAAGACGTGCTGCCAGCAATCTGTGCTGTGACTGCCCACTTCCAATCCAGTAGTAAGCAGTACATGCATACTAAGCGCATGAGTTGTGTGCAATTTTTCAGTTCCCTTGTGGAGAAGCTTGAGGCGTCGTAGCCTGTGTTTATGAGCTTCTTGTTTTGAGTGACGATTTTCCTTACAACATGCAGAGGCCAAAAGTCCAAACACAGCCCCACTCCTACTTTGCAGGCCTTCAAGGAAATTTTATTTGTATCATAATAATGTTTAAATAAATCTTTTTTACCTAAAATATTACTGAGACGAGCAGCAATTTGCAGACCTTCATGGCTTGCAATGACGGCCTCTCTCACAAGTTTGTGCTTTGATCTGGCTCTGTCGGTGCCCAAAAGCAGCTGAAGACTTGTCACCCCTGATGTTTCTGAACAGCCCTCGCCTATTGTGTTTGTCAGAACTGTCAGCATGGAGTTCCAGCAGCAGGTCAGAATTCGTCTTGACAGTTTCATTCCTGCCTCGACTTCCAAAGTTGTTTCCGAAACGGAGGTTGTCCTTCGTAGTTTGCAAATGTCGGTAAGCATTTGACCTCCTTGATTGTTGTTGCTCAATCCGTCAACATCTGCATAATCTGATTAAAACAAAATAGAGGGAACTTTTAATTTATAGAAACCTGTCAGAAGGTTGATGAGGGCTACACTTCTAGTCGAAGTGCTGTTGTAGCCAGAGACCTCCAAGAGATTGCAATTTAAAATTAGCTGAAACAATTCCGCAAGCCATGCTGTAGAGAGATAAACCAGAACACCGCTGTTGTAGACATCCTCAACAAAGTAATGCTGTAATAACAGTAAAATAAATAAATCGTTGCCTCAAATTTTTATATGGCTAATTTACCTCGGTGACAGGCAAAGGAATGGAATTGTCACTGTAGTAGCCAATTTTAATCAGCTTCAGATTTAGTAAAAGTGCATTGTACGTAGCTAAGTAAATGCCATCAGCATTTGCTATCAAGATTCTGGAAAGGGTCTTCGTAGAGCTATCCTCTTCAGGACGTACTTGTTGTTGTGACAGCAGATCTGAATGTACAGGTATTTTAGATTAAAATAAAAAGTTACATTGTACACATACTTTGGCAGTACTTTGAAGAAAATTCTTGCAAAGAAGCATCAACTTCAATCGAGCTGCGCAATTTCACCAGCGAAGGAACAAAGGACTGGAGAACTCTGAAGAAGCAACGGGCGTTATTACGTTCCGTGTCAACGTATTCAGTGCCAGTAATTCTTTCCTCCTCTAAAAGTAAGGTCTTTGGAACCCTCTTTGCAGTTTCATTAATTTCATCTGTCTTCATATCATCTTGTTCAAAAGACCCCTAATGAAATAAGACCTTTTAATATTAAAGCAAACAAACCAATATAATAATTACATTTCCTCCACTTCCACGCTCAGAACCGTCTTCAGGGCCTTCTGTGTCCCCAGATGAAAGGCTGTTGCAGTCATCATTTGTGGCACCCCTTTCCTCGTCGGCTCCCCTTTCAATCCCACTACTATCACTTTCGTCACCGTGCACATAAACCCGAGGGGCAGCAGCTTCTTTTATCATTTTCTTTTCTCTTTCTATTCTCTCTTTGTAGTTTTTTGGCAGACGAGCCATGTCTTGATATGTCAAAGGTCCTTTGAAAAAAGTATTTAATGTAAGGTAAAAAAATGGCAATTTAAGATTTAAGAGATCATACCTTCATAATCACTTGCAGAAAGGGTCTTGTAAGTAGCATTAATTTTCTCAGCATACTTGTCTATTATTCCTTTCCCAGAGCACAACTCTTCCAGAGAGTTCAGCATCGCAACGATGCACGCAACACTCATTGCACGAATGCTTGAGTCTTGAACTTGACAACTTTCTTCCACAGAATCCATGACTCTGCAGAAGGAAAAATATTAAATAAAGGACAATAGAAATTAACAAAAATTTACAATCGCATGAGACTCATGTCACTTTGGGGAGATCCCTTATCATCTTGAATTAAAATTGGTCCAGCAAAATCGACAATTCGGCTAGGGCTTCTCAGTAGCTAGATAAAAACAATTAACAAAATTTGAACAATGACTAAATAAAAAGACCATACTTCCTTCAGCGCCTGTAGAGCATCCAGTCTGTGTTGAGGGGGAGGGTAGAGGAGCATCCTGTGGAAAACTGACTCTAGCACTGGCCGTAACGAGCCAACGCAACCAACTATGCGGACTAACTGGGTGCCAATACTGCATTAAAGATAAGTAAGGTGAGCATATACATTTCAGAAGGAGCACAAGCCAACCTGTAAACAGTCTTCGCTTCATGACTATCAAAACTAAGAGCAGACGCCAAGCAGCCGGATCCTCTGCCCATTTCTCCTTCAGTCTTGTTACTCGACACAATGTTTTTATCGACTCGAGGGGATCCTAGGAATGCTATTAGTGATGGGCAAAATTTTTGCCAGAGGAATGTGGTGAAGTGCTTGTTAGCATGAGTTTGTTGCGGAAGACTAGATATCAAAGTGTGCAGACACTCCAGGAGGAACACGACACCACTGCATGAGCGTCCAGCAGGAGCACTAAAATTAATCAAATGAATGAAAATCATCATTAGCAAACAAAAACTACCTCTGGACTTCTTCCATTCTGCTGCAGATGAACTGGAGAATGGGTATGACTTCATTGAAACAGGAAACTCCAAGAGAGAGACCGCCCAAGCTTGACTGAGACTTGCTCAGCTCTTGACTTTCATCCTCTGTAAAATTATTTGTTGCGATGGTCAAGAAATTTATGCTTTTATATTATTAAATACCTAAGAAGTTACAGAAGGATCTTAAAGTTTGACTAGCTGCAGCTTGAGCTGCAGTGCGCACAGCTTGATTTCCAGACTCGTAAGCTTCACTACACAACGTCAGAACTTGGATAATGATGCGGCCGTTCATTGTCCAGTAGTTGGAACACGCCATGTTCAATAGAACCTTTGAAAAAGTTATTTTTTTGTGACCTTTAATCAGAGAAATATTTAGACAAACCTTCAGCATGTCGACCTGAGTGTCGTCGGACTGCGACAGGATGGAATTGATGCTGTGGAGCAATTGTGATGGGAGCCACAGAGAATCATCCTCCGGTTCATAATTGGAGTGGAACCGATCGTCCCGCAGGATCTTCTGCAACCCGCTTATTCCATAGGTGACGAATTTGCTTCGTTTTGTCTCGAAGGCCAGCAACAAAACTGCAAAGCACTTGGTACGCAGTTCGTATGGCTGATCTCTGAGCATTCCATGTTGTCTATCCAAAATTTCTATAAAATGAAAATAAATTTTTAGATCTGTCAAGCAAGTACGGCAAGACTTAAACTGCAGACAGCAAAAATATTTAAATATTTGTGCTGTGCAATACAAGAAAAGAAAATGCATTAAAATTGAAGCTTTGATCTTACCAACTGCTTCAAGAGTAGCAGCTTTCAGCGCAGGCAGCTTGCAGTAATCTGCTTCCTTTGCAATGTTCGCTAAAAGCTCCTCCATGGTTTACTCCAATGCTTTGTTGTTATTTCAATGTATTGAGCTCAAGCTCTTTAATCCTTTGCCTGAGAAGAAAAAAAGACTTATGAGAACCAATGGAATGCCAACAGAAATCTTTTTTGAGAATAATTAAACGGTACACCAGATGAGCAAAAACTAGAATAAGAGGGATTGCTCTATTGTTTTTGTGGAAACTTTTTAACGTGATTTCAAAGACGCAGTTTCTACTTCTGCAATTTTGTGTGTGTAAAAAATAAATAATATTTAAGTGCAAATAACTCAAAACTCAAAAGTTATAATACATACCTGCCTAGTTTCACATTTCTAATTAGCAGCAAGTGTTTATCCAAGCATCTATCTGCTAAATAATTCGATACTAAATTGCGTGGGTGGATTAAGTGTAAACGTCATATCAGCTGCGCCGTACAGGGGTTGCTTTTGCTCAGGCGCGTGCCATAGGGGTGGCTCCAATCAAAACAGCAATGTAGATGGGAGGAAACACACTAAGTTTAAATTCATAAATTAACACAACATATAACTAACAATAATCCTGTCATTCACCTCTTCTTATTTGACCCGCATCAGAAGTTTTTTATTGAGGCTATGTATTATGATAATTTTGTACATAATTATTCTGCCTGCCTAGAGCCGCAATAATTATTTTATGTGTGGATTTGGCTTATAAACTCCGGCTAATGCGAATTTACATTATTTTGTAGACAGGTAGGATAAATCTGATGTTATAGTGCGATTTCCTGTCAAATAGGGCCAACGGATCGCCGGACTAAAATGTAAATTTAATTTTTTCGAGCGTCAAAAACAATCAATAAAAAAAAAGACCGCAGCCGGTCTGTTTGACAACACACCGCGAAAACACACCTTGAAAGTCATTGGTGCCAACGTGCTACAAATAATTGGATTCGGTGAAACTAGATAAAATTACTATAATAACATATAAACAATAAAATAGCAATATCAATGAAAAAATTTTAATCTTAAAACCTTATTTTGAGTAAAAGATGTTCTAAAAAATTAGAATAACCTGTATTACTTACGAATAATACGAATCAGAATTTTTATGTTGGCAACTTTGAAAATCTAAGAAAACAGAAAACACATGTTGGTTCTTGGTTGAGCAACGAGTCAGACGAGACGAGAGGCAAAATTGTCCAAATAATTGTTTTTCTGTCTCTGACTCTGCTAACTTTAGCATAAAATCATTTTTTTATTGTTTAATGTTGTCTAGCTAACAGTTTGAAAAGGTAAGTTTTTTAATTTTTTCTTTAATCGTCCAATTAATCATGAAATCAAATTATGACAATATAATTAAAATTAAACAATTTTTACTAAAAATTATTTAATATTATTATGGTTATAACTTATAAATAATTTCAAATCTAATTCATTTTATTTATAAGTAAATACATAAATATATAATAAAAAGTTTTAAAAACACGCAATCATTGAATTTGAGCTCAATTTTACCACATTTTAAAGTGTTTTTTGATTTGAACTATGTAATACACATTTTACGTAATACATAAATACTGATGTTGGAAATTTCTTCTTTCAATTTACTATTCATAATAAATTGTTTTGATGTTGTGCTTTCAGATAATAACAATGCCAATCCATTTTTGCCCGTGGTGTGGCAACATGCTGTCTTTGACGTCCACTGAAGATGCAAGTGGAACTCTTGCCTTTGTGTGCAACTGCTGTCCCTATTCATTTTTGATGGAGAATGAATGCGTCTGTCGATATATTTACACAAGAAGGAAAGAACTCGACGATGTGCTTGGAGGTGCTGACGCCTGGAAAAACGTCGACTCCACAGAGGCGCAGTGCCCTTCGTGCAACCACCACAGAGCTTACTTCATGCAACTTCAAACAAGATCTGCCGATGAACCTATGACAGTGTTTTACAAGTGCTGCAAGGACGGTTGTGGATATAGATGGAAGGAGTAACAATTAAATTTTTAATTATACGGAAGTGAAATGTTCGAATGAATAAATTGGCTGTTTAAAAATGAATAATCATTTCTAACTTGCAAATTTTCTACTGCAGCTCTGGCACGAAATCCAAAATATAGTTGTTAATTTTCTTTGAATGTAGCATTCAATTTTATTTGTTCTATTTTTTAATTTGGTAATTTAATTGCATTTGACTTAGCTTACTTCATTGCGCTTCATTCATTGCGTAAAAGGTTTCTTAGGTCAAAAAATTACGCACAGGCATATGTCTTAGAAAATATTTTTAAATATATATTAGCAAATTTTGTACATTTGGTCAAGAGATGAGGCAGTTTTTGTCCTCGCGTGGAGAATTTTTGTGTCTAGCCACTGCAAGGGCATCATTTGGGACGTAGGAGATTCTAACACCACCATAAGCTTTTCTAGGGGGCAGACTGTAGTCAGCTTCATCTTCCGAGCTGCTCGAACTGCTAGACGAGGAGCAAGAAGATGAGTACCGACGAGGGCGGCTTGCTCTGGACGGTCGAGGAGGGCGTTCTCGTTCTTCAGGTTCTTCTTTGACACTTTCGTCAAACCTCACACTTCTCCGGGCTGGACTGACTTCGTGGTGAACTTCGACTCTTGTTTCAACACTCAATTCAGGCGCTTGAGATAACCACCTGTCAAGGTCTTTTAACATTGGCTGCTGCGAAGTGCTCGGCCCTAATTTCAAGAAACGCTCCAAATTTCTCTCCAGGACCATCCTGTCCAAACCTGGTAAGAGACAAATATCTTTTGAATAAAATTTGTTTAATGAATATTTTATTAAACTGACCAGCTGGTGAAGGGGTCCATGGAGACAAGGCGGACTCGTCCGTCTGCAGAGCAACTTCGCATCTCTGCGGCAGGGCAGTTGCACCAAGAAGGTCCAACTGAGGCACATGGGGCGCTCGGGGCTGCAAAGCTCTTCTGCCCATTTTAGGTGATCTCATTTGAGATGGACTTGGGGGTGGCAGGGAGGGAGAGGGTGGCTGTAGCTGGGGACTTGGTGGTGGACTACTGTTGACTGGAGACCTGGGAGGTGAAGTTGTGGGTGGACTCGATGACGGCACAGGAGGCGGCGTTGATGGTTCAGTCTCTTCTTTGGGTCTAAAATTAGGAAAAAATATTAGAAAATTTACTTAAGGAATACTTGTTTGTCCACAAATAACTTCAAACGACTCTTTTAAAGACAGACTAATTTCCGACTTGGCACGTCACCAATATATACACAGACAGTGTAAATAAACCAATAAAATTTTATGCTCCCAGTTCGTAGAAAACACGGACAAGCTTTTGTGTTCATTACTTAATATCTACAACCAAACGTAGATCATAAATTTTTCCAAAATTTTCATCTAAAAACGCACCTATATTTTCTCAGGATTCCTTGTGGCGCGGCCGAAGAAAGTCTCTCAATCACTTCTGGCGGTAAACTTGGCGGCTCTTCAATAGCCGGCGGCGATTTTGGCTTCTTGAGACACGGCGGCAAGGGAGCTTTTCTGGTTGGCGACGGTGACATCGCCATTGAACACCCCACTGAGCAAAAAATTGAGCCTCTTCTGGGTAAGAAGGGCCGCCCGAGGAGCGACACGCGGCACGTCTGGCAGCAAAAGCAGAGCTCGGTGGCGTGCCAGTGCTGGCCCTGGTGGCTCATCTGGCCTTGGTCCACTCCGATCGCGTCGCCACAAGATTCGCAGAATTCGGCAAACAAGTTGTCGAAGCAGCGCAAACAAAAGGGTCGGCCGTCCCTCATGATGTAGCGCTCGCCGCCGAGCTGGGTGTCGCACTCAAAACAGGCAAAGTGCTTCATGTGCCAGGCGCGCCCCTCGGCTTCTGTGCACTCGTCTGCTAAGATGATCTGCAAACAATTTGACTGGCGCTTGACAAAGGCGGGCAATTAGCGTCGCAGGGTTATTACCTCATCACAAGCGGAGCAGCGCGGCTTTAGAGTCTCGGCGTGATGGCGACCGCAGTAAAGTTTGCCCTCGCGGTGGAAATATATCAGGTCCACGAGCAGCTCGTTGCACACGCAACAGGTGAAGCAGGCGGGATGCCACTGGACAGACGGACCAGCACGCGATGCCGTGACGCACATGTCACTGAGTCCGAGAGGCTCCGAGCACTGTTGAGAGAAAAAGGAATAATATTAAAAATAAAAGTACAGAAAGATTGTTTGTTAAAACTCGTCAAACGGCATTAGTTTTTTCGTCGCTGTGGGGCTCGGCGGGGCAGGGTTTTCTGTGGAAAGTTCAACTTTTGGTACTCCGCTTTTTACCTGAAGGTTTACAATAAAATGCTTTAACTCCGTATCTCCGTTTTGCTGATTGTTTGTGCTAAGTTCTTTGTTAGTCAAGCGTCAAGCCTTACTACCCACGCAATTTGATATGGTCTACATTAGTTGATTTGACTATAGTGTGTCAATTCTCTTATACACAAACTTCGATGCTAAGAAAATCTGAGATCTGAGCAATAAAATAATAAAAAAATTTAATTACACTAAAAATGCATTTTTTTCCATTTTGCCCTTCTATAAGTATGGTTTGTCGAGATCATCAAATTTCATCGATAATCTCAATAATTTGATAATACTTATTAAATGAGGAGAAAAACTCGCGAAAATTTTTTCAACGTCTTTCAAAAACTAAATCGTTTTTAATTTGCAAAACATCATGGCCGGATTTATATTTTTAAAAGAAAATAACCTTAAAAAATATTTACACATAAATTTCTAATTTTTTCTCTGATGGTTTGGCTTTTTGAATATATTACTGTATATCTCTCACAGACTAACCAAAAATTGAAAAAGTCAAATCTTCTTCTGTATGTCCAATGAAAAGGCATTTAATTTGATAACCTGTCTTACAGAAGAAACAAAATTGGTTATTAAGATAAATACCAAAATTTCCATTAAAAATTAGAGATAAAAGCAATTTGGTTGGCCGGTATCATACAAAATACGTAAAGAGCAATTAATATTCATGATGAAGCTATTTCGGAGGAGGAGTTTTTGAACGGGACAGGGGCCCTTTCATTTTTCTTGGATGCGACGCGCGCGGATAAATACCGAATCAATTACATGTAATATTTTAGGTGAGGCAACCTCGTCCATATTTCGCAGGCTTCACTGCTGATGCTTGGCATTTATTAGGAACGCCTCTTTCCATTTGCGAGCGACAGAGATAATTAGTCTTATAGAACAGCATGATGTGGATAAAAAGGGCCGCGGAGCGAAAGCATTGCGCGAGGTGTCATCTCTCTCTCATGGGAATTGCACACACCGGCTTAATAAAAATAAAGCCATTAAAACTAGCACACTTTCGTGTTCTGATTTACAAAGTAATGCACACATCAAGTACTCGGCAGAAATTAAAATGTATGTTCATATACGGTTTTAATCAATTTACGATCAATAAAAGGGCAAGGTGCATTTTAATGCTGTAAAATATAGACCACTGGCGCGAGAGTGAGATTCAAATACATAACTCATTCCAGATAATTACCGAGAATGTGTCCAAATCGACCACAAAAAGCAACGTGCAATTACTACCATGGAAGTTGAATGCTCCAGAACGTGAAAAGCAATTAAAAAAATTCTCGTGGGCTCATCGCGGCAGATTGAATCTTCAGTGGGTCCGCGCCGATAATCGGCCGTTCTTGTAGGTACATTTGGTCGGTGCCGCACAAGGCAATAAAATAATTATAACTTAGCAATAACCACACATGCATCAATCTTTGTTACAGTTACAGAGAGAGAGAGAGAGATGGAAAAGGAATTATTGAACGTGCGAGGGGGGCAAAAAACGCATTCGCAGTATAGATGAGTCTGCGTGCCCTCTCGCGAACCGCCGCGTGCATTGGAAGTGAAACAAATAAAATGTAAATTGAAAAGTGTGCAGTGCAAACGAGAGGAGGAGAAGGGTAAAGCAATAATCACCGGCACAAGACTAGCTGCATCCAAGGTAGCAACAATAAAATTATGGCTTTGCACCGAGAGAGTGTAATTTGGGTTCATTCCTCTGCCATAATATAATATTTTATGCTTATTTTCCTGTACCCAAAGAGTTCTTGGTTTCCGTTTCTTTTTTCAGTCAATATTTGAGCTGGCGAGGCCGAGAGCTTTGTTTGTCCACTCGACCCAAGAGGGACAGGATAAATATAGAGGAAAGAGGCAAAAAATGGAAAGCGGACAAAAAATATTGGTACGGCACTCTCTGTCGGACGGGCAGATTTGTCGCGACGACAAGCGTTCTAAAATTACTCGGCTCTCCACTCAACTATAGCGCGCGCGAGTCCATTATATTATTTTTACTCCCATTCCCATGTCCGAGCAGCGGCAAAAAGTGGCGACCAGATCAAGGAGAGAGGGAAGAGGGACGTGTGCGTGTCAGCCGGCCATAAAGGAATGCGATAATTACGCATTATTTTCACATTATACTCACGGATCCGCAGGAGCCGCCCGAAGCCGCTTGGCGCACACAGCCGCGACCCAACGCTTCCCGCTTACGCTGCGCCGAGAAAAGTCGCAGCTCGCGTTTTTCCTCCTCGGACAGGCCGTGGCAGTAGCGCACCTCCGAGTCGTGCGGCGGCAATTGCTGCAGCAGTTGCCGGACACGGTAACGTTCGCCCACCGAGTTGACGTAGGGCACTTTGTCCTCTGGTAGCGCCGAGAAGTAGAGGTGCACCTGAAAGAATGCGGAAAATCCAGATCTTAGTATTTGCTTTGGTGAACAATCAATAAGAAAAACTGAATTTTGGGTTCTTTGTGAATATGAAAACTTTTTTTGTGTGATTCTTTTTTAAATTTCAATAAGTATAATTGTTTCAGGTTCGTTTTTTATAATGAAGGATCATAATATCTCAATTTTACAATATTGTTTTCCTCCAAAGAGGGTGATTGAAACCTGATAGCTTGTAATCAACAGGGCCACATCTGCATCTTATGACATCATTACAACTACACACATCTTATTCACATCTCACGATATTGACAAAAAATATATCTATACTTTTTGCTTTTATGAAAGAAAAATTTAATAAAATTACATTTAGGACCATGAAACATGAACTAAATATTCAGATTTAGAACAAACACAACGATTTGCTGTTTCTAACACATATACACTTCAATAATAAGGAAAAAAATTCAATATGTTTAATCATTTAATTAATAAAACAGAAATTAAAATAAAACTTGATTAATAATAAAATGACTTAGCAAAATCTGCATATTTGTTGATACTTGTTTAAATTACAATTATTTTAATTTTGCAAACTCTCTTTAATAAAGCACTAATATTTATTTCAAACTTGTTTTCTAAATAATAATTCATTTTTTACACATTGTTAAAAACGAGGCTTCCTTCAGACCTCGGCATATTAGAGCAACACGTTTTTTAAACGTTCCATTCTTTTCTTGAAAGTGCTGTCTGTCAGGATGGACGCTTTAAAAAATTTTATAGCGCCTTCGCGTTCGCACAATAGTTACGGGCGATGTAATAAAGAGTTGTAACAGCCGATTCCGAGAACTCGCTTATTTATATTGGATGATCAAAGGTGTAACATTTTTGTCAGCATGTATTATATTATCCCATGATCACGCAACGTCAATTCGACCGCTTGAAAAATGAGTCGGCAAGCCCACATTTTACCATTTCACTGACCGCAGCACATTTGATAAATTTGCCACATTAAAATGTGTGGGCCCTGCACGCATTACAGTAAAAACTTCAAATTGACTTGTTAAAGTTTAATGGGAATAACTTCTATCTCGCGCCACTTGTGTGTTTATGCGTGTTTAAAGACCTTGCAATTTAATTGTTATGTAAAAAGAGATTTCCAGGCGCGCAAAGCTCCCAAACACAATATGGTAAAAATTTCAATTAACTTGCGTGGAGAAACTCATGTTTTATATATCAAGCGGTTCATGAAACAATATCCCACGCGATTAATCTAAAAAAGGCTAAGAGCACTATTACTCAAAACTGAGCAGTAGCGAGAGAAGCGTTTGTTCTTTGTGTTGCATTATAATCGTGGTCAAACCTATTAAGTTGTGGCCCACTCTAACGGAATGTGATATTTTGTTATTCGTTCCTTTTATTGAGGTTATACAGACATATATTGATTAATAATAATAGAGATATCACTTTTCACGTGAAAGGACAAACATACTCGTGTGAAGTGGCATAACGAAAATTTCAAAATTTTCTTTTTTCTCTCTCTCAACTATAGACTTAATTATTAATTCCAGGCAAATTGTTCGACTTCATATTCAAGTATAATGTGGAATCCATATTTTTTAAGGGACAAAAAAATTATATATTGCTTAGAGATTATAGTGAAAGCCGTTACACCACATAGTACATTTTCATAGATTGGCCGCCTTGATAAAATACGCATTATACATTTTAAATGAACTGTGACTAGTCTCGACGGGGAATCAATTTTTTTAACGTTGGATGAGAAAAGCTTTAAATAAAATAAGCAGAGAGAATGTATTAAAAATGGAGATTTTACACTTGATCATCTCAACGTAATGGTAAAAAAGCGCGAAACCGTTTTTTAATAAAAATAATATAAAAACTGACCGGAATCATTACGGATATTTTTTATTAGACTTCAAACCTCTTCCCTGTTAATTATCGGGAGTTAAAATTTCCGGCAATTTTAATTAAGACTAATGATAAAGCAGACAAGCTTATCAGATAAGCAAATATTTTGCTGCTTCTAACACATCTCTAACCTGCGCATTGTTTTTCAGAGTTCATTATTTGTGCATCTGCATTTTATGCAAACATTCACGACAGCAGATAGGAGAGGAATGTTCTTAAGTTTATATGAGTTAACATTAAAAATTTCTCATTTGAGTGGGAAAGTTGGCATTTAAAGGCCAAGGAGACGTTCATGGAGTGAAGAAAACTGGAATTTTCACTCCTAAGTTCTTGCTTGCCATTAATATTTAAATATCAAATTTTCTTATTTTATAAAAAAATTATCATTTTCGTCAACTAATTTTTCAACTTAAACGCACACGTGGCAAGTGGTATTGATTTTTATAGGTTGAAAATGCAAATTTACAGAGTAAATATTTGAAGCTAAATCAACTCTGAAACCAAATAGGATTATTTCAACTGTTGTTCTTGAGCTTCAGTGCGGTTTGAATAATTTTTAATTCGTAATTTTTTTCTTGTCCTCTGGGCTACACAAAATCTCTTTATGAATGCAAAGAATTAATGGCCAACTGTCTGGTGGAAATCGTGCTCTTTGTGTTTTGCGGCGGAGAGTAAAAGAGAGGGCCACATTCAGAAGATGAGTGACAAATGAAATTCAAGCAGGCATAAAGCGAACGCGCAGTGCACCTTTTAGATCTCCCCAGAGTCAGTTTGAGAAACGGTAACCCAAGACAAATAGGGTGGATTGCACAGGCCCTGAGCTGGCAGCATAGAATGAATAGAAAAGGCGGATATATATGGGGCAGCAGCCATATATAAAGTTATAAAGTGTGAACAATTGGTTGGTCACAGGTCGTGAATTCTTGGAATGTTTCGGGCTTTGTGTGCTGGCGAAATAAGAAAAAACTCATTCCCAAAGGTCACGTGTGTGGTTGAATGAAGGGAGAAACATAATCCAGTGTTGGCTGCCTGTTGGTCGAACTGAGTGAGCCTCTGATTTTTTACCTGCGCGCCCGCCGTATCTCTACCTCTGGCAGGCCACTTTCTCCCATGCCAGGTATAACAGCTTCGCCCCGGGGGACATTTATTTTATTATTTTAGGGCCGCGCGCGCAATCCACAATTTATACTAGGGGGCTCCTCAAGGAAGAGACGGACATACCTGGTCGGGACGCAGCCCCGGGGGCACCCAGGTGTACTCCTCGAGGGCGCAGCCGGAGTCGTCGTCGCTCTGCGAGTGGCGGTGCGGGTCGACTGCGACGGGTGGCGCCGCGCCGGGGTGCGGCGCCGTCGACGCCACGGGTGGTGACGGAGGCGGCGGCGGCGCCATCACCCCTCGCATCAAGGGCAGCGCGTGGTCTTCGCGAGGGCACTTGCAGTTGCGACAGGTTTTGCTGCAAATGAAAAACACAAACACGTTATTGCGGTTGAAACACGAGCAACTACACTATGTACACTCGGACAAAACTCGACGGCGAGCATAAGACATTTTGCATTTTAATTATTATTCGCCGGTAAAATATGCACCGGAGTGTGATTAATCGGATTTCAGTGTGTGGGAAATGGATCGGCACGGCCGAGCAAAGGCGAATGGCAACTTCCAGCAGATAAAAAAACGTATAATGACCAGAATCGCGTGCGACTGAGCGATTTTTACTGCACGTAATGATTCCTTACGATTTAAATGAAAATTTTATTTTTACTTTTAGTGTCTGGCAAGAAATTTGAAAGCGAAATTAACGAATATTAAAAACAAAACGAAAGATGTGCCAGAAAAAATAACAGGCAAAAATTCACTATCCAAATAATTTTTAGAAACAATTATTCTGTAAGTCAAATAAATAAATGAATTTCAGTGACTATAAGGTTGAATTCGTTCATCTCAAGACTCAAATAAGTAAAATACTTTTTCCCTAAAAAAAATGGCAAAAATAAAATAAATACCTAATAATAATCCTACAATTTCCAAAGAAATCAAGAAATATGAATTTTTCTTCTTTCTAAATCTTGCTGCAGCAAGATCATCCTAATCATAAGCAAACTGATAAAATTATCATGGTTTGAAAAGAGATTGAAATTTGAGAAAAAAATTCCAGAGAGGACAGAAGACGCTTAACACGCACAATAGTTAAAAATCTATTTCGTAAAACAGGTGAAAATACGCTATTAATTTTTTTTGAAAGCCCTGAAACTCAATCCAAATAAACCCCTGACAATTATAAAAATTATCCATGCATGGTATAATCAAAATTTTAGAAGTACTTTGGTGGCGGCAGTGCGTGGATGGGGCTCCTGAGCGGTCCCCTGATAGGCGGGCTTTTCAGTTCGTCGGGGGTTGAGAGCGTCCTGAGGGTAGTTCGGCGTCCGTACAACTGTCGATAGTACTTGCTCTGATCACCATACACCCAACACACTTTCCACCACTGTCGGCACATGAGGACATTGTTCTGTGTCGGGCCCAGGTGGGCCTCGTTTGATCCCCCGGTCATTGCGTCCGCTCTCGACGCGACTCGCGCTCGCACTGCGACCGAAGGGGGAGCCACCGCGGCTGATGCTTAATTGCTTCTCCTCCTCTTTCGTGTTTCGACTCCAATCATGAAATACATTTCTAACACACTAGCCAACGGGGAATATTTTTCTCTGCGTTCGCCACACTTCCTCTTGTAATCTTGGAAACCGATGCTAAAAGCATTGGCTTTTTATGTCAGGCGCCGTGAAAAAAATATGTAACACTCGTCAAGTGTGTAATCCGCATTCATAATATAATCGGATTCAACCTTTTTCCAAATCACCTTGGCGTTACCGAACAAATTTTTTAAGAAGTTCCCTTACGTCTTAATCAAGCCGCAAAATAAAATGTGTCGTCGAAACGAGCAAATAAATTTTAATTTGCCACCTTTAGCTGGTCATAATCTGAGTCTTTGAATCAGGTTAGCTCGGTTTAATGCGGCTGGTTTTATAGGAATGCTTAAAATTTTACATGCAAATGATGGGCAATTACAAGCTGGGGGACTCGCAAGCAGATCTTTGATTTATCTGACGGGATGGGCGGGCTTTAAAATGCAAATCACAGCCCGGGGCAATAACAAAAGTAAAAGACTTGATCGCCAGCGAGCCGTTTGCTCTCCTACTCGCTCGCCACTGGAAGGGTAGCTGTTAACTCGCTGATTTTCAGACCCAATTGAGCAATGAAAAAAAAAATCGGTCCCTTTAAAAAGAAAACAGGTATGGGTTTGTAACAAAAAAAAAGGGTTAGCGCGACTAACGCGGCGTCGCTTATTAATTTACGAGAGCATCAATTTGTGATTTCTCGTAAACGACCGTAGGTGTCTGCCGACGAGGAAAAGGAATTTTTCGTCCGACCTGCGGAGGCGCGAAAAGCTTTGACCGACCGTCGCACGGTGGCACCACTCGCCAGAGCCGAAACAGGTGCGCACCTGTTGTGCAGGTGAAAAGCAGGGGGAGCGAGAGAGCGAATTTAATTCCTGCGTTCTTCGCCATCTATCTCCTTTCGCCTTCATTTCAGTCGGAGGATGCCAGACTTGCTTTAAAAAAAAAGGAGAAAAAAACAAGGAGGGGGCGAAAGATAGGGTTATAAAATAAAACTGCTGCAGCTTTGAAATGTACAAGTGTAGCTTCTAAATTTAGACGTGAATGTGTAAACACTGACTGCATTAGCATTTCCTCGCTTTAGTTTTTTTTTTTTTTTTTTTGCTGCCGGTCGCAGGAAATGAAGGAGCACGCGTGTTTTGAAGAGCAGTCAGTCAGTCACACTCAAATAGTGCACCGCCCGACTGTTAATCATATAACAATATGAGTAGCTGTGGGAATGAGAAAATCGAATGGAATTAAAGTTTCTCACTTCCACACTTACCGTATACGACACGGAGTAATTTAAAAAGAGCCCAGGTGAAATATTTGCCGAGGAAACAACTTGAGAAACAACACCTCCGACTGACCGCGATTTTTAAACGCGCATTGTCTCAGCCGCTCTCAACTTCTTCTTTTTTATTCATCAAATGAAGCTTCTCGCCGACAATTGCTTTAAAATAATTGCCCTTTCTCAAGAAATATGAAAGCTGGAATCCAGTGCACAAGGTACACACACAGACTGCTAATTATACTGTCGCGCCGACGATGCTCATTTCATTTGATGTGTGGTCTTTCTACGGATAGAGCACAATTTTATCCAGCCTTGTCCTATTTTATCAACTTAAGCCGGAACAAAAATGCTTTACGATGAATGGAAGTTCCCACATTTTTTACTTCAAAAACTTGAGGTGCTAACAATAGTACATATAAATTTATCTCGCCACCTCAGAGCAAGTTGTAATTGTTATCAAATATATAAAGCACACGCCACTTTTACTGTAAACCCTTTGCTTTTACACAAATAATATTTTTATTTAAATTGGAGGTGCGGCAAAAAGTTTTGAAAAGTAGGCTTATTGCTTGACATATCCATAAAGCAAATTGTTACCAAGAATTAATGTTTTAGGCAATTGCTTAACAGATATGACCAACGGGAAGCCTACTTTACAGAAAAAAAAAAATGTTGCAGACGCGCGTTATATTTATTATCTTTCCTTGCTCTAATATAATTTATCTATGCAACAAGGCAAAAGAATATGCTTATTTCTTTTTCGTTTCCCAAGTAAAAGGATGAAAATGTAACGCAAAAAATTGGACGAAACCTTTCTTTTTTATTATAAAAGTGAATTATAAATTGGAAATCTCTCCTCAACATTTATCACTTCCCTGAACTTTTGAAAACCCGCTGTTTACCATAAACCAATAGTTATCTCAATTATATCTGTGCGGTTCGTGATTGGAATTTTTATAACTTGCGTGCGTGCTTGCTGCGATAATAAACGTTGTAGGTTGTAGAATTTAGCAACACGTTATTCAGTTTCTAATTCACAACAAGGCGTTATAAATATAATTTTGTAAATGCTAGAAATTAAATTATGCTTGAACTGAAGATAAGGAACTTATGGGAATTAAAAACAACAGAACCGCTTCTATCCGTGAAGAATATTTTTCATCATATAGCATTAATGAAGAAAGATGATTGTATATTTGATTCCGCTTTGTCATAATAAAAGCGATCCAACAGTTATTAATTAATTGTAATTGAAGATTGTGAATGGATTTTAATTGTATTTTGTGCAGTGATGCGTAACACAAAAGCAGCATGTCCTGATTTTTCCTTATGGCGCCCACACCCACAAGATAATTGAAGAGCAGTAAATTGTTTTTCTGAAACAATAAGCCTCACAAAAACCCAATCGCCAAAAAGCCGCTCTTCAATTCAGATTTCAGATCATCGAGATGATTGTTGTAAATTTATTTATTAAAAACTATTTTGGGTGATTTAATATGAGTTACCGTTTTAAAATAGAGAGAGCATAAATTAAGATTTATAAATCATAATTCAACAAGAATCTTTTCAGCAATTTAATGATTACATTTTTAATTCTTTGGAGCAGCAGATGGTAGAAAATATAAAATAATTTAAAAATTTGATGATTTCATTAAAAGCGATTTAATCTATAGCACACAACTAAAAACTATGCCATATTTGTATAAAACATATGAATTTTTTTTTAAATAGCACACTCAATTTTTCAGGCTTATTATTTGTTATCCCAATGAAATTTACCACGATGACTTGAATGCTTGCGGCAGATATAAATTCCTTCTCCCCTCGAAACTATTAACCGCAAAAGTTTTGTCTTACACCAAAGTATTAAGTGTTGCTCTGCATGCATATATGCAGTGATGCGCCGCCGCCGCTCGCTTGTGTGAACAACATTGAAATAGAGTATGTACATATTTTATATTAAATCTGATATCTGTGAAAACGTAATTTCTAGCATGAAAAACCACTGCTGAGAGAAACTCTCACTCGCGCAACTAAGTAAGTAAGTAAGTAAGAGCTGTCAACAGTGTTGAATGATCAGTACAATACATTCAAGGTGAATTATGGAGCAGCAGCAACGCGCGGCGGGCGCTGCCTGTCACGTCTTTTTTTAGCAGTTATTGATGCATAAACAGAGAGTTGTGTTTAGGAACAAAAACAGACGGCCGACCGGAGGCGAACCTACAAAAAAAAAATGGTCTAAACAAAGCCCGAGCTGCGTGGAAACGAGGAAGAAGAAGAAGAAGTGCTGAGTCGCGGCAGAACCGATTTTCTGGAGTTACAAACGCAATTATAAAGCTGAGGCTTATAATTCAGACGAACCCACCCCCAAGCCACACAAGACGAAAGAGAGGAGGGTCGGGTCTGTTCCTCGGAGATAATCTCGACTAGGTCCCGGCGTTAAATATTTTCACGCGCGCCACTGCATAATATGCGCTGGAAAGCGGCGGCGTCTCCGATGTTTATTCCAAGCACATCCTAGCGGTTCATCTTAACATAAACTCGCGGCAGCTACTCTACCAAATTCTCATGTCATCGTTTTTCTCCCTTAGTCACACAAAATATGAATTCTCTCTCTGCTCCACAATGAGTCACATAAAATATTGCACTCCACGATTTTATATGGTGTGTATTAATTCGGAGGGGATTTTGCGCATCTCTGCGGCGCCTCTCCGTCTGGGCGCCGCCGAGACAGCGGCGCGCGACGGGGGATGTCGGAATGCTAATGCACCCCCGAAAAAACGGTAGTTTTCAACGCTTGGTTTTTTTCCGAGAAAATGAGCGAGGTCGATGCACACAAAAAAGGCGTTTGCTCATTTTTGGAGAGCTGCTTTTAATCCGCTCCAACGGCGGAATTTTAATTTGACCCATCGCAGAGCGTGCGTTTGTTTGTTATTTTATTTTGTGGAAAATTGTAAAGATCTCGTGTGAACCGAAGAGGCTATTAATCCTCAAGGTTACGAGCGGCATGTAATTGCCGATGACCCCGCGTTGACCCCCTAACCCGATCACGACTCTACAATTATAAGCAAATATTTTGTTCGGGAGGTGACCGAAGCGGCAACGCCGCCCTCGCACCTGTCCAACAGGTTGATTTTTCCTTCAATTCGCTCACCGAAAATTGCGTCACTTGCCGCTCTTTGCCAACTAATTTCAGCCATTGCCTTTGCTCGACTGGCGACAGTTCAGATTTCAGACGGAGAAGAGAAATTCGATCGGAAACTCACCGCCAAAAGTGCTGGGCAAATCCTGGACATTGATCGCCGCAGTGCAGACATCGTCTGTTCGGCTCGTCTGCAACGACAAAAAAATTATGGTTATTTTTTTTTAACGAAAAGAAAATTTTCTTGGTCCACCGGATTTCGCTTTCCCACGGGACCAAAAATTATTAAGTCGATTGATGAGTCACGGCAACATGGACGATTGGAGAACATACTACATTGATCGGAGATCGGCGCCGTTGAGGTAATCAGGGCGTTTTTTTAAGGATGAATTGCAGCAAGTGACGCTGCGTGGAATAATTAGCAAACGCGCGTTTCGGCGCAACCCTTACCTGGAAAGTTAAATTCCATGGTGGTAAACCATAGGAGTCAAGCGAAGTGTCGCACTGCACGATTTGCGTCCATGCCCAAAGAGTAAAATTCCAGTTTGTTTAACTGCCACAGGTGCTTTCGGAGCAACTTCACGAGCGAGCAAGGCAAGATCTTCAGCAGCCAGCAGAGCGAGTGCCCCTTCTCTTCTCCGCCGACCACATTCCCACCTTCCAGACTCCCGCTCCGGCCACCTACCGGCAAACCGGTCGAACTAAACGAACCCTTTCTTTTTATCGGCAGCTTTTCATGAGAACTGTTTGAGCAGAGGAATTTCCGAGCTGTGGCAAAGACCAATAAAATGCACTTAATAACCATATGGGTCAATTTCGCATGCGATGTTTAGCCTGAGGGGCTTCACTGAACGAAATTGTAAGAGCTGCTGCAAGTGAAATTTTACTGAAAATTTTCCTTATACATATAATGATAGGATCCAAGAAAGATACATAATATAATAATATACATAATTAAAGGAAGTATTTTAAATACTTAATTTAATTAGAATTTACAAATTCTACAGTTCAGTGTCAACAAGAGGAAAAAATATTTTAAAATGACAAAATTTTTGCTAAGCACTGCGATTATTGATTTAGCATTTTTTTTGCGCAGTCTCAAACAATGTCAAAAGGATTAAATTTTTATATGTTTTTGTATTTGATATAGGAAAAAGCTAATGAAAGAATAGAAATCACATGAAGAAACATTTATTTTGATTTAAAGCATTACACCAGTTACGGTTTGAAATTAGGTAGTCCTAAGGGGGATAAAATTACAAAACTTCACAATAAAACGAGCACAGTGAGCTCCAAACGGCTGGAAAATACTTTTTTTGTTAAATAAAATTAGCACCACTTGTCAACATTCAGATATATTTATTTTGTTTGATTGGTAGCACATTCATTTGACAACAAAGAGGGAAAAGACAATAATAAGCTGCAGCTCAGTGTGAGTGGGAATGTGGACTAGAGAGAGTCTCTATTTCAGTATCACGTCAAAATCGCCCCTGGAATGTTTGTGCCGTTGTGAGGGGATCTACTCATGGTCTTCTCTCAAGGTCGAGGGGCTTCATCGAACATCGCTGATATCTGCCTTGGAGCCGAAGATGCGCACCAGCTGGCTCTCGTAATCCTCAATGCTCCTCTTCATGATCTGCATGCACGGTCCCAACAGTCGCTCGAACGCTTCAACATCTAAGAAAGCAAGCTTGACGCAGTCTACAGCCACAGCCGTGGCCGCCCTTGGCCGGTGGGTGACCAGGGCAAGTTCTCCGAAGTAGCCGCCCTTCTGGACGCGGTTCACTTCTGCCTCGTTTCCTCCTTCAGCTACTGTGATGCTCACTTCACCCGCCTCGACAAAAAACATGCCGTCGGCGGCGTCTCCCTGCCTGATGATGACCTCCCCAGGGCCAAAACTCCTCGGGACAAGGGCATCGGCCAAATTCATGCGTTCGTACATCTCCAAAGCCTTCAGCATTGGCACAGACTCAATCAAGCTCTCGTACATTTTGCGCTTCCTGAATGCAGACTTGAGCAGGATTCGGCGAAAGGTTTGCCTGTCCATGGCCCAGAGAGAGCCTTCCGAAGCTGCCTGGATTGTGGCCGCCCTCGGCATATTGTACATCAGGGCCAACTCACCAAATGAGCCGCTGCCTTCGTACTTGTACACTTCCTTTGGTTCTGCGTCTCCGTCTGATTTGACAAAGGTCAGGTAGGTGCCCGACTCGATGACGTAAAAGTTGTCGCCATCGTCTCCCTGCTTGATGACATATTCGTTTGGCTGAACTCGACGTTCAAACATGGCATCCAAGACGTCTTGCATTTGCTCCTGGAATTATATTATCGATCAGAGATAACTGTAAGACGCAAAAATGCGCTTATCAGGTAAGACGGCTTAAGAAATTCTTGTTCAGTGATGAAATATAAAAAAAATAACAATTATCTTGCATGAAGCCACATATGAGTCAAACTTGTAAAATCAATATTTAACTAGTTTTACTAAGGATAAATTAAATTAAAATGAGCAATCTGTGTACTCTTTAATTTAAATAAAAAAAATTTTATGAAATGAGGTTAAAGGTCTTTGCACTTTGTAATTTAGCTTACCGGGTCTAATGCTCTGAATAGAAGGATATTTTTAACACTATCGGCAAGACGTTGCCTCTGCTCGTCTGATTTTGGGTAAACAGCCTGAAATCAAATTGAAAATTGTTTGAATAAAATTGGCAAACTTGTCAATATTGTGTGTTCTCCGTACCCGCACCCCTTCCTCTTCATCGTCCTCCTCCGGGTTGTAGGTTTCGGCAAATACTGATTTACGTCTGGTGGAGAATCTGCCCACTGGAGGCTCCACTGCAGACATAATTTCAATTGGAAATTTTTTATCTTATCTATGTGGGGCGCGATTTACCTTCTTCATCCCCAGAGACCAGGGACTCTTCAGGTGACCCGTCGATCTTAATTTGAGTCCGCGAATCTCGCAGCTTGGTAAAGAAGTCGACGCCGAACTGGAGTAAGTCTGGTGGCTGTTCTAGTAGATAGTTGATTGTGAAGTCCAGAAGAACTTCCCTTAGTTGATTCGGGATCGAAAATTTGTCCATTGAGCCGCGATTCATCTTTACTGAATGCAGACCCCGGAATCCAAGATGGCCGGGCTGCTCTCTTACAACCTCTAAAGAGGAGCAAGTGCAACGTTCCGCGCCGTAAACTAGTTTCACGCGGCAATGAAAAATAATGTATTAAAGATATAAATAATTTATCTTCAGCATTCTAAAATTAGATTTTTGAAAACAGTTGTCACGCTAAATTAGCAAATATTTTAAGATTTTTCACAATTTAAAAACCTTTTGGCGGAGGGATTTTGTCAGTAGTGCCACCACAAATACACATTATTGACTATACCTATTGAAAAAGTCAGATTAATTTGAATTCATTTTTCTCCTTTAAAAGCGACCTCGGAATTCCTAAATAAAAGTCGTGACGCGAGCTCACAAAATAAATTCCATATTTTTTTTATTATTCATTCACAGCGTTAAATAATTGTTGGAATATGTAAAGCAGCCAACAAGAGCAAGCAACAAGTGTGTGCAATCAAATTAATTCTCAAGTCTATATTACTAAAAACATAAGGAATTTTTATGAGATCAGCTCAGACTCCTTATTGTAAACGTCCATAATTTTCTCCATGATGGACCACAGCTTGTCCTTCTCCAAATCTTTTGCAAACGGCTGCAAAAATTTAAATATTAGTTATTTTACAAGTTAAAAAAAAAGAGTTAATTATTACCGAGTACCACAAAATGCTTTCGCCCTCATCGACCAATGGCACTTGTGCTCCATAGCACTGCAAGGCAAGGCTGATACAAGCAATTGCAACATGCTGAGGCTTCAGTCCAATAATAGCCGGATTGTGGTGAAAATCTTGCAAAAAGGATGCAGATGCTTTGGAAATTGGCAGTTTTTTCCACTGTTCAGGGTCGAACCAGTCTTCTAAGGTTTTCAAATAGTGGAGCATGTACTGAAATATAATATTAAATAATTAACATTAGAAGTTAAAAGGAACAAAAATGAATTATCAGATTTTTCCAAAACCTTTTGTATTGATTATAATTATTGTGAATTTAAATATGAATAATTGATTTTACCTTGTGTGGGTGAAGCCATAGAATTGAGAATTTGAGCATCCTCATGATGAGCAGCTCGGCTTGAACCAGAGCGTCTCTCATTCTCCAGTAATCATCGTTCAACTCGATGGGCTGACTATCTCTATGAAGGGTGCGATTTGTGACGTTGATAACGTCTCGCACCTTTAGCGGCTCATCGTGGGCTTTGCCAGCCAAAAACAAACACGCCCCAGCAATAAGCTATGATAAATTAATATTAATAATGTAAATAATTTGTTTAATAAAATGCGAACTTACGAAGCAGTCGTATGATTCGTCCGAGGCTTCGGCAAAGAACCTGTGATAGGTAACTGCTGCAGTAGCCACAGTCAACGGCTTTGCGCCTAACTTAAGACCTGGATAATAAAAATTGGTAAGTTTTAAGTCAAGAATACCTAAATTTGTTTCCGAATTAAAACAAAAATTATTATAGCATTTTTACCGCATTCGAAGAGGAATCGCACAGCCAGATAGTGGCTTCTTTCGTTGCGTAAATAGTCGACATTGGCCACCCGCTGCTGCCTCTGCGCCTGCATGACATCGATCACATCCTTCATTATGGCAGCTACCCTTTATCGGGCCAAATTAACGCGAAAATCTTCAAACAAGATGCAGCTTTTGCTATAATTCGCTTACGGATTCAAAATGAAAACAAACTGTTAATTACAAATGCGGACGACAGGGGGCACAGTCGGCCAGATGGGCCAGCCTATGTGCCTCGGGTGGGGGGAGCTGATGATTGAGCGGGATTATAAATATAAAAGACACAATACTCGTAGCAACAAAAAGTAAAAAACGAAAAAAAAAATATATCTTCATATTAGTGGGGTTGGTTGCAAAAACAGATTTTTATTTTATTGATCGTCGTTTTTGAACATTGAATATTTTATTTATTCGTATGGTAGGAATTGGATACACCAAGATTAAAAAAGAGCTATATTTCATTTTAATTATGTACAGAACAGTAGCGATTTAATAGTATCTCATCTTTGGTCTCTCTCACGGCTGCTGCTGCATCAAAAGCTGCTCCAGTTCATCTGCAGACCTTAGCAAAAATGCAGCCGACTCTCTGTAGCCCGTGATCAGCTGCCTGACAGCTGCCATTTCAGCCTGGTTCAGTTTGTGGTTCAGAAGTGGTTTGCTGCTCTTCATACTCAGATCAGTCGGGCCTTCAAAATAAAATATTAAATTAATTTAAATGATTAGAAAAAAAGACGTATTAATTTAATACCATTTGTCGACATCAAGCTGTAAGGTTGGAATGGTGGCCTTTGAAAGGTTGGTGGAGCTCCACTGGGTCGGAATGAAGATTTTGAGGTGGCTGCGTCTTTCGAGTCAGTGGTACTTGTTTCGGCTTTGGCGAAGTGGTCAATGGGTGCAGGTCTCTCATTTGCTGACACGGGCATTGGCTGGCTCACAGGCTCCAGGCCTAGTCTCATTCTTTTGGCATTGTGACTTTCGTTTTCACAGGCTTGCGCCAATATCTGCTCCGCCTGGACTGACGTCAAATGTGCTGGTGTTGGTCTTGCCTGAAAATATGTTTTGAGTTGGTTAATTTTATTCCAAACAAAAAATTCAATTAATAGTTCAAAAAAATGCTTATAACTTACTGTCTCCAAAGAGGCGCCATTTTGGTCTCTTGATCGTTTTGTGCGCCGGCAACTTTTCAGGTATGTGCGAATTCTTTTACGAGCACGCTCTCCAAATTCTGGGAACTGACGAGTGCAAGAGTCTATGATTGCTTGAATTTTCTCTTTAGGTTGTTTTGAAATTGGCACCATTCGGTCCAAATTTTCGTCAACAAAAAGCCTTACAAACATCTGCAATTATATCAAATAATTTTTTTAATTCCTATAAATATCAATTTTTCTTATATTTACATTAAACGCTTTTAGTCTCTCAGGGTCTTGTGAAGGCCCATCTAATTTATCATCCTCTTCTTCGTCGTCTTCGTCCTCCTTATTCCCCGATGATGACGTTTCATCAGCCATCGATGCAGTCTCCTGTGGACTCTGCGATATAGCAATATTTAATACATTGATTGCACAAATGATCATTGAATTATTAATACACTGCACAAAAATTATAATCATTTATTTAAAAAACAATAAAATAAATATTACCTCCTCTCTTAGCTTTGACTTTAAATAGGGAGGCCATCCTTCCTCCTCAGCTTCGTCTAATCTGAGATCACCGTTGCGGCCTGTTTGACAAAAATTTCCTTTAATAAATGTCCAAATTTTGCCTCCTGTGCTAGGATCTTTTGAAAAGCGCAAACCTGACTGATGGTTCCAAGCCAAAAGCATCTTCTTTATTTTTTCTGCTTCTTTGTTATAAGCGCCTGTGGATCGAGGAAAATAGGAAACACATAAAGGCGTGTGTGATAAGGATTGGACAAAAGCCATGCATTTAAGGCAGTAATATAGTTTTGCATTCAAAACGGCGCAAAATTATCCGCCAGGTATATTATATAAATGATATAAATATCAATAAAATTCTTTAACTTGCCTTGATAATCGTCCTCCATTGACTCTGGCTCAGGTGTTCCGAGGTTTTCCTAAAATCAAATTTTAAAGCTTATCAATATAAATAGTTAAAAATCTAACATAAAACTATAACTACATATTCATTCAATTTAACAACTTTTTAAATTTTACTTTTAATTTTTTTAATATATACAGTTGTGATCATAGGAAATAAAAATAATAAATAATTAATTTCATGGTAATTGGCAAAAACGCAGTATTATTAAATATCTAAAATTGTTCCACTAAAAATTTTAAATTTTTCATCAATCCCTTTTTCATGAATTGCCTACATAATTTTGACGGCTCAAACCACTGTTATTTTTTTTTATAAATGTATAAAAGGTTTTCGTTAAAAGGTAATGAGCCAAATGTTAATGAAATAATTTAGGATGGAAAATAATTTTAAAATAGTAGAGGAAAAGTTGCTAGACGAGAGTCTTAAGCGAGAATACAACCCGGTGTGTAAAAGTTAAATGCGCGACGGCTACGGCGCACTGGTGAGAAGTGGGGTTATATGCGAACGGGCTATCAAGCAAGCGTAAATGTTATTATTTTGATTCGCGGTCGCACCCAGTCAATGATATGAAATATAATATTACATTGAAACTATTTTACGCGAAGGTTATTTTGTCCGATTTCAGATATTTTTTCTAATTTTTTTGCTCCATAATTTGCGATAGATTAAAATTATAAATCTTCTGTTTATGACTGAAATATGAAAATAAAAATATTTGCAGCGACTATGTTCTCTATTTCTCCTTAAATAAATTAATATCTGGTGTTTCAGTAGACTTATTTTATTTATTTATTACTATTTTCTTAATACATTGTTACTGTTTTTACTTTTTATTTTATGACTTGAGAAAAAAAATAATAGAAACGACATAGATTTAATTGACAACGTGAATATTTGTCACTTTTATGTACAAATTTAAAATTAAAAATTCTGCATAAATTTCCTCAATGCAGCTTTTTCACTCAAATATTTTATCTTTATGTTATTTTTGCTGCAGCAAGACTTGTTTGAACGTCCATCAGGGTATTTTCCCTCTTTCCCCTACTATTTCTCAGCATTATTTTCGGAAAGTCTTGTTGACACATTACAGGTAGCCAGAAAAATAGGAAGATTGGCCGTGAAATTTCAGGGTGTGCGTATGTACATATATGTATTTTGTTTGTGCGCTCGTGTGTGTGTATTGAAAAAAAGAAAGAGGAAAGCTGCTAGGCGCGCAGGTAGAAAAGCTGAGCCACATACATATATGGGGGTTGGGGTTTTCAATCCCTGACGCCCCTTCTCGCAGGCAGGCGAGCGGGCGGGAGGGTGGACGGGCAGCTACACACACACACTATACACTATAGAGGAACAGACCAAGCTTTGCTCCATACGCACCATGCAATGTGTGGGTATATGTGGTGAGGTAGAGGAGCAGTACATAATATATATACTCACAAATAAATACGCCCCTGCCCCTTACAGCCGACCGTTATTTAACAATAGAATAGGAACCTGCTGCAGGATAATTTGAGTCTCGCTCATAATATTTTACGCTGCAAATACTCAAGTACCATAGTGTGGAAGATATCATAAAAATTACCATCGCAACAGACGTGAACTGTTGATAATTCATAAAGACGCTTTTCTTTAATTTTACACAGGACTGAGTTTTATTATAAGCAATTTTATTTTTTTATTTTTAAGTTAGCAAATTGAGTCTAGAATTCATGTTATTTCAATTGAAGCTCGCTTTTTCCTTGACGAGTTGTGGAATATTGTATTATTTTTTTCATTTTTTACGGTTAATGTTTAAAATTACAGGTATTTCAAAATTAGAAGAAAAAAAATGAAAAATGCAAATAAACCAAATTTTCCAGCAATTATCTAGGAAAAAAATATTTATTTTAAGTAAATATTTCAAATATTTAATAAAACGTGATGTTTTTATAGTAAAATTTCCAACGCTGAAAGTGTAAAGCAAACAAGATAGAGAGTTATGCGGCCGGGCGTACGGATAAACTCGTCTTCTTTTTTCTTTTGTACTTTATTTATCGTTATATTAAAGTAGCTTGTGCAGCGGCTTTTGCAACTGGCCGTGCCGCGTGTGTGTCGTAATGAATGGCAAGGTGAGACGGACTGGTTTTTTCATCACGTACCCAGATAAGGACGTCGCTTAAGAAGCATCTCACCTGTTGTCGTGTCTTTCCTCCGATTAGCCATACGACAACGCGCGCGCGGAAAACAAAGGCAGCTTGCAAATTTATGTCAAATAAGCACGCAGAAGGAGCGAAAAGGTCGGACAGTGGTCGAATAAAATTAATCAGCCTGAGGCGGGAGTGCGAAAAGCGAGTCGTCGTCGCGAGACACACACATGAATAAAGAAAGAGAATGTGTTTTTTAAACTCGTCTTACCTTGGCCCTCCTTTTCGCTGCTGGGTGCGACATGGATGACTCTTTCTGTGAACACAACGCAAGACTGTATGAGATGTGATGCGACCAGAGTTCCGCGTGAGAGTGCGAGGAGTGGAGGGGGACCAGAGAACACCCACTATTGCACCCACTACACCCCAATCGATATGGGAGAGAGAGAGAAAGAGAGATGAGTATATGTGTGGGCTCATCACCAGCACATAGCCGGGCCCAAACCCGTCCGTGATCATGCCTGCAACACACTCTCTTCAGGGACTAAATAATGTAGGACCCTGCGTGTGCAGATGTAGCCCTTCAAAGGGCACGGAGCGGCAGCCTGGCGCTCCCCGTCGGTATACGAGATACAGAAAACAGGTTCTCGCTATCTCTACGACGTGAATTATAAATCAGGAGCGCGCTTGACGGAATTGATACTTAGTTGCACACACACCTGATCTGCTCAATAAATAAATTGATTTACTACAGAAAAGGAACAAAAAAATAAATAAATAATACACTCTAATCTGAAAAAAACATTATATAAACAAATTTAATTTTTTTAATAATTAGGAATAAAAACAATATACACATTATATTTTTGTAAACGTTGTAAAATAACTTTTAAAATTAATAAATAAAACTACTTTCTTACAAATTTATACCTTCAATTAAAATTTAAATCTTTACTGAAATTCAATTCAATGCGTACAACATTCTATCTAATTTCCTCTCTTTCTCTCCTTGGGGTTGGAAGGGAAAAAATATTTATTTTTTATAATTTATTTTTTTCCTTTATTTTTTTGCCGTACCTCCAGGTTGAGGGCCTCGTCATCCGTGAGGCCGAGACTTCTCATGTGCTTCAGGTATGTGGTGGTGATGGGTAGGCTGTAGTCGATCAAGGGAGGCTCCAACCGCCCGGGTGTGGCCGACGTCACGCTCGGATGGGCTGTCACGGGTGCACCCCCCGCCGAGCCACCTGCCGGGCCGGATGGCGTTGCCCCTGGCGCGGGGGCCACCGGTATTATTGGCGGGGGCGACGGCGACCCCGAGTCAGTCATCGAGGGCCTCCTTTGACAGTCGGTGCATTGCAGTAGGAATTTTGTGACGGCCTCCCGAGGCAGGAAAGCGTACGTCTCTGTGATCTGGAATTATATTTCAGGGGCTAGTATATTTTTTGTGCTCTCTCAGCGACGAGCGTGCTGCTGGTCGGTGGGTCGGTCGGGTTGTTCTCTCTCTTGCTCACTCATACTCTCTCTCTCTGGGTATATATTTTTTGCTGTCGAGAAGGGAAGAAGGACTAGAGCTGCTTTTATTCCGAAATAGTGGTGCCTGGAAGGGGGCTTAGAGGGTGCATAACGTGTTTAGATGCCTGCTTTTATAAAGGGGGAGCAGAAGGTGGGTTGGGTTTAAAGGCGGGCGGGCGGGCGGGTGGAGTGGGCGGAAAGCGACCATGAGAGAACCCCATGCAGGCAGGAGCAACCCTCTTCTCCATTACGGCAGGCAGAATTAGTTACTAGAGCAAAAGAACCCACCTCACCCAGACCCTCTCTTATCCACACAGAAATAAAAGGAAATAACTTTCTCTATATACCCTACACATACACCCAGGCCGGGCAGGCGGAGTGAGTGAGAGAGAGAGAGAGAACCCTTGCTGCTGCTGCTGGATCATTTTTTGCGCAAAATATCATATCGCAGCAGTGGACCCGCTTTTGCAGGCCCACTGCGCGCCCGACCGCTCGCTCGCTTTTGGCCAACCGACCCACGGAACGAAACCGGCAGTTTAATTCTCTCGAAAAATTCATTGATAATTCGAAAATGACGCCTAAAGGGGCGAGTGTATTTCCCAGTTAAATTCCAGCTTGTTCGAGGGTGGAACAACAATGCAGATAGGGTTGGGTTGGTTATTCGTGTAAAGCCATACTGCAGTACAGCGGCAGTACATAAGGCAAGGGGGGTTGAGCAGCAGGTCGGGCGGTTTATATTTCCACACTTAATTGAAAATAAGTAAGAAATAGAAATTAATTAATTAATATAAAATAATTATTGTATTAAAAACATATAAATTCATTATATTTTGTTTTGCCTAAAAATATCTCCTTTCGTAACATGAAACGATTTAAAACTTGAAAGGTGGCTGGGTGGATCCTGTTGCTGCAGAGTAACTTTCATTTATGCATTCCAGGATGAGCACGCGGGTTGGGAGGGGTCGAGGTCAAAAGGACGACGGCATGTCTCGCGAAAAAGTCGCCTTGGTGCGGTATGGAGCAGAAGCGGTGGCGGCGGCAGCAGAGGAAGGACGGGCGGCTTTTTGTGGGCTGATGGAGGCTACGTGAGTGAGCTAAAGCCTCTCTCGCTCCTATCTCTCGTGTAAAATCAAAATACAGCGACGGACACACCACCAGCAGCACCAGTTTGCCAGGCCACTTCTCGCCAAAAACGGACAAAATATTATATATATTATATTTGCTCCGCGCTGGGCTCTTTTTTCGCAAAGCTTTTTCATGAAAGCGAACATGGTGGATCAATATATTTTTCATTTTAATATATTTTATTCATTAGAATCTTGCAAAAAATGTGCATTTTTAAGATTAAAAAAAGTTTAAACTTTTCTTTTACAAATCTACATAAAGATTATTAAATAGTAAAGTTATAATTTAAAGTATTAAACAAGAGAATAAAAACGTTTAATTCTTTGAAAAGTTAAATAAATAGGGCACTTTAAATTCCACAAGAAAAGTCGAAGCAAGAAATTTGTCTTCAAGGCAAAGTTTGAGCTTTCTTGTGCGCTGAGTATTGAGAGCGAAAAGTTTCTGCTAATTGGGTTTTGCATGTCGTCGCGACGGCTAACAGGTGGTTTCCCTTGTTACTCATGCGCCCGCGAGTTGTTTTTAAATATTTGATACTCACTGCTCTGTAAGTACGCTTCTGACCAGCGTGCTTTCCTGCGCGGCCTTCCATGTCCACGTGCACGCTGTAGATGATGTCAAAGAAATTCTCGACCACTGCCACCTTTTTGTACTGGTCCTAAAATAAGAAGAAAATTTAATTATTATAGTAGTTTATTTTTCCAAAAATTGTTAAATCAAATTGTTAACATTCAATTGTGGAAAACAATTTATTTGAAAAAAAAGGAATATTTTGACAAAACGGCACCACCACAAGCTAAAATTTTCAAGATCAATAAGACCCCATCCGCCGCAGTAACATTTAAATTACTTTAATTATCCATTGGATTGCAATTTCTGATTAAATAGTATTAATTACTTCCAAAATTAGTACTTCTTTTTATCAAAAATAAAATATTCAACGTCACATGAAGAATTTTAATATATTTGCACATGCTTAGTTAGAATAAATTTTTTAATCTATATGACGCTATATCAGTAATTTTTAGTTTCCCTTTATTTAGAACAGAATTTTATTCCTCCACCCCTCTCCCCGAAATAAAAAGGCATCACAGCTCTAAAAGATTTTTGTTATTTTCTTTTATTGTGACTTTGAAATTTATCATTTAATGCTTATTTTTAATTTTGTTTAGGACTCAATTTTCAAAAATAATATGAATATTTTTAGCCTATCATATAGAACTTTCTAATTTCATTTTAGTGTTGTCAAACCTATTCATTTACAATTATATTTTCATCAAATTTAAAGAAATTTCCATACATTAAAATATTCTTGCTGAACATTATTCTATCTATACTAAATTTGAACAGAGATTTCAAAAACTGATATGATAAATGCAAAAAATATTTTATTTTATAGGATCTAGGTGCAAAAATTTCAGTATGCAATAGTCGCTCTCGTAGTGTCTGCGTGCCTGTGTTAAATGTTGTTTTTTTAACCATCATTGTGGAGTGCCCATTGCTGTTGTGCGCGATGTGCACGTACAAGCGCAAATTTGCGAGGTTCAATCCATTCGCCCGTGGTTTTGGCCCGGGTTGAGCGGCCGAGTAGTTTCAGCGGCCGACCCGGCGGCAGCAGCACGTTCTTCACCCATGCCCACCCATGTAGTCGGCTCCATCTCTGTGGCGTTCAACACAACTCCAGCCACACCAGTTGCATAACTCGCGGGGCGGCAGGCGCACTGGCCGGCGGCTGCGTTTCCAAACATAAATATTAGAGAGACGCGCGGATTTGACACCAGACCAGGCGGCATAATAAAAAAAAGGTAGAAATGACGCAACCTCCTACAGAGTATGCAATGCCGCCGTTCTCCGCTGATAAGTGGGTTGCTATCGCTGGTATTGTACTTAAAAATATATATTGAATTATAATTCAGGGATTCCCAAGAAGACTGATGATAACATGTTGGACACTCAATAAAGTTTGGTGCTTTCAAAGGACACTCAGCTAGGTATGAAGCTGTCCACGTATCAATTAATTTTAGGCCATGCCATTGGAAACAGAGATAGAGCGTCAAAATAAGTCTAATCACAAAATTAGCAACTGATGCTGATGAATTGACGATCTTTAGTTTCATTAAAAAGGACTTCCTGGAATTTAAAAATAAAATAAAATTTTTTGTTTTGATCAAATTTGATTTGATTTAAATTCCAGCGACAGCAACGCTCATAAATAAATAAAATAATTAGTAAAATGCAAGCGAAAGCAACCCGCCTAACAGTGGTGTACGGCGGCGTTGCATACCTTGTAGGAGGTTTCACCGGGACAGATTATTCAAAAATCATCGCCACCTAATAACGAAATGCACGCATCGCGCGTCCGAGAAAGGATCAATAAATATTACGCGCTGGCCCTTTGCTCGTCACACACGCCGCCGACACCAATACCCCGCATTATTATCTCTACTGGCAGAACCGGTTCCATCAGGGCGAAAAGTGACGAGCATCATCTCATTTGCATAATGCGAACTCGGGAAAGAGAAAGAGAAAAGAATCGCTTAAACCCGCAGTGTCAGAATTTTTCCCGGAGAAAATTTGCAATTTTTTGTTCCAGCGATGGTGTCTGCTCGGCTCGGGCCGCTCACTCAGTCAAGAGGAGCTCACGTAACCCGCTCGCCCGCCAGTTTTTTTTTCTTTGCGGCGGCGGCAGTGACGGCGGCAGGTGAGGGGAACAGAGGGGAACTCCGCTCCAGCACCCACACCTGCGGCCCAACGGACGATTTTTTGTCTTGATTTGTTGATTGCGGCTGCCGGTGTCACCGCGCGATCGATCGCCATTCCCAGCCCGGCCTCCGGCCCGTTTGCGGACCGCCAAACGCCATAAAACTCCCCTTGCCGGTTCACCCTCTCACCACGTCGCGAAAAATTAATAACACGTCGGGGCGGCTGTTGCGCCGTTTTGATCCTCGGCTGACGGAGGTGAATTTTGCGGCGCGCCAAATAAAAATATGCACGGGGGCGAGTTTTGCACGGTCGGTATATAAAATAAGCACAAGCAATAAGGGCTCGAACTGGTTTCGGGGGGCGGCCGGCCGGTCAGTCCGCGGTCCACGCTCGCAGCAGCTCATCTTGCAAGATGCAGCGCATGCAGCAGCTCAGCTAACGATGGATTCAGAACAGGTCGGCCCGTACCAGAATTGTGTGGGAATTTTATGCTCCCATTCAGCGCGAGATCGCCGCGGTCGTTATTTTTCTGCATCTTTTGTCGCCGAAAAGCGAACGAACGGAAACCGAAAAGCGGCCGGGATGCTTAATTGCTTGGCCGGAAAGAAAGAAAAAGAAAAGCGGCGGCGGCGGCGAAACGGCGAGCGAACAAGCGAGGCAAGCGAGCGTGTCGAGCAGGCAGGCACCCCGAGAGGGGTTAAAACGGAGCAATCAGTGAGGCGGCGAAAGGCAAAAAACCTAAGGTCATGCAGCGGGCGTTGCAGGGCACACGCGGCGCGGCGGGGGAGAAAACAAACATAAATTGGTCGCTACTGCCGCTGTCTGTTTTCACGCGCGCCAGATTTTTCCGCGCCTCCCACGACAAAGGCGAGGGATGAAAGGGGATGCAATCAGTGAGTCATCTGCGGTCACCTCCCCGCAGTCAATAAGACTCATTATTTCGCGCTGCATTCGAGAATAAATTGTCACAACCGGCGGTCGGCCGCTCTCACTCGGCACCAAAGGGTATCGCGAGAAAATTTATTTGCAGCAGCCGAGTCGCCGACGTGCCTGTGCAATTATAAATAATTGTCGGTTTGCGGCCTCCGCCGCTTTTTGCTGCTCGCGGTGCTGGATTTCGGCGCTCTTGATGCGCTCCTCTGCCGCCACCGTTGCCGCCGGACGTTTGTTATTTATTAATGCTGCAACGGCTCCCTGTGTGTCGTGACAAATTTGTCTCCGTTTCTCCTTTATCGGCACGGTCACTGGACGCGCACTGAGAACCACGATTTTCAAATCAACGTTTCCTTGTTAGCCCACTTTTAAGCTTTTTTTCTTTAATTAATTGAAAATAAAATTACGAATTTTTTTAGAGGCCTTGTGGTTTAAAAGTAGTCCATCATATATCGTCTTTTTCAAATAATTTAAATGACATTATAATTAAATAATAAAAAAAGCTTTAACGGATATAAAGCAAGAATTAGTTTTTTCACTCTATAAACCTCGTTATTAGTAAAAATAAGTGTTAATAAAGAAGAATAATCAAACAAAATAATTTTTTTTTTAAATTTCCACCAGTGCAAAACTTGTTGAGTTGCGCGAAAATCTTAACGGTGTGTGCGCGTGGTATAATAAGCTTTAAAAGGGGCTTAACTTCTAACTAAGTGGCAGTTGTTTCGTTTTAAACAGATATTTACTAAGCTTTAATTCTATGTCAAATCCATGCCCTTTGCTATTATGTGTTAGATTATTATTATTTTTTTAATAGAAAAAAATAGAATTCACATGATTTCCTGCACATTTATAATTAAGTGCACAATATACTAAAATATGAGTGCGCTCGGCACTACCTTACTGACAATGAGTGCAAAAACCGTGCGCTTAATTAATGACTATTCTAATAATAAAGCGAAAAGACTGACAATTAACCCTGTTGCACATAAATATAATATAATTGAGGATTTAAAGATCAATTTATAATCGACTTAAAAGTCACTTAATCGAGTTTTCACTAATTTAAGAAAATTTGCAAAATAAAAGCAAAAAAAAAAATTATTCCAACTGATTTTTTTTTTAATTTAATTAATATTTTTTTAACAAATTAATTTGAATTTTTCCATTATATCAGCTAAAAATTAAAAATAATATAACAAAAAAGTAGTAATCTACATGCACGATATTTTAAAAGTATCAAACTAAAAATTTATATGAACTGGCTTTTCCTTGGTTGAATATTGACTGAACAAGAAAAATTTTGGTAATATTCATCCTTAACTTAATTCATTAATGCTATTTTTTTTTAAATAATATACCTCCAACTTATAATTCACATGTGAGGAAAATTGTAATTTTCTAATGGTACAATGAATTGGGGCTTAAGATCGAAAGCTTTAAATGAAACATTTTAATGTGAATGTTATTATTCTGAAGAGATAAAAAAGAATATCATAAATAAAATAGCAGCCGCGGCATGTGTTCAGTCAGGTCGGAGAAGATGCCATCCGGCATACCAGACACCGCAACCCGTGCCACCTGTGTGGGCGCAAAATGCAATTCGCCACTCACGAATTTAAGCGGATGAAGAGAACCGAGAGGGCCGTAAAAGTGGCGGCGGCGGCGGTGGTCACACACACGCATGCACCACCTGTTCTGCAAGCGGCCTACCTTTTCCGTTCCCGTCGGCACGTACAGCTCGGGCTCGGCCAGTCTGGTCATCCGACTGACAGGGTTAAACCGGGGCTGCTTGGGCGGAGGCTGCCCCGGCGGGGGCCCCACTCGGAAGCCCTTCGCCTTCACCCAGAAGCGGAACTTGGAGTTGTCAGCCGAGTTGGCTTCGTGACCCTGAAGGGTGCGCAGGATGCGCGCATACTTGCGCGCCGTTATGGTCTTGGTCTTGGCCGAGTCGCCGTAGGTGCCGAGCACCCAGGGCTGGAACGCGTCGAACATGTCCCTCATGATGGGGCGGACTACCGACTGTGCCATCACGACCACCGACCGACCGACCCGCGCGCCGCTCTCCCCACCCGGCCGCACCAGGTGCCGCCTAAGTGACTGGAATAATAAGAGAGAGCGACGGCGACGACGACGGGCCTCATTAGCCACCCGGCGGCTCCCAAACAATTCTCTTTCTCTCTCTCTTTCACTCCTCTCGCGTTTATTTCCTCTTCTCCGCTTTTCGCCCTTTTCGCCGCAGAAGCGACAACACAGGCGGCGGTCTGACTGCGCGCTCTTTTATTTTTTGTTTCGCTCCTTCCCTTTCTCTCTCAGATATATTATAAACATTTAAAACTAAAAAAACCATCTCCCGAAGTCACTTGTTGTTTGCGAGACATTTATACAGGTAAAGGATAAAAGGCAGAAGCCGCACTCGTCGGCGGCGGCGGCATTAAACATCTGTCAAAAAAAACTGCCGCTTTTCGCCTCCCACAGCCACGCGGCCCGCATCAACTCGCGCGGCGGCGACTGAGTGAGAGATCTCCCCTCCGAGGCGACCACACGCAGCCAGCCGAGCAGCAGCCGAGGAGGAGAAACAATGCTCGCGCGCCCCGAATCTGAAACGGCCCGAGCGGCGGCTAATCGGGGATTATTTTTTGATATCGCGCGGGGGTGAGAGACAAGTGGTTGCAGTTCGCAGCCGCACTGCCTCTCGCGCCCCATCATCCCCCGGCTATCCCACCCGAAATGACGCAACCTCGTACAGGGTATGCAATGCCGCCGTACTCCGCTGATAAGTGGGTTGCTGTTGCTGGTATTTAATGACATATTATAATTTATATTATTTTATTTATTTATTTATGAGCGTTGCTGTCAAAATAAATAAATTTATTTTTACAAAAATAAAAAATCATACTTTTCAAAATGTTGGTAAGTCCTGTTTTTATGAAACGAAAGATCGTTGGAAAACATTATCAAGTTCTGCCCGTTGATTATTTTTAATAAATTCCATATATATTTATTTCTTCTTATTTTTTTTTTTATAATTTTACATAAATTTTTTCTTCAAGGAAGGTATGTACTTCCATTCCAGCTGATTCCAGCGTCAAAATGCCTGCATTTTTACTATTTAAGCGTTTTAGAATTTCTAAATTTTTTACCATGATAAAATAGCGCGTTAATAATAATTTTTTTATGATAAATCATAAGCCACATTTATTACGTGCTATGTTCAGTGAAGGGAGAATGAAGAAATAAATAATTCAATACATTTTTGAGTAAAATACTACCGACAGCAGCCCACTTATCAGCGGCATTGCATACCCTGTAGGAGGTTGCGTAGTTTCTACCTTGTTTTTTTTTTTAATATGCCGCCCGCCCGCCCCCTGCACACTACTTGACTCTCCTGCTTGATTGTTTGTCGCCACCCGGGGCGAGCGAACGGTGGCTTTTGCACTCCCCGTGCCTCCCCATAGTTTGTGCGATTTAGCACTGCCGAGAGCACGCACAGACCTCCAGCGGGCGGCCCGTCTGCCACTGCTAGAGAGATCGAACAGCACGTCGTCCTTGAAAAATCGGAAATGGTGCTCATTGCTGAATCAATTATTCAACGCGTGCCGCCCGCAGCTGCTCGCTCTCTTGGCCGACGGAGGGAGCGACCGGCCGGCCGGCAAACTTGCGGACCAGACAGACCGTTCGTGATACTGGAAGATCTTGATAGCATTATTTTTCTGCCTCACTAATTATTAGGACGTCTCGCTCTGACTCACAGCCGTACAGAAATAAAATACAAGTCGATTGCATATGGAGACGAATGGATTATTGTAATTGAAGCAAATTTTAGGTCATGAAAATTTATTCAATTTTTATTTTTATTAGAACCTGTATTCATTTCAAATAAACGTTAAATTTGAAAATATTCCTGACTTTATTTCTGAGAAGCAGTTTGCACGGTTTTGTCGTTTACAGAAAAAAATCAATGTTATAAATACCAAGAGAAATGAATGCTCAGAATTATTAATAAAATCCAATGAAAAAGTTCAAAATTTGTACTGCATTTTCATCCTGATTGTGAGGGTTTTTTTCATTTCTTTCGAAGGATTTATAATTGTTTTCAAACTGTTCCAAAGCTTGCCGTTTTAAAAACTTGTTCTTCAACGATTGAAATGAAAAATATCACGAATAAATTAATCAAATGTCCTCATATTGTGCGCACGAAAAAGGAAAATTAAAAATTATTTGTAAAATAAGTAATTTTTAGTGAGCTTTGAATTAAATCATATTTAAATAAAATATGAATTTTTATGCAATTCAATGATTTATTAATTAATTTTCTCCAATAAGTAAAACTGATGAAATTTACTTGGAGTAATATGTTTAAACATGTAGATTTTTAATTCAGACAAAAATAAGAAAGTTCCTTGCTTATTACATTATTTTCCTTACATAAACATTTTTGAAAATTTTAAATAATGCCAAATAGTTTCATATTTTTAAAACAATAAAACCACTTAGCAAAACCATCATAGTTGAATATCTATAAATCCAATTATTTTTGTGACGTTTTCTAGAGATATTTTTTTTTTTTAAATTTAAATAGTGCTTAATTGCAAAATTCCTTATTATGCCTTATTTTTCTCAGAATTATTAATAATAGAACATAATCTCTTATCTCACAAATCGCATCGTGTTCAATGCAACTTAATAGACTCGCGCTGCCATGTAATAAAATCTAAAAATAAAATATGAATAATGTGGCTGCTTCTGTAATCACGCTTCAAATGTGATTTATGCAACCGGTCTGCTTGGCGTGCCGCACTGGTTGCCTTCGTTCGAGTTGGCAGGCGTTTGACGGGCGGTATCTGTGTTTCAAGCAACGGTGACGAAAACTTCTTTATTCATCAATCTTCGCGTTTGTCGATGGCGCATTGAGGAGGCGAAAAAAATTATCAAGTACATGAAGCAGCGCCTATACCGTAAAGCAAAGAGATGATTTATTATTGTTTTAGAAAAGTGGGCCGTCCTTTGTCTTTGCGCGATGAATTTTGAATGACGCCGCTCTCTGCACATTTGAAAAGGTATAAAGGTTGAGAGCCGCGAGTTTTGTTCTTTCGCGAGAAAGGACATGTACTCAAGGGTATATAGGCAGCAGCATAGTATGTGCACACCCTTATGAATATTTAAGCGGCGCTGATAATCTGATAGTCACGTGACGCCCAATGCGGAGCAACAGGCAATGCGCCTTGTCGTCATGACTACAGAGCACAGCATCCGCAGCACCCGCCGAGCCAACAGAGTCCAACATGAACTCGATGAGCTCAGGAGGCGGCGGCGGAGGAGCCGCCAAGGGCAAGGATGAGGATGTGAGTTTTTCAGGGATTTCACTGCCCTGAGCCCTTTTTGATCGTGCACGTTTATTTTGTTTCAATCTAACTCTTCCGATACTATTGTCTTGCTCAAAGGAATCCACCACTGCAGACACTTCTATACAGCCTTGAGATAATGCGTCTTTCTGCCCTTTATGTTTTTACGACGCTCCACGACGCCGGTTTTCTCTCCAATTTATTATTTCTGATAGTTTTAGCGATTGATACTCAATTTCTATCGGATTATCCAGACAATTATTTAGTTTAAGTAGCACATTTAATATTTTTAAATAAACACATATGGAAGTTTACACATAAAAAGTTGCATACGAGTGCGGCATATACTGCCCTACCCCCTCCCTATGCGGCTCTTCGCCCGCTGCCCCGCGCCCTGCTCTGATGCGGTCCTTTGGTTTAAGCCGCTAATTACTCACTTAAATTCACATCATTCTAAGTCTGCCTACGATTGCGTGCCTCCTTGAAGATAATTAGAGCCAGGCATGCTGGTGACAATCACTGACGTTTAATCACTTTGAGTAATTTTAAAAGTCAATTGCAGCGACTTGACAAGCTTTTTAAGAAAATCTACTTTAAGTGGATCACTGGAGATGACGCGTAGCATGACTAGCATGCGACACTTTTCCCGTCTTAATATATGGCTCTAAAAAGCAATATAAAAGCGGTACATCCACGAGAGCAATAAAGTTTAATGGCTCTGCATTTTATTGCAAATTCTTTTTCAATCGAGAATTTTTATCGAATTATTGGTTTTGCAATAAACCGTCTTTTTATCCCATTCAAAGTAGATAAAATAACCATTCACTTTCTTATGAAGGTTGCAAATCAAATTAATTAGTTAAAATTATTATTTTTCTATCAGAGCAGTAGAAAGAAACTTGCAATATAAAATAATAATAAATAATAGCTGCTGTTGCCTGCCTCAAATACGACCCAAGTTTAAACATATTTCTCGACATACGGTCTCTAGATGGTGAGGCCGCGCTATCAACACTGCTGATGTGCTGTGTGCATCACTCGCTATACCAGCATAACTTGCACGCGCACTTGAATCATCCTCTCACGATTAGTGAAGCGGGCTTTCTCTATGAATTCAATTGCTACAAAAATGGCCTTATTTGAACTGTATCTTGATACTTGAATCTCAAGCTGTCAGTTTACAATGACATTTTTTGGATAACTCTTTCCGACATCTTCCGCACTGCGGATATTTAACAAATGAGTGGAACTTTTTTGTAATATAACTTGAGCGTTTACACTGAAATCCAATAATCTAATTCATCAAGTATTTTATGCTTCAATTTAAACGAAAATTTAAAGATTACAATTTATTTTTCATATAAAAAATAATAATTACTTCAATTGAGTAGAAGAATTTTTTTATCAACTGGTGATGTTTTTCATTGCAAAAGCAATTAGTTGGTAACTTGTATTTTTACAAATAAAAATTTAAAATAAAATCTCTTTTTAAACTTTATAAGTAAAATCCAATTAAAACAAGCTATTAAATATTTTTTATAAGCGCAGGAAAATAGTGCAAAACGAAATAATCACGACCAAGAGCATCAGATCTGTTGATTTATGAATTTTTTTCAACAACAATGCTCCGCTTGTCATCTGAGAGTTGAGTGCCAATTCTGCACACTCCTCAATTATTCAAAGCAGCGCTGCTCATAAACTATGCTGCTAGTGTATAAAGAGAAGCGCGGCCGAGGCTCTCGTGGACTCAAATTAATGGTCACATATGCACTTCCGCAATTTCCACCGCAGTGTCATTTTACGCATCGTGCGCATCGTAATCTTCCACTTGAGCGCGCCCGAAAGTGCTTCATTGTCTTGAGAAACAGAAACTCTTCATCACGGCAAGAAATAAAATAAAAAAATATGCGAAAATCTTAAATTAGAATAAGAGTAACATTTTCTCAATTGGAAGGTACAATTTCATTTAAAAAAATATTATTACTTTCATGCAGGCAAACAAATCTACTTGTTGGCGCATTATTTCGCGAAACCACCGCAGCACCATTGTGACGAGGGCACGTTGGTCGGTGCTGCCCCTGCAAATGAATGCAAACATTATTTTCCACGCACTCACTTTCGCCTTTTCCCGACAGGTGTCCCTGACGGGTACAACCCTTGCCTTGTTGGGCACGCGTGTGCGGTGCCAACCCTCGCGATCCCTTCTTCCTTTGCGCGAATCAATATGCCACTCGCTCGGAAGCGCTGACCCAATTCGCGATTTACTCCCGCGCTTGATCGACACCTAGTGGATTTTTTCGCCTCCATTAACTGAAGGACCAGACACCCGCTTATCTTATCAGCGGGGCGATGTGCATGTAATTGCAGTGGCGGCGCCACACGTTGTTAACCCGCGCGATGCTCTTTTAACCCCTCTTCTCCCATTGTCACGCGAGTCTTTGAGGGGGCGTAGGGGGTGCCTCTATCGATTCAGCGTGGCCCGGGCCGACTTGCGGTGGTGCCTCCAACTATCCCTTTGTAGTAATATCGCACCATGTCCGAGGAAGGCAATTTTGACGACGAGGTAAGCGCGGCCCAAAAGCCGCTAATTGCACTCGAACCCTTTGCACATTACACACTGAGAGAATGCCTGCCTGCTTTTGATCGAACACAGTGAGCAGAAAATCTCAAGGAATGCTGAGCTGACGCGCGCATCATTTGCTCTTGTATACTCTTGTAACCATCTTACTACAATATCTCATCACACACAATTTAAATTGCCTGCCTCTGTTATGAAAACATTACTAAAAATAAAATAATAAATCGCATATATACACCATCAGATCCTGGTTCATCACAAATTAATAAGTATTAAACAGATTTTTCTAATCTCATTTTCTAGCCTGCTGCCTTGTTACCGCCTTGTAATCATTAAGAGACGCACACCTTGGTAGTTATTCTTCTATTTATTTGTTTATTTTTCTTTTTGATTTTCTTTGTTTTGATATTTTATCAAGGGATTTTTCCTTTAATTTCTATTCGAATAAAACGTCGTCAAGACTAAATTTGAGTAGTCGCGTGTGTGCTTGATTGGAATCGTGAGAGCGAGACGAGGGTTTTTCTGTGGGCCTGAGGAAATGAACGGAGGCGCATGCTTGGCTCACGCGGCACGCAAAAGGTCCCGGGGATATCGGCAGCAGTCAGTGAGCGGACACCGCCGGGGTGAAATGAAAATCAACAAGTAATGGAGGGCAAGGAAGGCCTGAAAGATGACGTAAGCACACACTTTTAATTACTCTCTAATTTCGGGGGGTGGAAGGGCGGGAGGGCGGCGGCGGCTATCATTTACTTTTCATTAAAAACACGCGAGCACGCGACGTCCATGGAAAATAAATTCAAAGCACGGGTAGTGAGTGGGACTGCAAAAAGGAAGGTGATGCCGTTCGTGCGCGCGATAAAACACAGTCGGGCGCTAAATAAATTATCCGCTCTGATAAAAGTGCGACTCTTTGCTCTGCCTGTCGCTGGCTGGTTTTATTGTGTGCTGTAAAAAGAAAACTAACTTTCCACCAGCAGTCCTGGCAAAAGGTGGCATCTCGCTGCTAACAATGTGCATCCTATTCATGAGAGGTAGGGTCTGAAAGCCTTTTTGGCAACAACCGGCTCCTTACCTTAATCATTATAATTAATCATATTCAATTAGCTTTAACTTCCATTTGCATTTTATCTAGTCTGGAAATTTGTGCATGATGTTTTAATGACTGCATTATTTGCTGCCTGAAATTTTTGCTATTCTAAAACAGTATTTTAACAGACAGCATGACATTTTGGTATTAAAACTTCTTCTCCATTTATATACATTTCCATAAGCAATACGTTTTGTAAAATCATACCAGAATGAGTATAAAATTGAATCTAAGCATTTTGACTCGTAGTTTTGTGCCACCCGTGCTACATCCAACCAAAACCACTCTTGTAAATACATGCAGAGCAAAAGCGAAGTATTTTAGTCACTCTTGAATTACCCATTTTACATATTATACAATTATTTATTTTGAGTCAATGGGAGGTCATTCCACCGTACGGCATATATTTCCTCAGCCAGTCCGCAAAGAGGTAAATTCGAGAGAAATTCAAATGTAAAGCCCACGATTACAGATAGATTATTTATCTTGGCTCATTTCCATCCGATTGGCGTAAACTATAAACTGCGTCTTGGCATGTGAACGAAATGCATGCAACATTATTTCTTCTCTCCAACTCGGCTTTTTTTATAATAACATTTCTTTGCATTCCTCTCGGACTGACTGAGTATAGAAGCAAATCAATATGTGCCAGTTCTATTTTTTTCCTCCTTATACACACGCGTATTAAGATGAGTGGACTGGCTGATCAAAAATAGTTCCATTATACCATGGGCCGCCGATTCGAATTTCAAATGAGGCGGACGTAAACACGGTGTTGATTGACGGCTGTTTGACGTATGCAGGAGTTGGTGTCGAGCAATGCGAACCAACGCAACTGGCGGGGCATCCTCATCGCCCTCCTGGTCATCGTGTTCGTGCTCGCCCTCATCGTCACCTCGGTGGTGCTACTGACGCCGCCCGATGAGGGGCCACGCGTCAAGGGTCATCGCTTCAAACTGGCCGACGTGCTCGGACATGAATTCCTGCCACTGCGCTTCAACGGCACGTGGGTGTCCGCTCACGAGCTCGTCTACCTGGACCACCACGGCGGCATCAGCCTGCTCAACGTGCTCAACGCCTCGTCCAAAGTTCTGATGAACAATCAGACCTTTGTTAGTATACTGACGCATTTATTTATTTCATATTGTGAGCTCTCGGTTTAAAAAAATTTTCCACCCCATATCGAGTCCATTTCCGCGTTTGTTGCAGTCACGGAAGCTCGCCTTCCGGAGACAGGAAAGTCTATATTGATTTCGAGGGTTATTAATATTTTGAGCTTATAACGGGAGGGATTATGCGGGACGTGTTGAAGATGGAAAAATGGAGAGCGCGGCACAGAATGTGAGAATGGCCAACAGATATTTTTTTTATGGAATTGGTTCTCATTTGTACGCAGTGAGCTCAAATTACATATTAGACTCCACCTGTATATTATTTAAATTATATGAGCTCGTCTCGTGACATTTTGGAATAGTTTTTTTCCCTTTTTATGGGTTGGAATAGGGGACGGGAAACGAAAATAGCTGCGATTGTATGGAAAGATTAATAGCTAAAAATATCAATTTGATAATATTGGTTAAGAGGTGAACTCTACTGGTTGGTAAATTTTTCAGTATTATGGAGCTCTCCATAAATTTTGGAGCTTGGTGATAATTATATAAAATTTTAAAATTAAATAAATAAATTAATCTAATAAAATATATATCATTGAATGTTTCACATGAAATAAATATTATTTGGGGCCAGTTTATCAAAAAATGAATAAATTATTTTTAATGCTAAATAACTTTATACCGCTTTAAAATTTAGCTCAAATTCTAATCAAATTTTAATTTGAATATGACTATAAAAATTTGCTTTATAGCGAGTAGATTTTTTTGTTATAAAAAATAGGTCTAAAGAAATAAGCATACCAATACTACCTAAAAATCCCATTTTGTTTAAAAGAGCTCTCAAAGCCCAAATCAGTGAAGCAAAATTAATTTGACAAACGGTCTGTCATTTACAGAGGAGGCTAAATTCTGCCAAATTCACCCTCTCCCCTGACCATCGGTACATTCTGCTGGCGCATAATGTCCAGAAACTCTTCCGCCACTCGTTTCTTGCCCAGTACACCGTCTACGATATAGCCACCACGTAATACTTTCACTTGATTAACTCGTTCCAATACGATGACCCCTGCCCGTTTGCTAACAGGGAGCTGTTTCCGCTGACACCGACCCCCGAGGACCCGACTCAGCCCTACTTGTTGCACGCAGCATGGACACCGAAACAGGGCCACGCCTTGGTAATAGTTTACGACTACGACATCTACTATCGGCCGGGCCCTCGAGGAAATCTGGTGTACCGGGTGACCTCGGACGCCGTCCCAGGGGTGGTCAGCAACGGGGTGCCGGATTGGGTTTACGAAGGCAAGATAAACAGCTTGGCTTGAGTGAGTGACGTAATGATTGATCGCCCTTAATTGCAGAAGAAGTGCTGAACAGTAATCTGGCGCTGTGGTTTGCCGAGGACGGCCTCCTCATCTCCTACGCCACATTCAACGACTCGAGGGTGGAGGAGCTCAAATTTCCATGGTTTGGTACGCTCGACGAGTTGAAGCTCTATCCCGATATCCGCAGCCTGCGCTACCCAAAGGTAATCAATTTCCCTTCTACGCACGCAAGAGCGATTTTTTTCTGAAACAAGCGAAATTTTCCAGCCCGACACTCCTAATCCAGCGGTCACTCTGTGGGTGGCGGATTTGGCCGACCCAAAGAATATTCGCAAGAGAGACCTCAAGCCACCGTCCGCCCTGGATGATGAGTAAGTGAACTTTTTTGTGACGAATCACGATAACGCGAAAGCTCATTAGGCGCTTTTCCACATCCCAGCAGAGCGACGCAATACACACTCTGACCTTTCTTTCTTTTAATCTTTCTTTCATCTATAGATAAAAAGCAACGATAAATCAAAAGCTAGCTAAAAAGAATAAAACTGGTTTGGAAATATAAAGTTCCTGCTGGATTTACAACTTTTAGAAGTAGGGCAAAATAATTCCATATTTTTTATTTTTTATTATCACCTTTGAAATCAACAATAAATTTTACGACTTTCCCTCTCGCTAGATAAATAGCAGCCCTAAAATTAACAGCCATGCTTGGCATGATAATCACAATTGCCATGCAAGAAATCTCCTTTGGAAAAACGCTATTCAGACTTCGGTTTTAACAATAAAATTATAAACAAATTTAAATTTCAAATAAATATTTATGTGTAGTGATAGTTGATTTAAAATAATTTCAAATTCATTTTTCAGGGAGTTTTACTTTACTTCCGTCACCTGGGTTAGCCTCACAGAATTATCCGTTATCTGGATGAACCGAGCGCAAAATTTCAGCCTTGTGTCCGTTTGCAAGAGTCCGCTGTGGATGTGTCAAGAGGTAATAAATTAATCGTCCCTATCATGCAAAATTCTTGCACGAATTTCCCGCCCACCTATGGTATTTTGTATTTCAAAAAAATTAACCTGATTATTTTCACAGGTGCACCGAGTATCGAGCGACGGACGCGGTTGGGTGCAAGAACCGCGGGGCCCACCACTTTTTTCCAAAGACAGCACCAGCTTCATCACCTTAACTCCCGTCCGAGATGGCGCCGCCGGCCGCTTCATGCACGTTACCCTGGTGGACACCTCCAAGGGTTTGGCGATTCCTCTCACCCACGGCCGCTACGACATTGTCCGAATCCTGGTGTGGGATCATCAGGAGAGCAAAATCTACTTCCTGGCCGCTCCCGAAGGCCGACCAGGACAACAGCACCTGTGGCGCTTTACTCTGGTGGCCCGTGTGGCCAGCGAACCTGAGTGCTTGACCTGCCCATACCCTGACGTAACTACCGACTCTGAATCCGCCTACGGGGACGACTCGGACGAAGACGTGGACCCTGAAGACGCCCTGTCGACCACAACAACCACAACAGCGGCGCCCCGAAAGAGCAAAAAGGGCCGCCCGCCACCTCCTCCGCACCCCAGCACCCTGGTTTGGCGACCCTGTCTTTATCACACGGCCCTGTTCAGCCCGACCAAGGACTATGTGGTCGTTGAGTGTCTTGGACCTGGAGTGCCCTTTACGCGTCTCTACACCACTCGAGAGAGCTCGGACGGTCTTCGTTTGATCGCCACTTTGCAAAACAACACCCGTTTGCAAGAGAAAGCGGCAGGGATGGCTTTGCCACAAGTCAAGACCTTCCCCGTGCAGATTTCTGGAGGTTACCACGCCAGGGTGAGACTTCACCTGCCACCGGGCTTGCGAGAGGACGAAATAACGCAGTACCCGCTCGTACTGCACATGTGAGTCTCCTATTATTATAAAAACGAGTTAAAGATGAAAATGGTGCTAATTAGCTCTTAGAGAAGCTGAACATAAAAGTTAGTGACGCTTGGCCAATTATAAAGAATTAGGTCAGCGGATCTATTATTTGAAAAAGGACGATATGCGCTTTTTAGGTTAAAGTGACTTTTTCCAGTCGTTGCATAAAAATTTATTTTAATGCTCTATAAGTTAGAGTGCTCGTGTTTCCACAAGTGCATGTAATTCTTACAAAAATGAAAAAAAAAATATTTAACCCAAGAGAGAGGATAAGACATATATAAGAAATAATAACATACCGTCATTTCATGTCACTCGTTTAAAATATAAATTTAGAAAAAAAATCGTTCTGCCTCTTCATTGATAAATTAATTAAAAATTAAAACACTTTTTCTCTAGCTACGGAGGCCCAGGCTCGCAACTAGTGACGGAGCGCTGGAAGTTGGATTGGAACACGTATCTTGCGTCCAAACGTGACTATATTGTAGCCCAAATTGACGGACGTGGGTCTGGCGGCCAGGGAGAAAAATTGCTGCACGAAGTTTATCACCGCTTAGGAACCGTCGAAGTCAAGGACCAGTTAGAAGTCACGGAGTAAGAAAATGCAAAACATTGCGAAATAATTTATTTATGTCAAAATTGTTCTGACAGGTACCTGAGGGACACTTTCCACTTTATTGATAAAAGAAGGGTGGCTGTGTGGGGTTGGAGTTACGGCGGCTTTGTGGCCGCGATGGCCCTGGGAAGAGAGCAGGACATTTTCCAGTGCGGCATTTCCGTCGCTCCGGTCACCAATTGGAAGCTTTACGGTGAGAATTTTTATTGAAATCGTGGACAAAAATTCTGAAACAAGTGTAAATATTCAGATTCCGTGTATGCGGAGCGCTACATGGGGTCACCAAACGTGACAGCAAACTACAAAGGGTACGACGAGGCAGACGTGACGAAGCGCGCCGAGCTCTTTCGTGATAAGATGTTCTACTTGATTCACGGCACCGCCGACGATAATGTGCACCTGCAGCAATCGATGATGCTGGCCAAGGCGCTGACCGCCAAGGGGGTGCTTTTCCGGCAACAGATTTACCCCGACGAGAGCCACAACTTGAATGGTGTCAAGCGCCACCTCTACCGCTCGATGGCCAATTTCTTGGACGACTGCTTCCGCAAGCAGATGCCGCCAGACGCCAAGCCGGGCTTGAAAAATGACTAGAGTGCCATATCCGCAGAATTTAGCAATATATTCACACACCTACTAATTAGCAATATTAGGGACCATGGCGAGGAACGCCTGTACATATTTCAATTTATTGATCTCATCGGTTCCTCCTTCCAATGGCCGCCTCTTTACATTTAACTACAACTGACATCTTAACAATGATGAAAGATGGAAATTAATAATTAAAAATTATTGCAGATAATTGAATTGTAAGAAAAATTCTCTTCTCTCTTTGTGATACTATTAGATGAGCAGACGAGCATTGATTGTTGTTAAAATCTCATTAAAATATTGACTAAGGTTGCTGTAGAGAAGCGCACTTGAGATTATCTCTTTAATAAATCCGATTACAATATTTTAACCCCTCTTTACTTCCACTCGACCACAAAAGAGCCACCAAGGACTGCAGTACAACAGGGACAATTATTCATCTGAGTCACTCGACACTTCCAAGAGCATGTAAACAAGCTTTGTACGCCAGCCGCCTTTCAATATTTTCTTCTTTGCAGAGCAAATATTGATTTTTTAACGCACCGCACAGAAGCCTTTGATTTATTACACTTTGCCGCGAACAATTAATCCGCGCTGTCAACGTGATTCATTACCAGAACAGATTGGGACAAAATTTCACCTGAGTGAGTAAAAATGAAAAAAAAAATGAACTCAATTTTCCACGAAATATAGAAAAAGGATTATTTTGCACAAAATGAATGTGGGGAAAAAAGATTAAAAGTGAGGAAGCCAATCGCATTGTGAGAGAATATTTTTGGTTTATGGCGCGTGTACATATTTAGATTTCTAAAAAGTAGTGCACCTATAATAAGCACGCAACCTCGACCGTTATTAAGGGGAGAAGCATAAATTTCCTCACACCAATCGATTAAGGCCGTTATTTTCAATCTCAACAGAAACTTAACTTGTAGCTAAGAAGGTATCTGGAACAAAAGATTACAGGAAGAATTAGTTTTTCTTGCTGACGCAAATTTAATCAAATCTTATTAACCAAAAAAAAATTTTTAATGCAACAATTATTTACAACACTCAGCTTTTATGCTAATGCTAAACTTCTGCTTCGAGCAGTTTTTTTTATCATAAATTATCAAAAATGACAAAAATCTATTCAATTTCCACTCAACTAATAATTCCTCTTAATTTAATTTTCTAATTTCGTATCATATAGATTCAGGTCTAAAGTCTATTTTTATTATTTTGTTATAAACACAAATATGTACATGTTATTCCTTTTTGATATACAGTACATCATATATTATACTCGTCAATTAAAATTGTTTGAAATAAATATAAACAAAAAATCGTTTTCTTTAATCGAGCAGAAATTTTTCATTTTTGAAATTTTTGTGTTTTTTTTCTAAAATCATTAAATATAAATTTCATAATTTTTATTTTCAATCCGCTCTGTTATTTTTCCCAATAACCTAATTTTAAAACTAATTCACGCTTTTCATAGAGCTCTATTTACACACTTAACTCTCAATTTTTTGTTTCAATTTTAGGACTCCATATTGACATAGTCAAATCAAGTCCTCTCGACAATAAAGATTTTTTCGATTGTTCGAGGACAATTGGAAAATTAAAATTTAATCACCATTGTTGTAAATACTTGAACAATTTCGACGGTGTGTTTAACAACAATCTAATTTAAAATTTCTATTGCTTTTCCTTTAGTATAGCATTGTTCGTAAACAAACCGTCTCTTTGGTTACGCGTTCATTTAAAATTACAAACGCAGAAAATTCTTAAGTCATGGCGGATCATTCCGTACTCCCTGGCCGCGTTTTCGACGATCCTAACGTGAGCACTTGAAATTTATATTTTCAAATCAGCAGCCTGGAAAATGACTTTTTATTCTACACCTCGGAATTTTTAGAAAACTCGCTTCCATGTGCCGCAAACGCTTGGCTACAGAAACGGCGTTCCTGTGCAAACTTTGGTTGTACAAGGCATAGGTCAAGAGCCTCTCGACGCGCAAACTGTGCAGTATTTGGACAAGTGGCAAGTTTGCCTCGGCACGTTAATAATTTTTTTGCATTTCTAAACCACGGCTCATGCAACATCAGGGACTCAAATTTGTTCTACGGGGAATGCCGGCGAGCGCCAAAAGTCAACACGGTGCACCCGAAGTATGAAATCTATGAAAACAAAGCCCTCGCCTTCCGTGCCTTCTGCGTGGAACCAGTCAAAGGTCTGATGGAGGACGAACCGAGAATCCGGCACGTCTTGCTCTTCTATCATCTCGAGGATGACACCATCAGCATCATGGAGCCTCCAGTCTCAGTAATTTATTTAACTCAATTTAATTTTAAAAGTTTTTAGGATTTAAATTAAACCATAAATTTTAAATATTATCTCTTGAAAGTTTTGAATTTTTCAATTTTAATTAAAATAGTAAAGATATACTTAATTTATAAAATCAGAGCACAAACGTTGTACTTGGAAACTTAAAAACGTCGGTGATTATTGTTGTCTTTTGCGTAAATAATTAAAACTGTTCACTACTTAACCGCACTTCCTGTTAACAATATGCAATTAAATTCTGCGCAAATCCCTTCCCTCCGTCACGTACTTGATTTGACGAAGGTCAAACAAACACTTGTCTCTAATTTGAAATTGCGAGACGTGCTCAACCCCCTGAAACATCGTTGGGCATGCAACCGGCGCGGCACGTAGGCCATGCAATTTGCCTGAATTTTATTCAACTCTCGCCGTTCTCTATCAGCAATTGTTGTACATATTTTTATTTTTCCTCAACGCTTGCGAATGGGAGGCCAAATGTTCGTTGGCATTTTACAACTCCGCGTGGTAATGCCTTTTTCAATTTGATCTATGACGCTGGTTGTACATGGCATTGCATTGAAACCAAAAGTAAATTCTTTAACTAAGCCACCATATCATTTCATGATAAGTATTTGAGGTATTAAGAAATCTACAACTGGAAATAAAACAACAGTTAAAATTTACAGTGCCCTTGAAGAGCAAAAACATTATCAAAATGGTCTTTTATGCTATCAAAAAACCAACGTTCTCAATTACAGCAAATTAATTTAAGCGCAACTTTACTTCAAATTGCGTGAAGATTTAAATTTATTAAAATTTTATAGCTGACAAAGAGAGATAAACATTTAAATCTTTAATTTTTATAAAAATCAAACAAAATATCCTAACATTTAGAGATCATTTTTTTTTTAGGGGGGAGATTTCCTTGAAAATTTGATTAGCGATATCGTATTTTTACAATCAATACGATCATGATTTTATTCAAAATAAAGTAAATGTAAACTTCATTTATCGATGAAACCTAATCTAGATAGCAATTATAGAAGCAATGAATTACAGGAATTAAATCACGGAAATAGTTATTGGGGATTTCGGGGGATTTATTTATAATGTTTAAATTCAAAGTCTGCTTTTCTCAAAGGGATTGACATAAAGAAGAGAACAATGTCTTGCATTAATTAATTCATGAAAAAATCAATTACTCGAAAACCCATTCAGGTAAAGCCGACGTTTCAAATTATGAATCAACTTTTAATTTAAATTGATTTTTTTCTTTGCAACGACGAGGTTTGCCTGGTTTTAATTTTTCGCAACTCTCATTTATTTTTGTAGTTGAATTTTACGATCGAGGGTTGATTCATGGTGATTTGAATTTAAAGTCAGCTTTCAATCTAATTTATTTATACATATTTTTAATGCAGATAACTCTCAATCGTAAAGTTCTTCTACTGCTTCTACATATATACTATTAAGTAGTATTGTAATTTGATGCTTGTTATTAAAACTCGCAGAATTAATTTTCAAAATCTCCTATTGAGAGCAACAGATTATTTTCTGAAAAAATTACCCAATGAATATCTAAATTACTAATAGTTGTTAGAATTAATGATAAAGAAAAGAAATTTTTGATATCGTCAGTAATACTATCTAATAAAATAAAGCCGAAAAATCTGTTAACGGGTGAAGTGTACAAGTACATGCTACATGTCGGGAGAAATCGAAAATGAAATCACGCTACAACAATAAGCACTGATGGAGATCTGTTTTGTGTTTGACCCCGGCAGAACAGCGGGTGCGTGCAGGGCAAAGTACTCAAGCGTCATCGAGTGCCCAAGGCCGGCGACGAGGACGCCCCTTTTTGGCACTGGACCGACCTGAACGTGGGTGGCCGAGTGTGGCTGTACGGGCGCACTTACCAATTAGCCAGTTGCGACGCGTTCACCAGGGTCAGTGTGTCACAAGAATCGCCCCTCTCGTGCGGCGATGCTAATTAATGGGGTCGAACGAAAATCGATAATTTTATTACAGGAGTTCCTCGAGAGTCACGGCATAGCAGTAGCCGCCGAGATTGAGGTGCCGCCTGACCCCTACACCCGACAGCAGACGCGCGCCATGCAGCAGCAGATGGAGGCCCTCGAAGCCCACTCGCCCTCCGCCAACCTCTACCAGGGCCTCGACAAACTCGGCCGCTTCCTCGCCTTCGACCGGCAGGTCCTCAGGTTGGGATTTTTAATTTATTTATTTTATTTTGATAAAAAAAGGACAACATAATTGATTAATTGATTAACGGGTCAAAATTTTGGGTCAAGGTTCTTCGCCGTTTGGCAGGACCCTTTCGACCCCCAGAAGGAAAAGCGCTACTTCAAGGTGCTATTCTACCTGGCCGACGGCACCATGGAGGTTCAGCCCGAGTACAAACTCAACGACGGCCACTACAAGTACCCGAACCTGCTGGCCCGACAACTGCTGCCGCGCGGAGGACTTCTTCCAGGTAAAGGTTGTACAATTTCTTGTGAATATTTTATGCACGAGGAGAAAGCTTTTCGCGTGTGTGCTGCTTTGATGCATGCATAATTCTGCTTGAAAAGTCGATTTGTGCTTTTGCCCCGGATGCTTATTTGATATTAATCTAAAAAATTCACAGTATTTTTGTATTAACACTGCAGTAAAATTTCACAATTTCCTTGATAGCGCTAACTTTTTGAATTAGGGCAATTCGCGGTTCCGGCGCCGTCTTTCAGTCAACCCTAGCCTATACTGTACCATAATTTGAATAAATTTCTAATTGCCGTGTCAAAAAGTTGATCATGCTGAAGCTTAGACGGTTTTGTATGAATTTTTTATTTTAAAATTGAAGTGAAATTAGAACAAAGATTAATTATAAAATCCACCAAAAAAAAAGGAAATTTCCCTTAAATTATGTAGTTTATCAGCCATGAATCTGCACATATTTATAATAAATCAAAATCTCTGTTGACTGTTTGGGTTTTCACGGGACCCTTTCTTGATTAAAATCACTCAGCTTGAGTAATATTGAGGTTATAGATTTTTCATTTTTTTATGAACCCTACAGCAACCAATCAATATAAAGTGGTCTTGAAAGAGATGCGCCCCTGTTCTAGACCGTCTTTATAATAATATTTATTGAATAAATCAAATCAACCTTGGGCGATTTAAATTTTTGCTATCTATATTATTCCTTATAACGAAAATAAAATGTAACTAAAAAGCTTGAAATAGAACATACTTTCTGAGTCAAAATAACGATTCAACGAATATATTTGATCGTTTCTTTTTTCTTTTATTTTTAAAGCAAATAATCCAAAGAAGCATGGCAAAACTGTTGTCTGGTGTTTTTCTTTTTTTTTTTAGCAAGTTGTCTTTCATAGACCTACCCTCTTTTGGTGTACTGTTGAAAATTTTGTTTGACTTCTAATTTCAACCACAATTTGCATTAGTTTTGACACCCTCTATTTTGAAAACATGATACATGAGTGCGTTTGTTTTCAATCAATTTACTAGCGGACCTTCCCTCCTTCCGCGAGATGGACTGCTACATTGCCGAAGACCTGCAGGTCGGTTCGGAAATCGAAGTGCTGGGCCGGCGACTTTTGCTGTTTGACTGCGACGGCTTCACGCGAGACTACTACGCAGCCCGCATCGGCATCGTCCAACCACCCGGCGTGTCCACCGAGTCGCCGGCGCCGCCACCCACCGTCCACAAGCTTCCTCCTCACAACGGATTCGGCTCCCCAGAAGACTCTTTGAGATCGTGTTTGCACCTGGTTCCTCGGCGGCCGTGCCCCTCGCACCCCGGCCCTGACGACCGGCCCTTGAGATACCTGATGCGACTCGACTCCGAGAGGCCGTACGACCTGGCCAGGCGCTTCGTGCTCAGCTACCAGACCCGCTTTGGGTATTGCACAATCACAGAACTGAAGGGACGCAACTCGGGACGAGAGGGCGGCCGCTTCTTCGGACCCAGGCTCATCGAAAAGCCCAACAACGACCCCACGCTGCCTCAGCCCGAATACTATGGACCGTCTGATTTTGCCATAGGTAACACATTTAAATTGCAAATTTTGATTTTTTTTCTTCTTCTAATTTTGAAGTGTTTTTTTTTTACTTGGTTTTAAGCAGCAATATTTTTGTACTAATCAGTTTTACATTAAATTTGTCAAAAATTTACTATAACCCTTTTACTGTAAATTAAAAAAAGGGTGTTTTACTCGCTCTCTTTTGGTCTTATAAAAGTTTTGAAAATTAAACAGTGAAAAAAAAACATCATAAATAATAAAGTTGAAAAAGCGATTTGGTAAAAACTTGTGCAGCAGTGAAAGGATAAAAATAATTTGCAAATAAAAAAAACCATATAAATATTTTTGATTGTAATTTAGAATTATATTAAAATAAGTTTTAATTTTAAATATTTAAGTTTCATTAACTTTTTAACTCACGTTAAATTTAAATATGCAATATGAATCTTGACTTTCTGACTGAAACTCATTTAATTTGCACTGATGAAAATATTGCTTCACTTAAATTTGAAACTTAAACTGCTATCAATAAACGTTTAAAGTTTAAGCTAAGCGGATTTATTGCAGGTTCCGAGGTTGTAGCGGCGAGCTGTCATTTTATTGTGGTCGGTGCAGACTTGTACGTCTACAAGTATGTCAGCGAGCGCCGAGGCGTTTTCCAGGAAGAACTCATTCAAAATCTGGCCGACCACATGCACAAGGAGGGACTGCTCAAGGAAGAAAACAATTAAACTCTGGATTGCACTGCACAAATAAATCAAGAGATTAAAAATAAAAATTTTCATCTTATTTCCATAAAAAGGAGCAAAAAAGATAATTTGTTGTAAAATATTATACGTGTGTGTAAAAGCTAACAGCAAAATTTGAATAAAAATCCCTCTGACTAGCTTTCTGGTTTTGACGAAAAACCGCATATTATCAACCGGAAAGTCCAATCGCTCGCCAGTCTCTCACTCTCTCCAAAGCATTTAACATTCACAATCGTTTCGTTTTAATAGCAATGGTGGATGATGAAGATAAATATGGTAAGATTATTCCCATTAGTATCATTAGTATTGTTGGAGTTAACTTGTTGGCGCTCATTATGAATTACTCTGAACGATTCTCTATCTTTATAATAGTCTCAATAAGAGTACACTTATATTAAATATTTATGTATGTTATTTTTATGTAGTTTTTTATTTGAAATTTTTACTGCGTTTAAATTTTTAGAATTTATTTATTTGTTTAAATGTTACAAAATTTTTTTTTTAAAAAGCCAGAATTAAAAATATAACTCTTATTACCGATTTCTTCATCTCCTGTAGAAAACTGTTTACAAATTTTATACTTGGAAATGAAGAAATCGGACTTGTCCTCGTTGTAAGCTTTGTTATCATAAAAAAATGCCCGATTTCGTTCTTAATCATTTCCATGATCATCACCTTGTCAACTTCTTCAAACAAATTTTATACTTGTTTGATATTGATATAAATGGATTTATTGGGTTTGAGCTCATCAAATTTTTAGTTTTATTGCTTTATCTAATTTAAAATTTTATAAAACTTCTTCAAATTTTTACTACAATTTTTATTTGCATGAACCAGGGCGCGGCGCAAGTTTTGCCCGCAAAACCAGCCGCCCACAGTTGATGCGAGCCCTGTCCGACTTTGAAGGCAAAACCATTCGACGAAGGTATGTGTGCTTGGGCCTGTTTGTGCTTGTGGGTTTGATGGCCAGCATTGTTATTTACGGAATCGTGCATGCCGCGTCCTACGACTCGGACCATCCGACTAACTCGACAGAGACTCCCGAAGGAGGTCCATCGTCGCATAACAACGTGGTCACTAGCGTGGTTCCGGATAGTGGAGAACCTAGTGGCAAAGAAGAAGGAGGAAATTCTACCACTGTGGAAGAAACGATGCAAACTGCAGAAATATCAGATGCAGCGGCGACGCCGCCAGAAGAAATCACGGAAACAACAACCAAACTTACTACTACACATTCGACCCATGAAAGCACCTCCACTAATGTTACAGTTCTTCATAATAATTTAACTACTTTGACAACTGCACTTTCTTCATAATTTATACTAATTTTACCAATAATTTTAAAATTTTATGACGAAATGATTATAAAATAATTATTATAAATAATATATCTGTGATTTTTTTCTGATTTATGGAGTTAATCCTTTTTTTATGCAGTTGATGCCGGTGTTAAATTATTTTAAAATAATTTGCGGTTCAGAACGTTTTATTTCTTCTTAATTTAATAAATAAATATGAAAAAGTAATGTTCGCATTGCATTACGATCAAAATCGGATGAGGAATAACAGAAAGTCGAAGAAGGGACTGCAGAGTTTTAAACTTAACGAGTTTTACATATTCATGTAAACGCAGTTAACAGGTCGAAATTAGAGAAATTTAGCCTTACCTTGTGATGAGTGGGATGAGTCAGGCTGTGAGTACATAAAACTTCAAAAGATGCAGAAAATTTCATCTTTGACGATCATCGAGGACGATTCTGAGTATAAATTGTTTTAGAACGTATTAGTGAATGAGACTAGTTTTCTGCACACACAAAAATACACAAGGGTTTACGTGTTCTGAAAGCTAGCCGCGTACAAAATTGCAAGCATGGTAATGCAGCGGCAGCATGGTTTTAGTTTTCACGTTGGAGTTCGGTCACCACCAAAGCCAAAAAATACATACAACAACAACAACAACAACAACAACAACAACAACAACGAGTTCGGTTTGGTGTTTGGTGTTGACACTGTTCATAAAGGTTGAGGGTAGTGGCGGGTCGCTGCGCCATCTCGTGTGAAATTGGAGTCTGCGATCTGCTCTTGTAATAAAATCTAAAAAATCACAACAACACATAAAAGATCCTGTATTTTTAATCCTGCATTTCTTTTTTAATATTTTTGAGATTGCGTAGTGATATTACAACAAAAAAATCAGATTTTTTACGTAACGCGTTTTTTTACGCTAATGTGAGCCATGCGCTATTCCCGCGGAATTTAAAAAATCTTTTTAGTTTGTACGTCATCCGTAATCCGTAAATAGCGCTATTGCTGCATGACACGGGATTTTGTTTTCTAAGACAAAAAGAGACGATAATAATGGCGTTGGCCGGTGTTGTCGGTGTAAATCCTCGCGAAAATTTCACATTCAGGAAGGAACCTGAAGTTCCTCTGGACGTCCAAGGCCTCACAGGAAATCTCCAAGATGGCTTGCAGCTTGCTCTTCCTCCTTTTGCCAACGTAAGCCATATTTTGAAGCTTTAATCCTGACGACTTTTAATGCCCTGTCACCTCTCCTGTCAAAAATTAGCCGGCTGAAAATTTGGCCCAGTTTGGCACCGATGAGCACGGAAAGGGAATCAAAATTCGCTTCGACCACGGCACAACCACTTTAGGTTTCAAATACCAAGGAGGCGTCGTCCTTGCTGTTGACTCCAGGGCAACCGGAGGAAACTTTATTGGTGAGAAAAACAATGAGAAATTTTTGTAATTTATTTTCATTTTCTTGCCAATTATTAGGATCCCAGAGCATGAAGAAGATCGTTGAGATCAATGACTATCTCTTGGGAACTTTGGCTGGCGGTGCCGCCGACTGTGTCTACTGGGACCGAGTATTAGCAAAGCAGTGCCGATTGTATGAGCTTCGCAATGGTGAACGTATTTCCGTTGCTGCTGCTTCAAAGTTGATGGCCAATATGGTGTACAACTACAAGGGCATGGGCCTTTCAATGGGCATGATGATTTGTGGATGGGACAAGAAAGGGCCTGGACTGTACTACGTTGACTCGGAGGGAACAAGGACGGAGGGAAAGGTTTTCTCCGTTGGATCAGGCTCTATCTACGCTTTTGGTGTCTTGGATAGTGGCTACCGTTGGGAGTTGTCCAATGAAGAGGCTTACGAGCTGGGGAGGAGGTCCATTTACCATGCCACACACAGAGATGCTTACAGCGGTGGCATTGTCAGAGGTAATAGAACCAACCTTTAGGAAAATCGTAGTATTTATGATTAATTATTTCAGTGTATCACATGACTGAGCAAGGCTGGAGGCACATTTCTGATGAGGACTGCAAAGACCTCCACTACAAGTACGCTGAAGAGAAGAAGCAGTAATGTGATTTTCACATGTGTTTGTATTGAAATAATTATTAAATAAAACATTCATGATCCTTAATTGGGGTATTGCCTCAGATGTCTTTATTAATTTAAGTCGGTAACACTGATGAATAATGACATTCATTACTTATTACTACCACATGATATTATCACATTCAAGGGTTCAACCCAGTGAGAACACACAAAAGGATAGGCCGAGAAGGAATGTAGGCCGAGGGAATGCTAGAGTAGTGATCCATGATTGTCTATAACTACTTTGACGTATGTCTCAGGTGCCAGACCCACCTTCTTCACTGATCAGGGCCAGGCGACCATCGTATTCCCTGGCTAGAGCCGTCTTGCTCTAATTTAAAATTGTTAAGAGATGAAGAAGAAAAAACAAAACTCTCACCTTTAACCGCTCTTCTTCAAGACGAGCTCTGACTTCTGCATGTTGCCTCTCAAGGTCCTCTTGTCTTTTGCGATAAGCCTCTTTGAGGCGCACCCGTTCAGAGACACCTTTTTCGACAATGCTGCTAGCGACTTCTCTTTTGATTCGTACCAATTCATCCTTGTCTTTGTGAATTTTTGCCAGCGCCTTGACCTCATCTCTACGCACACTTTCAAGCTTTTTCATTACTTCCGCAGTTTCTCTTTCCACCAGCGAAGCTAACAATTTCAGCTGCGCTGCCTGCGATGTCTTCATGACTTTTTCCAGGGTAGAGAAGACCTAATATCGATTTTATGAATTAATCATGGAGCCTCATTTTGAAATTACTTACCGCCTCATTATATTTTTCTTGCAGATCTTTTTCCAAGGCGAGATGCTCACGGGCCAAGTTTTTAGCTCTTGACTCCGGATCAGTCTCAGTTGGCTCTTCCACCTCACTGGAAATAAAATATTCATAAAAATATCAATTTTTAATGCAAAAAGCATATTACATGTTCTTGCTTGAAAGTCTTTTGACTAGTTTGTGGCTCATGTAGAATTTTCCCTTGGATTTATCAACTTCCGGAGCAGTTTTGTGCCCTCCAAACCTTGCCTTTTCTTTTTCTTGCTTTTTGCGGAGACTTTCCAACTTCTTTTCTAGCTCTAATTTCTTCTCTTTCACAACTTTATTTTCGAGCAGCTGCTCAAATGTCTCAGCGGAAATTTCAGCAATGGCTGATGCAGATATTGGATGAATTGCAGGCCCTGGGCTGCCTTTGGCAGCTGGACTGCCCTCTGACAACGATTCCACAGATTCCGCCTCTTCCACCTGATTAGGCTCTGTCTGGTTAATCTGAACAGACGCGCGAGGCAACGTTCCTGTTCCTGCTGCACCAATTGAAGGCAATTCAGAAGATGTTGTGGAATGAAGTTGAGAACGTCTTGCTTTAGTTGGCATGCTCTCTTTGCTGGCAGTTTCATCTAACACCTAATTTAAAATTTCCAGATGTAAATAATCTTTAAAAGAAAATGCAAATATAATTGGTCACCTCTTGAATGTCCTCCAAGTCATCTGTTAGAACGCTTAGCTGTTGAGCACGTTTTTCCAGTTCAGACTGATACTTTATTGGATTTGCCAAAGCCTCTGCAAAGTCTGATAACCCATCTGGTACATAATCTTTAACAACAACATGAACAAAAACCGAAGACAGCCCCAATGGCTGGCCAAATTCATTTCGGAGGCCAACTTGGCGGTATCCTGGGCAAAGACCAAGAACGGGTATCACTCGATGGCCTATAATCCTGCCAGATTCTTCGTATGCAGCCAATCTTATAGTTGCTAGCTCTGGTAGAACCACCTTTTTGAACACAAACGGCTCTTCATCATAACATGGATTGATTCCATTAGCTGCCACTATCTTGGTTTTGAACCTTTTTCGCACAGTGTCGGCTGGTAAACCAAACATATCCACCTCAATGTAAGTTCCAACTCTTTTTTCAGTCAGAAATTGACCAGATATGACCTATAAAAAAATATTCACTTAAAGATTTCTACAACTTTCAATGTGGAATTGTCATCTGATTAGATGAAATATTTTTCTTTCATCTTTTGAGGTATTTTTAATTATCTAGTAATAATGTATGCATTCATGCAGAATTTAGCAGCAGAGCTTTTTACAGAAGCCCTAGCTTTATTAAGTAAACTACTGTTGTGTGAAGTGCGGAAGTGCCACTCAGTGTACCTGTACTGAAACAGTGCCGGCAATTATGCCATCTACTGTAGACTCGGCAAAAGGATCAAACCTCCGGTCTCGGCGGCGCATGTACTCTGGTTTCAAAAGGTAGCCACACCGCTGGTTGTACTCAAAGATGCCGAGATTTAACTGCATTGCCAAATCTAGTGATTGATATGAAGGAGTGAGAGAGGTGCAAGGGAAAATAATCTAGTGCTGGGGTGCTACCTAGGTTCTGGTAGTTCAAAGCCACCAGCTGGCAGCCAGCGTTCCAGAACACTTGGGGCATGAAGTTGGACGAGTCAAACCTGGTGCCCGCGGGGTATACCCTGCTCAGCTGGTACTTATTGTAGTTGACAAATTCAATGGGGCGTTCTTTTAGCAGGGTTGTGGCCTGCTTCTCGTCAAAGGAACTCATTTCATAGCTCCGCTTTTTTTCTGAATACAAAAGCAGGCATGTGTCAGACAATAAACATCAAAGAGAATTTCGTCTCACTTTCAGCATTTTCAAAGGAAGTGAAATGCACTGGCTGCACATAGTTGACCAGGGCAGAGAGCTCTTCGCCTGCCTCTGTTTCACGGGTTGACTTTTCATCTGGCACTTTATTTGCAGATTTTTCAACTTCCTCTTCTTCCTCTGAGCTGCTCTCGTCTTCGTCGTCTAAATAAAGTTAATTTAATTAAATTTACTTTAAGAATAGCGAACTATAGTTTACCATTGGGATCTTCATCCTCGCGACTGTCTCGGCTGTTGTCTTTTAGCAAAGATGGAACTTCACCGTTCCCGTGCTGAGTGACAGGTAGTGCTGACGCAACAGCAGCTGCAGCGAGACCGCTTGGAGCAGCATGGCCCTTCTTATGATGCTTTTTCTTGTTTTTTATTATGATTTTACGACGTAGAGCAGCAGGTGGTGGAAGAGCACTGCCAGGTTCTAACTGGAATAAGGTGGAACACCAAAGTGAGTTAAATAACTGTAAGACGCTGGAAAATAAGTCAGTTTAATTTTAGCTATAATATAATTATTTTAAAAACTGTTTTTTTTTTATCTTTAAGCATTTTTATCTTTAAGCAATACCTTAAAAGAATCCAGGGGCAGTTCTAGAAGCATGTCCCCAAAGAACTCGCGGCAGTACTGGGCAATTTTAGCTTGTTGGCGGGTATTGCAGTGGTTTTCAAAAGATAGAATCACAGGGTAGTCGGAAGTCTTGAAAGCAGTCTCTGCAATGGCTTCAATCACTTCCTTTGCAGAGATCTCAGGTACAAAAGTGTAGCCGTGCACAATCACTGGCTCCTCTGTGCGGCCATTCCAGAAGTCGAGCTCTACACATCGACAGCCTGCCAGCAGGCACTGCCTATAGATTTCGACTGAAGATTTTCCCGTCAGTTGATGGCCTGTGAGGTAAGTGTTGTGAGAAGAGTTGATGAAGTAATGAGGCAGGGGGTGGTCCATGTCATCCAACTGATAGGCCTTGGCAGACGAAACAATAGGGTTGTCTTCACTCAGCAAATATCGCAGGAAACCGTCCTGACTCAAAACACCTAAAAATGTGCATACCCAAGAGTTAAGATTTTTGGAGGGTAGCTCAAGCTTCTTGATTAACTAATGGCAAAATGAGCAAGGGTTACGGTAGGCCAAATAAGTGTGCATTGTGCATATATTAGATGCAAGCTCTGATGAATTTAGTAATGAATGTGCTTTCTTTTTGAAAGTGAAAAACCATATCATTGCCAAAAAAACTACAGCATAAGGAAAAACCTCATCAATAGTAACCTTGAGGGCAGTTCATCTTGAAGATGTTATCTTTTGTAAAATCGTAACTCCAGCCCCCAGGCATGCAGTGAATTAAAAACAACATGCAGATGATTTCCATGCAATTCTACCTCTCTGGGCGTTGCTTTTGTTTGGTTCATGTTGATTGATGAGATCTTTGGCTCGCTCCACGTTGGCATATGGGTACAAGATTTCATTGAGCCGTGGGTCTCGTTGAGATTTGTTCAAGAACTCCACAAACTGTTCAGCAGTCATCAATTTGCGCTTTGAGCCGCAACAACTAAAATAAAGAATTTTCTAAACTTGCAGGTTAATTTTCATACTTCAAATTTTACAGCGAGTCAAAGATAGGTTCCAGCTCTGTTCTCTGGGTAAGGTTCTTATATAGTGTAAAAAAGTCTTCGTATTGAAATTTTGAAACGGAAACAATATCATTCTGCAAAGGTACAAAAACAAATTGATTTATTGTCACTCGACCAAAACCTTGTCAATTACTTTTCCTGAGAGTAAACCAGATGCCTCCAACGCTTTCTCCACTCTCTTTCTGTCTTCTTTGTTCTGGGCAAATGTCTTTAAAATGCTGAAGAAAAATAAATAATTATAAAATTAAGTTTACTCTACCCAAGATTAACAATGACGTCTTCTCACTTTTTTACAAGTATCTTGCCAGCTTTGTCAGCCATGAGTGTGAGCTTTGTATGTGCTTTTAGTAAAAACATCGAAGTGGGCCCATTGAGTTGCACCAAGTTGTAAGCCAGTCGCACCACTTCATTGGCCCACATCTAAAGAATAAAGAGCACACTCCATGTAACATAGCAGAGAATATCGTTGGGGTGGGCGCAGCCACAGGTGGCCCTCATGCACAAAATCACTCACCTCAGCTGTCTCTTTGTTTGAGCAGCAGAAGTTGACAAAGTTGGGGTTGACGAAATCAGATCCATAGCAGACCGTCAATGTCTTGTCCTCAAGGGGCTCCTGGGACCCCATGCAAACCACCTGTCTTAACTTCGGGTCCTGAGAATAAGTTTAAATTTAACAAAAATCGATGGTTGATTTCTTGAATTATGTTAAAAATGAGATTCAAAAGTAATTCGTTAGGATAATAGGGATAATACCTTTGGTATTTTAGCGTTTTTCCCATTTCTGGTGTCCCTGACGGTGACCAAATCAATCATGTCAACCTCCTGGATAAAATTAATCAGCAAAAGACAAATAAAATTATTCTGCTTATTACGTTATTCTGATCCGTCCAATACAGATAAAAACCATTGGGATCTACCCTCAGGGTCACAGGACACCCAACTCCAGAATCCTACAGGTATACAAGACATAAGGTATCGTGTCGGTGTTAAGTACATAAGGCCCCCCAAAGGGCAAGTAAAAAACTGGAGTGCCAACCTCATCCCAGCGCACAAACTTGTCGCCTTCCTGAAGGGCGCGGGGCACCTCGAGGGGCCGAGCCCCAGCTCTGGGGACGGCGGCGGCCATGGCCCGTTAGTGGCGGCTGCAAGTGCTCATGGTGCACCCCGAATTTCTGCAGAGACCAGCCACAAATATGCCAATTCTATGCATCCGCCTGATGATCGCCTCGGAGTAGGCTAGTCTGGGAACGGCGGGATTGGTCGCTGGCAGCAGCTCCAGAGCCGGGACTGCCAATCGATAACGCGGCGGCAACTCTTGAAAGTTGCACACAATGAACCTCCCCCGGCCTCCAGGGGTTTTTAATTTGCAGCCTTTAAGATAAGGCAGCATTGTGAAATGCGTTGGGAATAAAATACAGTGTATGGTCGGTGACAAGAGCATCGACTTTTGTAATGAGAAAAAATCCTCAGGCCTTTCAGTTTGTATTAGTCTGTGTTTAATTTGCTCCTGGGCGAACCAGACTAATTAAATTGAGAGACGTTAAAGTTGAAGCCCATAATAATTCAAAGATCATAAAAAAGTTTAAAAATATAAGATAATGATAAATTCATATCATAATTTTGCTTTTTTAAATCTGCTGAAACTAAATTTTTTTTTGTAAATAAGTTTGTGTGCACATTCCAAGTTTGGGAAAGATTCATACACATTCAATTTTTAATAAATTACAAATTTATTTGTTAATTATCCTTATTTAACTACACTTTAGAATTCAGTCGCGTATTCATCATGACCCTTAATTGGATTGCCTTGGAGGATTGAGATTATCATACTGTAATAAAGAAATATGTTGGGTTATATTAAATTAAAATTATTTAAGCTCAAATTCTTACCAGTATAAATAAATGAAGAATATTACTAAATAGAAACCTAGATAAACCATGCAATCTCTCATGTGTTTCTTGAGTTGGCCTCTGTTATGGATTTCAGTAGGGTCGTAAACCCCTGTGTTGCCCATAGGCACAGTCACAAGCCTTAAAAAAATTAATTATAGTACGGTGATTTTTATTATTTAAAAATAAACTTACTCGTAAATAAGCCAGGCAGTCATGGGTAGATTAATGAAGCAGAGCAACCACCGGCCATGCATTAAAAGGAAGAGATTGAAAACTCCTTGCGCCGCAATCTTTGGAACAACCCACTGAAAATGAGAAAAAAGTCATATTAGCCATAATAGCATCATAAAATATTTTAAAAGCTTATTGCATAAAAAATTGATGGAAAACTTACAAAATTCAATTTTGAGCAGCATTGTTGCGCGTTCAGGTAATCACATTCCAAATCAGAGAGCGTGATGATCTGGAAAAGAATGTTCATGTTTCATTTCTAGAGATGATTTTCTTTAAATTCATGTATATTTACAAAATAGATGAGCAGGAACAAAACGGCTCCCACATCAATGAGACCAAAAGCGAAGAGGATTGCGTCCGAAAAAATCATGGCATTCCAAGAAAATTAAAGACAGTCGAAGTCAACCTACAATAACAAGCCTTCTTAACCTATCAATCTCCAAGTCCTGCACCGCAGCACTTCTGTTTTGTGTGTACTTGAGGCTCTTTTTTTTAAATTTGTTCAAGCGTGTGTCGGTCTCGGTCGATCAGAGTAGCAGAAGGCGGCTTTCTTCTTTCTTTCGGCAGGTCTGAGAATCACGGCCAACCCACTTGCTTGAGCCCAACAAGAACCAACCAGTTTTTGCCGATGACGATTTGACGATCGATTGGCTACGCAGACGTCATAAGCAGTCATACCACAATATTTAGCTGAAAAGAATTCTTACATTTAAATTTTTTTAGCGTTTTCATAGGAATTAAAAGAGATCATATTTATACTTTTTGACAATTTTTTTTTAAATCATTTCGATTCTTTAATAATTTGATCTGAAAAATGTGAATTGTAAAATTTAGAGTTGAAAAAAGTTATGTTGGTAAAGCGGTTCTCAGCCACTCCTCTTTTCTCATCTTTCCCATTTCCATTCTTGACCACTTCAGCTTTCAGCTCTCCACCAAGTAATACACCGCTCCAGAGTCCAGAACACCGCTTGAATAAATTACAAGAATGGTGCGTATTGAATTCAAATCTCCTGTTTTTGCTTTTGAGAGAGTGTGCGTTCATGTTTTTAAGGGCTGCTTAATTGCTTTCAACAACAGTGTGAAATTGAAAGAAGAGTATGTCAATCACTTTCCCCTACGGTTTGCCATTGACCTTGCTTTGACTTTAAACAATGTCATTCAAAATAACTCGATATCCTATTATATTGATTAAATATTGACGCAGCCACATACGTTTCTGACCACTTCTAATACTAATAAAAAGCTTACTTACTAAATACTTGCAAATATTTACATAATCACGTGTTTTAAAATGGGCTTCCAAAAGCTCTTGACGTGTTAACTTTTCTGCCGGCATTTTCGCTAATTTATTTTTGTTATTTTTATTTATATTAGCAAGCGTCCTTGTTAAATTGAATTACTATAACCTGCTTCACACTTTATTGATAAGTCCTTAACAGAAGTGGATTGAAGCTAAAACCGTTCCTAATTTTTAGTATTTTTTTACCTACGCAAAGTAGTTTTTTGGAAAAGTACAAAATGAATGAAGTCAAAGCGCATCTGGCCCATCATAATATTTAATATTTATCTGACCCCTCCCCATACTTTGCATCCTGTAATTCTTGTGTCATAAAACATATTATCATAGTCATCCATTATGATTATGAATGGAAAGGGGCCAGAAAATAATAATGATTGAGGCTAAATTTACATCTTGATCATAAAATTCATAGTTCATCATATTTATTGATCATATCTGATATTTATTTTATAAAATACATAGCAAATAGCATCAGTTTATCATCTTCAAAAAATAATCCCATTCAATCAGGATTATTAATTCCACTATCATCAACGTCATAAATATATTCCATAAATTAATTAATTTTTTATTTTGTTCTGCGGTTATCAAAATTTATATTTTTCTTCCTATATATTACTATATATTCCTCCTTATATATTAGCATAATAAAAATTATGAAAAAAAATTATTTATGGAGAAAAGTGACTGGGTAACATAACGAAAGTACCTGCTCACTAGTAAAAAGTTTAAACTGTTTTAAATCATGATGGAATAATTTTTTGCCTTGGTTGATCAAAAAATGTTCGTCTACGTCTATTATCGTAAATGATGTCATGTTCCCAATAAGTGAACGTTTGAAAAATTATTTATGTGCGCACATAATAATTTGTGGATACACACACTGTAAAAATTTATCTGATTGTAATGGCTCAATAATTATTGCAGAATTGCTGTCGTGGAACTCGGCCACAAAATTCCTATGACAGAGAGGTTTTGACTCTGTCAAAATTTCCTTTAGAACCAAAGGTTGCGGTAATTAGTAAAAAATGGGAGATTTAATTTAAAATAATTACATTTCTTCAAATTTAACAATTAAAAATATAAAATTGCATGGCGCAATTTTCTGTTGGCTGCTGTTGTGTCTCTTCCAGGATACTTAGGGCACCTATAACTAAACACTGCACTTGCATTTGCATTGATTTGAATAGTAAAAATCATTTCAATTGGTCATCTTCTCAATGCATTGTTAAAAATTGTTTGCTGTAAGAGTCTGTCATTTATTAGAAAACGGTCGTCGATTCAAAGGTTACTGTCAAACAAGCTGATAAAAATCACAAAGTAATAATAGATTACAAAAGCACACAATGAAATTACAGCAGCCTTGTTTGGTAGATCTTGATTGTCTGTTAATAAATTTGATTTCCATCACTCTATTAGTTAAATTAAATATAGTTGTATTAAAAAAAATCTCATCCAATATTTTTGTTTTAGTCTGAGCCCGTTCGCGTGGTGGTAACCGGCGCCGCCGGCCAGATTGCCTACTCCCTACTCTACATGGTGGCCAAGGGCGACGTCTTTGGACCGAACCAGCCCGTCATTCTGCACCTTCTTGACATTCCACCTATGATGGGCGTCGTGCAAGGCGTCGTCATGGAACTGAGTGATTGCGCCCTTCCCCTTCTGCGAGGCGTGGTGCCCACCGCCGACCCTGAGGTGGCCTTCAAGGACGTAGAGGCTGCGTTCTTAGTAGGCGCCATGCCCCGCAAGGAGGGAATGGAGCGCAAGGACCTGCTGGCCGCCAACGTTGGAATCTTCAAGGTGCAGGGACAGGCTCTCGAGCGCAACGCCAAGAAAACCGTCAAGGTGCTTGTTGTCGGCAACCCCGCCAACACAAATGCCCTCATCTGCTCCAAGTACGCACCTTCCATCCCCAGGGAAAATTTCACAGCTATGACCAGGTTGGACCAGAACCGTGCCACCGCCAATATTGCCGAGCGCCTCAGCGTTAGCTGCGCCGACGTTTCCAATGTGGTCATCTGGGGCAACCACTCAAGCACTCAATTCCCCGACGCCCGTCATGCTTCCGCAGTGCTCAATGGTGCAAAAGTCTCTGTCTACGAGGCCATCAAGGACGACAATTACCTGAAGACTCAATTTGTTGAGGTTTGTTATTTTTATTTTATTTGTTTCTGGTTCTGACGCTAGACAATTTTCTAGACAATCCAAAAGAGAGGAGCTGCTGTAATTGCGGCCCGAAAATTGTCTTCGGCAATGTCCGCTGCGAAGGCAGCTTCGGATCACATGAAGGACTGGTGGCAGGGCACTTCTGATAAGTGGGTGTCGATGGGTGTCATCAGTGACGGGTCTTACGGTGTACCTGCTGATGTCGTCTTTTCTTTTCCAGTCACTTGCTCTGATAAGAAATGGACTATTGTTCAGGTATTTTGTTTTGCATGGTGTAAAATAATTTGTCTAAAAATAAACTATTTTTCTTGTCGCAGGGTTTGGAGATTGACGATTTTGCCAGGAGCAAGTTGGACGTCACTGGCAAAGAGTTGCTTGAAGAGAGGGAAGAAGCTTTGGCTGTTTGCCAAGACAGCAACCTCTAAATTAGGAGCACCGATTTTCTGCTGTCTGTGAAGCTAACGAAACCAGTGGTTATTTGCAAAGTTTATTCTTCTATAGAGGCTCAAAGAAATTTTTAGGCAACAGAATGCATAGTCTTTTTAATTGGTTTTAACTGGCTGTGCACAAGCAGAAAAAGTAAAGATATTATATGGAGCACCAATAAAATCATGTACTGAATTAGTGCAAAAACAATAATAAATAAATAGCATTTTTGTTACAATTATTTTCCGCAGCAAATATAGATCGAGATTATAATGAGCAAATTTTCAAAAAAAAAAAAAAAAAATAGTATTGATAAATTAAAAAATTTATATTTTAAGGACTCGTTATTGACATAGTCAAATCAAGTCTTTACAACAATGGTTTGTTAAATTTCCAATAATTGCCCAAAATAGCTTCTATTGTTGAAAAGACTTGATTTGACTATGTCAATAAGGAGTCCTTAAGAAGAAATTTAATGAACTAATTATTTGGAATTATTAAAAGATAAATTTAAAATTGAATAATGGTTTTATGGTTATTTTATATATTATAAAATTGTGGTTTTAATTCATAATTAATCATTCATTTAGAAGTAATATTATTCAATATATATTATATTATTATTCATCAGTTATGATTTTTTTTTAAAAGCCGGTTTTGATAAATAGAGGATTAAATTGCAACGTTGCGGAAAATTGATAATCGCCAAAACTACGTGACGTCAATCCAATCTCCTGCAAACTTGCGCAGTCGCTATGACCTCCATTGCAAACCTGTGAAGCAGAAAACCCGCCAATGCGCGCCATTGTTATTGTCCATGTGTTATTGAGCTGTCGTTAAAGCACAAAATTTACTCTACTTGGAAACGCCGAGAAATCCGCTAGTTTCTCTTTAAAACTACCAAAAAGATCAAGAACAATGTCTTCAGAAGGCGGTCAGAAGGATCAAGAGGTGACAATGGTCGACGTTTTGCAAGAGGAGCAGGAACGGGAGCAAGATGCGAACGCCGTCCTCGGCGGATCAGACGACCAGCACTGCACCTATTCTTCCGTAAAGCATTTTTAATTTTTTGCTTTAAGTATCAACAGTCTCTAAAATGTTTGTTTGCAGGGCTACGTTCCTCGTCAGGCCCTCTATCTGTGCACAACTTGCGTGGCAACCCAGGGAGAAAATCAGACTCCTGCTGGCATCTGTCTTGCTTGTTCGTACAAATGCCATGAGGGCCACGACCTTGTGGAGCTCTACACCAAGAGAGCCTTTCGCTGTGACTGCGGAAACTCAAAGTTTGAGCACAAGTGCCGCCTAGAGCCTGTAAGTTTACTGCTAATTAAGATTAGGAGGACACATTTCTTAAAATATTACATAACACAAAATTTAATCTATAATTTTTACATGATTGTTTTGATATTTATGATGTATTTCCAGGAGAAAGAAGCTTTCAATGAAAAGAATAGCTATAATCAGAATTTCAAAGGAGTCTATTGCACTTGTGCTAGACCCTATCCTGATCCTGATGACGATGTCGAGGATGAAATGATCCAGTGCATAATCTGCGAAGACTGGTACCACACCAGGGTAAGCATAAAATTAGTTATTTAATTAGGCTTTCAAGCTCATAAGAGGCAGTGTAAATAAATTTTATATCGTGATTATTTTTCAGCATCTTGGAGAGGGTGTGTCTGTCCCCTCAGAGTTTTCGGAGATGATCTGTGGTTGCTGCATGGGAAAGACACCTTTGCTTGCTTCCTACGTTAACAACACAGCAGAAGTTGTTGCAGACTGTCCTTTGAAGGCTGCTGATGCTCCTGAAGTCAAATCAGTCACAACATTTTGGCCTGATGGCTGGCGTAGCCGTCTCTGCAAGTGCGAAGATTGTCATGTGAAGTACAAGGAACTGAAGATTGAGTATCTTTGTGAGGAAAGTGACATGGTCCAAGAGTATGAGAAACAAGGTTTGAACCAGCCCACTCAATATGAGCAAGGCCTTCAAGCTCTCGGAAACATGGACAGATCTCAACAGATTGAAGTACTCACAGGTAATAGTTATTTGATGAGAAAAATATAATAATTGTTGAAACAAAAATTAATAATATTTTTCCTTCCTGACTAGAATATGCTCAGATGAAAGAGGAACTGAAGTCATTCCTGGCAACCTTTGCCGAAGAAAATAAGGTCGTTACTGAGGAAGATATCAAAGAATTCTTTGATGGACTGAAAGCAAGGAAGCGCAGACGTGTGGATGGTTCCGACTTACTTGCATAAATTTAACCATTGCGCTACAAGTGCGCTTCATACCTATCCTAATGAAAGAGTATTTTAGTTTTCAGGCTTGTTCATACAAAAATTTTCTTGATATCAGATAAACCAGTGACATGGAACAAAAATTTAATAGCTATTTTTTTACAGTCTGAAAAATGGTATTTGATTTCTAAAAGGCTGAATTTTGTGTAAAAGTTAGCGTCATGTTTCATTTTCCAGACGTGTTGAACTATTTTCGAATCTTTGCATCGCAGGAATGGATATAATTTTTGATCTTACTTTATAAATATATGATGCATGACGGTTCCAGCCCTTAGAGTTGGCAATTTTGTTAATAAATTCTCAAAACATATTATTCTATTTGAAATATTTCTGTAATTTTAGAATTCAGTACAAAATTAGTACTCATTTTTTTATTCTTAGCATCACGTGTAGGAAGTAGGAAATGCATTTAAGGATTTAAAATTCAAACTAAACTGTAATCTTGATGAAAAAATAAAGAAATTAAAAATTATTCAAAAGATTATATTGTACGTTATATAATAGAGCCGTAACTTTTTTGCTACTTGAAAGACTTTGGGTTGATTTTAATACAGTTCATATAAAAATAAACCGAGAGCTGCGTAACGTAATTTGGGCAATAAATAAAGCAACTTAAGTAATGCGCGCTAATTCCGGACTATCGGCGCCGAGCCGAGCATCGGCTCGACTCATGCTTGTGGCCGCTGCTTCAAAATTTGGTGCCACCTATGCAGTCTGTGATTCGTGCGCCCTCAGCTGCTGCGGCCATATTGACGATTAACAATGAATGCTGCTGCTGAGTAATCCGTGAGTCGTAATCATGCATTTGTGACGAAAATTGGAGAAATACTGGAAGATTCGAGGGCTGTGATAGTCTAAAATGGATTTGTGATCCCTCGTTCAGGTAATCACAGCATTTATTCAGATCAACTCGCGTGCATTGTGCCCAAATTTGACTTGACCCCGTTTGGTGCAGGGCTTTACTCAATCAACAGCCCTTAAGTGTCGTCATTTTTCAGGGTCAATCGGACGCCAAAAGAGCCCAATAACACAAGATTCCAGTTGCTGATCAAACGGAACCAAAGCCTGCAAGGTGAGTGCTTTATTTGAATGCCAAAAATTTTGTGGACTTTGGTGTTTCGTGACGTCATTGGTGAAAGCCAAAACTTTCCTTCCGTACCGTGGTTCCGTAGGCCATATCAAGCTCATCCGAATACTTATGAGTTGGTATTCCGACTAAAAATTTTCGACATTAATTTATTCTGGTTTAATTATGCTGTTTCCAAGCCTTTATGGCTTTACGTCGGTTTTTTTCCCCGAAAAAGCTGAAGCTAAATTTTACTTGGACTTTTTATCAAATCTAAAGTTTTCTAGTTGAGCGCGTTCACCATTAATTTCTCACAATTTTATTTAGTGCTCAATATCCTTAAATAAAATTGAAATTTATTTGCAGATGGCTGAGGTGGATCCAGAAACGTTGCTGGAATGGCTCAACACGGGCCAGGGTGAGGAGAGGGACATGCAGTTGATTGCGCTGGAGCAGCTGTGCATGTTGCTGCTCATGTCAGACAATGTTGATCGCTGCTTTGAGTCATGCCCCCCGAGGACTTTCCTCCCGGCCCTGTGCCGAATTTTTTTGGACGAGTGCGCTCCAGACAATGTACTGGAGGTCACGGCCAGAGCCGTCACTTATTACCTGGATGTCTCTGCCGAATGCACCAGACGCATCGTGGCCATGGATGGCGCCGTCAAGGCCATTTGCAATCGCCTTGTTGTGGCAGAAGTGGCTTCCAGGACTGCCAAAGACCTTGCAGAACAGTGTATCAAGGTAACACAATACTGCTGAGTTGTTGGCGATCATGATTAGTCTCACTTCCTTGATGAAGCCGTATAAAATATCACCCACCGGCTTTGAATGAATTGATTTCTCTTGGAGATTGGAAAAGTATTCCATTCAATTTTTAAAAGGTCCCATCAAGAGCATAAAATAAAATTAAAATTGTTAAAAATTTGTTGAAAAAACCAAATGCTCAATGAGTCTTAAATTTACTAAAAATACGAATTTTTGTCTTTTCTTAGGTCTTGGAATTGATTTGCACCCGCGAAGCTGGTGCCGTCTTTGAAGCTGGCGGCCTCAACTGTGTGCTTGGCTTCATCCGAGACCATGGCTGGCGTGTGCACAAAGACACGCTCCACTCGGCCATGGCCGTCGTCTCTCGATTGTGCACCAAAATGGAGCCTCACGAGGCCTCCTTGCCTGCTTGCGTGTCCGCTTTGTCCGACCTGCTTAAACACGAAGACCCGCACGTTGCCGACGGAGCTCTGCGCTGCTTTGCTTCCCTGGCGGACAGGTTCACCCGTCGAGGAGTGGACCCTCAACCCCTGGCACAGCACGGCCTTGTTACTGAGCTGCTTGTGCGATTGTCGTCTGCTGCCGGCGCAACGCCTGCTCTTCCCAGCACTCCTGGAGCGGCTGGCGCATCCTCCGCCACTCCAGAAACCTCAAAGTCGTCTGCTTCCGTGTCTACCATCATCAGTCTGCTGTCCACCCTTTGCAGAGGCAGTCCGGGCATCACACACGATCTACTCAGGTCTGAACTGCCGGATGCCATTGAAAAAGCCCTCAAGGGAGACGAAAGGTCAGTCAAATTGCTTTTGAATGAATACATTGGAGTTTGTTATTTACCTCATTAGAGAAGGCATTCTCGAGTTGATGGTTGAGTTATTAATGCCGCGATCAATAGACGGTGACATCAAACGCTTACATTTTTATTCAAAAATAGAAATTTAAATGTAGCTACAAGAATAAGTTAAAAATGAAGTCATAATTATTGATCCCAGAGGGCTGTATAATATTCTCAAGGAAGTGCTTTTTTCACAAAAGAGCTGTTTCTCTAAAAATAATTTGTGCGAAAAATCGTGGGAACTTGGTGAAACTGCATTGTAATTATTATTCATTCACACCAAACTGTTATTTCACTCTTGTTGTCTAGCCGTCTCTCATTAAATTTTTCCCTACCTTGCAGAAACACCGTTTTCTGCTTTGGGAAAATTTTGCTCTAAGTTCATATAAAAACATTTAATACACTTTTCTTCCTAATTTAATATATTATAGATAAATTATTTAATTATTTATTTTATATCATTAAATTACATTAAATTCACAGTGCACAATTATTTTTTTGTGGTCTTGGTGACGCACCTTATGTATGTTACACATCATTTATTTGGACACGCTACATGACTTGTCCTTGATTAATTTTATTTTATTATCAAATCAAATAAATGCTGGTAAGCCTACTAGATACAAAATAGTCATTATAGTGAAATTAAAAATTGTATCTCTATCTCATCACAATTAGTTGAGTGCAAATTGCCATTACTTAAATGTTAAATGAAGTTTAAAATATAAATATGATGTGGTGAAAAATCCCATAATAGGTTCATTTTGCTACCAAAATTTGAATGCAGCTAGTGTTTAAAACGTTTTTTTTTTCAATTGAAGGTGCACACTGGATACTATGCGCCTTGTCGATCTGCTTCTTGTCCTCCTTTTCGAAGGTCGCAAAGCTTTGGCCCAGAAAGGCTCAAGCGTGATCTCGGGAAGCCAACTGCCTCGTCTCCGCCGTATGGAAGGCGTTGGAGAAAAAACGCATCGCCAATTAATTGACTGCATCCGTAGCAAAGACACTGATGCTCTAGTTGAAGCCATTGATTCAGGAGGTAAGAAACCGCACTAATCTCTGTGGCATGATTTTTAAGTATGGTGTGTGTGCGCGCAGGCATTGAGGTCAACTTCATGGATGATGTGGGCCAGACCCTTTTGAATTGGGCCTCGGCCTTTGGAACCCAGGAAATGGTAGAGTTTTTGTGCGAGCGCGGCGCTGATGTGAACAAAGGTAATATATTTTCTGTGCAAAAATTAACCTTAGGTTTTGGATGAGTGATTGTAATCAATTAACAAGTTAATCCACTCATTCAAATCATTTAATTTCATCATTTCACTCGCCAGTCGACTCTCATTGGAATAGCTTTAGATGTAGGACTGATTATTTCATTTGGATAATTATTAGGCCAACGCTCGTCATCTCTTCATTACGCTGCCTGCTTCGGCCGCCCGGCCATTGCCAAAGTTCTTCTAAGGCATGGTGCCAATCCTGATCTGCGCGACGAAGATGGGAAAACGCCTCTAGATAAAGCTAGAGAACGTAATGATGAGGGTCACCGAGAAGTGGCAGCCATCCTTCAATCTCCTGGCGAGTGGGTTTTAGAGAAAGAGAAAAAGCCAGAATGTGAAGCCGAGGAAACTTCCGAGCCCAGAGGTGACCCAGACATGGCCCCAGTTTATCTTCGGCGCTTGCTGCCTGTGTTTTGCGCCACCTTCCAAAGCACCATGCTACCTTCTGTGCGCAAGGCCAGTCTGAGTCTTATCAAGAAAATGGCACATTACATTCAGCCAAATTTACTATCTGAGCTTTGTGGTGGTGAAAACAACTGCGGATGCATTGTTGTCGAAGTAATTGCTACGGTGTTAGACAACGAGGTATACCAAAGTCATAATAATAATGGGCAGTTTAGTTTTTAAAACTAAAATATTTCAGGAGGATGAAGATGGCCACCTTGTTGTCTTGAATGTGATTCAAGACCTCATGTCAAAGGCACCAGAGGCTTTTCTGGATCACTTTGCTAAACTAGGAGTTTTCACAAAAGTGATGCAGTTGGCAGGTCCACAAGAGCAACAACAAGAGGCTGCTGGAGGTTCAGATGAAGCTGTCGCTGAAGATTCCTCTGTTGAAGAAGCCAGAGAGATCCTGATGGGAAAAGCTTACCACTGGAGAGATTGGAGCCTGTGCAGAGGACGCGACTGCCTGTACATGTGGAGTGATGCTGCAGCCTTAGAATTGAGCAATGGAAGCAATGGATGGTTCCGCTTCATACTTGATGGGAAGCTTGCTACAATGTATTCAAGTGGCAGCCCTGAAGGTGGTGCAGACACCTCAGGTGAGAAAAATTAAATATGTTTATGTGTTGTTTTACTAATTTCACAATTCACAACCAGGAAAAGGACGAAATACAGAGACCCTTACCACTGAAGGTAATTAACTCATCCTTTATCATAATTCATTAACAAAATGTACTAAAATTACTAGCATTGCAAAATTTAACTTTTTATTTAATTTTAGAGAGTAGAGGCGAATTCTCGGAAAAATTGCAAAGGGCCAGGTCTCAAGTGAAGCCGAATACTCCTACCCAGCCAATCTTGAGCAAGCCAGGACCAACTAGATTGGTTGTTGGAAACTGGGCAATTGCTTGTAGGAAAGAAGGAGAGCTGCATATTCACAATTCTGACGGCCAGCAGGTCAGCATTAAATTTTTATAAGTAAAATGCATCACTACAGTTTTTATTTAGCAGCAAGCAACAATTTTAAGAGAAGATCTTCCTGGATTTATTTTTGAGTCAAACAGAGGCACAAAACACTCATTTATTGCTGAAACATCTTTGGGGCCTGAATTCTCTGCTGGATGGACTGGTAAACGAGGAAAAAGACTGAGATCCAAACTTGAAGCCATGAAGCAGAAGGTATTTAACTTTTAATTTCTAAAAATCTTTACAAGTTTTAAAATTCTTTTTGTATAGGTCAAGGTTTTGGCACAAGAGATATATGATAAATACTTCAGAGCCGCACAGGCACAACCTCGTGGAGTTGTGGCTAAACTAGGAAATATTGTTGCACAGATTGAACGTGCCTGCCAAAAACAAAGCATGCCAGCCCGAGAGTACGGCGCTGGATGGAGAGAGCTGCTGACAGGAGCACTTAAGGAGTTAGCTGCTCTCCTGAGAGAGGAAGGAGTGGTTTCTGCCTACGAACTGCATAGCTCGGGACTGGTCCAGGCACTTCTTGGCTTGCTTGCCACAAGTCGATGGGACGATGAGTCAAACGGACGTCGAGCCAAGCTGCACAAACAACGCGTGCATCTTTTTAATAAGTGTTTTGGAGAAGCTACTGAATCCGCAGGACCTAGCTCAGCTCTGGTTCTTGTCAGAAAATTGGTTGCTGTTCTCGAGTCCATAGAAAAATTCCCTGTTTACCTGTATGATACTCCGGGCGCTGGTTATGGTCTCCAAGTTTTGACTAGAAGGCTGCGCTTCCGCCTGGAAAAAGGAAATGGGGAAAGCTCGCTCATAGATCGAACCGGAAGAAGCCTTAAAATGGAGCCCCTCAGTACTGTTTCTCAACTTGAAAGGCACCTGCTCAAGATGGTGGCCAAGCAGTGGTACGACTTTGAGAGGTCAACATTTGCATTTGTGCATAAATTAAAGGAAGGGAGTGACATCACTTTCAAGCATCAACACGACTTTGATGAGAACGGCCTTTTGTATTGGATTGGCACCAATGCTAAGTATGTTAATCAAAGTGTTGATGGATTTTTAAATTAATTTTCTATCCTTATTTTCAGAACATCTCCTGAATGGGTCAATCCTGGTCAGTATGGTCTGGTTGTCGTTACTTCCTCGGAGGGACGAAATTTGCCTTACGGCCGTCTTGAAGATATTTTAAGCCGGGAATCATCAGCACTGAATTGCCACACCAATGATGACAAGAGAGCCTGGTTTGCTATTGATTTAGGAGTATGGCTTATCCCTACAAGCTACACGTTGCGCCATGCAAGAGGCTATGGTAGATCTGCATTGAGGAATTGGCAACTTCAGGTATTATACCATCAAAAGATTTTTGAACTGGTTAGGACTGATTTATTTTATTTCAGGTGTCTAAGGATGGCATCATGTGGACTACACTTTACAGTCATTCTGATGATTGTTCTCTCAATGAGCCTGGAAGCACTGCATCGTGGCCTCTTGCTCCATCTGCTGAAGAAACTCAGGGATGGAGACACATTCGAATTCAGCAAACAGGCAAAAACGCATCTGGCCAAACGCATTACTTGAGTTTGTCAGGGTTTGAAATCTATGGCACTGTGACTGGAGTATGCGAAGACTTGGGTAAGTTGTATGAAATTTAACTGCAAGTTTTAGGTTCTATTCAGTTATTTTAATAAAGGAAAAGCTGCCAAAGAGGCAGAAGCAAACCTGCGCCGTCAACGTCGGCTTCTTCGGACACAAGTTCTGAAGCACCTCACTGTTGGAGCAAGAGTTGTTCGCGGCTTGGATTGGAAATGGCGAGATCAGGATGGAAGTCCTGCAGGCGAAGGAACAGTGACAGGTGAACTTCACAACGGTTGGATTGATGTCACTTGGGACCATGGAGGTTCAAACTCGTACAGAATGGGCGCTGAAGGAAAATACGACTTGAAGTTGGCTTCTGACCCTGAAGCATCAGCTGCCCCTAAGAAAAAAACAGAGGGAAACAAAAGCAGTGTACTTACTAGCAGAAAATCAAGCTCCACTCCTAGTTTGCCAGAAGCCACAACTGATTCCAAAAACTCAGTGGCCAGTACTGATCAAGCAGCGTCTGCGGACAATCTGGCTGCAAAGGTTAATTGGCCCGTTAATAACATCTTAATTTATGTTCAAATTCATTTTATTTTTACAGCAAGCCGCTGAGGCCATTGCAGAAAGCGTCCTCTCGGTGGCTAGAGCTGAGGCAATTGTGGCAGTCACTGGTGAAAACCAAGCTGCCGCTGCAGCTCCTGCTTCTGGCAGCGAACTTTCTGTTGTTGTGCATGCTCTTCGTGATGCTGAACTTGTCATGGGTGGCGATCTTGCGACTATTGTTGAGAGCCTAGCTCTTGGTGAAACTCAGCAAGGCAAAGCTAACCGCAGTGTCAAGGTGGCAAGTGATGAAGGGGCGGCATCTTCGTCAGCCAACAACCAGAACAACAGTGGTAAGAAGGATAAGAGTGTGAGTGTGCCCAACCTATCGGACTTCATCACGCGACGCCGCCCAGCAGCAGCGGCGCCGCCCTCGCCCTCCCCTGCTCCATGCAGAGGTGGTGGCGTTTCGAGCCTTGTCCGACTCGCCCTCTCATCCAACTTCCCAGGTTAGCCCCTATAACAGTCCACCCTACTGACCTTTGTGTTCGTCTTGACCAAAAAACATGACTGATTTTCATTAATTATTCAAGGTGGTTTGCTGAGCACAGCACAGAGCTATCCAAGCCTCAGTTCTAGCGGATCAACTGCAGCAACCGGGTCAGTGTCCACGTCATCTGGAGCTGGAGCCTGTTTGAATCAAGCGCTCACCATGAGCTTGACCTCGACCTCAAGTGAAAGTGAACAAGTGAGTTTGGAGGTAAACTGTCAAATAAAATTTCACTCCGCTTCTTCCTATTGAGATATTCTTAGCTGAAGTAATTTATTTAACTTGAAAATTATTAAAATTGTCTTTTTCCAGGACTTCCTTGAAAGCTGTCGCGCGCCCACGCTTCTAGCAGAGCTAGAGGACGATGATGAGTTGCCGGAGCCTGACGAAGATGAGAATGATGATGATGAAAACGAAGATGATGATGACTATGAGGAGGTCATGGTTAGCAGAACTTTGCTTGCACTCATGGTATTTGTTTTCCGTCTGGACATTTCAAAGTTTTAATCTTCAATCACTACCACAGAACCAACGTATGTTTCAGGAGGAGGAAGGTTATGAAGCTGCAGTTCGTGGCTCTGCCCTTGGTGGCAAACGCCGCAGCTGGGACGATGAGTTTGTTTTGAAACGGCAGTTTTCTGCTCTTATACCCGCCTTTGATCCAAGACCTGGTCGGACAAATGTCAATCAAACCACCGATCTAGAGGTGCCTCCTCCTGGCTCTGAAGACTCATGCAGTTCAAAAGAGGCAACCCTCCTTCCCCAACCAAAGCTTAAGCTGGTCCTTAAAGGCCCAAATTTGCCTGGAGTGCCAGATCAAGAGGTTTCGTTGGAAGACCCGGACTGGACAATTTTTAGAGCTGTCCAGCAGCTGGTTGAAACGGCCGAGCTTGGAAACCGCCAAGAAAAAATGCGGCGCGTTTGGGAACCAGTTTACACGTAAGAATAAGCTTTTTAAATATTTTCTTGTTATAATCTTCTTTCTGTACAGGATTATATATAAAGAAGATTGCCAAGGATTGCTCGAGTATCCGAGACAAAAGTCAACACCGATCAGCAGTCCACTTGCAGCCTGCTCAGTTGAAGATGTTCTGCAGCTGCTGCGACACCTGTATGTGATAAGTCTCAGCAAGGATGAAAACGCTTCGTTCCTTAATGAGGATTCTGGCGAGAGGGACCTGGGAGTGCCCCCAGAGGAGTTCACAAGCAAAAAGATTACTAACAAAATAATGCAACAAATCCAAGATCCTCTCGTCCTGTCTTCGGGCGCTTTGCCCCCGTGGTGCGAGGAACTGAATCACTCGTGTCCGTTCCTCTTCCCATTTGAAACGCGCCAACTATATTTCGGCTGCACTGCGTTTGGTGCCTCTCGCTCAATTGTGTGGCTCCAAACCCAAAGGGATGTGACCCTTGAGCGCCAGCGTGCGCCTGGCCTCAGCCCTCGGAGGGATGACCCTCACGAGTTCCGAGTTGGCCGACTTAAACATGAACGAGTGCGTGTGCCCAGGGGCGAACTGCCCTGGGCCGAGCAAGTGATGCGACTCCATGCGGAGAGAAAGTCTATTTTAGAAGTCGAGTTCACTGGTGAAGAAGGCACAGGCCTTGGCCCCACCCTTGAATTCTATGCCCTGGTCGCTGGTGAATTGCAGAGACGCGACCTCGGCCTCTGGCTGTGTGATGATGAAGGACCGGAGGAACCGAAAACACCCTCTGATCCTGGATATTATGTTCGAAGACCCTGCGGACTGTTCCCAGCTCCCCTGCCCCAAGACTCGACCGCCTGTGATCGAGCAGTCCGTTACTTCCACTTTTTGGGCGTTTTTCTTGCTAAGGTCTTGCAAGACAACCGGCTGGTGGATCTGCCCTTGTCGCAACCGTTCCTTAAGCTCATGTGTCACGGAGACATCAGGACAACAGTCAATGAAAGGATTGGCATCCTTCCGAGCAGTGCCACCGAAGAAGAGGTCATGATGTCCTCTTATATCAGTGAGGAGAGTGAAAAAGAGCTGGAACTTGACCCTCCAAAGCTATTCACTGAGGATTCAAAGCCATGGTTAGATTTAATTATTTATCTCTTTTTATAAGTACATTTTTTTATGCAACAACTTCCCAATTTTAACCGAGTAAAATATACTATTTATTAAAATACAATACATTTTATAATTTCTCCATTTAAGGTTTTCTGGAATACTGGGCCATGAAGATCTCCTGTCTGTGGACGAAGTCCGTGGATTCTTCTTGCAGCAATTGCAGGACCTGGCTGCGCGCAAAAACCGCATCTTGCAGGATAACACTCTGAGCGCTGAGGCACGCAACCACCAAGTTGCCAATCTGGCCCTGCCAGTGGGCCCTGGTGGCTCGGTGGTGCGTCTTGACGATCTTGCCCTCACCATGCAGTACCTTCCCTCTTCTCGATGTTTCAACTACGTTGCTGCAGACCTGAGATCTGGTGGCGGCGACGAAGACATCCGACTGGAGAACGTCGAAGAGTATATTGATCTCACGCTGAAGTTCTGCCTGGAGATAGGCATCCGGCGCCAAATGGAGGCCTTCAGGGAAGGTTTCAACAGGGTCTTTAGTCTGGATAAGCTGCGCGCATTCAGTCCGGAGGAGGTGCGGCTCATGGTGTGTGGAAATCAAAACCCGCAATGGACTAAGGAGGACGTGATCAATTACACCGAGCCAAAACTGGGCTACACTAGAGACAGGTAAATTCCATTATTAATAATTTTGTTTTCAATAATAGATTTTTAACTGGCAATTAATAGAATTTTATTTATTTATTAAATCTTCTCTCTTTTTGACAGCCCTGGTTTCTTGCGTTTTGTTGACGTCCTGGTTGCAATGAACGCCGAGGAGAGAAAAGCATTCCTCCAGTTCACTACGGGCTGTTCGTCCCTGCCACCTGGTGGATTGGCCAATTTGCACCCTCGCCTCACAGTGGTGCGCAAAGTTGACGCTGGAGAGGGCAGCTTTCCTTCAGTCAACACCTGTGTCCACTACCTGAAGCTGCCCGATTACCCGACGGAGGAAATCTTAAGAGAACGTCTTTTGGCGGCCACTAGGGAGAAAGGATTCCACCTGAATTAAAGCACGAAGCCTCATTCCCTGTACAGACAATGCAACAAATAAATAAATATTAATTGATCTAAAGTTAGAGTGGTAAATAAATCTATTTTGTTTTACTGATTACGCAACCTAGATTCAACATTTTTTACACAAGATTGTTCATATCTTTTATTGATATGGGATTTGCCAATGTTGCAATCATGATAAACAAAATTTGCAACTCGGTCTAGCCAGTTGGACTCAAATTTCTTGAGAGGTTTCAAGCGATACCAAAGTACGAGCCTTATCTGCAGCTTTGCTAAACTACAAAAAGCCAAATTTTTTACAACCTAGTTACCATAGACTCAAAAAATGCTGAAGTACGTTGTTCTGTGTGCACTCTTGGTAGCCGGAGCCCGCGCCTCTCCTACAGGTGCCCCGGCCATTGCCTGTGATGCCATGACACCTTCCCATAATGGAACAGCTCCGCAGACTGGCCCGGCACCCTATACTTTGACTGCCACAGCTATTGATGCCCAAACTGTTCAAGGTTTTACCTTATTTTCCATATATTTCCTGTGAAGTAAATTTAGTTTATTTAATATTGTAAAATATCGCATTATTCTAGCTAAAAAAAAATTATAGTATTTTATGGAATTAATATTTTGCAGTATCCATCGAAGCAGACGCTGGTGTCACTTTCAGAGGATTTTTCATTCAGGGCCGTTCTGTCGATACTGACACCGCCGTTGGCACATTTGCTCCTTCTGCAGATGCACAAAGCATTGACTGCTTCTCTAACCCAGCGGTAAAAAATTATGGCATTTTATTTTTTGATAGTCAGTTTCTCAAATCTTTTTGATTTTGAACACAATATAAAGAAAGAGAAGTGTAAAAATATGATACATTTTATTGCAGTCCGCCTCAACTCACTTGGATAGAACTGACAAGACGTCGGTGTCTGTTCTCTGGACAGCTCCTGCTTCTGGCGAAGCCGTGAACGTTGTGTGAGTTTTTCTTATAACTTTACAACAACACGTACATCGTCTAATGATATAATTTATTCTTTTTTCGTAGTGTAAGCATTGTGCAAACTTTCAACGTCTTCTGGGTGAAGATTCCGGTCACAATCCTTTATTAAGCTTTTTGTGCACAGGTTGTTAAGCCAATAAAAACTAAAGTAAATAAACCTTCTTCATATTTAAATTTACCCAACTTTTTTAATTTTTCAATTTACTCCTTCGATTATTGATAAAATAAACTTTTATTGAAATTATATTTTTTTTATGAAGATTTAGTAAATTTTTGTATTTTGTTCTTAAATTTTACACCATTTATATCACTAGCTTAGAAACCTCTAAATTAGTCAACCAATAAACACGTAACTTTCTTTGCGTCAAAAGCGCCTTTTTGATTATATTTATCGCTGCCACCTTGTGCTTAAGTATAATAAATCTCTCAAGACTGCAATGTTGACTAAATCACTGTTAATCGTGACAATTGACATTATATAGTTCAAAAATATTTTAATTTCGTCTTTATTTGTCTGGTTTTGCTAGCCATTATTTCATTTTTAAGAGTTTATATAATAAAATTTTGGCAATTAGAACAAATTCTAAAAGTTTCTCAAGTGGTTCTCATTGTCAATTCCAAAGTGATAATAAAACGCACGTACTTTCTTATCGTGAGCTTTGCCAAAATATAAAAGGCCTAATTTTCAGCAACCCGTCCATAAGTTCACATCTCCAAAATGTTGAAGTTCGTTGTATTGTGCTCTCTTTTGGTGCTTGGCGTTCGCGCCTCCCCTGGAGGTGCTCCGCTCTCTGCGTGCAATAGCATGTCACCTATTCATGGGGGATCGGCGCAAACTGGCCCAGCGCCTTATACTGTGACTGCAACTGCTATCGACGGCCAAACTTTTGAAGGTTCTAATTTTTACACACAAACCAACAAAAGCTCTTAAATTTTCCCATCGCAAGAGAATTTTTTTGGCGGATAATTATACTGTTTATGTGTTTATTAATTTTATTATAAATAAACTGTTTAATTTCTTGCTGGCTTGCTTATATTGTCGATATAGTTGCTATAATTAAAATTTTCAAAACTTCGCAGTGTCCATCGTAGCGGACGCTGGCGTCACTTTCAGAGGATTTTTCATTCAGGGCCGATCTGTCGATACTGACAACGCCGTTGGCTCATTTGCTGCTGCTGCAGACGCAAAGAGCATTGACTGTTTCTCCAATCTGGAGGTATAATTCTGACATCTGTTTTTAATTCAGCAGTTTTTCGTTTTTCTGTTTTCTCTACAATTTTCGTAATCCTGAAATGTAATCTTATAACATATTGCAGTCCGCCTCAACTCAAATAGATAATACTGACAAGTCATCAGTTTCTGTTATCTGGACTGCTCCTGCTTCTGGAGAAGCGGTGAACGTTGTGTAAGTATTAAATTTAAATATTAATATTTAATAATTATTTATCTTAATTTTATAAATTTAACTAATTTTAAGTCTATAAAATCTAACAATTAATTCTTTATTTGCAGTGCAACCGTTGTGCAAACCTTGAACACTTTCTGGGTGAAGATTCCGGCAACAGTCGTTTATTAAATTAAAACACAACATTTGCAAATAAACACAAATTTCATACCCTTTTTTGTGTTTAATATGATTTTTCTATTAAAGACATTTGAAAAAATCTGGTTGAAATAAGTTGTTTTTGGAAGAAAATGAATGCAAATTAAAGATATATATTGTAATACTTGATGTGGTCGCAATCACAAAAACTTAGATCGCATACATGCTTGAGAATATTTGTTTTCTCATAAATAATATTTTACGACCTCGAGTTGAAGACGATTGTGAACCCAAAATTTCTTCCTAAGTGGTTCTCACAAAAGATTTGTTAAAATATTTCTGTTTCGTCTGGACCCTCTTACTAGAGATATTATATTGATAATTATGAAAGTTTATATAATTCACTCTTGAGCCAAACTCCTAAGATTTCAAATAGTAGTTCTCAAAAGCGATAAAAAAAACGTGGCACTAGACACTAGACGCATATTGTCTTATCTTATAAGCTATGCCAAAATATAAAAAGCCTAGTTTCTAGGAAACTAGTGATCATAGGTTGACACCTCCAAAATGATGAAGTTTGTTGCATTGTGCTCTCTCTTGGTGCTTGGAGTTCGCGCCCTTCCTGGAGGTGCACCGATCACGGCATGCAATAGCATGGCACCTGTTCATGGAGGATCGGCGCAGACTGGCCCAGCGCCGTACAATGTGTCCGCCACTGCTATTGACGCCCAAACTGTTCAAGGTTTTAATTCTTACTCACAAAATCTGTAATTTTCCTATCGTAAAGGGGATATATTTTTTGGTTTCTTGTTAATTTAATATATTGAAGTTGAATTATTTTCTATTCTATGCTTATTAATATTTCGCAGTGTCCATCGTAGCAGACGCTGGTGTCACTTTCAGAGGATTTTTCATTCAGGGCCGTTCTGTCGATACTGACACCGCCGTTGGCTCATTTGCTGCTGCTGCAGACGCAAAGAGCATTGACTGTTTCTCCAATCTGGAGGTATAATTCTGACATCTTTTTTTTAATTCAGCAGTTTTTCGTTTTTCTGTCTTCTCTCAGATGCACAAAGCATTAACTGCTTCTATAACCCTGAGGTACTTCTGGAATTTTATTTTAACTGCAGTTTTCCATTTTTTTTTATCTTCCATGCTTATGTAGCCCATTGATAAATAATTCTAGAACTTAACATAATATAAAGAGAGAGAGCTGTAAAAATATTATAATTATTTTATTGCAGTCTGCCTCAACTCACATAGATAGAACTGACAAGACATCCGTGTCTGTTATCTGGACAGCTCCTGCTTCTGGTGAAGCGGTGAACATTTTGTAAGTCATAAAGATAAAAACAACCATTTTCTGCAATACTAAATTTTCATTAATCGCAAGCGCAACGGCTAAGTCATATATTAATTTTTTTTCCTTGTAGTGCAAGCATTGTGCAAACCGTGGACACCTACTGGGTGAAGATTCCAGTACCCGTCGTTTAAAAAGTATATTATTGACTCCTAAAACAAACAAAATTGTTCGTCGATCGTTTTGTTCTACAATTATGCTGTTTACTAAACTTTTCATATTTAACAATTTTAAAATACATACAATAAAGACACTAATTCAAATTTATTGCATAATTTACTAACAAAAAAACAAAGAAATGGTAATTTCACTATCAGAAAAATACCAATAAAAATCACAAAAGTTTCATTTAAGAATTTAGTTTATGGCCTTTTAATTCTTCTTACAACCCGCATTGAAAAATCCAGCCTAGGTAGAAAAATAAATTTTTCTGAAGATCTGAAGACACATTTAAATACAAAAAGATTAAACACCTTTGGTACTATAGCGATCGGACTATTTTATTATTATTAGAGTTCATAGACGATCTTGATTCACGATTGCAAAAAATGACACTGCGTCCATATCTTTGAGAATTATGTGTACATAAAACATATATTAATCACATGATATTGATATCTCCCGCAGCTTGTTTTCATGTGTTGTAGACGACTTTGTACCCAAACTTTCTGAAGTGGTTCTTGAGAAGCTGATATTATAATCATAATATTACAGTATTTGGCACATGGCAAGTGTCTTTCTTATAAGTAGATTATTGGGAGTAAATAACTAAATGATTCAAAACTGTACTTTCCACAAAATATTTTTATGAACTTTTGTCTGAGGATAAATTTTTAGAGATTTCACGGAATGCCTGTATTTCCTATTAAATTATATCGGTTGAGAAATACTTTGTATGTTGCAATATAATCAAAGTTTGTTGTTGATAGTGGCTGAAGAACATAAACAGGTTATCTTATTTTTTTGTCAAGACGTACGTTGCTTGTTTATCAATAAAAAATATTGGTTATAGGTTTGACGAGCGGCAAATTAAAGTAGGCCGTGGTATACATTTAAGCAAGTATATCATAACGAGAAGAGATTTATATTTATACATAGTTATTCATTTATAAAAATGCTATCAATCATTTTTATCTAAAATAACTGACATTTACTCCAGCAGTGGAGTTATTTGGTTACAGAAAAAAATTAATCACAATAAATTTATAGGTTCTTAAGCAGAAGGTGGGATCAGCGGCTCTATTTGGTTGATCCAGTACTCAGTAAGAGCTTTTAAAGCAGTGTAACTAAAAAATAGAAGCATTAAAAAAAAAAAAAAAAAAAAAAACGACAAGCTCTTTGATAAACCAGGCTAATTTTTTTTAAAGACTTACACAAAGTTAATGTTGTCAAGATTTCCATCAGGAGCATTCCATGTAACAGTGACATTCCATCTATCGTGAGACTCGTCGGCATGCGTTGCACAGTTCTATTTAAAATTTAATAATTAATTTTTTTTATCCGCTAGAAATTATGTAAATTAAATTTGAAGGAAACATTAAAAAATAAAATATATTAATAATTTTGATCTACACACATACAAATCACTTACTTGGACACCCCCAAGGCAATCAATTACTTTAATCTCGTTTTCAACTGGCTCAAAGGTTCCTTTGATTAGTCCGCTGCTTCGATCTCGCGCTTGAATCATGAATCCCTCAAGTATATTGACTGGATCGCCATAAATAGTAACTGTTGAAATTAAAAAAAAAAATATTGATCTGGAGTGACTGAGCTATAAGTGCAATAAATTACGGGTATATTTTTTGGGCTCGATTTCAACAACCTCGGCTGAATATGGGCTAGGTTCCGGCTGCGGTGCTGCACCATGCTGGGGAGCCATGTCTCGGCAGGCTTCTGGAGGCGCTCCAGTGGGAGTTAATGCCAGCACGCCCTCAACATGCAGAAAACTGCAGATCAGCAATCCAATATATACCTTCATGTTGAAAATGCAACTGAAAACTGCTGACGGAATAGTGCGTCTCTTTATAGGCCCCATACAATGCTATATATTGCATCGATAAGGGGGCGCTGGTTTCATGTGTTTAAAAAATGAATTTTTTATCATTTACGTGACAATTTAGAAGTAGGTTTTAGTGGAATTGATAAGCTCAAAGACACTTATAATTGAGTCACAAATTCACAAAATATAGGCACAAGCTGCTACATTATGGAATTTGAAAAGCACTCAAGGTGTAAGAGGGAGGCTATCAGTATGAAGCGTATCAAGGGACTAAATTTAAAAAAAAAAATGTATAATTATTTTTGTTTATATAACCAAGTTTGATTCAAGGAATCAACTGTCAAATTATCAATTGTATTCTTTTTTTATTTATTAGTATATTTGGAATATACATAAAACAAAATCATTATATTATTTCCAATAATTTGTTTTAAATTTTTTCTACTACTTCCTCGCCCCATTTGACTCCTGCCCGCAGTTCACCATTAGAAACTGTGGCCCAGGACATTTTATCTGTTGTATGAGCGACAGCCAGGTGACCATCTTTGCTAACTGCAATTGCACCTGCAGTCCCTCCAGTCCTTGCCGTCAAAAACTCACAAGACTGCTCAGCAGCATCTTGGACGGGAACGCCTGAATCAAATTCCAAACATTCATATATTACGCATATAATTATTTAGAATTTCCGCACCTTGCTTCATCAGATTGAAAATTGTAGAGGCTAAGCACGCTTTCGTAATGGACTCTCCGTGGCCTGTGCTGGCCACTGCCCCGACGGCCTCGTCACAATAGCCGCCACAACCCAGCAAGGGTGTGTCTCCCACCCGTCCAGGAGTCTTCCCACAAGTTCCACCTGTCGAAAGAGCAACAGCCACTCGCCCTTCTTTGTCCACAGCCACGGCGCCGACTGTTCCAACTCCAGGTGCGTTTCTGCACATTTAATTTTACGATTGTAAAAAATTAATCTATTTATAAAAATGATAAAAAATTCTACCCTTTTCTCTTATTTTTCACGTCTTCTAAGCAATTTATCTCGTAGTCTGTGATTAGGGCCCCGGGCTCCAATCTGGGAACCCCGTGGGCTTCAGCAAATCTATTGGCACCTTGGCCAACAATTAGAATGTGCTCGCTTTTCTCCATCACTAGGCGAGCAACACTAACCGCATTTTTAACGTCGCGCATGGCGGCCACGGCGCCTGAACAGAAAAAATTTGAATATTTTTGACGCCTTCATTTAAGAACAATTAAGGAAACATTACCAGCATTAAGTTTGTGCCCCTCCATGATCAGGGCGTCCATTTCTACATCACCATCAAGATTCAAAACACTTCCAGTTCCTGAATATTTTATAGTTATCAATTATAAAAATTTGATATTTTTTTTTTAACTAGTTTCCTTTAAATTTTTCTAATCTAAAAATGTTATTATTTTAAAACTATCTTGCCAAAAAATTGAAGGAAATAACACATTTCTCAGCATCAGTAACTGCATCTTATTAAGAGAGTAAAAAAAGTAAGAATTGATTTGAATAAAATTTAGTACCTGCATTGAAATTCTCATCATCCTCCATCACCCTGACAGCCGCCTCCACTGCATCCAGGGCAGATCCCCCTGATTGGTTCAACAATTTCCATCCCTCCCTGGCTGCTATCTGAACACCCTTAAGTTTGGCCAGGGCTCTCTTCTCATCAACGTCCCCCGCGCCGCCGTGGATAACTAATGCAGGGAGCATTTCAACAAAATACAGAGACTCAAAAAGAAGAGCTAATGTAGGCTACGATCGTGTGAGCGCTATCTAAGATTCTCGGAGAAAATGTTTGTGACGCGTGCTGGTAGCTGGTGCCTTTTATTTATGACATCCAGTAATAAAGGCGGGGAATTGGTGGCATGGAGAAGCTGCAGTTGAAGGTATAATAAACCAACAAGGCCACTGCAATTTACACCAACTTGTGCTGCTTTAACAGGTCCTGGGCGGCTGTTTTCGGAAAGAGCAGCTAATTAAAATGCTAAAAGCGCGAGCTTGCATGGTTTGTATAATTAAAATTGAGATTCCGCGCAAGCTCTGTCCATATATATGAACGCGTGCTTTAAATTTTGAGTGGCCTTGTTTGTTTTCCATTTAGATATTTGTGTTTGTTTATGCAACACGCTTGACTTCCTAGATGTACATGTTGCATAACCAGAAATAAACAGGCGCTGAAACCACTAATCGATTTTTTAATTACTATTTATATAATTTATATCAGAGTTTTAATAACTAAAAACGCCAAGTATGATCAACAGAATTTTTTGGAATTTTTATTAAATTATATAATACTATGATAAAATAATTACAATTTAAATGAATTTATTTTATTGAGAAGCATTCTGAATTGCCTTAATTATTATTTATTTTTTCCAAAACTGACAAAAAATATTTATTGTAATAATTAAAAGTTGAGGGGCAAACCTGTTAAGTTTTTATGTTCAAGCATAAGATTACACTAAATTTAAGGTTGTATACCAACTTTGAACTTAAGCAAAAGGCTGAATACGATCAATTAAAACCAAATTAGAGGGACACTGATCTAGTGATCTGTCGAAATTAAAGATTCGTCCGCCAGAGTCGTCAACGACTCTGGCTGGCACACACACGGCCACCGTCTAAAATTAGATCGCATGCTTTGAGTGCTACGGAACAACACGTATACCTATAAGAAGACGAGAACAAAAGCGACTAGCTCGGAGAGACACGAAAGTCTTCCGGAGATTGAAATATTTTAATATCTCCTCCAATGTCTTCGGAGGGCAAGTGCGCCGTTTGCTTCATCGAAGCGGCGCAGCAGTGCGCCGGGTGCAAGGCGGTCTACTATTGCGGCCGCGAACACCAAAAACAGCACTGGGGCCGCCACCGATTCGAATGTCGGCCGGTCAAAGTAGCCGAGGACTCTGTCCAGGGTCGCTACCTAGTCGCGACTAAGAACATATCCCAGGGCGACCTCATCTTCACCGACTCGCCCTTGCTCATCGGCCCGAAAATGGTCTGCACTTCGCCCGTGTGCCTCGGCTGCCATCAACTGGCAGCCGTCGACTGCCCCTGTCCAGGGTGCGGATGGCCGTTGTGCAGCCTGAACTGCGCCTCTGCCCATCAGCACAAGGCCGAGTGCCGAGTGATGCAGGAAAAGGGATACCGAGCCAAAATCGCAGGCACCCCGCCAATCACCGAGTACGCCTGCATCGTGCCTCTGCGGTACCTCCTGATGCCCGAGGAGAAGAAGAAAATCGTCCAGAGTCTGCAGTCCCATCTGGACTTCCGCAGGAAGACTCCTTTGTACGCAGTCCTGCGAAACAACGTGGTCGGATTCCTGACGCAAGCCCTCAAGTTGGAAGCGACGGAGGATGACGTCCTGGGTGTTTGCGGCGTGATGGACACGAACGCCTTCGAGATCAGACGGGACGGCGGCGTCAAACTCCGCGGTCTGTACCCGCTGGCGTCCATGATGAACCACGACTGTGTGCCCAACACGCGCCATGTGTTTGACTCGGAAGACAAGATGCTTGTATTCGCCACCGTGGACATCGCCAAGGGCGCCGCCGTCACGTCGACGTACACCCAGGCCCTGTGGGCGACGCACCAACGCCGCGCCCATTTGAAGACGACCAAGTGCTTCGAGTGCCAATGCCTACGGTGCTCCGACCCCAGCGAACTGGGCACCTACCTAGGCGCGATTCTCTGCTCCAAGTGCAACGGCCAGGGCAAGGTTGTGTCGACGGCGCCGCTCGACGATACGGCGCCCTGGAAGTGCTACAACTGTGAGGCGCAGATGACCGCCAAGCAGGTCACGTGGGGCAACCAGGCGCTGCAGAAGGAGTTGGAGGCCATGGACAAAACCGGACCGCAGCAGCTCGAGGCCTTTTTGGAGCGGTACAAGGCCATCTTGCATCAGACCAACAGCCATGCCCTCCAGGCCAAGTTGGCGCTAACACAGATTTACGGAAACACTCCCGGATACTTGTTGCAGGTATACATTTTATTTTAAATATCAAAGTACTATTTAAAAAATTTTGCAATGCATTTTCCAATTTTATTTAATTAATAGAAACATGTTTATTTTAAAATTGTATAATAATCTAAAATTGGCTTAATTAAACATTTTATTTACAATATTTCTTTGGAAAAAAAGGAATACATAAAATGTAATTTATTCTTACTAGTTTTCATTTTGTATTTGCTGATTTAAATTTATGCAACGATTGCAAAAGTAAATAAGTATTGTAAGCGTGACCGAGCAACTTTTACAATAATTTTTTAATAATACAGAAAAATTGGGTAAAGATGGAAAAATCTGCGATTCTGAGCGCTCGGTCAATATCAAAAGCCGATATTTAAGGCTTTTCATTGCTTTTCATCAATAATTATTATTATTATTAATTATTCTTCTCAGTTAATACAAAAATTTTAAATTGGGAAAAAAAGAGAAGAAAGGGTTTACAACTAGCATATGTCTGCTAAAACGCCCGACATCAAAAGAGACACGGCCGCCACGGTAAACCCACATAAATTATTAATCAATTGCAAGCATGACCAAGAAACATTATTTACAATGCTTTTTTTAATATAAAGAGAAAATAGGTTAAGATGGAAAACTGCGATTCTGAGCACTTGGTCAATATAAAAATCCGTTTTTAAAAGCTTTTCTTCAACAAATTATTCAATTGCAAGCCTGACCGAGCGGTTTTTCAATGATTTTTTAAAATAAGAGAAAATTAATTTTCTCCTCAAAATTTGTATGATTTAAAGAATATCTTACAATGTTAGTAACATTTATTATCGCTTATTTAGGATTTGAACGATCTGCAAGTGGAGAGAAAGTTGCAATTGACACATGACCTCCTAGACGTGGCATCAGTTCTTGAACCGGGCAGATCGCGGATCAGAGCCCAGCTGCAACTGGAGCTCCAAGCGGCGATGGCCCTTCAAGCTAAGCTGGATTTTGAAACGGAAAGGATAACGCGCGAAAGGGCAGAAGAAATTTTAGGCGATGCAGTTGGGCTTTTGAAAGAGGCTACCGAAGTTTTGAAAACGGAGCCCGATATGGAAGGCAAGCTGCAGGAAAAACTAATGATTTTGATGCAACAACTCGAATTGGACGGCGGAGTAGATAATGGTGGCGAAAACGAAGCTATCCCTGAAGGTCCCAACGACGAGCATGCGGCCGTGCAACAAGCCATCGATAACAGTAATGAGGAACCAGTGATCGTTAAACCAAGAGCACCTCTTAGACGCTGATTGTAAAAAAAAAAAACACGTAAAATATTTATTATCATCATTACTTTACTTATAAGCAGCTAAATTAAAGGGCTCGTCAGAAAGACTCCACAACATTTTGTAAACTAAATCATCAAATTAACCCCTGTAATAAAATTTGAAATTTTTGTATTTGTGATCGTGAACAATAAATAAAATTCTTTTCATCATCATACTATCAACATACTTTGGCATACCGATATTATTTAATAAATTAAAAGTTTAAAAGGCGCAAATTCCTGTAAATTTCATCTTAAATCTATTTTTATGGGGGAAAAATGGTAGAAAATTGTACATTTTATATTATGCAGTTCTATGCTAAAATAAATAAATCAGGTCCGTTTATTAAATTGTAAAAATTGGTCAATCAAGCACAAAAAGGGGAAGATTTTTTTTCTTTGGGTCTATTCCGGTTTAGGCGTTTTATCAATTTGAAAAATCTCCTGCAATGAAATTGAAAACGTCGTTATTTTTGTTAATATTGATTAGACCCGCGGAAATCCGCTGCATAAATCGAACGTTACCATTTTTTTAATTTTATTTAAGCCGAGGATCTGTCTATCAAATTGTAAAAATTGCGTCAATCAGGCAAATAGAGCAGAAGATTTATTCTTCGGGATTTTTATTAATCTTCAATTTTCTTAAGAGTTACAAATTACGAAATGAAGGGAACTTCTATAAGATTTATAATGTTAATTCTGTTATGTAATGTATTAATCTTTATTCTTACCTTGCTTGCTTTGCTTCTATCCTCTATCTCACGTGGTTGCACTCTAGACTGTTTGTCTCGTGCAGTGGCTTTTATGAAGAGGAGGGAGAAAGGGGTCTGTATCCGTTTCCCCTACTGAAAAATGTGGCACCACTGGCAAGTGGGGACGGGAATGATAAGGCGCAGGGGTTAACGCCCCTAATCAATAAAATAGTCGGCCTCTGATGCATGTATGCTGGCAGAGCAGAGCGAATGGTCGCATTTTGCAGTATCAAAACCGACGAACGACTTTATTGCGGCAGGTGTTTTCAGTGCATTACATAGGCAGACGACGCCGCAGCTGATAGCTCAGAATAATTTTCTTTCTGAGCCGTGATTATTTCATATCATCAAGCTGACGTCGCCGTTTCCGCACGTCTCCGAAATGCTCGACTACGAGGACGAGTATTTCCTGGAGGAGGACAAAATGTGAGCATGTTATTTCATTGTCAGTCTTCTTCGTGGCTTTTATCCTCAAAGATTTAGTAATTTTGTTATTAATATACCTTTCTGAGAATGTTAATTAGATTTGTTTATTTGCAAAAAATCATTTTTTATATTTTGTTATACATACCAATGTTATTTTGGTGATTGTTTTGTTATTATTATTTTGAATGTCAATTTTCTTTAACCCAATTTTTCAGGTTCAAAGCCATGTCCAGTAATCCCAGATATTACTACCAGCCTGAATGGGTTGAGGATAGAATGTAATTTTTATTTTATTTACTCCTTTTTACCTCATACACAGGACAAATGCTTATGGTTTTATTATTTTATAGAAACTCAAGGAAAGTTATGTTTGGTTTTTACTGTTGTGCTTTATTGTGCTTTTAATACTTACCTTTATTACAAAACTTTACTTTTTAACGGTAGTTCTGACTCTTGTGTTTCCTTCTCTTCCATTGATTGTAAATAATATTTCTAAATTTTCAATACTTTTATGTTTCTTATGAACTGAAAATTACCTACATATTGTGTTTGTTTTGCATGCAATCAGTGCTGAATGTAACCAGCTTCAGGAGTCAACAGCAGAGGTCAAGCCCTTGCTTGAACTTGGTGTTGACATTGATAAGGAGTTAAAGGTTTTAAGGTACTAAAAAATTTAATATGTTTGTTCAATTTTAGTAAAAAAATAAATATCAAATGTAAAGGGCACCCACTTAGTGGCTTACAGAGATATATTTTCAAATGCAAAACACCAAATATACAAACAAAACAGCTGCAGCAATAATTTAAATTCATTTTTTATAATATTTCCCAAGAGCGTCATCTTTAAAAATAATTGATAAAATAGTAATCAATGTGCCAGCTATACATTTTTAAAATTCTGCTTAATGCACGCATTTTGCCCAATCTTGCATAATAATTTACTTTTTTAGTGAGCATTATATTTTAAAGAATATCAGATTATTCAACGTTTTCTAAAAAAAAATTATTTTTATTGCCATTTGAATAATTTTTTATTGAGCAGAATATTTTTAATTGTTTTATTTGGATTTTATAATATTTTGATAGAATAACAATCAAATTTATACAATTTTTATGCATGATACAAAAGCACAGAAAATGCACCTTTAGCAGAAAAGGCTGCGGATGAGATTGAGATTTTAGTGTCTTGGTAAGTTGTGTTTCTCGGAACTCTTTCTTTCTAACCACTTCACCATACTTTCTGTTTTTCTTTCTTTTCAATTTTCCTGCATGCCATTGGTTGATCTTGAATGAATGAACGCTGACCAAAAGTTCACCTGACGAAAATCGCATATTTTGTTACGAAAATCCAATGTAAGTTTTTACCCAAAAAAAGTGATTATTTAAGTTTATTCAAATTTCACTGAAAAATAACCTCAATTTTCTCCTCAAGGGGCATGACGGTGAGCGCTGCAAGCGTGACCCTGTCGAAGGATGCAAACAACCTGATTGGGATCAGCATCGGAGGCGGCGCGCCGCTGTGTCCGTGCCTGTATGTGGTGCAGGTGTTCGACAACACGCCTGCTGCAAAAGAGGGCAGTCTGCAGAGTGGCGACGAGCTGCTGGCCGTCGAAGGCCAGTCGGTCAAAGGGAAAACAAAAGGGGAAGCGGCCAAGATGATCCAGGCTGCCGAGGGCAAGGTCACGATCCACTTTAACCGTCTGCATGCTGACCCCAAGCAAGGAAAAGGACTCGACCTGGCCATGAAGAAGGCCAAACACAGATTGGTGGAGAACATGAGCACCGCCACCGCTGACGCCCTTGGCCTTTCCAGGGCCATTCTGTGCAATGACAGTTTGGTGAAGAAGTTGCAGGAGCTGGAGGGCACTGAAGGTACCTACAGGGGTTTGGTGGAGCATTCGCAGAGGGTCCTCAGAGCCAATTTTGAGCTCCTCCAAGTATATAAAGGTGATTTTTTTTTTAATTTATAAAAAAATAAAATTGATTCAATTATTATTTTAAATAATTTTAGCTTTTGGAGATACTTTTGCAGCAATCGGTGTGCGAGAGCCCCAACCTAGAGCGTCTGAAGCGTTCCGAACTTTTGGTGACCAGCATAGGCAAATCGAAAAGGAAGGAATTAAAATGCTCCAAACTGTCAAACCGGTCTGCTATAAATTAAAAAAAAAAATAAGATTATAATTTTTTTTATACTTTGCTTTTATTAACAGATTCTTTCGGATTTGGGCACGTACCTATTTAAGGCTATTCCTGACACAAAGTTGACGATAAAAAAGTATGCCGACGCGAAGTTTGAATATCTGTCGTATTGTCTTAAAGTTAAAGAAATGGACGACGAGGAGCATAGCTACGCCAGCCTGCAAGAACCTCTGTATCGCCTGGAGACTGGAAATTATGAGTATCGTCTTGTTCTTCGGTGTCGACAAGAGGCGAGAACAAAGTTTGCTAAATTGAGAGCCGACGTCCTTGTCAAGCTGGAGCTGCTCGACAATAAACATGTGCAAGATGTAACTTTACAATTGAAGCGCCTTTTGACTGGTCTTGCTGCATTCCACAAAGCATCTTACGATTTGCTGAACGAGGGGCAACTCTTCCCTGTAGAGGTTGATCTCTCAAGATCTGCGTTTAGCTATCCATCTTCAGATCAGATTCAAGTACTTTTATTTTAATTTTTGAAAGGATTTTTTTAAATTATATAATTTTAGGCTGATGAAGATGATGACACTGAAATTCTTCCTGACACTGAATGCGAGAGAACTGAACCTGAACTGAAAGATGATGACAGTCATCTTATAGGTATATTGGATAGTAAAATTGTACTGTTAAATATTATATATAATTTCCAGACATTGACTTATTTTCTGGCATGAGCCTATCAAGTAGTGACCCACCGAAGGAACAAGCACCATCAGATTTAGACGGTAAACAATATTTTTGTCTCAATGTTAATATTTATTTATATCTAATATTTGTAGATCTCTTTGGAGCTGATGATAGCAAAACTAATGAAAATGTTGGTGATCTCTTGGGACTTTGAAGTTAGAGAAGAGTTAGTCTCTTACCATACCAGTTTTGTGTTGGTGTTGGTACATTTTATTTAATTTATCATTGCTTATTTTTTCTAATTACTTGGAATTGCATACTGAATTTTGTTATTAATTTGCGAGAATTTATTGTGATTTTGCCCCAGAAATAAAACCATGTAAATTATTTAAAATAAAAATAAATTTAATATTAAATTGATAAAAATATTAATTTATAAAATATCGTAAAATATAATAATTATATTCTGCTTGAAAAAGCTTATGTATATTTTTGTGTCATGTTTTTATGTGGATTAATATATTTTCTATATTTTTAGTACAATTAATTACATTGTAGTATTAGATTACATTGAAACAGTACGTAAAAGGAAGGATAAAAAAATTCGTCTCTTGCTATTCTGTTGGGTGATACAGCGTGAATGATAGAACGAAAAATTTAATGGTGTTTTATAATTGGCAATTAATTACGTGGGAATTGGTACAGTCATTGTATATTATGGGCTGCGAATTTAATGTTTTTAATTTAATGCACTGACACGTCTTATATTGCTGGCGGAGTGTGCGGCGCAGAGAGGAAATTATTCCCGCTAGTCGTAGTAGGGCCGCTCGCAGCGCCACGGACGGTTACGGTCGTTCAGGCTGGTTCGTTGCGACGTGACGTCACGAAGAAAAGGAAAACATGGCTGAAGGGAGTATTGCAGATGTGACTGCTTAGCCCTTCTCGCACTTATTAGAGCAATTTATCGCTTCTGATTGGAAATGATATCATTCTTCGTACAGGTGAGAAGATCTTCGACGGCATTTCCGTCGCGATGGCTAGTCGCATGCCCATTTAGGCTGCGTCTAAAATTGCACAACTATTCACGAGCACTAATCGCCCGAAGGTCTACACCCTGTTTTATTGATGCTTGTCACAGTTTTAATCTGCAATATTATTTATTTTTTTCGGTGTTTTTCACTCTTAATCGCGATGCGCGACTCCGTTGTCTTCTCACGGCTCAAAATTTAGCCGACGGCCGCAACCCGCGCAAGCAGCGGTGCCAGAGTCATTATTTTAAAAGTACAGCACTGCGCCTGCTAGGTCGCTATTTTTACCTTCGCCAACGCAAATTTGTCGCACTCTATCTTGCAGATAGAATCACCACACTGCATCATGTCGGTCTAAAATTAAGCTGCGAAAAAAACGGGGCTTGAATAAAATTAAATTGCAATTCCGTCACACTTGCATAAGGTGTTTAATTCTGCATTGCACTTTGCAGGTGTCAATTACCAAGTTGTGAGCAACTTTACGGCCGGGTAACAACTAGAAGATCACCATGGACGATTTCTTACCCCAACTCAATACCACGGACACCAGAACCAAACTGCAGTTAGGCACCGACATCGTCAGCTTTCTTCAGGATGAGTCGAACTCACTGGAGTGCTCTGACATCGGTCATTTCATTGATGGCCTTGTCCCCTGGCTAGGCAGCAGTCAGTTCAAAGTATGGTTTATTTTTTTAAAAGCAACTTTAGTCGTCTGATTGATTAATTTTTAACCTAGGTCGCCCAGCACGGCCTTGAGGCCTTCAGTTTGCTGGCGGAAAAAATGGGTACAGACTTCAAGCCCTACATGACGATTGTCCTACCACCCGTTATTGATAGATTAGGTAAGAGATTTCAAATCCAATTTACTTTTAGAAATTACCTAATGCGTGTTACATTTTTAGGTGATAGTAAAGATTTGGTCAGGGAAAAGGCCCAGGTGGTGCTGAACAAAATTATGGAAAATGTTTGCTCGCCGCAGCAATTATTTGATCGGCTGGCTCCTGCGTTTTCTCACAAAAATGGCAAAATCCGGGAAGAGCTAATGGATTGCCTGCAGCGGACTCTGCGAGAGTAATATTTTAATTACTTTGCCAAACTTGTTTTACCAAAAAGAATTAAATTCACTTTGCAGGCATGGTTCCAACGCTCTAAGTTTATCAAAGCTGGTGCCTACTGTTGCCAAACTGTTAAGTGACCCAGTAGCCACGGTCAGAGACATGGCTTTCAGCACCCTGGTGGAAATTTATCGACACGTCGGAGAGCGACTGAGAGTTGATCTCGTCAAAAAGCAGCTCATTCCAGCAACAAAGTAATTTGCTATTTTTTTCTAAATTAGCGGAATATTTAAAATTAATATTTTAAATTGTTCCAGATTGCCTGCATTGCTGAACCAATTTGATGAACTGAAAAATAATGGTGAACTTTTGCCGTCTGCATTGGTTGAAGGTAGGAGAATTTCTTCAGTTTTGTACGCAAGTTGTTAAAAGCCGAGTCCCCTCCACAAGGCACATGCCATTTAAATTCATAAGGCACACCGTCTCCTTTTTGGTGACCTTGTCTTGCAGAGAAGATCAACATTAGCTATGCAAATATAACCGCAGCCGTCGTTAAAAAAAAAATAATTGACAGACCATGCTCAATCTTATCTTCAAACAAATTCTTGCGTTTTGACGTTTTCACACTAAAAACTGGCAGAAATAATTATTGTTTACAAAGTGATATGAAAGTGGGGTGACAGATTGAGGCCTCCTCGTGTAGATGTCGCGCCGCGTGACGTAACCGCTCGTAACTTATAATTAGAGAATCGTTTTTACGGGGAAATTTCTAATGGCCTAAGTGATGGTTATGGAGCAGCCCTGTGGGCAAACTACCGCACGCCTCTCGCCTGCCAACGTGCTGCTGATTTGTATCAATCTCCTTCATATAGTCAACCGCCTTCACGTTCGAGCAGATCATAGCAATCTGATCTGGCCGGCGACAACTTATTTCGGCTGGCGTGAATTGCAATTAAGAAGTCGCAGCTTGATGTTTGCCGCTCGCATTTATCGCACATCCGTCATAAATTCAACCTTATTTATTTATTTATTGAATACAAACTGACTTGTGCCATTTTCATTTTTCTTCGTATCACAAAATACAAAATTGAAATTGCTTAATTTTTCCAATCAATATTTTTGAATGCAAACAAGTGAAAAGAAAAAAAAAATATGTAGAAATTCCATGAATCAGCGAATCTTATGAAAACAAGTTTTCGTTTTTAAATTTGAAAAAAAAATCAGGTTTTGTTATTGAAATTTATTTCAAAACATGTAGTACACAATTAAAAATTTTCAAGAGCATTGACAAAATTAATCAGAGGGGAAAAAGGTCCATTCAACCACTTCACACTTGAGGCTCATTGTTAGTGACTCTCGACTTGCTGTGGAATGCAGATTTGCGATTAAAGCATTAAATTATCAGGTAGATAAAAAAATTAACACTGCCAAGATTGTGCTTGGCAATTATTTTGATTATTTCCCTGCGGGCGATGACAGCACCTATATCTATCCAACTGAGAGCGCAGCTTTGTAATTACCAATCTGCATAATTACACGTCGCGAGAAGGAGGTTGTAGGTGGACACACGAGCATTCGGCCAAGGAAAACACAAACTCGCTCCTCCCATAATGATTTGCTCTCGGTGTGCCCGCTTAGCAATACATCAACCGTGACTCTATTGTTCTGGCGCCGCGAATAAACAAACAGGAATAATTCAAATCGATGGGAGGAGAAGATCTCCTGCTTCTTAATCAAAGTGACTCTAACCTTTTGAAAAGGGAGGCGCTGCGATTGTGGTTTTTGCCGCAAGAGTGGCGGTTTGTCGTTTTTACTCTATTTGTTTGACTGTCAAAGGGAGTCGGTTTCGGCAGAAAAAAGTTTTAAATGGGACGAAGAAAATGTCCCCAATCCTGTTATCAATTTATTGAACACGTATGTGTGATGTAATCACGTTCACAATGAGTTGCACTGCCAGTAACCTGAGATCACGTGTGTGTATATTGCTAGTCAAGAGCTTGTCCTCCGTGCAGTGGTTCATTGACACAAACCGATGGCGGAAAGAAAAACTTGTCTCACGCTTGCTGCCATCAGAAGTGCTCTTGACGAATTAACGAATGGACTAAAGGCCTCGCACACCTTATTATTAGCTCCAAGCAAAAGAAATAAGGAGTTTGTAGTCACACTTCAGGAAAATAAGTTCCTCGTTAAAATATATTTTTGAGATTGTAATGCCATAGAAAAGTAATAATTAATAAAATTTTGTTTATCCTGAAAGAATGGAGAAGAGAAAAAATATGCAAGAACCCTCTAAATTGGGTATATAATTGCCAAATTTGGATAGAAATCAAAATTATTCTGCAATTTTTATGTAAATTATCTCCAACTTTTAAACATACTGAAGCCACCTTAGAGCTCCAACGTGAAAAGTTTTTTTTTTAAGAAGGATGCATGCTTTTGTAATACATGCTTTTTAGTCTATATAGAAAGATTTATACTTTTCGTGCTTAATTTAGAAAAAAATTAATCAAACGGTTAACATGTTTGATCGTAAAATATGAGCAAATTTTCTTAAGAATTTATTATTTTAAATCACAAAGTCAGTTATTTTTTGCTATGGAAATTTTTACATTTTGTTCAATTATTAATAATTCCTCCTTTTCAATGTTTTTTCCAATAACATTAATAAATTAATCCGATGATCGGTGTTTGTGCACTCAATTTAAAATATCGTATTACACTTAAATCTGCCCAAAGTGATGTAATGCCAGGTTCGTGCCAGGCGGCGCAACTAATTTCCGTCTGCCGTCGCACACTTTCAATGAATCCCTCTCACTGCACAGCTGATTGCAATAACACTGTTAACGCATTTCGTGCTAATGCAGTAGATTGCAGTCTCTCTCTATTATTATTTTCTTTATATTCGCCGCATTCCCCCTTTCGCTTGTACATCGCGGGGTCCCCCTCGCAATACCGATCCCCATGCAAGCGTGTGAGTCAGTCTGTCAGTCCCGCTGCGGCTGTGCTCGGAAAAGCACTCTCTCGCTTGTGCTCGCTCGCGAATCAAACAATACCTTTGTAGCCAGTCGGTGACGCGATGTGATAAGATTCTCGCAGTGCGCACTTCTTAATTTTCAACTCGAAATCCGCCATGGTGCTTCGTTCGTAATGTGGCTCAAGCAAAGGTCCGAAATGCAAGCGACCCCGGCGCCCACCTGTGCGCTGCCCCCGCCGCCCCATCAGTTGTGGAACGAGGATGACCGGTGGATTATGATGTTCGACAACCTCCTGAAGCACCCTGGCGGCAAAACCAGGGGGTGCAGATGCGACGTCCACGGGGGTGAGATGATTTGCCTTAAACGCTTCGATTCGGAAACACGGTTGATGAAAACATCTGCCAAGAGCGCTATTTTCAATCGCAATTCGTCTCTTATCTTTATTGGGCCAGCTGGCATTAATGTTATTGCACCTTTGAATGAGTTGCTTTTGCGTTAAGAGAGCTGTTTCGAACAAGAGCCGCAGGTCACACACGGTTGCGGAGTTGAGACTTTCTTAATTTGTACCAAATTGCTTGTGGTTAAGCCTCGTAAACTCGTAACTCATCATCACTTCTTGATATTCATGCTATAAAATTAAATGACTCTCATTACGCTTGACCGGCAGACCAATATTGGCAGGCTAACGGCATTTCTGACAGCAATTAATTAGACTAGATGATCAAATTTGTCTAAATTTTCTGACGATTTTATCGTGTGAAGTTCATTAACGCCTTAGACAAAAATTGAGGCTTAAATACAAAATTTTTAAATCTTAATTTGCATTAATTTTAATCGCGCGATAAGCTCTGTGATTGGATGATAAATGAACAATACAATACGGCTAATTTTTCTCCGTATTTTTTAAGGTTTTGGTTTAATTGAATTTTTAATACGTAAAATTTTTTGATAATAATTATTGTATAAAATCAATGGTCAAAATAAAATAATTATATAAATTAAAATACTAATGGAAAACTCAAATGATATAAATTACCAATGGACAGCAATAAATAAAAAAGCGACAATGTTTTCATCTTTTATCTCTTTGTGTTGCTTTTGAAATTAAATATTTTATTGATTGGAAACATTTATTTTTCAATTAAATTTTTATTGTATTACATTATAAATATTATGATTAAGTTGCACAAAATCGTCGGCTTTCTCAAAGAACTTTCTCTGCCAATTAACCTTATCAGAGCACCTTTGCTTTTGCAATAACTGAAACAAACATCACCCAAATACCTCGATCAATCATTTTTTTTTCGTGATGACTTGATCTCGGCTGAAATTCAAAGACGCTATAACAAAATCGCGCACTGAGCCCAACGAAATAATTGTTTCTCAAGGAAATTTCACAAAATTTCTTTTTCACCGATTTAAATCGGCTCGTGCCGCGGTTGTGTGTAGCATGTGTGCGGGCTGCCAGCTGCATTTTATGTAAACATCGGAATGCTCCGACGTGAGTTTGAATATAAGTTTGTTTACACCTTTATGTTAATATACAATGCGCCGTCGGTAAAACATTTATACCGCGGACAGGTTCCCTCCAGCCTCCAGGATCTGCCGGCTTCATCAAAAAATCAAACGCTACGAATGAAAAAAATAAATGCTGGAGAAAAAAAAATGTGTTGCTAAATAATATTTATACAAGTCGACGTGGTGTTGAAGCAGGAGAATTTTTTTATATCGCAATCCTGCATCAACCTGAATGATAATGCTTCACTTCGGCCGCCACCTCTCGTGATTAATTAAACGGAGAGGTCACCAATGGGGTCAGCGCGAGAAGCTGAAAGCAGCTCTCTTAGCGGAATCATTTTCGCTAATGCTCCACACCCAAAAATAAAAGGCGCTCACCGCGTGCAACAGCAAGGCCATATTCGGAATGTTCCGAATAATTAAATCACGCCTCAATGAGCGAATTGAATGACTGGCTCGTTAGGCCTCTTGGCTCCTCATCTCTCCAAGGGCAGTCGCACAATGATTGCAGAACCGTTTTATTGTGTTTCCATTCCATCAAGTGAAACTCTGTTTCCTTATTGTCCTTTATTCAAATCGCCTGACCAGAGAGCTCCTGGAAAATATAATCTTCGATTTACATAAAGTGAGAGAGACCGGCTCAGTTTTTCTTCCGCTCGTTTTTTGCATCATGCCCACGCCTGTACTCGCGCGGAGGAGCGATAGCGAAGAGTCTCGTGAATTTTTAATTACATAGCCAGAAGGGAAAAGGAGTTCTTTTCGCGCCGGGAAGATATTGAAGGGAGCATGTTTGCTTGCATGTGTCTACATGTAATACAAGTCGTCGAAGCGGGAGGTGTGCAAGAAGTTTATGTTACACCTAAACCCCCCAGGTTTATTATGGGTGCGCGGATTTGCACTTCTTCGTCTTGAAGTTATTGCAGTACACAAATGCTCGCGTCTTCGTTTTGAAGGCAGGGTGTGCGGGAAAATCAATGACGTCAAAAATAAAAATACGCCAGCCAGCACGATCTTGGGTTAGATACTTGGTAGTCGTTAGAGGTGCTCTGAGAATTCGCGGATCACCAATAGGTCACCTGAGCTGTGTCGCGCTCGACTCGCATTCTAATAAGTTTCTTGGCATGGTGATTCCGACTCTCCCACGACCGGCAGCAAATATTAAAAATTTATTTGACAAGTGTTAAAAATTTGATCCTTTAAAAGAAGTCTCGTCGTGTAGATATGATTTGAGCTGAGAGATATATCAACCCTCACTGAGAAGGTTTTTCTATCTAACTACTTGAATACTAAAAGGAAAAAGTTGCTTTTTGTATTTCTTAGAAAAAATATAATAAAATATAAATATTGAGATCATCTATCTTGGTAAGCAAAAAAAAAAATCATTGGAATTTTGTTAGACTAGACTTGTAGCATAAAACCACAGGACTTCATAGCCTTGGCTGGTGTGTAAAATGACCAAGTTTCAAGAGTGCTCCTTCATTATCGATCTAGCCGGAGCTTTGAAAATGCAATTATCGCTGTGCATCGCACCGGTGCCAAGCAAGACAAGTGCACAAAGTCTATCAAAGAATTACTATGAATCTCAATGCGCGTGGTTGGAATTATAAAGTTTTATGGCTTGATGCCTAGCAGCAGAGCTACCTGAGAGCGAGCGGGGGCCTAACTTTTTATCATCGCCTGGCATGCTTACATAATTTCAGCAGAGGCAATAATTATTTACATACAAAAACGACCTTGAAATCACTGCAGTATTTTATTGCCTTCATAAAATAATTGACAGGTGGATCCAGCAATTTTAATAACAAGTTTCTTTCAATATAATTCTTCTCCTTTGGCTGCAACTTGCATCACTTTGAACCTGGAGATGTGTCGAGTAAAAAATCGTTTTTTAATCTGTTTAGCAACAAATGATATTTACTTTATTTTTTTGGACATGTTAGTAGCAGTCGTAATATTTCATCTTACAATGCTACGCATGCATGGTCATTTTATTTAATTAATCGGAACGAGCAGCGTGTTGTTTCGATTTCGATTGTGTTTATCTTTTGCCTTGAGTGGCGGAGCAGGTTTTTAGAAAAGGGGTTTGCATAAGGACGCAGACAATAATGTATTTCAATTTATTCGAATCTCATTGTTCGACTTGGCAAAAAAGTTGTCTCTCTTTGGCATAAATGGCCCAGTTATCGGCCTGCATCAGTAACACACACGCACCAGCTTTTTGTAGTCTGACATTAATAGGCCGATTTTGCAACGCGCGACTTTGACATTCTGCAACTATTCAGGCTTGAAACGTTTCGCCTGGCGTCGTTGTTTTGAAAACTGGCGTAATTGAATCCTGCGTGAAGTGCGCGCGATCTTTTAATTGCTTGCTTAATATCATCAATGCGTGCGTGTTTGTCGTTCCTTGCATACGCGCGAGAAGAACGCTTCGTTTATTCCGACACCTCTATCATATCGAGTTTCGCGGAATTGATGAATAAAAAATATCACGCACTCAAGGAGAAGCCCCTTGACGGCAAAAGTATTACAAAAAGTATGCGATCATCCGTCTGTGTACTGAAGCATAGGCACATTTTTGTTTTATGGAAATGAGGCAAGCCTTTACTGCTCCAACACCTCTGCCCTCCAGTGACGTAATTTCCACTCTTTGTTGGCCGAGGAGATTCCAAACAGAAAATTGTCAGCCAAAAAATATCCACTTCCTTGAAAACTATAAACAATAAGCCAACGTGGGCATTCGCTAAATGTCTGTCATTTTTCCTTCAACCTTTATAAAAATTAAGCAGCAGACCTTAACGATTTTAACTACTTTCGCCTCAATCTGTCTGAATTGCCTTTGATTGCCGCCTCGGCTCTCTTTATTGAGCAGCCCGTGGTGTTTTAAATCACTTTCCGCCCAAGTAGTCGTAAATTTTAAAGCCCCAATTTTGGTGTCATCATCATCATGATTTTATCTCTTGATTGCAGGTGGGTCTAGATATGACGATGAACCGGACAGAGTTGGGGTAAGTCGCACATTTTTCTCTTTCGTTTTTCATAAGATATTCTTCAGCAAATATGGAAAATTTAAGCATATTGCCGTTTCTGCCTTGAATTTAAAAGTGCGCTTAAGCATTGCCTCCTAATAAGAAAATAATTGCAGTCATTAAATCATTTCTATCCTTATTAAGCAATTATTTGCTTTAAGTTTTAATGGAGGCTTTATAATTTCTTAGTTTATTTTTGTATGTATAATTGTGCTAAATTTTTATTTTCACTGACAGATTGGTACCAAAAGTCGATCAGGGAGCCTTCCGAGACGAGCTTTCGCCACCCCAGGCAAACCGGCAGCAACAGGCCCGAGCTCAGGTGAGTCGTAAATACCTAATCACCATTTTTTGGTTGCCGTAATTTGCTGACGATCGCAGACATCATTCTTTGACTCTTGTAATCCACAAATAAGTTTTTTCCTTAATCGGTTGATGCTTTAACCGAATGTCTTTATTAATAACTGTGTCTGTCAACTTCTTGTAACCAAACAACTGAGCATTTTTAATTAAAAACATCGCATCTCTATGGGTTGAAAAAAAAACTTTTTTGAACTAATTCTGGATCCGGTCCCTTATTTGCATGCTCAGTATCGGGACTACCCCCACCATCAGCCACAGTGAGAAGAAACACATCACTCAGAAGAGCCGCCTCAAGTGCAGGTGAGTACAAAATTAATCAAATCTGTGTTATACTTTAACAATGCAAACTAATCATTAAACTCTTATTTATCTCATTATTTTGTCCTTACAATTGAAAATCCAAATTGCAGGAGGTCAAGCTGGTGCCTTGGACGAAGATGCATTCATTCGGCAGTTTGACGAAGTGCCCACCGTGCAATTATTTTCAGCCAGGGATTTGGATGAGCAATTGGCTCAGCTCAGAGCCATAATTGAAGATGTCAACAAAGACTGGTCCAAACGAGTTGATGCTGTAAGAGTGGCAATGTGCATTTCAAAGTGGTAAATAATTTTTCTACCCCATTCAGCTCAAGCGCATCCGATCTGTCATGCTGGCTGGAGCGACAGACTTTGACGATTTAAAAGAACACCTCCGCCTATTAGAACCAGCATTCATAGCATCTGTTAAAGATTTGAGGTATGTTTAAGAAATAAAATGTAAATCTTGTTGCCACTAACGTCTGTTCTTTTGGTGACCAGGTCTCAGGTTGTAAGAGAGGCTTGCATAACCATTGCTTTCCTCTCTCAAACTCTGCACAACAAGTTAGATCATTTTGCCGAGAGTGTTCTCCCAAACTTGATCAACCTTATACCAAACTCCACCAAGGTGATGGCGTCCTCCGGATTTGTAGCCGTCAGGTTTATCATAAGCCACACACATGTGCCACGTTTGATACCCATTCTGACTAATGCCTTGACCTCATCTAAAGCCAAGGAAATCAGAAGGGCTTGTTGTGAGTTCTTGGAGCAAATGATGAGCTCTTGGCCAACACATACTCTGGAGCGGCATATCAACATCTTGCAGGAAGCAATCAAAAAGGGAATAGCAGACGCTGATCCCGACGCTCGTCTCTTATCCAGAAGGTGACTTATTTTATTTGATGTTCCCTGATCTCTCTAAAATCAATTATTACCTCAGAGCTTACTGGGGATTCCAATCCCACTTTCCCGACCAAGCGGACAGTCTACTCAACTCGTTGGATGGTGCATATAAACGGCAGCTGCAAATGGAGGGTCCAACAATGTCAGCCTCCAGCTCGAGCAGCTCTTTGCATCAAGACAGGGGCCGTGGTGCCATCCCTAGGTCTAGAGCGTCCAGCGTCACAGGTAGTGCCGAGAATCTCTACAGAAACACGTCCCATTCGGGAATGGTTCTGCCACGTCGGTCAGGCATTCCTGTACTAGCAAAGTGTGACTCAGGTTCAGTGAGACGACATTTGATTACATATTTCTGTCATTGATGTCTCATTGTATTGCTAAGTTACTTTTTATCCTGAGTTGCGAAAAAAAAAATCATTTCGTTTTGAGATTTTATTTTCCCATCCACTTTTTGCTTCATCTTGCTAGAATTATCATTCAAATCTTGAGTTTTCACCATGCTTTGTAAAATAAGCATGCCTTAGAGTTATTTTCATCCTTATGCCATGCTTTAATTTGAAGTAGATTTGAGAACTACAACCGATTTTCTGCTTTGAACTAACAAAATGCCCGTCTTCACTCAGACCGTCAAAATCCTATGGCCTCCCCTCGTCATAGACCCATTACGTCAGGAACTTCAACTCCTGTTCAGCTACGTTCCAATTCAGCTATCGATCTTCAGGCAGCCCAGAGAGCTAGGGCTCGAGCCCAGTATGCCGCAGCTGCACGCCTTAAAGTTGGTTCCGGTGCTTCATTACGTGAGTGTTAATTTAGTTGCAAGATCTAAGCAGTTTTTGGCATGGTACTAACATTTGGTTTGCCACTTTCATGCCATCTCTAATAATTCAGGAGATGAATTCGCAGGTAAGATTTGTAATGGCAAGCTGCGGTCTATGACTATGAATTTTGTTGGCAGAAGCTTTGAGAGGATTTTTAACCTCTCCACGACTTCTTGACCCAAAATATTGGTCAAGAAGTCATGGGAAACAGTGGTGCCAATCTATATGGTCATTAATATGTGAGGGCAGACTGTTGCTGAAAATTATTTTTTACATCTATGAAGATAAATTTACATCGTCTCAATTTATTTTGAATGTAAAGTGAATGAAATAAAAATTAAACAATTGATACAAAAATGCTGAGTTTTTAGAAAATTTAATTTTCAATTTTATTTTTAGAGGAATCAAAAGCATAGATTATTATTGAAGAATTTATTTTATCCTAATCCTGTTCTATGTCATTTCAAAATTTTTTAGTATTAACAAAATCCATAGTTTGACGCTTTGCTGTTAATTTTTCTTAATATAAAATGCCCATAGTTTGTTTTTAAAGTGTATTAGATTTTTTTTTAAATGGCATGTGTAACTTAATTAAGGATTTATGTCTAATAGACTACTTTTGAAACAATAAAATATTAATGCAAAAATATTGGTAGTTAAATAGTCATTGGTATCACTACGTCCTCACGGCTTCTTGCCTGCTAATTTCGTTATAGGATTCTCGCCTGTAATATAAATAAATTGCTACTTTCTTTCATTTTGAAAATTTTTATTCGCTCTTCTATAATTTCTTGGCTATTAATGCTCCAGAAGCCTTTATTTTGGTACTATTATCTAATAGAATACCATTTTGATTTGTAATTTTTTTCAGCACGCCAACGCAAGTCCTCTGATTCTGGTGTGAATGCCAACAATATAACGTCTCCAGAGAGATTGGGACGGACTAGAACAAGAGTAGCTGGAGTATCGCAATCGCAACGTAAGTATTTTGAATTCCATTCCAGGGTTTTTTGACAATATTTTTTCCCGCAGCAACTAGTAGGTCAGGCTCCCCCTCTTCTAGACTGAGTTATGCAACTTACCGGGAAAATAATACAATACTAGACTCCGCACCAATGTCCATGGGCTCCATTGGCCGTCCTAGAAGAATGGGTGGTGGCATTCCCAGAAGTCAAGGGGCCAGCAGGGAGGGAAGCAGGGACCCTAGTCCTAATCGCTATAGTGGACTCGCATTTGGCTCAAAGTTGAGGTGGGTGTAGTTGATGGAGAGGATCAGATTATGCAAATTTAAAAAAATCGTGTACAGATCTAGAACCGGACTGACATTTGGTACACCACAATCAAGTGGAATGAGCTATGGAAGTCCACAATCAGGCCAGAGAACTGTGATGGCACAGAAAATATTGCAACAGAGTAGGGAGGCTGAAAGTGCCCTTGCAGATGCTTTGGTAATAACTTCAGAAAAGAAATTAAAGCCATGCTAAACTAAAAACTTTGAATTCAGAGCTTTGAAGAAGATTTCCAAAGAACCCCAACTAGGAAGACAAGTCGGTTGTTTGATGATCATTCCGATGAGAGTGAGACCTCTAGTATTTGCTCTGAAAGGTCATATGATTCCTATCGCAGACCTTCAGATGTAAGTACAAAATTTTGAAGCAGTCTTTGTGACGCTACTTTTGGGAAATTAAATATGTTTAGCTACAGATTTTTAGACTCTGCTTTGCTAATTTAATTTTACAAGTTAAGCTGAAGAAATTGAACTAACTGATTTTGTTTTATGATTTGGTTTCTAAATTTTGTGTTCTTCTTTGTGTGTTTTTTATGTTTCTGTGTTGTCTCCGACCATGTGTGTGTTTGATTTGGGTGGTTTTCCCTCGAATAGTATTGGACCAACTCTCAACAGAGACATTTGCAGAATAATTTATGGGAACAACCAAAGGTATGATTGTGGACGGGTCAATCAATATATTATTTTTCCTTCTTCCTGTGTTCTGTTTTAATGTTGTATGCTGTCAAATAATTGAATTAAATTCAATTATTTCTTATTTCTAGGGTATAGGTGACTTCATATTAAGCTGTGCCAGCACCCACTGGCAAGACAGAAAGGAAGGTTTAGTGGGACTGCAAAGATATTTGCAGTCTGGGCACAAGCTCACCTTGCAGGAACTGAGACAAGTCACCAATATTTTCACAAAAATATTTATGGACTCCCACACAAAGGTATTTTTTCTGCATTATGCTTATTTTTTTTTATAAATAATTTAAAATTTGCCACAGGTGTTTAGTTTGTTCCTTGACGCAGTCAACGATCTGATCACAAGTCACAACAATGATTTGCATGACTGGCTTTACATATTAATGACGCGATTGTTCAATAAACTGGGAACAGATCTTTTAAATTCCACCCACAAGAAAATACACATTGTTATGGAAAACATTAGGTAAAGAATTAATCAACAGTATAAGCCTTTGCTAAACTTTGATATTGCAGAACCAATTTCCCTGCAGAACTCCAGTTCGGTGCTATCATAAGGTTTTTGGTGGATGCTACGCAAACTCCTAATGTCAAGGTGAAGTTGGCTGCTCTTTGCTACCTAGCTCAGTTGGCAAACGCAATGGACCCGACTGCAATAGCTGGTGGTGGACGTGACACAAAGCCAGCACTCACTAAGATAATCATGTGGACAAATGATCCTAAAAGCGCAGAAATAAGAAGAGCAGCAGGTGCTGCTTTGAATGCACTTTTCAATCTGAATGTTCCAGCGGTTACGATTATGCTCTCAGAAATGCCATCGGATTACCAGGTAATCGTCTCTAATTTTTTTTTAATTAATTCTTGACCAAAATATTGCAGGATATTGCCCAGAAAGTGGTTGCACAACATTCTCGCTACGGAGGGGCTGACAGTTCGTTGCCATCTTCCCCCAGAGTCGGATCGCCCGGGACCCCAACACAGCGCTCTCTGAACAAGCACTTGGATGACGATGATGAGAACTTGAATGCCGAGGACATCCACCGGTCCCTGCAGAGAACAACGGCGGAGATTCAGAACTACAGCTTTGACGGTAGCAAATTGCTAGACAGAGATCGTGATACCACATCTCAAGATTCAGGCATTAGCCAAATGTCAGCAGGTGGGCATGGCGATAAGTTGGAGGAGAAGTTTGAGGAAATGACCATCGCCACCAAGAAACTTCAAAGCAACGTGAGTAGAAACAAAAAGCCCATTTGCTTTTCCCGCTAAAATATTTCTATAGGGTTGTATGCAGTCGCCAGCAAGCAGAAACTCTCCCACCCTTCAAAGACTCACTTCGACCCCTCTAAGGGAATTCAACGGTTTGGACAAAACTCCCAGTAGAGACGGTTCTTTTGATGCCACTGACAATGGCCTAGTGAACAGAGGTGCATTTCATTATGCTCTCAATTGCCCCGAGTCTTATTTATGTTCTTTCAGAGAATCATCATCCCGAAAATCCAGAGGCATTTCAAAAATTGATGGAAATATTAGGCGTGGAAAAAGAAATCGTTGGCAGCGGTGGAGAACGAGTTACCTCTCTGCAGCAGTTGGCCAGAGTAGTGAAAGAAGGCAATGCCGCCACTATCGTTGAAAATTTCAAGTACACAATTATGCAATTCAATTATGTTGTCGCTAATTGTAGACTATTCACAGATTGTTGCTGAGAGTTTTGTTGGAACAGCTGAGCAGTTCTGATTCAAATATTAGAGTTCAGGTTTTACAAGTGTTGACCGAAATGTTCCGCAAGTCCAGCCTCTCCACAAGTTTTACAAACTACGTTGAGCTGCTAGTTTTGCGAATTTTGCAGTGTCACAAAGATCCAGTGAAAGATGTATATAATAAAATTATTTTTCTTAAAAAAAAATTGCAACAAATATTTGTGCAGGTTGTTCGGGCCGCAGAGCAATGTGCTGCTGCCATGGTGACAGTCCTCTCATGCGACCTGGTGATTCGGGTGCTGAGCCCTCTGATCACCACCGCTGAGTTTCCTCTAAACCAAGCCGCAATCAAAATGTTAAACCGCCTGGTGGAGCAGCAGTCCGGAGCCGAGGTCGAAGCGCATCTTGGCGATCTGATGCCCCTTCTGCTGAAGGCTTATGACAATGACGAGAGCTCTGTGCGAAAGTCTGCCGTCTTCTGCTTGGTGGCCCTTCACAACTGCATCGGAGAAGATCCCCTTCAGCCACACTTGGTCAGTCTCACAGGCAGCAAACTGAAACTTCTCAACTTGTACATCAAGCGAGCCAAGCAGGAGGCGATGAACAACCAGCCTCCGTCAAGCACAACGCCCTCAACGTCGTCACCGGCATCACCGAAGAATATGCCAGCGCTTTAGATTAGGTTTGTTTCAAAATTAAAAATTCTTGGAATAACAAATTATATAAATTCTTTTTGCAGATTTGTCCGTTGAGGAAATCTAAGACGAGCCTGCCTGCTTTTATTTGGTTGAGAACGGCATCTTATGATATTCCCCGTCAATGTTAAAACTTCATAAAAGACATAATGCTATATATTAAAAAAAAAAATTAACTCAAAACACACTTTCAAAAATACACTTTTTTGAGTGGCCCGCTTGATAACTCTGGGATGAATGTCACTTCAACTAATTACTGGCTTTCAAAATCACTTGTGCGATATGATTGACTGGGCTAAAGACTTAGAACCACTTTTTGCATTTTGGTTGGGATCAGTCTTGTGATTATATCTGATTGGGATTAATATTTAAATCATTTACCAGACTTTCGACTGGACATCCACCTCACTGTCTAACACTAGTCCTCTTGTATCAAGATTGGTTCTGACATTTCCAACAGCCTTTCCCCCATACTTAAAACGATTGATTGTTGATTTCTTGTATAAAATGTAATTTACTGTTAGCTCGTAATTAACTTAGTTGATACTTCAGTTCCTTAACCCAATAATTTAAAATAAACATTGTGTCACCACCTCTACTAGTTGCGAAAAAAATGAATCGATTAACCAAGGTTGTGTCTCAAGATGGAAAATCCGCAATCATCTGATTTCTCCTAAATGATCCCAGTTTATTTTTTTATTCTCACTAATTCATGGTGGCCAAATGCCGACGATATCGCAAGCACAAAGGCTGAGAAGCTCAAAATGTTGCTACTGATATCATTTTTTGAATCTTCAATAATTGCGTTTATAACAAAAGAATAAAAAAAAACTTTTTGCTGAAGCTATTTAATGTCATCTGCCAGTTTTAGATCACATAGTTTTATTAAGGCTACATTGCTCTTGTATTGCTAAAGTTACTAGAAATTGAGTGTGGTGTAATCATATGGCAAATAAAAAATGTTTTTATTGAAACATTTACTTCGATTTTCATTTCAAGGCTTTTGAAAGAAATTAAAAAGTAAAAATTTGTCTCGTACAAATATTATCTTTATTAATAACAAAAAACAAACATAATCGTGATCTCCAGCTTGCCAGCTTCCATTGTAACAATGGACAGTTTTATTTTAAATAAACTTCAATTTTAAATTTACCAAGCCTTAAGTGATGTTCCTGTTTTTTATGAGCCCCTGAAACAAGAAAATATAATTATAAATTACGATGTCAATTTAGGTTCAAGCGAATTGGTAATTCCTCAAATAAAAAAATTATAGGACAGGTGCTGGTATTGAATTCAGAACTGGTTTAAAAAAAATTGTGCAGAAAGAAATAAAGGAATTTTCACTCAAAAACAAAATAGTGAAACATACCATAATAGTAAAGTAATAAAATTAAGAGCTGCAAATGGAATTTAAAATAAGTTTCACACAATACTGTTAATTTGTCAATGCTTAAAATATCATACCACTTTTTCGAAAAAAAAATTTGGCATGATTTTGCAAACAAATTAAATTTAGATGCTTACACAATGATGTTGTTGATGGGAATGTGGATGAGCTTGACAAAGAAGCCGATGAATCCCATTAAGCAGAATCCAATGGCAGTGGCCACAGCAATCTTTTGGAACTCTGTTGGAAAAATAAAGCACAGTTAATATAATTTAAATTGAAAAAAATTTATTATTATTAATAATATTTCAAAATAATTGTAGCTTTACAGATGAAATGTGAGGTATGCTTAAATTACCCTTTCTGTCGGGCTTGGTGCACCTTTTGACCAAGCGGATGGAGTCTTTGGAGAACTGGCGGCCGGGCTCAAGGAAGGCCAAAACTTGATCCATGGCTGAGCTAATTAAAGAACGTTTAAAAAAATTAGCTTAAATATGATCAATAATTTGAAGAAAAGGGCTAATTGAAAGGACATAAAATAAAGTAAATTTTACGCAGCAGGCATTGCAAGTGTCTGAGCGAACGAAAGTTTTGGACAAAATTCACAATATCCCTGCAAAATTTACGCCATTATTAATCAAACGAATGATTAATCTTTGTGGAATTGACGTTATATAAGGGTTAAATTTACCTCTTGCAGAAGTGGAAACGAAATTAGATGAAGAAGACCAGGTCAAAGCTGTCAGCTCGGCGTAAACACTGCGTGCAATGGGTCGGCCAGTCTTCGATTCGCTTCGACTCCACGTAATCCACGTCGGCTGTTGAACTGCTGCTCGGATGCTGACGTTGGACGGAGGCGGCCAATCAAAAGCACCGTTATAATCACCGAGCGCAGCTCACGGGCGGCAAAATTCAAATTGAAAGAAAAGGGCGCCAAATCGGAAGCCACGCGGTATGTCACCTAGTGAATACGTGTGATAGACTTCAGACTGATTTTCAGAGCTCGTTATATTTTATTATCATAGCTTTTAAAATTATTTTTAACTGATAATATTTCACCTTTTTCAAGAACAATTTTGAAAGTTCAACCGGGGTCAACCAAATTGTATTTATATTTGAATAATCTCCTCAATAAGTCCTTGCAAAATATCACAGGAACTTAATTTTTGTTTGTTATTTAGGCAATTTTTTTAAATTTATTGAATTAATTATTTAAAAGCGGGTCGTAAAAAATAATATGCTGGGGATTTCAGAAAATCAAACATATTCAGAAACACGTGACATTCGATATACTCATGAACAGCCCTTGATATATAATTCATTTATTGTAACATATTCTACAATTCATCGCCATCATATTTAATTTTTGTTATATTTACAGGGATAACTATTGATTTTATAATTTGTAGATGTCAATATAATAATAAATTTACAACAATAATAATCACATAATAATAATAATAACTGCGTAATCCAAACAATTACCTCAGGACACTTTCATATGTATATTTATAAATGTATCATTGCGCGCTATGCCACTGTTTTTTTCTCATAGTTTATTGAATTGTTATTTCGTTATAACATTTAAGAAAGTAGAAATGCAATAAGAAAGTAAACCAAAGTTTGAGCTAAAATAATAACATTTTGTTTCGCGTCCCATCGTTTTTATAGCGTATATTATAGTGTTTCGCTCGTCTCAGTTTTGTACATCAATTAAGTGGGTAATGTTTTCTCTTTATCTCATCGAATGTGATGCGCATCGTAATTGTTTCCATCTCATTTTTTTTTAAATATTACATCTGTTTTGTGCTACACACCCAATCATACACGGTCTCGCAAACAGTCAGCAATCAATCAACCAATCTTCGCAACTAACAAAGCGCACTCATCTCTTCTACATAGCAGAAATCAACCGTTCCATTGTCTCTGACTGAGGACAGCGCACAATGACTTCTTTAGACATATACTCCAAATTATGATATGTGCACACAAATTCATTTTTACATGCCGCCAGATTGATATACACACACGTGTTTTTCGTTCATCTCGCTACGATTTATGCACTTTTATTTGTAATTAATTGCCACAAGTCCAAAATTGTTGCTTTTTGATTCAATATATTCAAATACGAGAGAATTTTCGTTAACAATTTTAGTAATATTTTTGCCATGATTTGGCTGATATATATCAACAGACATTGTAATTTTTTCTTGGACTCAGGCGAGGGATAAAAGAAACTCTCTGCAAAAGGTGTTGTATCGTGTTTGTCCCAAAAATGGAATAATTATTTTATAATATATAAATTTATCGGTTTTGATGAAACGTTGTTTTAGGCCTACCGAAATGGTCCCTGAGAAGAAATTAAACAATGCAACAAGAAAAATCAATCAGGAATGCTAGAAAAGTGAAACATAAAAAATCGAGTGGATATAAAAAATGGTCCTCAAAACGGTTTTCCAACTCAAAGACTTTCAGAAGAGCACGCTCACTTTTAACTCGATTGTTGAGACGCGGATCGGTCAGCACTAGACTGGATCTCTTTTGTAAATTCGTGTGAGGCACTCTTGTAACTCAAGTCTATATTTATAAAATAGACGTAAATTCAAATTTAGCTCATGTTTTTGTTCCATTCTGGCTTTTGGGACAAACGAGGGAATGAATATACTCTGCTACGAATATTACACAAAACGAGGCCCTGCTCCGTCGGGCAAATTGACTGCTGCTGATCAAAGAGGAATGGAAGCATTCGTAAGTCTGCTCGCTATAAACAACCAGAGGAAATCATAAGTAATTGAGACGTCGTGTTATGTATACTCAGTTTTGTTAATAATTTACGTTTTCCGCTTGTTTAGTTTAATCAAACGTCGTCGCTGGTGGTCGCACATCTAGCACCTTTTGGTATATAATTGTTTTATATAGCACGAGAGAGAAAGAGAGAGAAAAGCGTTCGAGTTAGAGAGATTTTGTCCCACCTGTGTCTGTGTGTATGTAGGGGTGTGTTTAATGAGAATTGGCCGTTCAGGAACCGAAATCAAAATCTGGCAGTGATGTTTGCTTTCGTCTCCGCACCTGTGAAGATCTTGCTCTTCTTTTCTTAATTCTTATTGCTCCAAGTCCTCCATTGCGTAGGATATTTTCATTTGTTAGCAAAAACTCGTTTGTTTGTGAAACTTTTATTGCCGTCCGCTTTTTGCGCTATGAGAGTCCATATGTTTACGAAAAGGCACATACTTTCTCTCATCGGACCTCAACACACTCTGGGGGGTGAAGAATATTTTCTTGTTAAATTGGTAAAACCGGCTTGTGATTTTGGATCAAAATTTCCTTTCCATGCAACCTGCTTATTGCGTATACACACTTGTTACTTGAGGTTGATGCGGCCGCCCTTTTCGGAGCCGTCCTCGCTCTCCTCAACGTCGCCGTCGTCGGCCTGCTCGCCGTCCTGCGGCCGCATGCGGGCGCCGACGGCTCGCATCGACGCCTGGCTTTGCGGGCGCCGCTGGGAGCCGCTCGAACTGACCGTCTCGGCCTCGGAGGACTCACCGCTGCCGTCGTTGGTGGCGATCGAGCCCACCTTGTCAGCAGCAGGACTCGAACTGGTCGACGACTCAAGGGACTCGGCCGGAGAGGTGGCCTGCTGATTTTCGTGCTGCAAGCGCAGCGTCTGGTAGCTGACGCCGTTGTTGTTGTTGTTGTTGCTGGAAGTGTTGTGGATTGACTGCGGGTGGCCGATAATCGAGGGCCGAATTATCGAGGGATGACCGATGATGGAGGGGTGGCCGATTATTGACGGTTTGCTGCCAGGGATGGAACGCGGCGGCAGCGCCGGCGGCGCCGACTGCTCCTGCTGAAGGTGCAGCCGTTGGTGCAGCTGCGGCGGCGGAAGCGGAGGCGGCACCTGCGGCGCCCCCCTGCTGCTGGAGGAAGTCTGATAGCGCTGAGGGGATGCCGGTAGCTGAGGCGAAGTGGCCGCCGCCTCCGAGCGCAACGCCGCCACGGTCGGGTTGCTGCTGATGCCTCTGCGAGGCAACGTGGCTGACATACTGGGAGAACTGTTGTTGTTGATGATGCTGTTGGCCGCCGCTGTCGCTTGAGTTGTCAAAACTGAGACACCTGCAAATCCAATGAAAATTTCAATTTTTATTATGGCCAAATTATTTTCGCTTTTGTTCTGTATTAGGCGGGGGAGGTGGGTAAAAATTTGTCAATTTCAAATTTATAAACTTTTTAATCTTTACATTGAAGTTAAATGACATATCACCTAATTAATTTAATTCTTTGGTTACCAAAACGGAAAAAAGAACATGAAGATTTATTTTTATTTTAAATTTATGTATTCCTGAATCCTTTGATATTTTGATAGATGAAGAAAAATTATCAAATTCATGTTCTTGCTGGAAAAATTTAAAAATCAGATTTGATATTAATAGGTTGCAGGGGTTGCATTTCAGTCAAACACGCAAAACAGGGACTTTTTTATATTAATATATTTTTTAAGTTGGTTATTAAGAACGATCAAAAATTAATTTACTTCTTCCTAAGTCTACTAAAAATGATCAATTCACAAGCAGACAAAAATATATAATTTGGGGATAAAAATATCATCGCAAAAATGTTAAATCGGTAAACGCATGATTTGACACTAGGACTACAAAACGATTTGGATGGTCTAGCACAATACCTATATTAAAATGATGGATTCTATGTGATGGAGTATGAAGTATGCAAGATAGTTTTACTCGCGATATTATACAACATTGTTAATTGGTCACGTGTTTTTATTCGCACACAGCCGCGTGGTATCTCTGATATTCTAAGTACCTGCGTCTCTGCCAGTCACCCCTGGCTGTTGCTGCTGTTGCGATGGCGTCACTCCTTGCCTGAGCCAACTCGAGTTGTTCTGAGACCCGGCGACGGCGAGTGTCGATGAGGTGCGCACGTTCCCGCTGCTCAACGAGTTCGAAAGCCGCGTCATTCGAGGAGGCTGCGGCGCGTCCTTTCCAGTACGGCTGGCCGACACTTCCCGAACTGTCTGTGGAAATGACCACTGCTGACTAAGGAAATGCGCTCTAACTACAGGACAGTATAGAGGTGAGCTTATACGTGATTTGCTTTGAAATTTTTGGTCTAAAAGAGAGAGATAGAGAGAAAGTAAACAGTAAGAATGACAATAACATTTGCTCACACTCTTTACAGAAGAGAGAAATAATTATATAGAAATTTTAACAACAGTAATCAGAGAGAGATTTTTTGATTCTCCATTTGATTAATTTTCTGACATTTTTTAATGTACATTAGAAATAATTTATTATATTTGGTTAGACTTTTAATACAGAATTAGAAGCCACATAATTATCTACATCAAGTTCATGCTTTGCGGTGTTTTCACATAGGTGGGCCTTTATATACAATAAAACTGTGTGCGTTGATAACAATAAGGGTGTTTTTTTTTTCTCGAAAGGTGAGAGAACAGTGATTTATACTCGGAACAGCAGAAAAGAAGCGCGGTGAAAGAGAGGGCGTGAGAAAGTGGAAGAGATTGTGTGAGTAAAGAATAGTTGAGAGATACAAAAGGAACCAATTGAGCGAGTGCAAGGTGCTTTGAACGCCAACACGATCACCATCCAAAAAAACTCAGCAAAATGGAACACACAGAAAAAAACTAAATCTCCAAATGATATAAGTTAACAAAATTAATTCGTTTATTGGAAGAACAACAGAAAATAATTGACATGCAATTTGAACACATAAGGTGGCAGCTTAATTGTAATGTTTGATTAAATCATCAAGTTCTGAACACACTGGCTTGGTTGACACATGCTTGTCTCACGGTGCCACATTACCTGACTTTATCGGCCAAATCTCAAGAAGGTATTTGAGCACGCTAATTGGCTGCATAAAGTCGAGCACTTCGCCGGCCGAGTCTTCGCTTTGCAGCATTAGCACTGGACCAAAGCAGACGGCCAGATTCTGAGGAACCATTTTATTTCTGTCCGACTGCGACACAACTAGGGCTAAGTGGTCCATCAAGTAGATTAGTGTGCACTTAAAAGAGAGAAGAGGAATGATCGTTAGTTGCAATAAAAGATTTAGTACAGAATTAATTAATTACTCTGTTGACTTTTGGCAGGCAGTCTAGAATGGAGAACATGAGCTTGGCGTTGCCCTCAGGATCGTCGGGCAGACACACTGAGAGCGCGTCGAGAAGCATTTGATATAGGCATTTTGTGAAGAGCGGCTCAGGAAGCTCCCGTAAATAATCTTTGAGCACGCCTGAAACACATCGAATAGAGCAAATTTAAGACTAGGTATTATGCATTAAATAAAACTCATGATAAATTTGCAATATTAACTAAAAATAAAAAGATATGGTTATGATAATAGCATTTTTTTAAATAACTACTTAAAAAATAATTAGATAAATAAATTCAAAAACACCCCAATATTATTATGGCATATATTTTTTTTAAATCTCTTATCTTTTACAAATTTTAGCAAGATTATAAAACAAACTAAATTTTCAGAATATTAAAAGAAATCAATTATATTACTTATTTTTTTTAATGGCTATCCAGGCTATCAACTGGAGATTCTTTTTATATTAGTATAACTACTCACCCGTTATTACGTTGATATCTGGAACATTGTCAGGGCTGAGGTCAACGGTTCTCGGGTTTCTCTCAAAAGCCTCTCTCAAAATTCTCTTTTTCGTCGCAGACCCACACAGTCGGTACAGACCGATGATGTCCAGCCCTCTCCTCTCCACCTCTTCAACGCAGCGGCGCACCAGGACGGGCACCGACGCTGAAGTGGCGCCGCCCGCGCCCGTCACGGCCGCGATTCCGCTCTCCCTTGCAACAACTGCATCCAAGTCGGCGCCGAACAAATTTCGACTTGCCAGACCGAGGTGTCCGTTGCGTCGGAACGCGAGACGGGGCGGTGTGTGCCGTAACTTGAGGTATAAAGTACCGCGCGGCTCGATGCGCAGCGCCAGTTGGTGCACCGGCGACTCGCGGAGGAGCTGCGAAATGTGCAGGGAGCCCTTGTAGCAGAGTTTGTGGCGGAAGTGCGGGTCCCACGAGTAGATGAGCAGATCCAGCTGCCGGTTGTCCACCAAGTCCAGCTCGAATGTTTCGTCCCACTCGAAGACAAGCTCGCCAGTTCGCACAACCGTGCGCGCCTTGTGCACGCGGTCGCACTCGAGGACGCAGTAGAGGTCTCGGCACTGCGACAGGGCCCCTCTCGCGCCGGGGGTCGGCGTGGCCTTGAGGCCCCGGCCGGCCAGCAGGTGCACCCACAGGAGGCCGCTGACCCCCGAGGTGCCGCTGCCGCCCAGTGCCGGCGACGGCGCCAACGAAGACTTTTCCATCTTGTATTTGAGAAACTCTGCCGGGTTGATGTCGAGGATGCGAGAGCGCGGGTCTGTTGGGGTGGTCGCGCCACGCAAAGCTGCGCTCGCCGACGCCAGGGCCGTGTTGGAGCCGAGATTCGAGGAGCGCTCCTCGAGCAGGTGGCGCATTCGCCGCAGAGAGGTCGACGAAGCCGACGAAGTCAGCGTGCCGGCGGTTGTGCGAGCCGCGTTTTCAGCGCGGAACGAGGCGCGAGCCAAAGAACTTCGATCGAGAGTTGAGGTCAGAGGTGAGGAGCGCATGGTGGAGAAAAGTGAAGGGTCCTGAAATAAGGATGTGACTTTTTAATTATAAATATCCTAGGTATTTAAAATAAGTTATATTATTTGAATGATATTTCATGTTTTTATGAATATAAATTAAAAAAAAATATATTAAAATTAAAAATAAAATAAAATAAAAAGTCAAAAAATTTATGGTTTTCATAAAAGTGCGTGCAAGGAGAAATTAATTAAGATTCAACCAAAAATATAATTCCTCGGGAGTTAATTTAAGAACAGAACATTATAGAGTTGCAAATTAAATGAAGTTAATAAAAATGCAACCATCTTGTCACATAATAAAAACTAATAAAAACCAATGATCTGTCTTTTTGTAATGAGCTTTTTGCACACTTACCCTGTCAATGAGAGTCAAATTCTCTGCGCTGAATGTGAACCTTGGTCGGTGGGTGCTGAGAATTTCGCTGGCGAGACTACTGCTCCTGCCGGAGGTGTTGCGCAGACGGTCGTAGATCGCGCTGGTGGACGGAGTGCGCTGAATATATGTGCGGTACTCGTCCGACGTGAAAATGCTCGGCGAGGAGGGCACCCTGCCTCTTTTGATCAGGGGCATTTCGGGTGCCGAGAGGGCGCCGTCGCTGTCATAGTCGTGCGACACTGGACCCATGTTTCTGTCAAAACGCACCAAACCTCTCGAGCGACCGCGACTGTAGTCGCGCGGGAGGGAATTGGTTCGCAATCCATGTTGTGCTTGCAAGCTCTATAATCATAAAATTAGAGCAAAATTAAATTTTAATGCAATTGTTTCCCATCATTACCAATTGTTTTATCTTTTTGAATTGAAACCCAAATTTTTTGAGCAAAAATGAAATTGCTAAAATCGTTGAAACTTAATCTTAAGAAAGAGATGATTTTAACACGCAGGAAATTTAGTAGATTAGAGATTTAGAAAAGCCCAAATTCTAATTAAATTTTCTTTACTTAAACTTAATTTTGAAGAAGAATTTGCGCCGACGTTAATTTATAAATGATAAAAATTAAGTTGGATTTAAAATCGGCTTTTCCTTGATGGATTTTTAAGGTTTAATGTTTTCTAAGAATAAGGGATTTTCTCTTGACGAAGACAATAATCCACTCATATGAGCCATTGAGAAAAAGCGGATTTAAGTTGTGATGAAACCTTTATACCACCAAAGCTCTTAATAAAATAATAATCTTTGGAAGCTTCGTGCTTAAAGAACTCTAAAATAATTTGGTCTGGAAACCTCTTACCCAAAGTACTTTCAGATTTGGAATTTTATCTTCTAGGAAATCTTAAAGATTCTCATTATAAACTATACATTAACACAAAATAATTAATACATTTTATGGTTAAAAGTTTTAGAGGAAAGCATAGAAAGCTTCTAATCTCTGAATGATTGACTTAAAGAAGACTTTTCAAAAATATTAAAGTAATTTACCTAATTATAAAAAAACCAATCAGTTCATTTCCGTTCACTTTTTAAAAAAGGCAGAGAAATTAAATACAACGAAAGGATTTTTTACATATTGTACCACATAATTATGTTAAAAAATAGAAGGAAAAAAATCATATCTGTTAAATGAAAAATGAGCATTTAAAATACCTGAAGTGCTGCCGTGTACTGGCCACGGCGCTGCTCAGCAGCCGCGAGGCTGCTGGTCAGCTGCAGGTAGCTCCTTCTAGGGACGGTGGTGGCCTCGGTGTCGGACGCGTAGTCGAGACTGGGGGTGCGTCTGCGTCCAACGGTGCCGCCGGTGTAGCCGCGGTAGCCGAGCGCTTGCTGTTGCTGCTGTTGCTTGACCTGCGAGGAGCGTTGCCGGACGTAGTCGTACATGTCCGAAGTGTCGACGCGCGGCAGGTGCTGGTCGCTGCCCGAGCGGGGCACGCCGCGCCGCATGCCGAGGGTGCCCGAGGCGAGCAGTCTGGAAACGGGCTGGTGCGAGCGCCGGCCTGTCGTGTTGGACGAGCCTGGCCCACCGTAGAAGGTGTGCACCTGATAGGGGTAATACGAGGCGGTGCTCTTTATTGTTTTATCAAGATCAGGTGTTGGATGGTGCACGGGGGAGGATACCAAAAACAGAAAGAGAGAGAAAACAACGTGTCACAACCAGAGTGCAAATAGTGCTGCATAATGTAAAAAAGGTTTTGATGTGGCCAGTGCAGAGTGCGAAGACAGCGAGTTGCAGTGGGTGGCATCGCAGGGTCGGCGACGCGGGCCATTTCCGCCCCTTGTCCCCTCCTGCTGCAGTGCCACCCACTTTGACATTTTTCGGTCAGTGAAAGGGGAATTAACAAATGAGACGTACAAAAATCTAGTCAACATATATCATGAAAGCTATACTTCAAGTCACTTTTGTGCTCAACAATTAATATCAGACACTTTTCTAATGTGTAAGCAAAATAAATTGCTGCGAGTGATTTTACACGACTATGAGTCTAGATTTCTATTCCGTCTTTCACTGAAATGCATTTCCATTGAATATATTTGACATCTAGCTCGCACTACACTGTGGCTCACCTTTTCGGCCAGAGATTCTAGTGTTTTGGGGTAATTTCTGTCGAAGGGCTGGAAGTGTTGCTGGCTCATTGACGCTTTTGGCTGAGTTGTAATGGGTGGAGGAGGGGGTTGATATGGTGCCCATGACTGGTGTTGCTGCTGTTCTTGGTGGTGTCTCGTCGCATACTCTGGCCTCGAATTGTAATACAAATATGGGTCCGAATCCTGAAACAATTGCAACTCAAAAATATTAAAAATTGAATCAAAGCAAAAAAATTTCTGAAAACAATCAATTTTGCTCTTCAATTAAAAACCATCTGATTTTAGAAAATTAAAAAAAAATTTTTTTGGCTTAAAAATAACTGAAAAGATTTATTCTTTTAAATCTATTAAAACCTTTAAATGTAGATTATTTACCATAATATACAAATGAAGTTTTAAAAAATTACCTGTACCATATTACTGAGCCCAAGCTGTTGTTGCGAGTGCGCTCTTGCAATTCCAGCCGAGTATGCTGAAGAATGGTGCCCTGGAAGTCTTTGTAGGGTTGCGGAGGCGCCCGACCGCTGGTGTTGCATACCGTAGGGGTCTCTTAACAGGGGCATGCCAAGTCCGTTTTCCCCATTGCTGGTGCTTTCACCGTCAGGTCCATCATCTCCAAGGTCGAGCTCTTTTTTCATCACAACAACCGGAGGCGCCGGTTTCATGTCCAGCGACCTCACCTGAAACTTTGGGAAATTATTGAAAATCTGAAAAATACTAAATTTTTCCAATATAAGTACCCCTGGTCCCGATGAAGTGCCTGGTCCGCCAGGTCCGGTGGCCATTCCCCGGCGCCGTCTGGTCGTGAGTACCAGCCGCCGGGGAATGGACATGATGATGACAACGTCGTCCAGACTGATTCTGGTGACGTCGACGAGGTTGACGGCAAGAATCTCGTCGCTGACGTGCAGACACCCGCTGTGATAGACCGGCGACTCGAGTGCGATTCGCGAAATAAAAACGCCCTCACCCCGATCGCCGCCATTGCCCTCCCTGATGTAGAGTCCCAGAGTCTGGCCTGGCCGCTTCACAATCTCAACGAAATGAACTGCGTGCTTCGAGTCCTGTCGAGGAGGAAAAGATTGTAACCGCTCGTTTCCGAGAGTAAGACATTTTTATACTTGTAGCATGAGAAATCGCTTGACGGCATCCTGTGCGGCGCGCCCCATGTGCCTTGGATCGAGCATTCGCACCACCATCTCGCCGCGCCTCTCCACAGCCTCAAGAGCAGCTGCCGTTGTCGCATCGTGGTCGTTCTCTACTGTCTCTATTTGTCGGAATATCTCCGTTGATATTCCGCTTACCTACAGAAGATTATTTTTTTATTTTTCAAATAATTTTATATCAAAAAAGCATCAAAGCGTTATTAATGAGATATGCGTAAAGATTTTTTATGATAATTTCACTCATATGGATATATTTGAATTGTTTCAATTTTCTTGTAAAATTAAAAGCTGCAAATGGTTCAGTTTTGAGATTAAGAGTCACATAAAAACGCCGTATAGCTAATCCCCGTGCAAAGGCTTATGACATGATTAGAGGCAAAGTCTTCATACCTTTCTGAAATCTCCTTGTATGACCATAGGCGGTGGTTCTCTTGGTCTGAGCCCACCCATGGTCTGTTGTTGCTGCATCTGCTGTTGGGTTTGTCGCCGAGGACTTGTGGCCAAATCTGGATTTGCATCGCGGCCCTGAGAACAAAATACGTTTGCAATCAATTTCAAAGCATTAAAAATTAAAAATAAATGGGAGACCCGCATCTATTAAAATTTTAGTTGTCCTAATTTTTCCCCATTTCTCTTAAATGCATTTGTCCAAAAAAATATTTTGTCGAAAGTTTCTCGCAAGACTGATAATTAAGGTTTGCAGAATATTACATGCAAAAATATTACAGAGAAGGCAGTAGCTGCCGTTCAATAATCATAATGTTGTTTTTTGCATTTTAAAAAAAAAAATAACGTAACAACGTTAAGAATATTTCAACGTTTTTTAATATTGATAGTTTTTGATTTCTGTTTTTATTGCTACTTTTGAAATTTGTCTGAAAACTTGATATCTAGCAAGAAAATAGGCACGTTTTGTGAAGCTTCAAAGCGAAATTTAATAAGTATCAATAATAATAAGTATTATTACATTCAAATTAATAGAGTTTTGTAAATTTAAATGAAAAGATTGATTTTATAACAAACATAATCTGGGATGTGCGAAAATTAATTGGTTCATTTTAATAAAAGTTATTATCCAAATTATAAAAAGAGAATTTTTGTTAAGTTTTTATGCAGGTCTTCTTGTTTCTAATTTTAATTTCCTTACAACGCTCGGCTTTTTATCTACTGCTGGCCATAGAAAAAAACTGCTCTTTGAGGAGATGCATACGCTACATTAAAGCCGCTGTTTAACATGTATGGCATGCATCCTCCATTAGATCTCTTTGCAAAATGAAAAACAAAATGCGGTTACTTTTAACCGTACGCCGCTCGCAACTTTTCCCATAAAACACCCCCGAGATTTTTATGGCTGATAAAAATGGCTAATATTTGGGCTACAGGTTTTGCCAGCAGTGACCTGCTTGAGCATACATAACTTTTCCACATTCGCCGCTGCGAAAGAACCAAATCCTCCTGCGGTTGCCCAAAAGAGCGAAAAAAATCGCACCGACCCTTTCCAGCTTTTCTCTCATTTTTTCATACGTATGAACTTTCTACGCCAGAGCATTTAAAGCGTCATTTCATGATTATCTACCCGATTTAATTCGACGGTCTAGTTTAACACGCCGCGCATGATTAAACGGAAACCGAAATTGGTGCTGCTGGAAATGTGTGGGGCATCAGTTTTCAATACGCGGGGTGACGGAAAGGGACGCAGAGCGGGAGAGTAAGAGCGAGAGAGAGCCGCTATGCTACAGCCCTGTTATTGATCAGCGAAGGCTGCATTTTCTCTCTCGTCTTCTCGTCTTCTTTGCTGAATCAAAATCTCCCTTCGCCGCCACGCCCACTATGCTCTCGCTCATACGCTCGCTCTCGTCGCAAAGATTTGTGATCAACGGCCATGCAGATTCGCCACACATGTCTGCTAATCAATGCCGAAACGTTCGGCGTTGAATTCAATCGGCCGACGCTGCTCTCGTGTTATTGATTCCCACTTGGCAGCCTCTGCTAATTAACGCATTCAACCAGCCGCTGGCTATTGTTGCTCCGTTGGCATTCATCCGCGAAAATTGGATGCTGGCACATGGAGAAATTTCCTTCAAGTCGAATATAGAGAAAAAAAATTCATCTTGTAAAAAACATGGTTCTGCATTTCAATGACTAAAAGACGATTGATTAAAATTGTAAGCTCTTCCTCTCATTTGCTGCATTTTTTCGACTCGTGTTGCGTGCTTTGCTCGATAAAAACCAATTTCTATCTGTTCGTGCACTGAAATGCGGCCCTTTTTTGTATACGGGTGCGTTTGAACAAGCGCCACAAACGGGGATCCCCTTATGCTACGATAGTTATGCAGACCGCGCGTCACGTGTGACAAGCAAATTGCCTAACCTCAAATTATCAGGGGCCTCGCCTGACGGTTCGAATAATAGCCTACTTTCGAATTCGTGCGAGTGGAAATATTTAAATATATTTACGAAATATTTGGAATGGCAAAATTTTTGAGATTTTGGATTTTTTTTTGACTCACCACTACTCTGGCCCCGGGCCTGTAGTCGCCGTCGTTGCTGGCCCGCGAAAAGAAGCAGCCACAACGCGAGTTGTTGGCCGCGCCTCCTCCCAGGTCGCACATGGTTTGGCCACCCTTTATGTTCAGGAACAAGGGCAAGCACCAGCAGCAACAATACTTCTCGCAGAAGTCGCAGTAGCAGTAGACATTGTTGTGCTGTCGGGTGCCCTGGTAAGGGGTCGGGGGTGGTGGTGAGGTGATACCGTTCTTCGGCGGCCAACAACACATCAGGCCATCGCAGCTAAGGCACCGTACCACGAGATTCCGACTCAGAATGGACCCGCTTTTACTCCTCGCTCATTCTAACAAGTCGGCCAACTCCGTGCCGCCTCGCCACTCGCCCCCCGTGCACAAAGAATTAACCCTCTTTCATCCCCCACAGACTCAAAAATCAGGACTGTCAACCCTTAAGGGAGAAATCTAAAATCGAGAACTCGCGCGTACGGTGCTCTCGCAGCAAACAGGTGACGCTTTTGACCTTCAAGGAAGCACACATCCCTTCTGAATAATAAAACTGGGCAGGAATAATGCAGCTCGGTGCGAAATACCCGCTCTTGCGCTCTCGCACCACCTAATCGCAAACACTCCCAAAGTTTGCGGCTGAATATTGCACCTCAGCAAGAAAAGGAGATTGAAAATTTTTACGTTGTAATTTTATTTAAAAGAAAAAGTAAGCAAAAAAAATTTAAACCAACTTTTCTTATTTTTTTTTTATTTTTCCATGTTTTACATTTTTATTTAAAATGTTAATTTAAAATGTTAATTTTTTCTGCTCTCCAAAATAGAATTAAGAAACCTTATTAATAATTGAAGTTAAAGTTTACCTTTGAACTTAGAGCAGAACCGTGGATCTGCGGAAACAGTATTTATGCCTAAATATATATTTTTTTTCAAACAAGATAAAATAGTATTAGTGGATTTTCATCGGGCCAAGCAGTAAAAAAAAGATAGCAGCTCTTGCGTTTTTGAGGTCTTTTGTAATTATCTAGCATTTTGCTATTCCTTGAGGGAGGAAAAGTGGCCTTTTGCGGTAGAATTTCAGGCACGCCGCGGCTTCAATGGTCTCATAAATGGGTAGCATGATAAGGGCGCACAACAGTTGGCAGCCGTGGCGAATGCAGCAGCATCACAGAGCAAACTCAAAAATCCATATCAGTGGCGGGAGGAGAAAATCGATTTCGGGTTGAAACCGGAATTCTCCTGGCGCATCCTTTTAATCTCGTTTTCCATTCAAGCTTCTTCTCATAATGAATAAAAATATTTTTCAATATCAAGTCCAATTTCATTTAAACAAAGTGATTTCTTGCAAACAATAAATAACTCTGATTGCGGAGAGGAAAAATATTTATGCGTTTTTTTATGGCACTAAATTTGGGTGTGTGTGTCGATCATTATGGGGCGAGTTGCCTGATTGCGATACAAAGTTTACGGCGTTCATATTATTTTTCCAGGTAGAGAGTAGAACCCAAAGTCTCGCGCATCTCCATGGCGACATACCGAAACCCTAGCCCATATTCTCTATTCAGCTCTGCTCTCGCATCGACCCAGGGGTTGCCTCGCTCGCGTCGGCTCGAAATAACGCCAACCCCTTCAGAGGGCAGCATTGTGCAAGGGCACACTTGCTACCCCCGTATACTACTACGCGGGCGAGTATTTCCGTGGAAAATGGGTCATTCCAGTTCGCCACGGGCGGAATCCAATGCTTTTTCCGTCCGTCCGTGGCCTGATTGCGTCCGCGGTATACAGACAGGGGTGTTTATACAATACGCGTCGACCACGGCAGCAATGAGTATGCAAATGCCGAGGGCAGTGATGTGATTTTAATGTTCGAAAAAAAAATAGCGATTGCCAGTTTGTTGTACTTTTGAAATAATGACTCGTCTCTGGTTGGTACATAATTGAGTTTGCGACACACTCTGGATTTTTCCATATAGAAAATAATGGCGACGGCGCATCCATTAGCAACGCAGTAAACTTCAGTTTATCGCACATAAGCCCGCCGAGTTGCGGAAAGCACTGAGGATTTGACCCTCTGGCGTCGATTACTCGCGGCGAATATTGTAATTTAATGCTGAGACATTCTAAAAAATTCACGCACGACTTTGCGTGAAAATAAAACCAGAAGGGGAAATTTTTGGAAAATATAAAGAAAAAAAGCGGCGAGCGCCTCTGGCTTGAGCGGAGTTGGCGGATCAAAGGAGGGGTGCAATTAGAATAACGCCCTCTTCCGCACGCACACACCGCCTGCAATTGTAAGGTGCATGAATGACGAGTATTTTTACGTTTTTGGTTGACGTCACGGTTACTCCAAAGTCAGCAGCAGTGCCACCTGCTCTTCACCCACTTGACTTTTCAACTCGGCGGCGGCGGCGGCACCGGGGGAAAAGAGAGCTGAGCCACCGAGCCGGCCCGGCCAGTCCGTTCATATTTAGCAGATGCTCTCAACAAATAATCCATTATGCAAACGAGCCGTGCTTTTCAATAAACGACAAAAAAAATTAAATCTGCACATTGTTTGTAGGCCGGCAATAAAGGCCCGTGATTTTTTTTACAAACACCCCAAAGTATGAAGTTAAAAATTAAAATAAAAAATTTAAGTAGAAAATTTGGTGAATGATTTTTGGTTATTGAAATATTTCTAGGAAAATCAAAATTGAAATAAAAATTCAATATACAGGGGGATGAAATATAGAAAAGAACTTAGTAAAATAGACTTCTTGTGTTGAACCTCTAAATTTTGGTGCAAAAAAAAAAACTAAAACACAATGGAAAATGAAAAGTTTTTGGCGGTTTTTGGGAACTATTAACTTTAATCTGAAAATTTCTAGATGCATGGATGAACTAAAAAACCATTTTAAGAATCAGCTTCAGATACACAAAGAAAACATGAAAGGAAAGAGGAAAGCCTCCTTCTGTTCTACTTTCCCAGATTCGGCAATAAATAACGGGCGCGCGCGTCTGTCTGTCTGGCGCTCGCTTTTGCGGCTGTTTTATTAAATCGTTTCGGCGGCGGCTGCCATATTTCACGGGGCGCGCAGGGCGGCAGACGCAAATAGAGCGAGGAGCACTTTTAATGGTGCGCGCCTGACCCTTTCGGGAACACACAACAATGAGTGCCGCCGCAATTGGCTTTCGAGACAGGTCGAGAAAACTCGCGAACTAACAAACATTCGAGGATTTAGCTGCGGGTGGGTGGTTGGGTGGGTGGGTGGTCGCCTCCGAAACGAGTGTGTAACGAACGGCCTCCTCCAGCTTCATCAATCAATAAAACACGGCAGTTCCATCTTCGCCTCTCTCTCTCTCTCTCTCTCTGCCGTTTGCTCCAGCGGCGCGTCATTAAAATTTAATAATTTTAATCAGCCCACTGCTCTCCTGTCATGCATTAGGCACGCCGAGCTGCGCCTCAATGGAAAATATTTTTCTTTTATCTCGATTCACTTCAAAGCGTGAATGTATGCACGTCTCTTCCACTCCTTTGTTTGCCCGGACTTGTGCACATTTGTGTTGCGAATTAAGTTGAGGTACGTCGCACATACGAGAGAGCGTCGTAATGAACAGAAAAAGTGCTCAATCTTTGTGCAACCTGAAAATGATTATATTGTAATATCCCCATACGTGCCATACCTCCCTCTTTTAAAAGCGTGCATTTGAGTATTATGCAACCAGCACGACATGAAAGACGGGCGCTAAGCTAAGCTTTTGAAAATCTTTTCTTTCAACATTGAGCAGCTCTCTTTCCGTGCATTGTGGTTGCGGCACCAAAGGGATATTGTGCATAATTTGAACACCGCAAGAGAGCTTTTCTGTCGTATTTAATGCACCGCAGTCGCGCTTGTGGATTCATCAAATACGCGGGGTGCATTCCGACTGCGACCTCTTGACACATTCCAATGGCAGACCTCAAAATGTGTGCAATTTACAAAAGTTTGAACGTTTTTGTTTAGTTTGCTTTGGTGCAGTCAAATTATAAAAATAATACAATTCTTCATTTCCGTGTCATTTTAGCCGCAGCTCAAATTTAAAATGCAACAATTTAAATTAATTAAATATTCTTCAACAGATTATAATTTTTTTATTCTGCTTGTCATTTGGAAAGAACTTGATGTGCGATTAATTTAATGAATGATTTAGAATTTGAAGAAGCTTTCATAATTGAACTGCAAATAATATTGCAATGTAGTGAGTTTCTATTGAGTTTCAGTCAATAGACTGAAGTTCGTACATTTAAAAAAAATGTTCAATTCAAATTATTATAAATATGCTTAGCTTCTTCAATTTTCGCGGAGCTTATAAAGGCTGGCGGAAGGTGGAATGAGGATGACAAATTTGGGTAGACTTCCCTTTCCTTCTCCACCGCTCTTATCTGATATAATTAGGCGAAGAGGCACTGTCGTGAAACATTCTCTTCTCTAGTGGCGCAGAGAGAAAAAGATGACACTACATAGCTCAGTCGCTTTCTCGTTCAACCAGTCTGAAGCGCCGCTTCTTTTAATTATCTTCCGCCGCGCTCTTCAAGGATCCAATAATGGATTTCGCGCTATTTGCTCGGTGCTCAGAGACTGGAATTGCGCACGAATTTGCATAAGGAACTCGATCGGCGCGCATCATTCAACGGGGCTGCTCTGATTGCTTTATTTTCCGGCCCCGACGGAAAAGAAAAAAAATGTTGAGAGAGATGCCCAGAATACAAAAAGAGAGGAGAAAGTGTGTCTGAGCCCAACGGAACGCCCACCCTCATATTTTCCACGTGCTTGTCCTTTTGCTCTTTTATACATATATTGTCGCCAGCTGGAGAGAGGCGGCCGGAATCCATTCTGCGACCCTCCATGTTAGACAGACTGGATGAAAGGCAGAATGGATTTGTTTTCCCCATTCACTCGTGCGGACGGAATTTTAGTGACTCACTTGTTTTCTCCAAAACCAAGAAAAATACACAAAGATTAGATTAATTAATCAATTTAATTGTTTTTTTTTTTAATTTAAAAGACCATCCGATGAAATTAATTTTGTTTTCCAAATTTTTCGCGAGCGTTTCCGAGAATAAAGCAATTTCTGTTTGCGAGTTTTAATTTCAGATTTATCCAGCAAAATGCGAATTTCCCCAATTTCCCGACTCGCTTTGCGGAAAGACTGCCAGCAGGGAGCGAAAGAGAGAGACACTGGGGAAAAAATCGATTGCCGATGATTCGAGCGGCATGAAACCCCCAAGCGAGAGACTTGAACAAACGGGTTTAAGGTGTATAAATTTGTGGGCAAAGGGCTTACCTGGTGATTGAACATATTCCAGAATCTCGTCTCATTTTTCTTCTTCTTCTCCTTGGTGCCGCCGACCATGGTGGTGGTGAGTTTGAGTGCGCGGTCTACTGCGAGCTATTCATGCCGTAAGACTGTTTCTCTCTACGCTGTGAGTATTGATTTACCGGCCGGTGTAAGGGCTGCTGCTTGTGCTTCTGACATTTACCGCCCATGCACCGCTCTCTCGCTCGCTCAACCCTATGTTTGTTTTAAAATTTTCCACTATTTCACGATTCGACTCTATTGGCCGGCGCGCGTATTGGTCAATATCATTCCACGGCGGCGCGTTAATCACCCCCGTGTGGGAAAAAATAATTCTGCTGGCAGATAGAGGGTGAGTGAGAGAGAACTGTGCGCTGAGTAGAGAGGGAGGCAGCCCGCGACCACCACTGCTGCCCGCCCAACAGAGACTGGCTGCATATCAAGTCGAGATTCATTCGCTGGTCTCTCTCGCCCTCTGCCAGCCGCCGACGTGCCGACTGCTTATTGTGCTGGAACACCCCCTTCCCTAATCATAATTGCGCCTGTCATCCATCGTGTCCTCCTCCCCCGGCAAACGATTTAATTCTGCCGACGACAACGGCACCCAAAAGACTCCCAGTCCAAGCAGCTGTCAAACAGCCAGTGTAGACCTCACTTATGAATATTTCACTGCCCTTCAAACAGCCCATGATTGATGGATGTACGCTTCTTTTTTACTTCGATCTATTGTGCTTTAAATCCATCAGCATCGATTTAGTCGTGGAGCAATAAAGTCAATAAACTCTATCAAAGAGTATCAATTTAATGCATAGGCAATATACAGGTTTCAATTTTATCATTTCGGTATACGTCGCTATAAGGTTGGGAAAATATATTTTTAATTTTTAATGTTACTCAATTTAATTTTAAATTAAAAAATCTAAATGTTATTTTTAGGTCCGTTTTTTATCACCTAATAAGACAGAATTGTATTATTTTTTATATTTTAATTTTGATTTAACTTTCTATATATTTTATATCGTTTTTAATAAAACAAAAATTAGAATGAATGATTTATGTCTCTTATTGAAGCTTAAAAAGTTAAATGGAAAAATTAAATTTTTTCCTGCTTTATGTTTAGTGTATTATGCTGCATGCCATTGACGTTCAATACACACATATGCATACAAATGTACATACATAATACCACTTTAGTATTAAAATTAAAAAAGATAATTTTGCAGGTAATAATTTGATGAATTGTCTAAAACAATTATGGGAAATAATCGAAATTAAAATAAGCTTTTCATATGATGTGGCGTTTGATGAAAATTTCCATCGATCTTAAAATAGCAGTTTTTCATTTATTTTTTGCACCCGTTCGTAAATTAATGATAAAAAAGAGAGGTGAGTCTATAAATTTAAAGTTGTTTCATGGCTATAAAAGTATTTTAAGTATTACACAATTTTCTCTGCAACAAAAAGATTCATTCTTATAGACAAAGAAATAAAATTTAATGTGATATTAAGTTAAAACTAATAAACATTCATAAAAAGTCTTAATGAGTGAATCTCTTCTACCCCCATTCTAAAACCTATAATTGAATCAAATTTAATCTTGAGAAGAATAATTTATAATTTATGGATATGATTCAGTGCAAAAGGAAGAGCCTAGTCGTCCGTGGAAGGCACACAAACGAAATCAATGGCCTGTGAAGAATTGAAGAACGAGAAACCAACCCCTGCAGATGCTTATTTACGATCCAATCTACACAACCACCCTCTTGTCGGCAGTTCTGACTTGTTTCGAGGAAGGAAGGGTTCCTCACGTTTGGGATTTTCCTTGTTGCTCCAGCACGCGAGAGTGACGTCATCTTGATTCACGAGCACCTTGGTCGGGCAATAATAGCTACCTGCCGAAATTTAAATCAGAAAGATGGGGCGAAATTGGGGCACGGCGATTATTTAATTCTTCGCTCGCGAATCAAATGCATGCAAAATAATCCCTCGCCGTCTGGATGCGCCCGTCACAGGGAGAACATACTTTGCATGGCAAAGTGGGTCACATGATGTGCAACATGCAACACGACGGTGTCGAGTGCACCCGTCGAGGAGTCGTTGACCTGCTCGCTCGGCTGGAGAGCAGTGCAAAATTTGATGAAGTGCATCTGGCTTGCGATTGGCTCGCGCGCATTTTTACTACATCATTGAATAATTTATGCGGTGTAGTAAGCGGCGGAACGTTCATTTCACTATTGATCTGGCCACCGATAATGCCATATCTTCTAACTCAAACCTGCGGCGTGATAAATTACAACAGAGAATACAAATAATTTTATTTGGTAAGCAAAAATATTAACCAAAAAAATCTAGATTATACGAAATTTTGATTTAAAGCATCTAGAGAAAAAACACTAAAGTAGAAAAACCTTGATATTTTTAAAGTATAACAAATAATTGAAACTTTTTTTATCATTTTCAGACGTATTAAATGATATTTTTAAGTGTGATTTTTATCGTCAGTACAAAATTGATTGAAATTTTTAAATATTTAATTGGATTTATTTTTTCAAATTGCGTGCACTTTGTGTAGCGCATTTCTGTTATTTCAATGCGCGTCTTTTTTTTTAATTCCGTTTTTAACAAAGCGTGATGCCAAAGTTTGCTTTTTTCCAGCAGAATTGTCATTTAATTCTGCTTACTGCTTTGTTCCTTCTTGCTTTTTGTTTTCGCCTCCTTCTCACGCTTAAAACCGCGTGGAAACGAAGGAAGCTGGTGGTTTCCTTTGTTTTTCTTCTCCTGCTTCTACTTGTTTTCAAGGGGGAGAGACAGTCGCATCTTTTATTCTTTTTCCATTCTGCTGAGCGATTTGAGCAGCCTTTGAAAGTGATCCTCAAAGAGGAGTGTGTTCCCAGGATTGCGACCCTCCTGAGGAGGCAATTAACTGAATTGCAAACACAAAACTTTTTCCATAAATGTGCAAATAATACAAAATTGCCCTGTATCTGATTTCTCATAGTTTAGGAAAATTTTAAGGCTTCTTATAAAAATGTCGCAATTAAAATCTGGATGAATTTGGGGTTTTTAAATAATTCGTTTGGATGTAATTGGTAATTTCAGTAATATTAGCTACACTTTTTGCGCGAGATTTTTTTATTGACGAAAGTTGTAAATTTAATTTTAGAATTAGTGTGGGCCTTCGGGCAAATTTTTTTCTATTTTTTCAATATAACTTGAGTTTGATGGCATGTTTTAAAAACCTTTATGATCTTTATTTACTTTGTGATAAATGCTGATGACAAGTTAAAAATTTATTTTTGTTATGATGTACAAATGTGCAGAAATTCACATTTTATTGTGAATAATAAAAAAAAAGGATACGGATTTTTCAGGCCACTTGTTTTGCACTGCAGACGTCTGGTGCGAGTCACTCATTTTGAAATAAAGCAGCCCCGCACTCAAATTTTTTGCCGAGTTCATGAAGCCGTAACGGCGGTTAGCGAGTGTGTGTGTGTGTATTTTTCTGAGCGGCCCCGCGCGCGCCGAGCGAGGAATACGCGTACGCAACGTTTAAGGTAAATGGATCAATGTAGCGGCGGTCGGAAAGTTGGTCGGGAAATGGCACGGTCTTGATGGCGCTGCCACCTAGCCACGTGCCGCACAATTATGCTGGTCAATTCATTTTCGCCGTGCATGTCGCAAAGTCAAACATGTGCCAATAAGGAGCGGAAAGTCACGCCGCCGGCGACCGAGAGCTTTTGTCGCGTTCAGAGAAACTTGCCTCTTGAAATATATTTGAATATGTTCTTGGGCTAAGTCGTTGCTCAAACACATCATCGGCGCGCGGCGTTTGATCCTCCCTTAGCCCGCAGCCTGGCAGATATTATTGAAATTGCCAGCCACGAATCCCGCCCTGGGTCATATAGGCGCCGAATGTGTGTTTGCCTGTGGCTTTTGCTCGCAACTTCTTGCAAGAGGGTGCCACGGAAAAATTGACCAGAAACGTCTCTCTCTCTTTCTCCCGTTCGCAACTCTCTACTGCTGTAACTGTCTGCTCGAGTTCGCCTTTCTTGTTGCATATGAGGGTAGAGCAGCCCTAAAGTTTCCGACCGAATAAGTAGATTTCGGTTCTCATATAATAACAACTTTTAAATTCTTACAAGGCTGGGAGGAGGAAATCACTTAATAGAAGAAAAAAAATTCTCTACCCCTTTTCAACTCAATTTCGCAGTTTGACGCAGCCTGCACACCACGCTTGTCACAGTGATGTCATGCAACTTCTTGACGTATGTGTTCTGCCCAGGAAACAAACTTCATAGCAAACTGTTCTGAACTAATCTTAAATTAACTTTCAGAGTTCATCGGATTGTTAGAATACAAGATGGACTCTAAGAAAGTGTTACCAAATTTCATAAGAAAATCACATTTTCAGGGTGATCAGCATAAAATGAGACAGGGTCTCATAAACTTTGGTCGGGTGTCGGGTTAAAATTTATTTAGCGAGACTTTTGATTAGAAATGAATTAAATTAAATTGCTTTTTACAATGAGCAGTGATGGTATTGAGAGAAATTTGACATTAATTCATTTCGCTTCTGGATATCCAGATCACAAAAGTGACTTTTGTAGAAAAATTCCTTTTTAATTCTAAAAATATTTGTTTTCTCAAAACATGAATTTAATCAATACGATTGTAAGAATTTGACCTAAAAATGCCACGAATAATAAGTTAACAATAACTAACATTCCCCTATAATAAACCGGACTTCAATTTAAATATTTTAAATCCCTTTATGGTTATCTTGAATTATATTATGGCTTAATACTATTTGAAAGTCGCATTATCATCTTTTTTGTTGTTGTTATCGTTATCAAAGTCGTTTATGAAAGGATGTGCCTTCAATAATACTCAGCGGTGGCCTTGTTTGCCACAAGGTTGATCGTTGATCGGCAAATTCGTTGTGTCAACAAGAACATTCATCAAATTTTACTGTTGTCAGTGTATAATACACAACATTTTTCCCATTTAATGTTTGCGTGATTGACGAGGAGCGAAAAAAAAGCAATTTTCCAGAGCATTGTGAAAATTTTTCATAAATTTCAAATTTGTTGAACTTTTTTTAATTAAAATTAAGTGTTGTTTTTGTTTAAAAATCAATTAATTTCACTTTGAGGCATTACAATTTTTATCAATAAAGGAAATTTAAAAAAAGTAGTCATTTCTTTTTCTTACCTTTCTTCTGCCACAGCACAGCATTGCGGTCGACACTTGCGAACAGGCGCGCGCTTCCCTGATCTGGGGCGGACTCTTCGCGAGCTCATTCTTCTCGCTTCAGCCTGGAACAAGAGAAGAGCACGTGGGCAAATCAAGTCTGGATCGAGCAGCTTAGCCAGTGCGTGTGTATTGCTATGAACTGCGAAAAGCAGTAGGCAGTCGGGGAGGCGCCGTTTTTACAAGCGCCGGGATTTGGGCACGCGGCCAACGGACAAGCCGCACCGAAGCCGCACCAACCGGACAATCATTCATTCTCAGCCGCTTTTTGTTTCACGACAAGATGAATTCCATTAATTCACCGGGCGTGAAAAAAAAATCGTGGAGAGCGAATGAGCAGGCAGAGAAATTTTCAGCAGCCGTAGCGAGAGAAGTCTGCAAAGATTGGTGGAAGAAAGTGAAGAAGTAATCGATAGAAGCAGCGAGAGATGCCACACTAAGAAAGGATCTTGCTCTTGCCTTAAATCAAACACTCGCCTCTGCTCGAGACGGCGAGAATCATGTGCAATCAAACAGCATTTTGCTCGAGAGTGTGCCGCCCCATAGAGACCGACGAATGGAATCTAACTTTTTTATTTGCTCGCTGCGCGCCGCCGAAAATGAGATTTCCAGGAATTGGAGAGTGAGAAAGCAAAAAGCTTACTTTTGATGCCGAGTAAGGCATAAAATTTTTAAGCACCTGCTTCTCTAAGAGCTCGAGTGGATTGTTTTCACAAACGCGGCGCGGCACTCTAGACGCGCACGCTATCCTTGCTTCTTTGAAACGAAATGCTTGGAGGAAAGCAAATTCCGCATCTCTAAGGATTTTAACGCGTTTTCACGAAGTTCAATTTTAGGCAAATTGAAAAAAGGTTTAATATGAAAAACTTTTATTGTATTTTTAGACGCTTCATATAATTTATAGCTGAAAGCGCCACAATAGAATCAAATGTAATTCAACGCGACAAGCTTTTACACCAAGTTTAAGAAAAATATTTGTCAAATATTTTTATTTTTATTATACATTTAAAATTAGGCAAAATTAAGTTTTTTTTTTTAGAAATTTAAAGCTCTCAATCATTACAATTTTAAATCAACAACTGCTAAAAGAACAGTTTGACGTTGCCTTGTTCCATTCCAAATCTGAATTTAATCGCTTCCCAAAAGCAGATAACGCAACTAAAAAGAAAAAATCTCTCAACTCAAAGTTTTAAAAACGTTGTACAGTTCTATCTGCAAGTAAAATAAATAGTGTCGTGCTATCGTACTGCAATGTCAGCAAATAAACAAGTAAAAAATGTTGTTTCGCATATTCAAAGGCGGCGAGCAAAGAAGAGCATTTGGCAATGGCATCCCCTTCTGCAAATGTGTGCTGCATTATTTCACTTCGGTGTAATGGCTTTATTGTGTGGCGGGGAAAACTCTTCATGAAAAAGCAGAAGAGGCTTTTACGATCCAGCCAGCTTTTTTATCGCCTGCTGCTCAAGGTCATGCCGTAGGGGTCACCGAACCCGCAGACAAGCAAGGGATCATTTTTCTCTTGCCGTCGTCCTTCATTGCTCGCGTACTCGCTTACGTCAGCACCGCTTAAATAGCGTAGACGGAATATAATTTATCATTTTAATTGCTACTATTTATCAACTAAACGTGCTATTGAACAGACAGCATTATGGGTCATAACAAGTCAAAATATCATTTCAAAAGGCATAACCTCTCCATTAATAAAAACTTGTGCGATTTTTTATTTCAAAAAATACTGTAAATATCCAAGTTCTTCATATTTTGTGACTAAAAAGAGTAAAAAGTAAAAATCTAGTCCATCATTTAAATTTGGCATCAAATCCATCGTTTGATGTGTTCATTTTTAAACGATAGAGTTGTATTTTCTGATATGTAATAAAAATTGTATGCTCAATTCTGAAGCTTAAAAATTATATCTGTAAGGTTAAAAAAATAAAGTCTGGAGAGGATCGCGCCAATTTTGTAAGCAAGAATGACATGCAACCTAATGCGTTTAATCATCCCTTATGAATCGAGACGAGGGTGAGAGTGGTTTGGGGCGAAAGCCCATTGTGCTGTTTACTCGGTACCAAGTTTCACGCGGAGGGTGGAGCTGGGTCGGCGCCACTGCGACTGCTATGTTATAGCTGACGCTTGTTGGCACCACGCGGCAAATTGAATTGTGCCGGATTTGGGCTGATTTAAGGAAGAAGACTGAGAGAGAGATATAACAATCGGGATGAATTGCTATAAACAAACGAGGCCCCGGCGGCGGCGGCGGCGGCGTTCGTTTTGTTTTGGTCCTCCGCTCCACCGCGGGACCGCATTGTCTCCTTCAAGGCCCTTTATGGCATGAATTTATGATGGGGCGGCCAAATTTATGGAAGCGTCGCACCACGGGCATCACCGGTGGTAATAATTTAGCACTTTGGAAACTAACTTTTGTTGTCCGCGCCCTCAAACAATAGCGGCTCTCATTCGCTGCCACATAAAGACAATTTTATGACCCAGAATATTGAAACAAAACGACGGCAGAAGCGACCGAATTTTAAAATGCCACCCTTCCGGCGCTTGAGCGACACGTATTATGGAGAGGCATTAAGGAGCTTTTTTTTTAGTTTAAGTGCGCTTGGCGTGGAGAATGACGGCCTACCACTTTAGATAACAATTTAAATATGAAACAAAAGACTCATTCAAATTCAAAATATATAAGATTAAAATTTGGGGAAAAATCTAGAGCAAATTTAATTTAAATTCTCTTTACTGAACTTTAGGTAACGCTTTTAGCTTTAGGCGAATTTTCACTTTCACAGTGATACTTTCGCTTTCATGTTTATTAAAGAAACGCAAAGTGTCTACGTTGAAATTACGACAAAAGCTAGAGGATCCGTAGTCACGCGGGAGGTTATATGGGATGTCTTTTTTTATTGCACGTGGATCCCGAGGAGAATTTTATTATTTAATGTGTTTACTGCCTTCCTTATCGCGCATCGCCAAACAAAGAGACCTCTCTTCCTCTCGCTCTTTCATTGTCAGAGCAGAATTGGTTGAAAAAAACTAGCGAGCGCGTGTGCCCTTTCTGTGAAAAGGCGGCCGAGCGACAATAAAATATGACGTGAATCTCCAAAATGCGGCAAAGGCGGAAAAAAATCTAAAGAGCGGGGACTGAAATTTATGTTGGTTTTTTATCTTCAAATTTTTTAAACGTTTTTTTTTTTAGCTTACAAAAAGCTTCACTCTAAAATGAGTGTGGCATGAGACGAAATTGAATTCAGAGCGCCTGCGAGAAATCGGAGTTAGGCAACCAGTAGGACATGAGCGTTAAGCTAGTCGCATAAGCAGCCATAATTTGAGCTGCCGCTGCTGATATTCACCTCTTATTTTTTACTCGAGTTTAGCTTTTCCCCCCCAACAACCAATTCGCCGATTGGTTTTTTTCAATCGAGCGAGGAAAGCAATATGTAGTGCATCTTATGGGCACACTAAAAGCCTTATATTTACGTCCCGGCACCAGGCAGAAGATCACGGAGGTCCCAATCGACCCCATAGCTGGAATTTGGAGAAAATTGCTCCCTACCCGCCGCGAAATTGGATTATATTGACTTTGCCATCAGCAGCTTGATCAAATAAATTCTTCCTTAATACGATCCGGTTAGAGCGAGATTGGATTCGTTTTGTTAATTAGTAAAATTCCAAGTCTGATCTCATAAAAATTCAATTATAGCAGCTGATGGGATTTTTATGGAATATCATAAGGGCGCCAATTTTATGTTTCACATGCTGTGTATAAGGGTTAACTAATGAAGTGGAGGGGCAGCACCGGCGACACGCGACACGTGATTTTGGATAGTACTTCAAGTAAAACGAATTAAATTATTATAAACAGAGGCTATCAAAGAAATTTTGCAAGATACATATGAAATAAAAAATTTAAGTTTCTCTTACCTCATGATCCGCACGGTGCAAGCTCTCTGCCTGATTCGCCCGCCACCGCTGACGAGTTCAGACCAGACTGCTCATTAAAAAAATCACTCGATTATCTTTTAAATTATGTACCACACCACACACTGCTGACGACAAGATCGTTCGATCCGGTTCGAAAACAAATGTACGTAAAAGGAAAATAAAGAGGGCGACTGTCAGGTGGAAACTAAATCGGCCAACTAAAATAACTCGGCTATCTTTGCCTGCACATCCCCTATTTTCGCTCCCCCTTCCTCTCCTAGTTCTAAATGTCCCCGCGCGTGTCTGCCGAGCGCCTACAGACCACCGACTACAGTTCGTTGGCTGCATCACCGTGCACCTTCCACTACACCCCCGGCATGCGCATCTTTATTATTTAAAGGCCTGCCCCGACCCGCAGACACAGCCAGCTAGGCCGTGGCAAAATCCCTCATACCCCACTTGCGGTCTCTCCTGCACGGCTGGTATTGGAAACTCATTAATTTTTTTTTCACATTACTTTCCTAGCTGCATGTTTTTGTGCGTTCCAAATGCTGGATCCGGAATCCGATAGTCAGATTAATATTTGATATAATTACAAAAAAATTCTAATCAAAAATCTAAAAGATCTACCGAAATTAAAAAATCTTAAGTAATTAATCCAAACTAAAATCCCTAGATTTTTTTATTTTGATAAAAAAAAACTCCAAAACTCGAAAATTCATATTTTAAAACTTTTAATTAAAATTTTTGCAATTGTTTGAGGAGATAATAATTTGAAATATATAAAATCAAAGAGATAAAAACTTCAAAGGAGCACAAACTATTTGATAAAATCAGCTTTATTTTAAATAAAGAGTGTAAATAGCGGTAAATAGAATTATTTTAACTAATAATTACATATTATTAAAAACAGTGCAGTTTGGTAAATTTAGTGGTAATGGTGGTAATACAAATTCAGTCATTACAATAGATTTTGTAAAGTTGAGAATAGCAATTTGATACATTTACTAAGTTTAATTTACAATCATGTCATACAATTTTTATTAATGGACGCAATATATCAGTATACGAAGTATAATTTTAGAGTTGCATATATTTTTTTTAGTGTTACAAGTTACAATTTATGCAGATTACAAGTTTAGTTTGACTGCAATGTGCGAATATTTATAAATATCAGATATGTCCATAAGAGTCTTACAATCAGAGTAAAAATGCGTTTTAGGCCCCGTTATGATTGGGAATAATTGTTTTGAATAAGGCAACATTAACTTTAGAACTTTTGATTATCGTCCAACATGAAATATAATTATTTACGCGCTTTGATGTGTTATCACATATTAAATGACATTTTTATCACAAGAAAGTTGAAATCAAATGTTACCTGCAACATTATCTTCTGCGATAACTTCAAACTGCTCGTCTGATGCATTGGAAACCAGCGCCGAGTCAGACATAGACTGTCGGATGGAACATGTAGGATCAGTAGACGCTGACCCGATTGCCCACTCAGACTGGGATTTCCTCAAGCTGTTTTCATTAGAGCAGTCTATTGTTCTGACACCAACGACTTTCAACAAAGTCTCCACCTTACTCTCATAATCCGTGTGACCTAGTTACAGAAATGCAAATTATTTTTAGGGAGAAAAAAATCAGAAAATGCAAAGCAACCTGAAACTATGTCAGTTAGATCAACATTCTGAAGGCGTTTGCTGTCACAAGAAATTTCATTAAGACCAGCAATATTAACAGCGATTGACGTTGTACGATATAAAAATTTCAGCAACCAATCAGATCTGAAATTTTAATAAGAAAATTGCAATTTCAAGCTTCAGTCATTTTTAATTCTGTTAAATCACCTGCAGTAGCCATTGACAATTCTGCCCGCGACCACAGTAGAAATGTCCTGCCAATCTTTCACACTTCCTGTCACTGGGGCGCCCAACATAATTGCCTCCTGAACAATTCCTTCACTGCCAGGCCGTCGATCAGCCAACTCCTGCCATTACAAAATTTATTTTAAATTATTCAAACAGTTCAACAAATATTTGTTACTACCCTGAGGCAATAGAAAACCACTCGAGCTCCCAGACTGTAGCCAACCAGAGTCACAGGACGGCCTCCATGCTCTCTGGCAAGCAAGACGTGGGCCAGGTGCCGTCCTACTTGTGCAGATCTTCGCAAACAAACTCCCCAAGGGTTATCAATAATGGACGAGAGGGAAACCAAAGAGGCTGGCCACGCAATTGCTGTCAAGATTCCACGGAGAATAGTGAATTTGAGAACTTCCTGTGTAGCTACGGTGACAGCAGCCGAGACCGCCATATCCAACGCCTGGCCAAGTTCTTTCAAATAGCTTGATTCGTAGCGCAGGAAGTATTGCTCCTTTGAGCTGTCAAGGCATTTCCACGGACGCTTGAATTTTTCATCGTCTTCTTCCGTCAACCAGCCAGAGACAGCAATGGCAATGTGCAGCTGACCTCCTGAGCCAACAGACAACTTTCCAAACTCAAATTCCTCGATGTCTCCGACTCTCCTTTTCATGCGATACCCTAAAAGATTAAGCGGTTCAGTGGCGGATTTTCACAATGTGTGGCCCCCCTGGAGACTTTCACCACATCAGCCGAGTGTTGAGAAATTTCACCAAATCAGCCGAGTGTTTAGAAATTTCACCACATCAGCCGAGTGTTTCGAAATTTTACCACATTGGCCGAGTGTTGAGAAATCACCACATCAGCCGAGTGTTTGGAAAATAATTAATATATCACTTTACCAGTAAGTCCTGCTCCAGCCAACCCAAATAATGAACCGAGCACAGCAGCACCAGCAACAGACCCTATAGCAGCTGCTGCTGCACCTCCTCCCACAATGGTGCCTATGCCTGCACCAATTAACGGTGCAGCCAGACCTCCCGTCAAACCAATTAGTGCTCCTCCACCCACCGTGGCCAAGCCGATAAGCGCATATCTTTTTATTTTGCGGGTTCTTTGGCGTCGATCGGCTACTTGCTGTTGCTCTCTGTTAGCAAAATTAATTCTCATTAATTTTTCTTTTTTCAAAGTGCTTCAATAAAATATTTACGGTGATAGTGCATCTGACTGCTCGCTGTGGGAACTGAGTAAAGACTGGCCCAAAGCTTCTTCTGCAAGTTGAGCCAAAGCGGCAGGCGCGCCCATCAACACAGCGACATGGGCGATTAATACTCGAGTTCGAGCGTCATAGTGGCCTACGAAAATTTTTTTTAAATAAACTGTAATCAAAATTTTAAAATATCTAACAAAGAGATGAGAGAGAACGTGATAAAAAACCTATGAACTACAGTGCATTAAACTGTTGCTAGATATAGAAAAAAACAACATGATGTTCCTCTACAATCTACAATATACCTACCCTCAATTAATCCTTTTTTTAGCACAAGATTGAAAAGCACAATTAAATAGTTAATTTGTTAAAATACAGAAGCAAAATGGATTAAAATTATGGTAGGCTAGCACAATTATATATATTATTATTTTATTAGACAAAAATTTTACCAGATTTTATTCCGAATAGCACCATGTCTTGGATGATTATGACAGGATTAGCTTGTATCTGAGGCTCTGCCAAAAGGAGCTCCACATAGGCTTGGTAAGTCTGACTGCCTTGGCCTTCAACCAAACTTTTCATGGCATCGTTAACCTATGAAAATAATTTGTTTTAAATATAAAACTGAAACCAAGCATAAAATCTAAATTTAAAGCTCAAATAATATACAAGATGAAGTATTTTAAACTTCAGACACAAAATAAATTACATAGCTTTTTATCAAAACTTTCTGTGTCACAATCTAATCTTTCTGCAATAAAAATTTACAAGCATTTATTTTTGCAATTTATACCTGCAATGGTAGACCTAGATGTGAGGTAAATTTTTTTATACAATCGATGCTGTACGGAAGGTCCCACTTATTGCCAAACAACTCGTGCAGCGAAAGGGCACAAATCGCTGCATAGCAATACGTTGCAGCGTCTGAGAGTTTTTCTTTTAATGCTGTAAAATTTAATTTGCGTAACACAAATCGTGATTAATTAATTTTGAATTTTACCAGATTCTGGCAGCTTTTTGGCTAAGTCGTTCATGGCGCATCATGCAGAGAGTAAAACTAGTTATCTATAATTAGTTATTTTGAGGTAAAATAAAAACATTAAATTGATACACAGACAAATTGCGTCCGTGATCACAGCAATAAAATCAAAGAGTGCATCGTCAAATGTTTTGGTTTTTAGTTCACATTCACAGATTCACATATTGGGTGGGAGTGGCAATCATTTTGATGTGGGTGGTAGCACTGCAAGGTCAGCAGGTTGTTCCCCCGCCCTCTTTGTGCGAATGTTGTGCTGGAAATTGGACCGATTAGGCAAGAGGCAAAATTATACAAAAGTTTCGGTCGGCTGGTTGATTATTGTCTGATTGCGCCTCGAAAATGGCAGTGTCGATTAGCGAAATTTGCGAAAACACCAAGCTTGCCCGTGAAATGGCTCTCACGGGCAACTACGAGACTGCGGGCGTTTACTACCAAGGAGTGGTGCAGCAGATTCATCGACTTCTGACGTCCATCAACGACACAACTCGCAGGGCAAAGTGGCAGCAGGTTAGCAGACCTTTCTAAATTTTCTGTTATTCTCCCTTTTAAATTGATGCATTTTATCGCTTTTTATTCGTAGACCAAGTTAATAAAATTAAATTTGTCTTTTTAGGTGCAGCAGCAAATTGCCAACGAATACGAACAGGTCAAGGGCATCACAAACATCTTGCAGCTTCTTAAAGCCGATGGACACCTGGACAGACCTCTAGGTTTGTTGACAATTTTTTAGGAATGAAGTATTTTCCACAAGAAACAATATTAAATTTCAATGTAATGTTGCTTCAGGTGGTTCAACGTCCTACAATTTTTCTGCTTTTGAGGAGCCAACTCGAGACCCAGATGTTTGGGGACCTCCACCACCTAGAGATCCAGATGTGTGGCCTGCACCAACTGTTGTGGAACACAAGTAAACAAACCGCTTTCCTTAATCGTTCCTCTAAATTTTGTTGATTATTATAAAGGAGTGGAACGCCTGTGAGAACTGTCCGAAATACGAGGAAAGGAGGAACAGACACTGGCAACAAAACTGGTACCTTAAGAGGAACTCGAGGTGGATCCACGTCAGCAAACAAAAAAGATGCAGGGAGGAACACTAAGGGGAAGGTTGAGCAGACCCCAAGAAGTGCCCGGGGCGCCAAAAATTCTGATTCCAAAGATGATAAAGAAAAAGGGGACAAGAGTGAAAAGGATGGGGAAAGTGAAGGGAAAGAAGAACACGAAGAAGAGGAGAAAAGATTTGACCCATCTGGTTATGATAGAGAGCTTGTTGAAATGCTTGGTATTTATAACATGCTAAATTATTATTTATTGCAACTTGAGATTTTTCTATTTTAGAGAGGGATATTGTGCAGAAAGATCCAAATATCCATTGGGATGACATAGCCGATTTGCATCAAGCAAAACGGTTACTGGAGGAGGCAGTTGTCTTGCCTATGTGGATGCCTGATTTTTTCAAGGTATTTAATCATATTAAACGTATTTCTGTACAATAATTTGGAACATCAGGGAATTCGTCGACCCTGGAGAGGTGTTCTGATGGTTGGACCTCCAGGCACTGGAAAAACTATGCTGGCCAAGGCTGTGGCTACGGAGTGTGGCACCACTTTTTTCAACGTATCCTCGTCGACTCTCACTTCAAAGTACAGGGGAGAATCTGAAAAGCTGGTGCGACTGCTTTTTGAGATGGCTAGATTTTACGCTCCGTCAACAATATTTATTGACGAAATTGATTCTTTGTGTTCGAGACGAGGATCTGCCTCAGAGCATGAAGCCTCCAGGAGAGTGAAGTCCGAGCTTTTAGTTCAAATGGATGGAATCAGTTCCGCAAGGTATAAGTGTTAATTGCATATTTCTGGTAACTAACTCAACTAACTTATTTTTCTAAAGTGAGGGTGAGCCAGGAAAAGTGGTTATGGTTTTGGCTGCTACAAACTTTCCATGGGACATAGATGAAGCTCTGAGACGTCGACTGGAGAAACGAATCTACATTCCACTACCGAGCAACGAGGGCAGAGAGGCGCTGCTGAAGATTAACTTGAGAGAAGTGACATTGTGCGATGATGTAAATTTGACTGATGTGGCTGTAAAACTTGAAGGATACTCCGGTGCAGACATCACAAACGTGTGCAGGTAAGGAATGGAACATTTGCTAAATGAATTGAAAATTGATTTGTGCTATCATTTCAAAAGAGATGCGTCTATGATGGCTATGAGAAGGAAAATAGCTGGCATGAAACCTGAGCAAATCAAGCTGCTGGCAAAAGAGGAGCTTGATTTGCCAGTCAGCCATATGGATTTCCGCGACGCACTTGCCAAGTGCAATAAGTCCGTTAGTCAGGAGGATTTGGATAAATACGAACAGTGGATGAATGAATTTGGCTCTGCTTAGTTAGCAAAAACAGGCTCTATACTCAAAATCTCCACTAATGTGATAACATAGCTATTAATTATTGTGCTGTTGAAGTGGTCGTTTGAAAAGAATTATATTTAGATATTTCTTTCTCAGGAAATGAGACGTCTCTAAAAATTTTTGAATTATATAAAAAAAGGAATTTATATACCTATCATAACTTATTTGGAGATGTAAAATTAGCATAAATTGTAAATATATATCGAGCACCTTTGATTAATTTTTCGTTTTTATTATTATTTTTTTTTTTTTATAACTCCACTTTCCCTTCTAAAAGGTTATTTTATTGTGGCATTTTGCTATTAATATGGTTTTTGATACCATATGTGCATTAGTGGATGAAAAAACTGTATCAAAATATTGCAAAAATTGTAAATGTCATTGCCACTTGAAAAATCATGTTTCCATTGTTGTATGGATACTGGATATTCTAATATATTGATTCATTGTTGGCCCAACTTTTTTTTAAATCGGTCACGTTCAAATATCAGTAACTGACGCCAGAATTCTGAGGATGGAAGAAATCCAGCAAGAACTCGTCAAAAAACTGGAAGAACTTGATAACTACGTGCGAGAGCACGTTGAAGTATTGCTTGATTTAACAACCAAGGCAGATGCGGAGGAAAAAGTTGCATCTTCCATCAAATCTGCAGAGGAGAGATCTGTGACTGAAAAGCTCGGTGTGCTGACTCTGCTTCCAGGATGGCTGGAGACGTTGCAGAAGTCACTACAAGAGTTCGCTGCAGTTGCCAAGAGCATTCAGCCTCAACCAGCAGATCCAGGTACAATTATATTTATTTTTTAGTTTGATGAGAATTTTATTTTGAAATATTTATTTGTAGAGCGGAAACTGACAGCAACGGGACTTTTCCCTGACCCTGAGCAGTACCAACGCAGGCTGACTGAATTTCGTGAACTTCAGTCTGAGAAACAAAAATTCAGATCCACAGTGGCTTTATTGGAGAGCAGGACCACTGTCGAGAATCTTGCCGACTCTGCTTCGGCTATTGGCCAGTCGGATCGGGTAGGAAGCAAAGAGGAGACAAAAAAGGAATGTTGCTTCCTGTTGATGAGGGGCTTTCCAATTGAAGGAATCGTCGAAAGGCTGGAGGACCTGCTTGACGAAAAGTGGACGAAAGCAGTGAGCCCCAAAAAACTCAAGAGAGAAGCCGAGCGTCAGTTAGCTTTGAATGAAACGGAAATTGAAGAATATGTTACAAGAAGAAACTCCAGTCGGTCTCTTGGCCATGTTGTCCACAGACTGTTGGCATCAAAGTACCCCAGGCCCCCAGTACCCCCTGGCGAAAGACTCCCTAGGCTCAAAGTAAGAGATTAATTATTTCACTTAAAAATATTTAATGAAACGTTATAGGTGATGGCCTTGCTCATGGGGTTGGATAACCAAGATTCAATCTTGCACCTGGCAAAAGTGGTTTCTGATGCAAAAGTGATTGTCGTCCAGCTACAAGACGCTCTGGAATCCTGCATCGAGGCATACAGAACTGAAGGTCCAGGGATTCCGCTTCTCGAGTCCCGGGAGCCCCCTACAAACACCCCTGAGCCTGAGCAAGTGACTCCGACCGCTTGCTTGATTCCTCATGCTCTCCTAGAGGAGCTGAAGGCCATGGAGCCACCACCAAAACAGAAAGAAGTTGAAACTCAAACCGGTCCAGAAGTGATACCGTGTCTGAGCATGGCTGCATCTCTTGGAAAGCAAGCGCTGGAAGTTTTGCGACTCAAAGAGCCCCTGTCCGACTGGCTCATCACAGCTATGCTCATTGAGCACCTCCACCATGCAACTTCCCAGGGAGCACTTGGATGGATATTGGTCAATTTTCCGGCTTCATTCGACCAAGTCCGACTGTTTGAGGCTTCAGTAAGTTAATTATTTAAATGTTGATATAGCTTGGAATGATTATTATTTTTGTTTTTTTGCTGTTTTAGATCACAGGTCAATGGGTTCCAAATCCAGACAAACCTAATGAAGATCAAGGTGGGCGGACGTCCTTGGTTCAGTCCAAAATCGTTTGCGATCCCAATTCCCCTGTGGAGGCTGACCGTCCATTTTGCACTGTGTTCACCTCAGTGGTTGCCGTTTCACCAACAGAACCCCCACCAGTCGTGTCTCTGGTTAATGAAGTTTACCTGAGGCAGGACGTATTTGCTTGTGTCCATTGTGTCCAGTTTGAAGAGAGCGCCATCAAAGACCTGGCCGAAATGCTTTTACGAGCTTCGCCGCACCCTCCTGCCGAGCCAATAGCTCTCCAAAGTGAAAGCACAGTGCCAGACTTCAATATTCCTTCTGATCTGAAACTTGGAATGGTTGCTCTTTGGGAGGCTCTTGAAACAGCCTACCTTGCACGTCTGCACAGAGTCGCGCTGACTAGAAGAACTATGCAAGTCTGTTTTGCTCGTCACTTGTCTTCGGTGAAAACTCGGTTCGGAAAATTTCTGGGCAGAGAAGACAGCATTCAAACAGTGCTGGATTTGTTTGCTGGTCGATACAAAGAAGTGCCTAGACCGTGGGATGAAGAGTCAAAATCAGAGATGGTGAAGAGGATTGAACAACTGAATGAGACTATCTATGGCCAAATTGAGACCAAAAGGCGCGAAGCTTCAGAAGAGATTAACGAGATTGCTGAGAAGTCGATCCTGGCGCGCCTTCTCATAGAAAAGTTGCAAGTGGCTGCAGCTGTTGCTCAACTTGAACTGGATCGCTTTGTGGATACAGTTGCACTACTGCAAGACTTCTCTTATGCATCACTGGAAAAGATTCCCCCAAATGCCAGCAAGAGTGTACGATATGAAGTGCCAAAAGTAATTGGAGCCGAAGTTGGAGACGAATGGACAAACTTGGTGGCAAAGACACTCATTGCAGATGAATTCCCTGACGAATGGATGCCTGAAGAGTTTGCTGACTATTTATCCTCGGTCGTTGATTCAGCCAGGACAAATGTCGAAAAGTTGACTGGATCGCAGAAAATCGAAATCGACAAAATGGAGAAGGAATTTCAGCCAAAGCCTCAGAAAGGCAAGGGTGCAAAGGATAAAGGAGCCAAAGCCAAAAAGGGAAAAGGCCCCACTGTTGATGATGTTCCGAGCTTGGCAGACTTAGAAGCGGAGCGGTTTGCGGCAAAAAGAATATTTTTTCTTCAAGTATAAGTTGCTGAACCCTTGTTGCAGCAGAAATAATTTTAAAATTACTTTACAGGAGTGGCGCAGCATGGTCGAAAACGAGGCAGAGCTTACAATTAATGCAATTGAACGTGAAACTGAGAGGCAAAAAGAAGAGGCTGAAACACTTGCGAGGAAGCTTTGGGGTAGTGCCTTCCAGATAATGCGCACGGCTGCAGACTTGCAGAAAAGCTCTGAGAGCGATTCTTTGCGAGAACTGAAAGAATTCCTGGACACTGTGGTTGAAGCCGAAGCTGAAATCAAGGACACCATCTTATTCCCAAGGAAGACCCGTTACCTGAGCTACCTGCAACGACCTGATGCACCTGCCCCCGTCACTCGGCCAAGGAACTTCTACCAAGAACTGCACGATTTGGTCAAAGTCCTTAAGCGTCTTGCTCCGGACGGTCGCATACTCCTGTCCGGTCTTGTTTACTTGCTGCACCAATCAGCATCTGCTGGCAAACACTTGCCTCAAAACTGGCGAGAACTGGACAAAGAGGGCATACACGAAGTGTTGAAGGACTTTCTGAATGGTGACACGATTGTAGACTGGCGTTCGTTGGTTGTCGCTCTGCTGGAGTTGCCCATTGCGAGTCAGCAACAACTTTTGCTGGCTCTGCAGAAGCTGCGCCTGGGCACAAGAAAGAAGTTCGTCGAGTCTAAAATTTGGATGGACACCATGTTTGCTGACGAGGATGAGGCTGCAGAGGCAAAGAATTTGATATTTGATGTTTACTGCCCCAAAGACGACGACAATTCTTCCGTCTTGGAATTTCTGTCTGCTGCAGTGTTCGATACATGTCCTGTTGCTGCTTTCATGAAGACATGTTCCTTGCACCAAGAGCAGGTGTTGGAGGAAGAAAAGGAAAAACTGGACGAAATGCCTCATTCAGACGTGGTGCTGCTGGAATCAGCAGTGACGGCCTGCCAAGCCGTGTTCCCCACCAAGGACGAAGCAGTTGGGCCACGTCTGCAAAAAATCTGGAATGAAGTCGAGGACACTGGACTCACCAATGAACAGAGGAGGGCAAGAAACCGTGCGGTGGCGGCTGGAACATACAAAGCTGAGGATGCAACCCAAGCTCCAGTGGACCTTTTGAAAGAGAACCAGTCCTTGCAGCAGCTGGCTTCAGAGTATTTTAGATCAGAGAGACTTGAAAAGATCATCAGAGGCAAGTTAAGGCATTCACTGTAGACTTGATTGAAAATGGAATTTCACTACATAAATTATTTCTTCAAATTATTCATTGATCATTTTGTTATTTCTTGAATGCAAACGCCTGCTAAATTTTACGAGTATGTATGGAACACTCGAAACATACCTACCTTGCAGGTTACATAAGTGTGTAATTCTGCATTCTGCATGCAGCAATGACTCAATGGATTTAATCAGATTTAATTTTTATTTACATTATGGGTCGAGAACATTTTTCGCTCAAACCAGGTACTGATTAGCACAACATAATATTTCATGAAAAAATATTTCAATCAATATTTAATTTTGTTGAATTAATTAAAAAAGAGCAAGAACACTAGCAAATTCATAAACTTTGTCCAAAATATTTTTCTATTTTTGTGATGCAAATGAAAACAATAATACTTGAAAGTTGAGTAATATTGAATTATTTGAAACAAATTTATTGTGAGAACATAGCAAGATGACAAAAATAATCATATAATACAATTCACTTTTAGCAGAAAATTGATAACATAAATCAAGAGTTTTAAGCTTTCCAAGAAAGGTAAATAAAATAAGGGAATTATTAAATCCAATTTTCAGTTTTTATATTTAAATATAATCAACAGCATTAAAAAAAAATCACACTAAATTTATGATCTTTGCAAATGATAAAAGAATTATAATGAGTAATGAGACTTAACGATAAACCAGAAATTTGCTTAGCCAAATTATTAAAAATAACCCAGTATCTTTGATAAAATATGATAACATGGAGAAAGGAATAGAAATTTAAATAAAGTGTTCTGTATTCTCTAGCCTTGGTGTAAAATTTTGTTGAAAGCATTGTAGCTTGACTCGAGGTCGAAGATGAACTGTCTGGACTGCTGTTCGGACAGCTCGTCAGACGCCCCCATTGTTGAAAGTGTGGTCAACCATTCAGCAACTTTTTGTTTGCCTTCAAAATCTGACGGGAGTAAGCTCAGACGGTTCATGGTATCATGGAGGTCCCTCAAATCAGGTTGCAATTCGTCCATGGCTTTAATTTCAAGTCTCAGCTTGTCCATGATTGTGATGAAAAGCTGAAAAAAATTTATTTTAAAAATTCCATTCTGTCTACAAAATAAATATTTACCGAAACAATGTCTGCAATGCATTTACTTGTATTTCCCTTATCATCCTTGATTGTGATTGGCCTGTCTTCCTTGATCCTTTCTAAAGCTGCAGGGCAGTCCAGCTAAATAAATCCAGTTTGATAAATTTGGTACAAAAGGATGGAGTAACCCATACCCTAAATTTCTTGACAAAAGCCTCTATGGTAGGGAACTCGTCTCCATGCACAAGATTGAATGCTGCCTTGTACTGCACAAGCAATCTCGAACAGGCTGCTGTGTATTCTTTGGGCGTGACACAGTCTCTTATGTACGCTTTTTCTAAGTGCTGCAGGGTATTGATCACAGCGAACAAATCTCCCAAGTTATCGTACCTACAATTAACCCACAGATGATAAAATTATATTATTATGACACGGCGGAATAACAACATACTTTTCTCGCTCTCTGACATTCCTGTATAGCTTCACTTCTTCGTAAAGTTCAGGTCTGCTGGCATCTAAAATTAAATGAGATTAATATATTTTGGTTCACTCTTAAGTGAGAATGCAAATAAATTAGATAATTGACAAAATTAAAAACCTTTGACGGAAGATCCTCCGCTGGAAAATGACATTTTTCTAATTCCTCAAAAGAGATTTACGAGCCTGTCGCCTGTCTCTAGAGGTAGGCAATATATAGAAAATATCTTATTTCTTATTGTCTAATTGGACAATGAGACACAGCAAAATATTCAGGAAATGACAAATTTGTTAATTTTGATAAACAATAATCTCAAATTTTTCGCGAATGTTTATGACTAATCCACCACACAACACACCCATGACTTCTAATCCAAGGAGCGTGAGCGTGCCAAGGAGGTTGTATTTGTACGCTCCCCTAATTGGTCGGTCACTCAGCGTCACTGGCCAATAGTAATCGAGTATTGCGATTCTGCTCTGACAAGCTGAAAAACACTGAAAACAAGCACAAACACAAACAAAACTCGATCGACTCCAAAGCAGAACAAAAGCATTCTTTAAGGTACGAGTAGCAAAATTTATAACCTGAAATTCGCCATAGTTTCGCGGCCAACCCTGAAATTTTTAGACAATTTTCAAACGGCCCCATCGCGCTACGTTTCTAGACGATTAATTCTCTCGTCGCAAGCCCCGAAAATTAGTCAAAATTCGCAGTAAATAATGCGCGTGTCGTAGCTGATGCGTCATGGCGCAATTTTTTGTCACTGCAAATTTTCAATTCAAAATAACTCCATTCCCAGTTTCGCATATTTATTTCGATTATAATCCATTGTTAAATTTATGTTACAGATTTTGAAACTGTCTTTGCAAGCTTAAAAGCAACAGAATGTCCGTTGAAATGATGGAAGACAGACGGGTATGTTTCCAAAATATTTTTAACGCACTTAAAATTATAAATAATTTTTTTTTTTGGCCTTTCAGTGTGATAAGTATGGAGGCTGTGAAGGCCCAGATGCCATGTTTGTGAAGCTCATCTCTTCAGATGACCACGAGTTCATCATTAAGAGAGAGCATGCCATTACTTCTGGAACCATCAAGGCCATGCTGAGTGGCCCTGGTCAGTTTGCTGAGAACGAGACCAATGAGGTGCACTTCCGTGAGATTCCGTAAGCTAACAATAACTAAGGCCCAAGTGTTATCCTAATGGCTAATTTCTTCCATCTTCAAGGTCTCATGTGCTGCAGAAGGTGTGCATGTACTTCACATACAAGATGCGCTACACAAACAGCAGCACTGAAATACCAGAGTTCCCTATTGCTCCCGAGATTGCCTTGGAGCTGCTGATGGCTGCCAATTTCCTTGACTGTTAAAACAATTCTTGAGGTTTTGGTGCTTTGTAAGTTGCCAATACCTTTTCTCAATAACTGAAAATAACATTTTGTTCAATAAATACTAATTGCTCTTGTGAAACAGAATTCCTGATATGTATTGTTTGAGCAGATAAAATAAAAGACGATCTTTAAATTCACTTGAATTTTTAATTATTCATAATTAATTTTTGTTAAACATTCACTGCAGAGAAGGAGTTTTACCAAAGAACAGGGTTGCAGCTTCACATCTTTGTCTTGGAAATCCTAAAATAATATTTTTAGAAAATATGGGATGTTAAAATATTAATATCATCCTCACGATGTTAATTGTTTGCTGCCACTTAACACGACATAAGGGCAATGCGTTTCTTTTTGCTTTTGCTGCAACATGGTCACTGTACCAAGTGGTGTGTCGGTGGAATTCATCTGCTTCATCAACTGGAAATTTAAACTGTTATTATAGAGATGCTTTAAATTGTTCCAACACGTACAGCTTCTTGCTCCATTTTCTTTATCCTCTTCTCGACTTTGTTCTTTCCAGGTCCTTTGCCATGGAATTTGTGGGATAGATACCTAAATGCCTCTTTAGAACTCAAAATCTTTCCATCGTCATCAATATAGTCCAGTTTCACATTAGGTTTGTAGCCATCTTTTTCCCGGAATTCGGTAGTAGGTCCATTAAATCTCTCTCGCCTACTGTGCTTGTCATCCTCGCTGCATTTTTTTTATTAGAAATTATTTTCACGGAATGATCATAGCACTAATATTGTACTTACACATAGTTCTTATCCTCAATTGCATAATTTTGTGCTTGTAGATGGTTCATCCTTGAATTTGACGGCCTATTGAGAGTTTCTTTCTCAAGATAGCCCTTACTGACTGCAAGACGCAACGCTCCAGCAACGCCACTGCCTACATCAGGCTCCTCTTCCAAAATCGGAGCTTCTGGAGCTGCGAAGTCAACTTGAGCGTCCTCAACTTCTACCTCGTTCCATGTGCCCCTGATTTCCTGCTCTTCCGCGGCCTGCCTCTTACTCTCGCTTTGATCAAAATCCTAAGAAAAAATTAAAATATATAGTACATATTTCAATTACCAAAAAATTACCATTAAATCTTCCACGTCTTCATCACGGTTCCCTGCCAAACCGTAAGTTGGAATGTCGCCAAGAGTTCTGCAAAACTCGGCCGTGGCATTTAGCATAATGTGTCCGCTTCCACCTGCATCTTCATCTTCTTGCTCGTGCTTGATCTGCGCAACTCGGGTGGCAATCTGTAATGAAAATTTGGAGTGAAAACATAAATAAAGCACATCTTTTCCTTGGCATACATCTTCAATCCTTTTTTTGGGTTTCAAATCTTTGATTTGCCTCAGTTTACGAGCTTTATTTAAAGCCAGTTGGAGTTCCAATTCACCTTCGTCCGGCTCGAGCTTGACGTCAGACAAATCTACAGAGGGAACTGTAAGTAAAGAATTAGCAACAGCATAACAGAGGTTTTAAAAATAATTACGTGGTACATCATCCACATCAATAATGCCTCTTCGCCTCTCCTCCGTATCACTGTCCAGATCCATATCCTCTACTTCTTCTTTGGGGACAGGTTCTAGCCCATTGCTCTCTTCCACAGGCCTGAAACCTGTCGACTCCTCCCGTTCTTCTCTCCTCCGACGCTTAAGGTCAGAGCTGGTAGTTGGAGCACTGGCTTCCAAATCTGATGCCTTGAGCACCTTCTTGCGAATTTTCCTGATCTGAAACATTCCCAGTTTAAAATATCATTTATATGATCTAGTCTTTGAAGAATAATAATATACCTTCTTCTTTGGCTTCTTGAACTTAGTCATTTCTTCAGCAGTGTAATACTCAGAGGCCAAAGTGAGGTCAGGCAGAACAAGCGTTTCAAGAGTCTTCCTCTTCAGCTTTGCCTGAATGATCTTTCTCTCCCGCTCTCTTCTTTCCAATTCCCCACCCTCTCCTCCTGTTTAATAAATTGTTTTGAATAAAATTGATAAAATCTAAGCATTAGCAATAGAAACAAACCAATGACAAAGCTCTGCCTCGATTCTCCCTGTATTTCCTCATCGTACTTTCCCAACAAACTTTTCTCTACATTCCCGAACTCGTCAACTTTCTCGTCATCATAAGCATTGTAACCGGTTGGATTCTGCTTCTTCCTCTCCAAGTTCTAACAAAGAGAAAGGAATTAAAAATGTAATAAAATCAAGCAACTTTTAGAGTTCACCTTTTTGTATCTTTCATCATCCATGATATTTACGTTGACCAACACATCATCCTCATCTTCATCAAGAACACCCTTGTCCTTCAAGGTCAAAACAACGTTTCGACCCTCAGTAAAGTTTTCAACGTCGTGCTCAACTCTGAGACCCCTTAAATCTCGTGAAGTATACGCATGATTCTTGGCATGATGGAACTCATCTTGCACTAGTTCTCCAACGCCAAACTCCTCGTCCATTTCCTCAAGCATTTTAGCCTGCAAAAATAGACGTTTTAACTTCATATGTTTTGTCCGAATCTCCTCCCTACCCTCTTAGCAGCTCTCTCTTTCTCCTCCTGCAGACGCCGAGCCTTTTTGACCCACGCCGCAGCATCGTCGTCGCTCGAGTCATCTCCGAGTCCTTTGACTTTCTTCAGCTTGCTCTCGATTTCACGCTTGTCTTTACGGTCCTTCAGCTTTTGCCTCAGCTTCTCAGCCTGCGCTTTAGCGCCCCTGTTTTCAGGAGCCCTGTGCACAAATTCACCCATATCTTTTCCACCCATAAGCTCAGCTGCAGTTTTGGCTGTGCCGGTGGTTGCTTCATTCTCGTCGACTTTTAACGGTTTCAAGCCTAACTTGGCTCGAAGTTTGTTTGTTTCCTCAACGGAAAGGTTTTCGGCACTAGAGCTTGTGCCGCCAATGGTTGGTGGCGGTGGGGGTGTGCCAGACTCTCTGGACAGCTTTGGTGGAGGAGGAGCACTTGCGGGGGATTCATCTGAAAGTAAAGGGAAGCGTACAAAATGCTCGTAAACAACAGAAAATGCTCGTAAACAACAGTGCTGGGCAATTTTTGAAGATGCCATTGGTTGGTTCACTTTGGCGTGATATTTTCCCGACTGTTAAATAATTGTTCTCTCTTCAATAATATATGGAATATTTTTGATTCAAACAGATTGACAGTAATAATTCTGTGCAAAAACTCACTCACAGCGCAAGTTTAGAGGGTTGCTGGTCTGGATCGGCACAGCAAAAATTTGTGTGCTTTAAAAGCTTTTTGAACGCAAGTCAATCATTTTAGTTAAGCATCATGGGGGAGAAAAACGTAAAATGCTCAAACTAATATTTAGTTTTGAACAGGTTTTTAGATGGCCTTTCTAAAACTCTTTGTTAAATTACAGCGCATGTAATTGATAGGGTGTTTCTTCTTTTTCTCAGTCAAAATTTTCAGCAAGTTAAGAGCGTTTTAATTGCAAGCAAGATTTTATTTGTCCCCTAAATTAGTTTAGTAATATGATTAAATTAAAAATTCCTAATTTCTGGAACAAAACTTAACGTAATGACCGTAATATTGTTATACAAAATAATGTACTGTTCAGTTTATATAATTTTTACCATTTTTTACATAAAAAAATGGTAAATGATTATTGCATCAGGACACCCTATCAGTGTTGATCCAGCTTACCTTTGATTTCATGATCTGAGCCTCTGTGCGTGGAAAGTGTAGAATGCTCAGCATGTAAGCCTTCATTAAATGGCTAACAAGTCTGAAAAACATACAAAATTGCAGGCAATATTACTGAAGTCAACTTTTGTAAAACCAGACAAATTGAGTTGGGAATAAAACCATTAGTGAACCAACCAGACAATTTTCGCAATTTTCAATGCTTCGGGTGATTTAATTAATTTCTGAAATCAATGCCTACCTTCGCTAGAATAACGAGGGGCGTCGTGTTTGTCCTCTTTTTCTTTGTACGATCTCCTTCTGTGGTGTCTACGGTGCCGATGTCTTTCACTCGCATCCGGTGATTTTGACTTTGACCTGCTTCTGTGTTTGCGTTTTCGGCTCTCTCGAGACTTTTCCGACTTGTGTTTTTTCGTTGACGACCCCATCGTTTTTAATCAGTGGTTGACCGCAACTAAGTTTTCTCAGAGCGAAGATCTAAAAGGCAGCGAAAATAAAATACGGTAACCTCAAAAAATTTTGTTGTTATTCTCGTCCATGTTGAATATTTACCTGCTGGAGTGTGTTCAACAATTCACTTGGCCTATCGAGTTTTTCTCTGCTTTTTCGGTTGCAAATATACTCCAAAAGTAATGAATAGTTGGAATAAGTGTACCGTCGAAGATTTGCCAACCGTTTCTTCGAAAAAAAGTGTCAAAATTCACAAACTTATTTGTTTTCGGCGATCGCAGCCTTGCAAAATGTTCTCGATTCTCAAATGACGGATTTGACAAAGGACCAATCAGAGGCGGTGTATCAATTGTAGACTTTCACCACCAATAGAGGGCAGGGAGCGATGGTTTTTATGCAGCCGCAATGGCGCGAAACGCGTGCAAAATCTCGAATTACACGCAAATGTTAAAATAAAACTTTTTATTGTACTCAAAACTTTAAAATAAAATTAAAAACATTGACTTTGCTTGCAATAAAAATATTTTACTTTAAAAGGAATGAAAAAATTATAAATTATAAATTAGGTTAGGTCTTAAAATATAGTGTATAATGCAGAATAATAAATTACATATTTTTTAACGCACATCATTGAAACGCTCCTAAGACGAGCAAACATAATATAGGTTTAAAAATTTCAATAATAGCAGGGATTTTTTTAAGATATAAATTTTACATTCCTATGTGAAACGATTTTTATTATTAATATAGATTACAGAAAAAAATATTGATTTTAACATAGCTTCGAGTTGCACTTGAAACTTGAAATACTTGATTACCAAATTGTTTACAATATAATGACAGAAAATATCATGAATGAAAGCTAATGAGTTAAACATGGAACAACATAAAGGATAAATTTTTCTTCTTACATGCTGATCGTAAAATTTTTCAGAACATCAAGAGAAATTATCATTTCTTTTAACTCCCAACACGCGTTTACATGAATGTCAGCAATATATTAGGTAAATATTCTGGGCTTACACAATAAGCGCCACTCATTCCTAACATCTTCCATGACAAAAAGGAATATAGTTGGCAAAGAAGCAAGGTGTACGGTTTTTAAATGATATATTCATTTAGTTAGTGATTTGCGTGCCTGTGTGTGTGATTCAAGTAAATCCACCGGAAGGGTGCGAAAACACTCATACAACAGCTCAATTAAGAATCTGTATTGCTCATTGCTACTAGTTAAGTGTGTGTATGTTAAGGTATTATCTTTTACTGTTTTCAAATCTATGCAACTACATTATTCTGATAAAAAAATAACCAAATATCAACAGCCTATGAAACCAAATTTTCTCAACTAAACCTGCATCTTATTAGTATACGTAAAAATCTCCCACCTCTTGAAGATGTGTGTCTTTCGTTAAGCGCTAATATTCATAGTAATAATTCATCTTAATAATACAAGCCCTACACTGCAATAATTGTTTATCAATTTGCATTAAATGTGTTATGCAAATGGCTGATTTTAACTCTGGGGATAAATGTTTATGGTAAATTTCTTACTTACGCATTGTGTTTAAGTTCGGTTATAATTGGTTACAATTATTGCTCATTGGCGCAGGACAGGGGGGACAATGATTACTATTTAGTTCAAAAAAGCTGTTGCTACGAATGCTTCAAATTTCCATTCACAATCATCACCATTTCACCTACTTTTAATGCTTACAACTATGATTTTTTCATGTTTTAAAAAAGATCGTAAGAAGGTGTTTACCTTTAATGCTCTAGATCATTATTAATAACGATTTCATCTTATTGAAAATAATTATTTTCAACTGGCATTTCCATTTTACACTCAATACTTTGATGCAACCGTTGTCTATATAATATATTATGTATGAATATTAAGTGATCAGAGTGGACCTCGGAGTTTGAGCAATGCACCATCCCCTTGTGTTGCAGCAAAGTCAAATTTTCACCTAAACAAGAGAGAAACTTTGGATTGAGCTGCTTTAATGAGTACCTGTGACGGAAGACGGCCGATGCCCCATTTATTGCCAGCAATCAGGACAAAATTGTCAACTGGTCAACACATTTCCAACTTTTTTTTGTTTAGTGCCGCCTTCCTACCCCGAAATGTCCACTTTTTTAGTACAGCGATTTATTGGATAATGAGCCTTTAGAAAATATTTTTTTTTTTTTAATTCCAATTGTATAAAATTATGTTACAATTCAGACCTTGCAAATCAAAGGTTTTCAACCTCACTAAATCACAAGGTAAGTCCACACAAATAGTCTCCTCAGTCTTCCTATTTTAGGATTTAGACAGCAAATCAGACTTTGCTAAAAAAAAAAGAAAGTAGTTGCGGCAAGGGGTAATTTTTTTCCTGAACAAGTAGATTTTGATATAACTGCAAAATTTAGTACATCATGCAAGACATTTGGCAGGGTTGCAAATCTAAATAGTTCAATTTATGCGGGAAAATCCTTTCATAACTGTTCACTTGATACTATGCATTCACGTACATTTTACCACTACAAGAAATTTTACATTTAATAAAGAAATGGCGTTATTAACGCTTACTCTTTACAAGAATTTTTTCTCTTTTTTCCAACAGGCTGCGAGAGGGTTTTACTTCGCTTCAAATTATTTAAATATCAGTACTGTTCCCTTCGTTGGAACGCTATAAAATAAATTTAACTTTTTAAAGGATCTGTAATTTTGACACATTTCTAACTACAAAGACAAGTAAGAAGTAATTATTTGTGACCATTGGATAGGCCCAAGCGTAACTGAACTGCAGAAAGTAAAACAAAGCCCGGCTCTCACACCTCCTCCGTCTATTTACAGTGGCTACAAATTTGTAGGCAGTATACATTGCTCTTTCCAAAATCTATCATTTCAATCAGGGATCAAGTTATGAATTAACAAGTAAAAGGACTATAAGAAAAAATGCTGTGATTCGCTCAGCATTTACGTGTGCTGCTTGACCACAATGACGCCTGGACGTTGCTGTTGCTGGGCCGCATTGACAGCAGCGGCTGGCAAAATGATCTGACTGGCGCCAGTTCTAAGGACGGTTGTTGTGCCTTGTCTGAAGCCCAGGTCCATTGGGCTCACCTCCACTTTCAGCATGCGGCCCGAACTGGTGGTAAGAGCCAGCGGCACTTCCTGCTGAGGGGCCGGCTCGTCGCTGAACAGGTGGTCTCCCTCCAGGTGACGAATGGCCTCGACAATCGTCTCTAGATTTTGGCGAGATGTGCTGGGAGCATACAGCCTGCAAACAAAAAATAAGGTGAGTCATGAGCAAGTACATTTGGCCATGACGTTTTACCTTGTCTGCATTTCATCGGAGGAGTTCGGAGATGAAATGCGAGGTGCCACCTCAACTTCAACTTTGGGTTCAGCCTTGATGGCTGCTTCGAGCACGCTTGGGATTCTATCCTGCTCAGACTCATCAATGGCCACAATAGTGGTGGCTGATGGTGATGGCGGTGGGCTGACTTGCAGGAACTCTTCTTCCACAGTTTGAGGGATGGCGTCCAGCTTGTCAATGTGGATGGAGTGAGAGCCGTCCGTCTCACTGGTTTCAATCATGTTCTGCAAAAAGGGAAGGGAATCATATTAATTCAAGAAATAATTGAAACAAGTCGTCAGAGAACACACCTCTGGGATGACTTGCTGGTACTGCATCTGCACCTGCTGTGTGATTTCGCGGATGCGTTCCGGATAGAGCTGAGTCTCGAGACTCCGGACCTGCTCCTCGAGCTGCAGCCTCAGACGCCGCTCCCGGTCCAGTTGCATGCGAAGTTCGATCATCTCTTTGCGCAGCGCGTCGACGGACTGCTCACCGGTATCCAGCAGATTGGGTTCAGGGGACATGCTCCCGATACCCTCGTCAGCCGAAGACTCATTGACACAAACAACTCCTGAGGATGAGATGACGATCTTGTATTTGGTCGGTTCGCCAGTCTCGACAGGTTCTGAAGCGCCTGCCACGGGAGCTTCCTTACCGGCCTCCAGTCGCCTCTTCTTGGTGGCGCCTGCATCACCCTCGGAGGAATTTATCACCCTTTTCAGCTGGCAGTTTTGTGACAACAGCCGGGTCTTCTCCTGCTCCAGCTGGTAGATGTATTCTGCGGTTTGTTGCAAAATAGCAGCCTGCAAAAAAAAATACAGGCCAAAATCAGTTCAAAGTCCAAAGTTACATATTATTTTTATTGCTTTTTTGTTTATATTTATTACGAGATAATCTGCTTGTGCCCCAAGAGGTCAAAGTTCTTGATAAATGATCTGGTTTAATAATGCAGCAATTATCTAAGGGGCTGAAATTGGCATCGGGCCAATCAGCTGGTGCCCCGAGTGGTGGAACGGAAAATTCAGAAAATGCATTGGTAGTAGGCATGGGCAGGAAGCATTACGGACAAAAAGCAGACGTGAGGGGAATATTGTGCTTTGATTGGCGGGCTTCGCCATTAATCGAATGCCTTTCGCACCAACCACGAGCCCCACTATCTATTTTGGTGGGGAATGCTCGCAAATGGTGAACATCAGGTCCTCTTGTGTGAGGCGCCACCAAGCTCAATTGCGGCAGCTACAGGAAGTCTCAATTTGTGGATAAAACTCGCACCAACAAAATTACTTTAATATTTCCAGCTCTGCTGACGTAATCAAATTCGTTATAAATATTAAATTTAAAATCAATAATAAAAAAAAAAACATTGGTTAATTGATGTTACAACAATGTTTCCAGGATACAGGCAGCGTTTTTGGTGGTCGCAAGCGCACATTCTGATGTGTGAAGAGTGCGCTTGCACTCGGGATAGCATTTTCTCGACAGCTGACGGCAGTTATTGTGCAACGATCAGCTGAAATTGAAAATGCGCTGTAGGAAAAGATTGCCGGCCGGCATTTCACCGCTTGCAACATGGGAGCGCAACGATTAGCGATAATTACAACAACAAAGAAAGCGCAAGCGCGTCGTACTGAAGTTCATTAATAATTTTTATGACAAAAAACTACTGCGGAGCTATTTTTACAAGTGGCGTATACGCGTTAAAATTTAATCATACTCTCAAAAATTCGCGTTCGAAACATGCAAAACGCGTAATATCGTCCGATTGTACATTATTCTTTGTTGATAGTGGCAGATGTTTTGCGAATTAGTTTCCAAGACGCGTTCTTTCTCTCCCTAAAGAAATGGGCATTGTATAAGACAAACTTCTTCGGAGACCAGGTGTTGGATTTTGGATCAACCTATTTTATTTTCTCTCCCCAAACGCCGCAAGCTGCCCTCTCCTTAAAACAGCAGCTGGTGTTCCCTGCTTCCTGTACGCGCGTTTTTAAGAAAGGATGGCGCAAGCAAGAGAAAAAATCTTACACATCCCTCTCCCCCCTTCGAAGCAGCAGAGAAAAGAAAACGCGCTGCAGCAGCGTTAGTGTGTGCGTGTGTATTATACACAAAAAGCCTTCGGGTTTGGAGGAAAGACTTTTTTAACCTTGACTACTTCCCGCTAGGCCTCCGCAGATATCAGACCGAATAAAATTCGCAATGATCGTGCTCCTCTGGCGGACCTTGAAGGGGCCCTTCTAAATTAGCGAGTGTACACGTCTTGAGGCGCAATGCATCAAAAAATGTGCTTAAAAATCGACGTGCTCGGCGTGGCGTGCGATCAAAATAAAAATATTATCGTCGTGCTGCTCGCTGCGTAGTTTGCCACAGCCACTTTAAGGTATCGCATCAACAAACAGCGCGCCCGCCAGCCAGCTGAAACCATGTCCTTGTGAAGCAGCTGCTCAGACTGGCGGCGCCCGCGATAACAAAAAAGAGCAGGTAATTCAGCTCGCGCCTCGCCTGCAGCGCGGCCCTTCGCCGGTTTATGATAATTTTTTTGTTTCCACTGCAGTCGATAGGGTCGAACTGCACCGAGCTGGAAATGAAAGGGTGGAAGCGGCATCAGCTGTTTTTCGCACCCCGAGCACGGAGCCACCCCTGCGACGTAGTTCAGGGCCGAGTCCCCCTCCTGCTCCCCCAGCCGGTCCGAGGAAACAATGCTGGCTGCCGGCTGGCGAGCAGCAGCAGTCAGCACAGACGGGGCCCTGTCGGGCGAAATTGAGATCGATAAGGGGCGCCACTTTTGCAGCTAAACATTTTGCTTTCCTGCTCTTGAATCTACAACTTGCATATTAATATCTCAATGGAGAGGAATGTTGAAAAAGTTTGCAGCACAAATTTGCAATTGAAAGAGAAAATAAAATGATAAATACGTGGGAAAAACGGAGCTAAATTGCAACTGAAATTGGAGATTGCCAGATAATTAATAGTCCACAATTTACAATCCATAGTGACAAATTTTTGGTGCGACTTTCTTAAAATCAGAATAAAATAATTACATTGGAATATCCTCATTAATTGCGGTTAGTGGCAAAAAATTCCAAGCAGTTTAATTGATAATCAAAAAAATTATTTGTATTATCAGATATTTTATTTTTCAAGTTACGAACATAATGTATATTACTGAGATTTATTGATTTTTTGATATTTCTATGCTATGAGCAGTTTGAAAGGCTGTATACGAAAAATTTAAGTTATCGGGCATTAGACGCTGTCTTAAAAAAATCTTTGGCGTCAATTTTACACCCAAGGACACGCTTCCTTTGCAAACGAAGCCATCCATGAGAGCAATCATCATAACAATAACACAGGAAGCTTGGCATTAATTAAGAGCTTCTCCAAGTCAACCACGTTCATACTCGCATCATTATCAAAAATTGTGCGCACACCGTGAGCAGCCGTTTTAATTGCACCGGGTAATGAGCCGCTCAGGAGAGGAGTCGAGATTTAATTTAAATTAAAATCAGCGGCTTCAGTAAGTGAAGTTTCTTGCCGCCGCCGATGCCGGGGATTCAAGAGGAATGTGCATGTAACCGGCTAGACATGACGTCAGCGGATCACGTGGTGCCCAGCAATGGCAGGGCGTGGTTTGCACCTCATTGCCAGCATCAGGAAGACCAGACTTTTAGAGGTCAAAGGGTCATCGATGCATCCAGCCCGCCAACTCGGCAGGAATGGTATGGCTAGGCAGAGGTGGGCGAGCGAGTGACCTTTGCCAATGTCACTGGTGCATCGACTTTAGCGCAACGTCAGAGCAAGCGAGAGCAGTGGTGTGGAAAAATTAGTAATTAATTTATTCCTCTTCCACTTTCTTTTATTTTGACTGTGGCTTTGGCACCACCACTGCCATCGTAGAACTTCTGTTTTTTCCTTTCCAATAAATATTGTTTTTAATTCAATTAATATTTGGCTTACAATTAAATTCATTTTTCAAGGTCCTCTTTTCAATTTCTGGGAATTGTTGTGAATTAAATTAATTTTGAGTTTGTATTAAATTAAAAAGAAGTTTATATTTACAAAATAATTAATATAAATTCATTTGCAATTCTACAAAAGGAACAACTAAAAAGAAGCCATTGAAAAATAAATTTAATTGTAAGCCGAAAATTAATTGAATAAGAAACAATATTAATTGGAATGGAAAAAAACGGAAGTTCTTTGATGGCAGTGGCGGTGCCACAGTCAAAACATAAGAGTAAGTGGAGGAGGAATAAATTAATTACTAATTTTTCCACACCACCAGCCAGCCGGCGGTGCATTATTATTACTTCATTCGACTTGCCTTCTCGCGAACCGAGTCTGCGTGATGTCCATAAATTCTTTAAGAGTTATTTATGAGAGGCTCACGACCAAAGCGCGGCAAAGAAAAACCCATACTGTAAACGCAACAACCTTTATTTTAAAACCTAATTTAATTAAGACTATATTGATTTGCAGTGTTTTTTCTTTGCAATTTGGAATTTGCGAAGCGGCAAAATTGCTTCGCGTGTTCGCTAAACTTGTATGATTATCAATGCCTGGCAGCGAAACTCATCATTCTGGCGGTTTGCTTTTTGAAGCAACCTGGCGCGGAGGGCTATTGCATTCCTGAGCTGGTACCTGGCCTCCCCAACCCCCCTCGGTCCCCGCCATTGCGACCCACGTATGTATACAACTCGCAGCACTCGACGGAGATAAAAAAAAACAGATAGCTCCGGGGAGGACGCGCTTGCTTTATTTATAAAGTTAGTGCTGCATTCCCACACGCTCGCTCAATCCACCCATTCAACTGGCTCAGCTGTTCAGCCGAGGAATAATTTGGTTGGTGCGGCGCGCACCAAAGCATACCTCGCTCGGCGCCCTTTCTTCCTATCTCTCTCTCACCAACAGTGCATTGTAACAAAGAGCCTCATTCCGAACAAGGCGTCGATCATAATCAACGAACGTTCAAAACCACGCTGATGAATTTGAACCGGCCCGAGGCCAAAAGTCTCCTTTAACATTCAATCCTCTCATGCAGCTGATTTTACGTTCTCCAGCTGACTAGTAAGAAAAATAATTCCGAGAAAGCTCTTCTAGCTGGAATTCAAATGTTGGTGATTACTTTGCTTCTATAAATAAAAGCAGTGAAAAGAGCAGTCCGGAATAAATTTGGAGCACACGCGAGATCTCATTTAACACTCGACTGCAGCGACAGTAGAAAAAATCCCTCCTCCCCCGCACCTGTGGCACCAGAAATAGCAACCTTTACACCTGCCAAGCCGGTGTGTGCGATTGACGAAAAAAGGAGGCGCTAATTTGTGTTTACTAATACTGCGCAGCACGGCTCGTCTGTCTCGTTTTTCGTGCAGGCGGCACTGTTAAATTGAAATACTTGCATTGGGTCATTCTTTGAAGGTTGTTGCTATGCATCGCGGTGAAGTAAACTATTTTTTTAATAGAAGGCTGGTGCCGGCCGCATATTAAAAAGCCATGGTAGATCTGACGCAACGTTATGCAGCGCCGCCGAACACCGCTGTGAGCCGGGTTGCGTCTTTAATAACTCTGCTACGTCTAATAGGTAATATTAGTAATTAAAAGATTTCCAACAATTAAGGGTTTAATGTTAAGATCTAAAAAAATTAAATTTTTGTTCTGCACATCATCAGGCACTTTTCCCACCCAAGTTGCCATTATGAACTTTGCCATTTAATGATATTTAGTGAACTATAAGGTGAAAATGAACCAATTCCAAAAGCAAACGTGTTTTCAGTCGAATGCGGATTTAGCGAATTTGCTTTACAGCTCT